CCATACCATGGGGATTCGGAGTCAAATGAACGCGGTGCCAAGTTAAGGTACCGCGCAAGTATTGAAATAACTTAGACCATTAGCATTGGTTTAAGTTATTTCAATACTAGACCGCGCGTTTTTGGCTTGCGACATAGGCGTGCTCCCAGCTAGAATGCCACTGAGCCGGCGCCCTCAGCTGGAAACCCAGCCGAGGACGCTTGGTCAGTGCATTCCCAGTCGTGCCTAGTCCGTGCCGCCCGCGCCACAAATCTGCGCTGCCCAGCGAAGATTTGCGCTGCGGAGGAAGCAGGCCGCCAAGAGTGGAAAACTGCAGCCCAAGCGCAACCGTTGCGCTTGAGCTGCAATTTTGCGAGGTCTTCCGCGGCAGAAGACCGGCTTTCTGGCACGCTTTTTTTTCAAAAAAAAAAAGCGCCCAGGTTATCCGTTTCAGTTACCCGCTTCGCCCTGAATTTTTTAAGAAAATGCGCCCACGTTGAAAAGTCGTATCAAATAAATCTAAGGCATACAGATTACATCTCTCCATAATAAAACACATTTAGTGCGCACGCGTGCCAAGATTTACCGTCAAAAATTTTTCACCTCGTTTCAACTGATAAAAGGTGTCCCATTTTTATAGGGCAACTGCCACAATATATATCAGAAGGGAAAGGAGCTGACACATTATTGAGCTTCCACCTTCATAAATAGCATTAAACTGGGGACATTTGTGACAGGTCAGAATTTATATTTTTTTGAAATTTTTTCGGTAGTGGTATTTTGGAGGAAACTTTCTGAATTCGGATTCCGGAAATAATGAAGAGCGTGATCTCATGCAAGAGGGACACTCTCTAGCCTCTTAGCTCTCTGCGTTAGAACACTAATACACCAGAACTAGGCCGGTGCGCGACCTAATCGCACTAGCATCCACTTCACTGTTAGCATGGGCAAAGGCACAAGCTCATCATCATTTTCATCATCTCTCTTCTCTCGTCGGGACTCCGCTCGGTGAGCAGAATGATTGCACTTCATGATCGTGGATTTCAGGGTGCATTTCGGTCGTGTTTAGGTCGTGTCATCAGATCTACATGGTGACTTGATCTGCATGCCTACATTCCCCCTCATGTCTAAGCACTTGCCTACATTCCTTCCCCCTCACGACTATGCAACTGCCTAGTGACAGGATGATTGCACTTCATGATCGTGGATTTCAGGGTGCATTTCGGTCGTGTTTAGGTCGTGTCATCAGATCTACATGGTGATTTGTTGATCATGCCTACACTCTGTTAGGATCGACTTTAGTGCCTTTTTAATTTGCGGACCTGGACGCAATCTCCTGAATCTATCTTGGAAGCCAGGGAGGGGCCTGGCTGCCCAACCTACCTTGGTCGGATGCATCCAATCACGCCCTGCCGGCCGCCGTCGATCAAGTTCTTACTAGCTGAGCGCCTCCAATCCCGCCCCAACTGCGCCGCGCATCGCCTTGGTGCGAGCGCGCAAGCAGGCGGGCGCCTTCGGGCCCGGGTGCGGGCCTTACGCTGCAGTAGCCCGCTCCGGCGGACGCCGCGCGACCTACCTCCTTGGTGCGGGGGCGTAATACGCGTCCGCGCATTGCGCTGCGCTCGCCTTTGTTTTGCGGAACCCCCCGCGGGGCCGCCGCGCGGGCGCCCCGACGGCCAGCAACACGGGAGGCACAAATGGATCGCTTTGCCGCGGGCATTTTTGTCCGGGCCAGGAAAGGCGCGCGGCCCGCGCCGGCGCCACCCGCCGCGGGGTCCTTTGGTTGCAGTAGGAGTAACACGCCCGCCAATTGCGCTCGCTCCGCGAAGGCGGCGCGCCGCGCCCCGGCTGCGTACCAAGCGAGCCCGCCCTCTTCCTTGGGGTGAGGTCCGTCTCGCCGCATAGTGGCGGCGCTATTTCCCGGATCGGGCTCGCCACGCGGCAAGGTCCGACAGGCGGACCACCCCCGCGGCAAGTTCTTCGGCCGGCGGCGGGTGCGCCCGCGATGCCCTTTCGCGTAGCGTCGGCAGTGCGGCCGCCGCAGTACTTGGCTGCCGTTCCTCGTGGGCTGCGGTTTTAGGGGCGGCAAACCATTTTCGCCGGGCGGCCACACTCTCTACTTGTTACGTGCAGTTTTGGTGGTGTTCTGTCGCTTCCAACCAGAATGCGGGCGGCGCCGGGGAAACGTGCTGCAATGGAAACAATTCGCTCGGCTTAGGAGGATCGGCGACTCAAGTACAGGAAGTGCAGAACTAGAAGATGGCGCGGTCGCCGCTTTTTTCTCGCCCGCGGACCGGTACATCGGTTCGCGGCTGCGTAGGGTCGTGAAATGCCGCGGGCAGCCTCTTGCTGACGGAGGCTCCGCGAATGTATGCGGACGGTCTGGAAATGGATAGGCGTTGCGCTTTGCGCAGTAACTGCGCTTGCGATTCTTCTGCATGTACAGCTGTACCTGTGGCACCACCGGGTCGCCGGCGAGGTCGAAAGATACAAGGTCGCGGTCGAGAAGCGGACCCGGTCGGAAGAAGACCCGCGGCCACCAGCCGAGCCTGGCACCACGACGCAGAAGCTTTCGCCACCTCCCGTTTCAGGGCAAACTGCCGCGGCGCTTGCCCCCGTGGAAAAGGCCCAAACACCCGCCACGGTGCCCAAAGCCCCGGCGATTCCGAAAACCGAGACGGACGCATTGATTACCGGTCTTCTGCTTCGCGGCGGTGCACTCGAAAAAGGTTCTCCACCCGTGGGCGGTGCCGCGCCGGCGCCGGCAGTCGTTTCCCTAGATGCGGCGACTACTGCCACCACCACGACTGAACCCGCAAAAGAAGTGCTTGCTACCGTCGCGGTGAGCCGCACTGCTGTACCCCCCACGGACGCCGCACCACATGCCGGCGCAGTCGAAGCAGAGAAGGAACAGGAACTACCTTGGTCGCCCTCCCTTCAGTTCGACCCCACCCTCCCCCTGCTTCCGCAGTCCAGCATTGGCACCTTCGTGCTCGCGTGCCGCCGCGCGGACTACCTCGATCGCACTTTGCAGGGACTCGCGCAGGTCCGCGGTGCCAGTAGCACAGACGAGTTCCCGGTAGTTGTCAGTCAAGACTGCGTGCCCAACGATGCGGTGAGTCAGGTGGTCCTCCGCAACCGCGAACACCTCCAAGGTCACATCGTTTACGACCGCGTCGCCGAGCAAGCAGCGCTACGTGCAAACCAAACGACGGCGGAAACGACCGGCCAGACAAGCCTGCTTGGAGCTACTGCTCCACCCGCCGCCACGCCGGCGCCCACGCCGCAGGCGCTGCTGAAACGGGGCTACGCAAAGATCGCTGAGCATTTCCGGTTTGCCCTGCAGAAAGCCTTTCTTCGGTTCCACCAAGCGATTTTTTTGGAAGACGACCTGCAAGCAAGCCCGGACTTCTTCTCCTTCTTTCGCGCCACCTTGCCGGCCCTACAGAATCCGCAGAGCCGCCTGTTGTGCGTGAGCGCGTGGAACGATCAAGGCCTTGGCACACTGGTGGACGACACGGCCGGCGTGCATCGGACCGAAATTTTTCCGGGGCTCGGGTGGATGATCACGAGGGACGTGGTCACGCAGGAGCTGCTGCCCCGGTGGCCTCCGGCCTATTGGGACGAGTTCATGCGACGACCGGACGTGCGGAAGGGCCGCGATTGCCTGCGACCGGAAATCAACCGGGTGTGGCATTTTGGTAAATCAATTTTGGAAAATCTGCTGTGGTTTTTCTTCGCAAACGACAACGCAAATTCATTCCTGGTGCCAACTCGAGAAAGTGAATATGTCATTCTGGGATTAATGTTGCATTAGCGTATTCTATTTGCTGGTCTCAGGTTTTGTAGGGGAGAGCCGCGGGCAGTTTTCGAAATACTGGAAGGCGATAAAACGCAATGACAAAGCTATGGATTGGAGGTATGAAACTGAAGGAAAAGCAGCTGCGGATCTAGTGACTACAAGTGCGAAAATCTTCGCACAGACCTGCTTAAAGCAGGTAGTAGATGAAAATGTATGCATGATAGTATATGGTGTTTACGCAGAAGAAAAATGCTGCAAAAGTAGCCACAGTGCACCTCCATCTGCTCGCTTTTCTTTCCCACAACCGCTCCCCCGAACTCGCGCGTCGGGTTGCGGTAGCGGCAGACCCACAGCTGTACGAGCAATCGCTGCAGCAAGCCATCGCACACGCTACTTACCTCTCCTCGCCCGTGGACTTGAACGGATACGCCGGGAAGGGCGCGGAGTACTGGCTCCGGTACACGGATTTCCACAGTTACATGCAGCTGGCCTCGTTCTTCCAACTGATGCCGGATTGGAAAGAGGGGCATGTGCGCAGCAGCTACCGCCACGTGCTTCCGCTCGCCTACAAGGGAAATCGAGTGTACTTGGTAAAGGACTGGCCGGTCGTAGCACCGGCGAAGACGGGGCCGCCGCTGGCTTGAGAAACAGCTGGTTTGTGCTGAACTTGCGTGGAAATTATAAACTTCTCATCATCTTCTTCTCTCCACGTGCGCATGACAGTGACCGTTTTGCAAGATCACCATGATTCCGTCCGGTGTAGGCTGCTCCTACGTGAAAGCCATATCCGCCCTGCAGACCAGGGCGGCAAAACGAAAAATGTGTTCTGGAGGGCGGGGGGGTCACACTAACAGCACGGGTTGCCGCACCATGCTTGAGCGCAGGGAGGAGGGACAGCTATCCTTGAAGGAGTAGCAAAATTAACGGTTGTGCTTGTGCACGGCAGAAAGGTTTGCGTGTGCTTCTTTCGAGTGGTGAGCATCATCTTGTGAATGACAGGACAGCACGAAGGGCTCGATGTTTGTATGCAGTGCGGGTATTAGATTTCGGCACGAGAGAAAGCTGACCACATGGAGGGCCGCCACTACCCTTTTTCCAAGGCCTGAGTAGTTTTTTCCGCATTTTCTTTTCCTGCCGGAGCTGCGTGACTCCGGTGATGCAGCACATATTCTGAAGCGAAAAGGGATGATCGTCTACTGACCGTCTCATCACTCTCGGACTGCTCCGCGATACGATCATTCCAGCCTCTGTTTGGAGACCGCAAAGTGAAGTTGTGGTGCAAAAAATTCGCAATGCGGAAGTCGTACTGGGTAGCCAGCGCGCTATTCCACGCACTTCTTCTGCAGTACGCGCACGGGGAGAACACGAAGAGCGCGGACAAATGCGCGGGCTACTACGACGAGGTGGAGCGAAACACTCTTGGCCCAACCACTTTTCTGGCCATCACGTCGACCGGGGGAAAGGTATGAAAGAACGTATATCATAGTTTTCCCAAGCTCCTGCAACATCCTCCCGGGAACTTACTTGTTGCAGCGTTACAAGTATAGCCACCTGCTTCGGTATTTGTCACTAGATAGGAGATTCAGATGCAATTCAAACCTCCCTCCCAGGTCCTGTATACGCAAGTGGTAGACAACAGCCTTGCCGCAGACGGCCGGGCGCTGGCCCTGGTGGACAGCGGGCTGACCACGCCGAAGGACATCGCGTATGACCCGAAAACCGCGAGGATCTTCGTGGCGGACTTTGACGCCAAGATGATCGTCAGCTACGAGCTGTTTGTCCATGTCGACGACAAGATGCGGAAATCACTGAAGATTCGTGGCGACCGCGTGGTGGTCGCGGAGGATTTGAGAACCGCGTGGCTCGACCTGGATCACGACGGCAATCTGTACTTCACCAGCGGCTCCGTGGTGAACAAGATTGACAACTCGTTGTTGAAAGATCTCTTCGCCGGGGTTCTCACCGCCTCTGATTTGAAAACCCAGTCCGAAGTCGCGGCCTTCTACGCCGCGCAGCAATCCCAAGCGGAGGCTAGCAACGCGCCGCCGCCGGTCACGCAGCCCGTCATCGTGCAGTTGGTGTCCGGGCTGTCCGCGCCAACGGGGATCGTGAGTACAATTTTCAGAAAAGTTCTACTTGCGCGGTATACGTTCAACGGCATTCTATTGTCTTTCACTGCGTAATATTTTGGTAGTCAGAAAATATACTAGCTATGCACGACTAAAAACCAGCGAACGGCGACCAGCTCTACTGGGGACAGGCAAACATTGCCAATAACACGGCGGAGATCGTCGCTGCCGCAGCCACACCCACCGGTCCCGACCATAGAAAAACAAAGCTGGCGTACACTGTACAACCAAGAATAGAAGGCGTCGCGATGAACCACAACGTACTTTTGATAAATGAGAACCTGTCGTTTTTGATGTTGTAGATGTTTTGTTCTGCAGCAGTCGTGATATGCTGTATTTCTTTTTCATTTGACACTTGAGAAAAAAAGAATCCACCCCCCAAAAATGATCCACCGCTCAGTCGATCTTCTTCGCGGCGGGCGGAAAGGTGTTGAAAGTCCCACAGAGTAATAACATGCAGCAGAACGGCGTCCCGGCCGTGCCAATCGCGGAGAACCTGGGCAATCCTCGGGGCTTGGCCTGGGATCACGACGGCACCCTTTACATCGCGGACGGGGGCGCCAGTACGAGCGGTGCCACCGGCTCCATGATCAGCGGCATGGTGTACGCCGTGCCCAGTGGCGCCACCGCGGTGGCGCCGACGCAAGAGGTGGTCCCAGTGGACGGGGCGTACGGAGTCACGGTCATCAGCTGCGCTGACGAGGGCATCGAGGTGGTCCGCAGCGAGACCGATCCGGATGGATCAAAAAGCCGACACAAGCTCTTCCTCTACACCTCCATCGCGGTCGCGTCGGTATTGTTGTTGATCGGGGCGGTGGTGCTGCGATACTGACGGAGGAGGTGGAGCGTGTCAAGATATACTAGTCCCGGATAATCGCGCTGCTTACGTAGCCGAAATTTAAAATTTTCGGTTGCATGAAGTAGACCTGAGCACGATCCGCGCGCGGGACGACATAGACATGTAGAGACCGTCGCTCGATTGCTACATAGATACTGCGCCGAACATCATACAGCCACTCACCACACGACCGATCACGACCTAGCTGCGTAGTGGCACGGCAAAAAGGACTTGTCGTCCCCTTCGACTGTTCTTTCCTCACGGTCGTGTATCTCGCGGTGTTTATTGTTGTCTCTGCCCCGCATCGATCAATCGAGAATTGTGTGCAGTGGTCATCATGTTGCTAGTAAGTCTCGTTATTTCGTAAGTACTTAGATCTATCAGTATCTATACCACTTCCTACAGTTGAAAACCCTCTGCGTCAGAACATGGAGTCAATTCGCGCGTTTGCGTCCTCTCTCGTTCCGGCCGACGGTGCGCGGTTGCTCCAGCAATCCCCAGCCCCAGCGTCTGCTTCGTCTTCGGATCATGCGGGTGGAGGAAGCGCATCCGCTAGTACCTTTTGGGCCTCAGTTTTCGCCCATGCTATGACGTGCAGCCGAACCCTCTGCGGTACCTGCTATGGACAGGCCTTCGTTCCCTTTCTAGCCGCGGTTTCGGCCTACTGCTTCGGCCGCGTGCCGGAGGGCATAAAGCGGTCCAGCTTCGACGCGAACACCCGACCGGTGATGGAAGCGGGCGTGGCCTGTGTGTTGCTGCAAGAGGAGGAGGAAGACGGCGGGTTTTTCGCTACTCCAGCCTCTCCGAAGAAGCTTCCGATCTGGCTGGCGCTGGACGAACGCTCAACGGGGCACCAGCTTCGACTAGACTCGCTCGAACGCAAAGGGGACCGACCGGTTTTTTCGCGCACGATCGCACTACACTTGTGCACGCAGACCCGCGTGGTGGCGGGCCGCAACGTGTTAGAAATAAAGGTGAAGGAGCAGGGCGGCGGGGAGATATCAGCGTGCTGCGGGGGCGGCGCGTTTGACGAAACTGAGGCGACAGGGCGAGGTCACGGAATGGAACACCAGCCACCTTCGGGCGCTGCTAGTAGCGCCAGCTCTACTACTGCTCCAGCATCGGAGGCTAGCACGGCCGCGAGCTCCTTTACAGCGCAATTGCAGAAGGATGCCAGCCAGATGTTCTCCCGCGCGTCATCGTTTGCGAAATCCGTGCTGAAGGAAACCGCTCCACAAAGAAAATCGCTGACCTCTTTCGTGTTTAAGAACCGAAAAGGAGGCTCTGCGGAGAGCATCGAACTCACGTTCGAGACCTTGCGACTCATCTTCGACAAACCGCAGGAGGCACAGAAATGGGGTGCAATGATCGAGGAGGCAGCGGACGCTTTGTTTCAGCATACTAGTGGTAATGATAGTACAACAACTGTCGGCGCAGCAATCCGCGTTGACGTGCCACAGGATCAAAATAAGCTCCAGCAACAGCTACAGGAACGGCAGCGGGACCGCAACGTTCTGCGTGAGCAAGAGCTGGCGGATCGGAAGGCGCGAAACGAGGAGCGGAAGCGGGTGTTGACCAACAACGGACGGCTGGGAATGCAACACACCGCGCAGGCTATGGCGCAGCGCGCAGTTTAGGAAAAGAGTTGTACGGATCTGTAATATTCCGGTGATGCAATTTTTGTTGGTCGCTCGGCCTTTGTTTGTAGTTCACCTTGTGAATCTGTTGCAGTACTAAAAGCGAGGCGTAGTTCGAACTGGACAAGTGGGGATGATGTACGATGTAGCAGAACCGTTCTAAAAATACCGTGTGCAGCACGATCCAGTTGCGATTTCTGAGAGTCCTATTTTTCGTGTTTGCAAAACATGCCTACGAATTTTACAACTAAAATCTAGTACCAGCATTCCAGCTATATTGTATCGCTGAGAAACGAGAGAAGGGGAAAAGTGCTTAATATGAAGCTCTCGTAGCGGTAGTGCAGGAACAAGAAAGTAAAGGGAAGAAAGTAGCATAGGATCGTTATAGCCTCTACAGAGAAGGGATGCAATAAAGCGGCTTGAGCGAATGGCGCAACCGGGGAGTAGAGCAGGTTCGAGTATGAGGAGTAATTGGGAAATGGGAATCAAAAACTAACACTACTTGTTATGTGAACCCATACACTGCCAAAATTGATACCCAACACTTTCTATTCAAGATAGACCCTGAAGAGGTAGGTGTTGGTGTGAATCGTTGTACTGTCGTCCGATTGAGGAAAAGCCCCGAAAATGGTGACCTACAAGCTGGTCTTCCGGCTGAAATACAGCTTTTACTTTGGGCTTGCCGCATGCCTACTCTTGAAGCAATTCGGCCTGATCGCATGGTCTCCGTCATCGTTGCCAGTTCTGGCGAACTTGAACTGTACTGCGTTACTGTTTTTTAGGATGATAATTTTTGACTACATGTACATACTAGCTATCAATCTTTTGTGCCGTGCGTTTTGCAAAACGAAAATCACCCACTGTCCAGGTACCGACCCGCTCTTCGTCGCCACCAGTATAGTCATGTACGTGGTTGCCGGTTCCGTGCTGGTTGGAGCTGCCCAGTTGGAACCCTATGCACAGAAGAAAATGATGCAATACACTGTATTTAGTGTGTTTTTTTTTATTGAAGTAGCTGTTCTTGCTCTCTGTGCTGCGTTTCAGATCATGCATAAGCGACATAACGAATGCAGGCTTCAATGCTGGTAAGCATAAAGCAAAATTGGCGTTGGTTAGAACAAGATCAAAAAACTGCGAACACAAACTCTCTCAGATGATGACACCGGTTGCAAAGTTGGGTTTGATGATCGCGCAGTACAAGACATGGAACATTGTTATGGTCCTCCCGCTGCTGGACCTCCTCCTGAACAACGTGATGTGCTACACGAAACTCGGCGAACCGGTAGAACCGCTGGACTTTAAGGTTGGACCCAAGACGAAGAAGCTTTGCAGATTGTCCTACGTTTTACTCACACTGTACACGATCGCCGTGGTATTCGTGAAACCGGCACGACCAGGTATAGGTAAATGATGTGATGCAAGCTGTATGAATGTAAACTTCGATTTGATTTTGATGAGCCATGGCGTTTAATATCTCTAAGTTGCCGCCTATGTTTTCTGCATCCGGGGGCATTCTTGTTGAGGTGATTTATTGGCGGATTCTTGCCTAAACCTAACTGTCCAGAAATCTACGGAGCGTCCGCAACGGCCAGCTGTATGGCGTACGCCCAAACACCACTCGTGACAGTCGTCAGCGCACTCATCGTTGCCGCGCAGTGCGACGCCGCCACCGCCCGAAAAACGTTGCAATACGGTATAACATACAAATACTTGTTGTGAAAGTCGTGGCACATGATCAGTGTGTGTATGATTTTTGACCACGTGAGGACTCGGCAAATCCAAATGATCAAGCTGCAGCAACACTACAATGAATTTTTCCATCGAATCTTTGATCACTCCCTGCCCTCACAGTGATGACACTTCCGCTGTTGGTTTTGTTCTACTTGTTTCCGCTCACGGTGGCCACAACGGGGAAGTCCGCCATGATGGGTGGGTTGGCCGACGTCTGCCTTTACTACGTCCTGATGATGCTGTCCATCCTTGTTCTGTACCCCTGCCAGCTGCGCACGGCCGTGCTCCGGGGTCAGTACCTCTTTTACAGCTTCGCCGCAGTGGTGCACGCGTTCTTTCCGGCGGCCGCAACCGTGCTCTTCGGCTACTCCGCTGCTTTCCCGGCGACCGTCAACTCCTTGATGGCGGTTTTTTATCCTGTGCGAAAAAAGTCAAAGTAAGTATCGCGCTCGCACTAGTCGCAACTGCAAGCATGCATGAAAATAATGATCCCCATGATTCCTCAGCGAGATCAGTGCGACAAATGTAGTCAGCTTTCCTTCTAATGAAAAACCATTGGCGATATGATCAGTACTTTATTTCCAAATGCATACCTTCCTCTTCCTCCTCTCCCTCATGTTCATTGCCAGCGTGCTCAGCGATCCGGGCTACTCTCAGTACAAGGTGATCCAGTACTCTCTCTGCGGCGACGTTTTGCTCGTGGCTCTGTTTGCCGCGGGCCACCCGCTCGGCACGCTTTTCCCGTTCGTCGCGGGAAAGTGTGTGGTCGCCAAGGGCCTGGACGTGTACTATGAGAGCTACAAGAACCAGTCGACCCCGAAGTTTTTCGGTCTCTTCGTCGACGTCGCCGGTATTGCGGAAGACGACGACGAAACCTTGGCGGGCGCTGCTGCCGCCCCAGTCTCCGTTGCGACCAGCATGAAGATGAAGGCCGCGAGCATGAAAAAAATGGCCATGAGCATGAAGAAGAAGGCGTAAGGTGGGGGGAGAAGTTTGGTTTGTGACGACCTCTTTTGGAATTATGTTCGTTCATGCGTGGTTGTTTCCGCGGCGTCGAATTATCTTTACAATACATGGCACCACCCAATGGATCGCCTTGTGCTATTGGGTGACCAAAAATGGTGACGAAAAATAAAGAAAACAGTACAGTAACAGAGAAATTGCAAGAGAACAACCCGAGAAAGAAATACAAAGAGAAAAGTCGCAACTAGTGGGTATCAAGAACAACAACAATATGCATCGCAACACTGACATTACATTGTCTTGTATTAGACAGAACAGCTTGATTTTAGAAGAACGCTTTTGTAGCAGCAGGGGCTACGAAGAAAAGGAACGCACATTTAGGTACGAGTCGTCTCATCTCGAAATATGACGAAATGCGCTTCACAACATGTACAAACTTTTTTTTCCAAAATGTCCACTACACCCCATGGCGGTCAAGAAAGGAAAAATGTACGGGAGACAACGCCGATCGGGACGCGACTTGGCAGTCGTGAATACACGTCAATTCCAAGCGATTCTTGTGGTGCGTGTTCGGTCGACGATCAGTTCTTGTTTGCACAATTGTGCTCTAGTCAATAACGATCAAAAGAGTTCGATTGTATCAAAAATCAAGAACGAGTTGGTTGCTGCAGATCGAATTGCGTGCTGTCCTTATCGCAAGTAAAAGCTCCTATGGCCGCGAAGAAGATTCTCTTCTTGGACACCGAGCCGTGGCTGTTTGAAGCCTATTTCGAGAAGAATGAGGCATTGAACGACGAGAATGGAAAGCCGCGGTTCGAAGCTGATGTTCGAGAGGGGACCGCGAGCGTTTGCGACGCTCACCTTCAGCAGTATGCGGCAATTGTCACGACGGATGGTTATCTAGCTGCGCCATTGGGGCTGGAGGAGAACTACACATGCGACGATTTACCCAACGCGAAGCGCTTCTTGTCACGGCTTGCCGCCTACGCGGAAGCTGGAGGTTTGGTTGTGATCTTTGCGTCCGAAGGCGTCTTTGAAGTGCCCCGACTGCTTGGACCGCATTTCGGCACCGAGTGGGTTTTCGCAGCGTATTCGGCAGAAAAGTTCGCGCTGACCGAAGCTGGCGAGCGGATGTTTAGCGGCCGGGTTCTGCAAGAGGCCACGCCCTGCTATCATGAGAAGCACAATATGCTAAGTACCCCGGAGGGCGAAGGCATGTTCCACATCAAACACTTCGAAAAGGATTTTGATGTCGAATTTGAACGGGAGGAAGACCCAAACTGGACGTTGCCGCGACCGACGAAGCGCACTCCGGTTGCGGTTCACCGCTGCGGCAACAATCTGGGTGCCATCGCGTATTTCAGTTGTTCCAACTGGGACACAGTCTTGTTTGGCATGTTTGCGGAGTTATGCACTCGGAAGGCACTGATGTAGGTTCAGCTTCAGGGGGAACCATAGAAATTCTTTTGTTTAGTATCACGCTTAGGCGTGAAGAATGTGCGGAAAGCGCAGAGAATCTTGTTGCCGAGTTTCGGGCTCGGGTATGGGAAAACAATGAAACTGAGAGTGCCAGATTTGCAATTGGTGCGTGTTTTCTTTTCTCGGGACGTTAGCGTGTTCTTCAGGTCTTGTTGAGAAGCTTGCTGGCCACGAGAAGGCGGGGAGCGGCGCTGCTATGACAAGTGAAACTGAAATAGAGTGTGAGTGAGAGGAATATGTTCAATTAGGAGGACAAGCAGAGGTGCTGATAGGACAGTTGAGATACCCAAAAGAAGTAGATGTGCGCATCTATATTTGCTGCTGTTCCCGAAACACCGAGCCCTAGCAAAAGTCCGTAACTACGCTTGGGACCGCACCGGGTCGCGATAGACCTTGACCAAGATGGGCCTTTCGTTAAAGGCGGTGGCACGCGTGCACTATGTGGCGCTGTTTGCCTTCGCCGCCGTGGGGTTTTTCTACGCTTCCTGGATGCAGAAGAATCTGGGCTACCTCTTCGGAATGGACCTGCAGGTGCCGCTGACAAGCATCGCACTGAAGGCCAACACCTTGCTGCTGTGCAGTTTTGGGGCGCTTTTCGCCGCGGTGGCACAGTTTAAGGAGGAAGAGTCGCAGAAGAAAGTTCTGCAGTATTCCATGGCGGGCGAGTTAGTTGCGGTAATTGCTTGTTTTGTGGTTTCTTTTCAAGTGAATCATGAAGTTGCGCAACTTCGCCTTTCTTGCAAATAAACGAAGCCTGAGTTTAACAATTTTCCCACAACTTGTCACACAGCTCGGCGTGCTTGCGTACAAGGGGTACGGATTTCTGCCGACCCAGGCTTTGCAGATTTGGGTGGCGGTGTTGCTCGTTTCCGTTGTGTTCACCTCCTGGTCCGTGTACAAGGAGCACAAGTACGTGGGCAAGCCGACGGACCTGGAGAAGAATGAGACCATCAGGTCAGCACTCCGCTGGGAGTACTCGCAGGCCGCCATCTGGGGTCTGATGTTCCTGACCTGCCCGTGGGTCACGCAGGACAGCTTCCTGCCCGGCATCCCGAAGGGGAAAGGAATAGACCTTTACATGCTGCTCCGCGGCGCTTTGCTCATCGGAAAAGCAACTCTCATGGCCGGGGCCGCGCAGTGCGACGGTGGAGCGCAAAAACTCACGGCTCAGTACGGTATTGACGGAGCGACGACATGTCTCTATTTTCTTTTTCGCTGATTTGGTATTTCTATTTCATTTCTTAGGCGACCCGAAAATCGAAAATCTTCGTCCTATAATGTCGTATGGTCGTATTCATTTTTTCAATTATACACATCAGCTCTTTTGGCGCGTCTGGTGGACTGGTTTTACTTCAGCGCGCTCCTGGCACCGGTGATCGCGGGAAGCAGTGCTTCCGGGATGTCTAAGCTGTACATGTACATCGCCTACGAAGCAGTGAACTCCCTTTACTTAACGCACGCTTGCTACCCGGCCAACACGCGCAAGTGGCTCTTCCGCCTCTCCTACTTCGCCTTCGCATACCTTGTATCAAGCGTAAAAATGTCTGAGTCTGGAAGAATCCGAACTTGTGATGCTGCATTTGGATTCTAAAAAAATTTGTATTGCATGACCAGCAAAGGGAATGCAATTTTGGCTACGCGGCGAGGGCATTTGTCATGCGGAATACGTATCACGAAGCCCTCAAAAAGTCTGTGATGCTAGGGCATGCATCACAAACATCGTGGCCCATGCAAAACGCGCATGACAAGTTTCAGAATCTTCCAGACCCAGACATTTTTACATTTGATACCTCGCCTACTTGCTGCTCGTCTTCCCGAAACTGGCCGTATCAAGGGACAACTTGGATTTTTCGCCTTTTTCTGTTGCGTGCTCCGATGCGGGATATTGTTGCAGAATTTTTCTTCGATTCAGAAATAAGTAGAGTAGGCACGAAAGAACTTCGAAGTAAACCTCTGTCGCTGTGCAGGATATTAGAAGAAAACTACTTACCCCGCCCTCAGGTTCCGGTGTTCCAGCTCCCCGAGCTGAGCAACGCGTACCACCTGGTAGGCGTCTTTGCTGCGTTGACCGCGTTGATGTTTGCGGCCGTTTGCCAGCTCGACCACGACAGCCAAACTGCGTTTCTGGGCTACTCTTCCCTGGCCTACGTCACAGTGCTCGCCCTGGCACAATACGGGTGAATTCAAGAATTTTTGTTTGTCATGATGATGCATGCCGGCATGCCTTGGACAACGGCGTTGACGAGGACATAAAGAAACGTTTGACGAGTAACCTTGCATCGTTGATGTGCATACATCAAGAAAGTACAACTAAGTAGTGCATTAAATTTTCTATACTCTTCACTTCCAGGTTTGCCTTCGGCTACGTGGTCCACGTGTGCTTGGGGCTGTTCTGCGCCAGTTCGTTGAATTTATACGTGGAGAAGTACCCGGGACACCAGGCCAAGTTGCTGGCGCTGATCACCCCGAAGGGAGCGGTAGTAGCGGCACCACCGAAGAAGTCGGCCCGTGGCCGCAGCAAAACCCCGGCAAGGAAAAAGTAAGGTGCGACGTCGGGTGGCTCGTGACTACGTTCTTCTTTTATTGCCGTGTGTAGTAGAAGTGGGTGATGTATTTCATAGTTTATTTTCATCGTCTCCGGGGTGATAATAATTCTGAGGGATAGAAAAGCCTCGGGTCTGATGTGTATCCGCAGGAAGGAAGGGGGCAAGAATAGAAAGCATTTTTTTCATTCGTAATTTGTACCTTCAAAGAGGAAAGCAGCAAACAACAACCGCATCTTTTACAGTAGAAATCCAAACAGATAAATTGGTGAGTGATTGATTGTAAACAAGGAAGGAGCCAAAGTGCTTTAAACAATAACCAGTGTCGTAAACCTCCCATAGAGCTGAACAGATTATCGAGAACGACGAGGCGAGCTTTACATTATGGATGTGGCCCGCCACTGGAGGGGCGGAGGTGGACAAACTTTTTTTACAAAGTCATCCGTGACAAGAAGTGGTGGCGAGGAACCCCGAAGGAGTCATCGGGCATTCACACTATGATGCACCGCGACGCTTACCAGTGTCGCGTTTGTTGCAGCGTTCGTTGCAGCAGTAGATAGTTTTCCACCTGATTTTCATCGAGGTTCATCTGAAGCTTGTGAAGGCCGTCGGTGATCGTAACAATTTCCTGTCTTTCGTGGCGCTTTGGCTTTGGATCAGCGTAGGGTCTAGCATCCCGTTTTTGGTCACTGTGATCGTAGCGTGCCTTATTGTGTCATGTCAACTCTAAGTACGGCGGGAAACAAATAATCCCCGTGCGTTGTCTGGTTTCCGTTTGGTTTTTGCTCGAGCACACAAGACGCACTTTCGTTTTTCACCCGGCCTTGTGCAACATGTCTGCCGCCGCGACCGACGTCGACTATGACGGATACGTCGCAGCTCTGCGTGCGGAGGGCGGGTCCTCCATGGACGACCTGCGGCGTGCGTTTCGGAAGTTGGCGCTACAGGCGCACCCGGACAAGCCCGGGGGGTCCGCCGACCGTTTCAGGGCGTTGGTGCGTGCGGCGGAGCGGGTAGAGGCCGAACTCAATGGCGATGTCGAACTCAATGGAGCCGGTGCGCCGGCAACCGCTCCTTCCAGAGCATCTTCAGGTGCTGCATCATCATTCGGGGCCGCAGCAGGTCGTCCCCCGGCCGCAGGATCTTCCGGCCCTAAACGCCGGAAGGAGGACTGGGTCAATCTGGGATCGGAAAAGTGGGTTGGCGGCGGGAGGACGAGTACGGCCTCCTCTAGCGCGGCTTTGCGAGTAAACCGTGGGTCTCGGTTTGAGAGTGCGACGGACGAAAATTCGGAAGAGGAAATTGTGGACGCCCGATTTGTGGATCTCCGCTTTGCGGATCTGAAATTCACCGACGGCGGGGAATCGCGGCAAAAACCACGGTCGGAGCGGTGGACGGTCAGGGGATCGACAACATCTTCCGGGAATAATCTTCCCGGCGCTGGAGGCAGAGATAGCAAAAACGTTGGTGACTCGGATATTGTAGGTACACGAAATAAAACCGGAAGCACCAGCAGTGCAAAAATACCGCTGACATCTTCGAAAAATCCTGGCGTTGAGCAGGAGCCTAAACCAGACGAGAGGCCGAAGAGCCGGTTTCTGAAAAAAGCCAGCTGTGCCGCCTGCAGCATCATCTGAATGAAGTGCAAATAGGCCACTAATTATGCCTGCTCCAGTGGCTATGAAAGCAATGTGTTCGAAGCAGCGATGGATAATATGTCGAGAAAGTAGAGCATACGAACTTCATCGAATAGGATGTTGGGTAGATAATTAGCACGCTTTCAAATCCTACAAGCCTTATTCTTTTCAGATCCCCTCATTACTTTGTCCCTTCCCCAATACATAGACGAGATCACGTTCGAATTACTTTTTCGCTCATCACTTTTTCGTGCTTCTTGTTTCGGCACAACAAAGCGCTCTCGACTGTGGTAGCAGCGAAGAAAAACACGTTTATTTCCCTGCCTGCAAGGGATCACGGCAAGTGTCCACCCCGTGCGTCAGCCTACTTACACATAAAGTGAAGACATCACCAGGTCGCGGCTTTCAGCGTAGTTCATTTTTGCTTAGCGGCACAAGGAATTGTCTTTCTGATTTGCTTATCTTCTCTCCAAGAATGCAGCGGCTCTGCATAACTGGTGCTCGATTTGTCCGGCCTCGGCCGGAGAAAATAGTTGCGATGGGTGGAAAACCAGCAGTGACCATGAGAAGTGCATCGTCCAGCACACCAAGGAATCGAGCTCTTTGTCGCCGGTTTGCGTCTACAACTACCGCAGCCCCTGCCACTAGCGAGACGGCCGGACACGACATGGCGGGCTCTCAGCAAAGCAGAAGCTCCACCTCCAGCAGCTCGACCTCCCAGCACCGCCCCCGTCCGAAGATTCGCAAGGGTCACGTAAAGCCGCCCCTTCCAGTTCCGGACACCATCGTGCGCCCCTTCTACGCCACGAATGCCGCGCAGGGCTACGCACCACAACCTTTATCTGGCGCGCAGTTGTTCGGCGAGCGGAAAACGGCGGACGAGGTTCGACGAATGCGCGTGGCGGCGGAGGTGGCCAGCAGCGCCCTGGTGGCGCTGCGGGAGCACCTGCACTCGCCGGAAATGCTAGAGCTGGCGCGGGACGGCAAGCTTACCACTTCGCGGATCGACGAATTTGTGCAGAGCCATTTGATGGCGCGGTCCGCCTACCCGGTGGGGATTCGGTTCCACGGGTTTCCGCGGGGCTGCTGCACCAGCGTCAACGAGGTGGTGGTGCACGGCGTGCCCGACGACGAGCCGCTGCAGCTCGGCGACATCGTGAACGTGGACGTGTCCTGCTTCGTCGACGGCATGTACGGGGACACCAGCAAAATGTTCGCGGTTGGCGGCCCGTCGCGCGCCAGCCCCGAAGCGCGGGCGCTGTGCCGCGCGACCCGAGACGCCTTGTATCGCGCGGTTGAGGCTTGCAAGCCGGGGGTTCGCGTGGACGTGATTGGGAAAGTGATCACCGAGGTGGCAAAAGCGAAGAAGTACGGCGTAGTCCGGGAGTTTACCGGGCACTTCATTGGAAAGGAACTGCACATGCCACCCTTCGTGTTGCACGTCCCCAATGACCAAACCTTAACCCTGCAGCCAGGTATGACTTTCACCATCGAGCCGATCCTCACCGCGGGCGGCTCCGGCGACATCGAGGGTCCGTGGGAGGATGGGTGGACGTTTGTGACGAAGGACGGCAGTTTGTCCGCGCAGATGGAACACACCGCGTTGATCACGGAAACCGGGCATGAAATCCTGACAGAATCAGCACTGGACACCGATCCGGCGTTTGTAGATTCTGGTGGACTGTTCTGAATAGGCGACAAATTGTCGCGACGGAATGTTGCGGATCGATTGCACTGCAGAATCGTGGCAGACATGATTGTCAGAAAAGACATAAGCTTTATGAATATAGTCGGAGTATTTTTCCACCGAAAAGGACAAGAAATCAATGAAGCAGCGACTTTTTTTTATCCGACCCAGATTCCTGGGTCGGAGCAACTGCGGCGACGGCGTTCGAGCGAAGCATGTTCGGTCTAAACGACTTGCGTCTAAAAATAATCCGCGTTTTTTTGAACGAGAAGTTCTTTCTGTGAACAAACTTACTACGGATCGAATACGAGAGACGCGACTAGCAATAGAGCTAGCGCATGCGCCCGTCAACTACATCATGATGCGAAGATCAGTAAAGTCCTTTCTCAATAGCCATTTTAGTCCAACAAGGGACCACCAGGGCTGCGCGGCCGTAGAATGTCTTTTGGGCGCACATCTAGAAGCTCTCTGACGACCCAGAACATGGCAGCGACACGAGCAAGCGGTCCGTACGACAATGCGGACCGACAGAAGCGGTGCGTTGGCTTGCGCACCTGTGCCCTGTTGCTCGGCCACCTACCTATTCTCCTCATGATCACCATTTTGCCGTTTTACGCGATCCGAGCGGGCGACGTGCGGCTCCCGGACATACTACTCTCCGACCTGATGGCCCTGCCACCTTCCCGATCCAGTTTCCCCTACCAACCCTTGTTTCTGATCGGCTACTGCCTGTTTGCCGACTTGGCGCTCTGGTGCTTCACGCAATACGCGCAGTGGATTTGCCGGTCCCACCCCGTCGCGAAAGCAGCGACCGGCGTTATAACCACGATTTGCGTTTTTGGCATCAACCTGAACCTGTACCTGCTCCTCGCCTTCAATTTCGAGGAGAGCAGCGGCCAAGCGGAGGAGGAAGCCGCCAACTGGAGTTTAGGCACGCTATTTTCGGACGCGCCGCGTCACGTCTTCATCTCGTGGTTCATCCACGTGGGCGCCGCCACGCTGCTCTTCGGGAGCATTGGCGCCTGCACCTTGTTGAGTGTGTACATTCTGGAACCGATTGCCGCGAGCGGTGCGCTCGAACCCGTGGTGGACATCCGGCGCCGGTGGTTTTTCAGCCGGGCTTCGTGTTACAGCATCCCGGTGGCGCTCGTCATTCGCCTGGCCCATCTCTTCTCCGACCGTTTCTTCTGGGCCTACCCGCTGCTCTTCGCGGAAATCTGGATGCTGGCCTGCGCGGCGGGGGTGATGCTGTTCGGACTCTTGGAGACGATGATGATGCTCGACTACCAGGAGCCGCTGGTGGACTGCGAGATGTGGCAGACGACCGCAAAAGCCCTCTTTGGAGCGTCGCGGAAAGACTTCCTGGCCATTTTGACGGCGAAGTCGCCAACATCGCGAACAAGCACCAGTAAGACGGCAAATAAGACTAGAAGTAGGAGTCGCAGCATCGTGAACGCGAATAATACCTCGGCTTCCTCAAAAGTCGACTAGACCAGCACATATCCGCCCTTCTTGAAGATTGTTTACAGAAGGAGGCGAGGAATACAGTTGAAATTCAAATTTTTCAAGTATTGTGAATAAGTACAGTGTTGACGCGATGAAGTCATTTCTTTCAGGCCTACCTGTGAATTGTCGCTTCTGCATCTGAGATGTGCGACGAAGGCCCTCATGCAGCGCCTAAGTGAGGCTAATAGGGCACTTTTTTGTGCCGACCTAGCGTCCAGAAACGATTTGTGAACAAAGACGAGGATCCGCAATGCGTTTGCAAAGCAGTTTTTTTTTGCGATCGAACCGCGAAGTCTGGATGATGATTGAACGAAGATCTCATATCTATCTCGGTGCGATAGCTGCTTGCCGCCGCAAGGAAACCAAAAGCTGTTAGGCCCAGCAGGCGATGGAAATATAATATGATTATCCGTGGTAGTGTGCGAGATATAGATTTGATACGGTTGCGACCTGGAGGCAGTATGATGTAGCGTGCTAGCACTCGCGCCTCTTTGAACAAGATCCACATGCACATAGCTTTAATCATTCTCGCTTCTCGCTAGACTGTATCAGGCGACACACCGAAGTAGACGTTTTGTGAAAAATCAATGAGAGCGAGGTAACAAACCCAAACGAGAACTTCGCGGTTGAGTTCTCATCCGGCCGGCCGGCCGGATGAGAACTCAACCACATCAGCGGCGGAAATCGACCGGCTGGTCGTCCTGGTCAATTGGCCCGCCATTCGCTCGGGCGAAAGGGGGGGGGGCGGCCTGCGGGAGACCGACGCCTCCCTCACTCCACTTTCGCCGGGGGCCGTGTGCAACACAAAAACGCTACGCGCGCCTGCTGTGAATACAGAGAAGCTACGCTATGCAGCGGGGCAGAAGTTGGAAAATTTTAAAGGTGGCGCATTGTGCGCGCCCGCCGCGGGCGCGCTTTCATAGTTGGACTGCGCTATGCCTTTTGGCTTCTGGGTGGAATTCGAAAGAATTGAATGCAAAAACATTCGCGGGGCTCGCAAACGCAATAGGCAAAATTTCGCGGGGCGCGCAACGCGCGCCCGCTATACGTTGCAATCGCCGGCCCAGAAAGCGCGTCCGCGCGCCTCTCCGCTGGCTCATGCTTGCTTCGGCGCAACAGTTGGCAGATGCGCCGGATCCGGGTCGGACGCGCTTCGCGCGTCCACCGACTTGCGTGATGGGAGGCGGGGCCTCGCTCGGCGCGCCGGGCAACCAATCTCCGACGCGCCGCGCGCGCTGCCCTTTGTTTCTGCCGGCGCCCGAATCCTGCGGCGCGTCGGGCTCCAAAGCTGCCCCCACCCGATAGCAGGGACAATGCAAATGGCCTGGGCCGCGCTTATGTGTGCCTCCGCCGGGCTACTGGCGCCCTAGCAATCTTTATCGTTTCCCACACGCGAAGGCGGCGCAGCAGGATGGCCCGCGCGCGCAAGTTGTACGCTGTTGCTTTGCTTCCTGGTGGGGTTCGTCGGCGCCCGGCCGCAGCCGGCATGGTCACTCAGCCAGCGCTGCGCGCCCGCGTTGGGCTGTGCCCCCATCCTCTGGGCCCCCAGGCTTATCGTCTTTTCCGGCGACTCGCAGTAGAAGTAGCAAACAACGCAGCTTCTGCTTCTTGGCTTTAGGCACTTGCCGCAGCTTTTGCATGACAAAGCTCGGGCTTTTTGCGTAGAAGTGAAACTGCGCAGCTGGGGGGTGACAATCAAGAAGAAGAGTGAGGCCGTCGACCAGGAGGGAAGAAGGGGACCCGGACGACCGGCCGGCCGATTTCAATCCGCCACAGATGTGGTTGAGTTCTCATCCGGCCGGCCGGCCGGATGAGAACTCAACCGCGAAGTTCTCGTTTGGGTTTGTTACCTCGCTCTAGACCAATTTTTGTAGTGGAAGCAGTTCTTGATGTGTAGACATACTTACTCTGAAGAAGAAGACATATTAACCATATTAGCCACATCCCTGTTTCTCGTGTAAACTTCTTCTGCTGGAAAGATTCCAAATAGCTCCCGTATGACCGTCGGCACCAGTAGTAGCAGCATGAAGAGCGCAATGAAGAAGCAGCCCATGGCCAAGGGGGCCTTTGTCCCCGAGTCCATGGAGGTCGCGGACGTGCTTAACTATTTCGAAACGGACCTGGATCAGGGGCTAAACTCTGAGCAGGTGGAGGAACTCCGGGCGAAGTACGGCCCGAACGAACTGGCCGCGGAGTATCAAATGTAAAAATGTCTGGGTCAGGAAGAATGCAACTTGTGATGCTGAATTTGGATTCCAAAAAAATCTGTATTGCATGAGCAGCAAAGGGAATGCAATTTTTGCTACGCGGAGAGGGCATTTGTCATGCGGAATAGGCATCGCGAAGCCCTCAAAAAAGCTGTGATGCTAGGGCATGCATCACAGACATCATGGCCAATGCAAAACATGCATGACAAGTCTCAGAATCTTCCAGACCCAGACATTTTTACACTTGATACGGAGGAGGGCAAGAGCATTTTTGAGCTGATCAAGGAGCAGTTCGAGGACCAACTCGTAAAAATCTTGCTTGGGGCCGCAGCCGTGTCCTTCCTCTTGGCCTTCTTCGACGAAAGCAGTGCGGAGGAGGGCTTCGCCGCCTACGTGGAGCCACTGGTATAGAATTTCGATCGTTAAGTACCTTGGAGTAGCTTTCGCGTCGTGTTCTGCAAAAATAAACGCAGTTTATTAACCTGTGCCACTAGAACTAGTTGCATCTGTAAAGAAGTCCCGCCTGCTTGCTCCGCTCGGATATGAAAAGTGCAGCAGGAGACAACTGTTGAGATGAAAAAGGTAGTAAATAGGATACGATCCGTTCTTCATCGCAGGTAATTTTGCTGATTTTGATCGCGAACGCGTTCGTGGGCGTGTACCAGGAAAAGAAGGCCGACAACGCGCTGGAGGCACTGAAGAAGTTGCAACCGGAAACCGCGTTGGCGCTGCGCGAGGGGGGATGGGTGAAACTGGAGGCGGCCGAGCTGGTGCCCGGGGACATTGTGGAACTGCGCACCGGCGACCGCGTACCCGCGGACATGCGCGTCGCGCAACTGAAGACCACCACGCTGCGCATCGAGCAGTCCTCGCTCACCGGGGAGTCACAAAGTGTTGTCAAGGACACCGATGCCGTCGCCGCTTCAGATTTGCAAGGTATTAACTTTTAGCGATTTTGACAAATTTCACTAGCTACTTCCTTGCTGTTTTCGCGCTGCTGCGCATGGTTTTTGATACCCTGTCGGGTGCATGGTTTTCGCTACACTGTGTGGTGCAATGGCACGTTACAAAAAATTCAAAAGTGAAGTAATAATCTAATGCGGGAATAAGTAAAAAACCCGAAACTTTTATCAGGCAAGCACTGCATTGTGTTCTCTTCCACGGCGGTGTCCCTTGGAAGCTGCCTCTGCGTGGTCGTGGCTACGGGCATGAGCACGGAGATAGGGAAGGTGCAGAGTGCCGTAAAGGAAGCGGCCGAAGACGAGGAGAAAACGCCCCTGCAGCAGAAGTTGGACGACTTCGGCGACATGCTGGCGAAGGTGATTTTCGCGATCTGCGCGGTCGTGTGGCTGATCAACTACAACCACTTCTTCGACCCCGTCCACGGCAGTTTCCTGCGCGGGTGCATCTACTACTTCAAAATCGCGGTTGCCCTCGCGGTCGCCGCCATCCCGGAGGGGCTTCCGGCGGTCATCACCACCTGCTTGGCTATGGGAACGCAGAAAATGGCGAGGCGTATAGATATTTTGCAGCAAAGTAGTTTCATGACGACTTCTGATAAGGTCTTCTCTGTACCGGATTTCCAAGTGGATACACAAGCTCTGGGTGGCGTTTCTTGGATTGTTCGAAAGAGATGAAAATTTAAATTATGCTTCCGAAAATAAAACAGGGAACTGCATCGTGCGGAAGCTTCCGTCGGTCGAGACGCTCGGGTGCACCACCGTAATTTGCAGCGACAAGACCGGAACCCTGACGACAAACGAGATGGTAGCCATCAAGCTCGCGATGCCGGTGAGCCGAACCGAGGTGGCTGAGTTCGACGTGGAGGGGCACAGCTACGCACCCATGGGTGTCGTAAACGGCTTCCAGATGTCGGCCTCCGGAGACTCATTCGCCAAGTGCGCCACGCTCTGCAACGAATCCCGCATCGAACTCGGCCCGGACGGCCGATACCTCAGAACGGGCGAGCCAACGGAGGCTGCCATCCGGGTATAGTTCGTTTTCAACAATTTGATGAACAGTTTCAGCGCTGCGATAATCCTAGTGCCGTGGACAATTTTCCTCGCGTGTTTGTTCTTTAAACAGCCTCCAATCAATCTATCAAATTTAAACTAGGTGTTAGCGGAGAAGATGGGGTGCAAGGACTCACGGTTGCACAACAAGCTGTACCAGAAGAACCGAGCGCCCAACGACGCGCAGGGCTTCTCAGATTACTACGCCGCGGGCTTTCAAAAGCTGGCCACCCTGGAGTTCGCCCGCGACCGAAAAAGCATGAGCGTGTTGGGGAAATCAAAGGTATTCAAACTGCTTGCAGCTTGTACAGAACCTTCGTTGAGAAACCAAATTCAGTGCCTCTTTGATAAGAACGGTCGCTGCAAGTAAAATACAAACGAAACGAACTCGTAGACTGTGCCCGCCCGACTGTTTTTACCGGTAGTAAGTACCTACCACATCGCGGATTGAATTTCCTTTCCTCATTACAGGACACCGCCGGGAACGTGTTGTACGTGAAAGGTGCCCCGGAGAGCATACTGGAACGGTGTGAGACCTTCATGCTTCCGGACGGGAGCGTGGCCCCGTTGAGCGCGGGCATGAAGAAGAGCCTGCAGAACACGGTGGAGGGCATGGCGTCCCAGGCCCTGCGCACACTCGCGCTGGCGGAGAAGAAGTCGCTGCCGACCCCCCTGAGCAGTTACGACGGCAAGCCCGGGCACCCGGCCCACAAACTCATCGCGCCGGAGAGCTTCCGGCAAATCGAGAGCAACCTGTGCTTCCTCGGCCTGGTGGGGATACACGACCCGCCGCGGCCCGAGTGTCGGCAGGCCATCGAGGAGTGCAGACAAGCGGGGATCAGCGTTATCATGATCACTATCAAATGTAAAAATGTCTGGGTCTGGAAAAGTGCCAGGCTTGTCAACATGCTCTGCTAGCATGACTGTTAAGTCTGTCATGCAAGACACTCAAAAGCGCCACTTTTGTGTCATGCAAAAACCCACTTTCTCATGCAGAATAGGCAACACCAAGCGACTCAAAAACCTGTCATGCTGAGCCGTCATTTCTGGCGTTCTCTTGATTCGCCAACCAGCATCACAAGTTTCCAGACCCAGACATTTTTACATTTGATAATCACCGGGGACAACCAGCTGACCGCACAGGCCATCGCCACGAATTTAGGCATCCTCAACGAACACGACAGATTTATCCTGAGTAAAAACGTCCCCACACCAGAGTCAGGATGGGGATTTTGCAACACAAACCTAGGAGTTTTGGGAGTCACGCATGACAAATTGCACTCCGCAGTGTAGTGCTGGTTAGCAAGTGCAGCCGCATCACAGATTCGTCTGCTCATCCTGTTCACAGCATCGCAAATTCCAAAACACGACTGGAAATGGCTCTCATGGGGATGCGCATTACAAGTCTTCCCGTCTTTGCAAATCTGCATTACAACTCTGGTGTGGGTACGTTTTTACTCAGGATAAGATTGGGGGAGAAGAGCTTCACGGGCGCGCAGTTCGGCGCCCTCACGGAGTCGGATAAGCTCCGGGTATATAAAATCTATTTGATTTTATTTTAATATCAGGTGTTGGAATTTCATATGGTCGCCCGGTGCTGACGGGTGAATAAAATCAAAATTCTATATGATTGTTGCTGTATCTTCTTCATGAAATAAATCCCCTCGCCCATACAGGTCCTTGCGAACATGATTTCTGGGCCCAACGGGGGCGGTGTCTTCTCCCGTACGGAGCCGAAGGACAAACAGGCGATCGTGAAGATTTTGTCCCAGCTCGGCGAAATCACGGCCATGACAGGAGACGGCGTCAACGACGCGCCGGCTCTGAAGCAGGCCTCCATCGGGGTGGCCATGGGAATCGCGGGCACGGAAGTCGCCAAAGAAGCCAGTGACATGGTGTTGGCAGATATCACAAGAAAAAAGTGTTACAGGTACGCATTTGTTGGAGTTTCTGCATCACAAATTCTCTCTGTGTGGCAGGCAAAGCTTGTAATGCAAAGATCATAAGGGAAAATACGTAGGAAACGAGGCTCGCAAACTTTTCGGCATGACAAAGGTTGTCTGTCTTGCGGCTCCTGCAACACAATGTGTAGCTGTAACACTTCTTTCTTCGCATAGCACACGACAACTTCAGCACCATCGTCCACGCCGTCGAGGAGGGACGATCGATTTACAACAACATGAAGGCGTTTATCCGGTATAAGTAGTTGTTTTTTTTTCTGTCATTACGCAGCGATAGTAAACTTGATCCATGACCATGACTCCGTGAAGGAACTACAAATTAGTAGTGTTCGACGAGTAGTTCCTGAGGCGCCAATCGCGCCTGCTTGTCGTGGATTTGAGACAAATAATTTCAGTCCCCGCGTGTTTTGCATTTCAATTTTCCTCCCTCCATCCACCCAGGTACCTGATTTCGTCCAACATTGGTGAAGTGGCGTCTATCTTTTTCACGGCCGCGCTGGGCATTCCGGAGGGGCTGATCCCGGTGCAGCTCCTGTGGGTCAACCTCGTCACCGACGGGCCACCCGCCACCGCGCTCGGCTTCAATCCGCCGGACGTGAATGCGATGAAGAAGCCTCCGCGGCGAAAGGACGACATGCTGATCTCTGGTTGGGTCTTTTTCCGTTACATGGTGATCGGGATCTACGTCGGGTTTGCCACCGTCGGTATCTTCATCTATTGGTACTGCATGGACAACAAAGCGCCGGATCAACACACGCTGGTCTCGCTCGAGCAGCTCATGAACTGGGGAAAATGCAACAGCGGCGAGGGCATCTGGTCCGGCTTCTCCGTGAAACCGCTGCCCGGCATGGATCTGTCCACAGGTACTAGCTATATCTGAATCTTTGTTTGGAAAAGGGTCTCATTATTCGGATTTGCTGTTGCTTTCTCCATTCGTACGGGGTCATGCGAAGATCGAACTGTCTTTGCACTCTTTATTTCCGTGGTTACTCTCATCTTAGTCTCACAACCATCCGGATCAAAACTTTTCATTTCGGAATCACTTTTGGATTTGGACCGATCCACCCTGAACTACAAAACAGAACCCTGCGAATACTTCCGGAAGGGAAAATTGAAGGCGTCCACGCTGTCGCTGTCCGTGCTGGTGGTCATCGAAATGCTGAACGCGCTGAATGCCCTCTCCGAGGACGGTTCCCTGCTCCAGATGCCGCCGTGGAAGAACCCGATGCTGATCCTGGCTATCATCGGCGCCACGGGCATTCACATGATCATCTTGTACATCACCGCACTCAACCCCGTCTTCTCCGTGGTCCCGCTGGACCAGCACGATTGGTTCCTGGTACTGGCGTTCTCCTTCCCGGTCATTCTCATCGACGAAATTCTGAAGTTCTTCGGTCGCATGACCACAGCCGTGGACCGCCGCGCGCGCACGATCAAGGCCGACTAAACTACGGAGCGGATTGTTTATATGCAAGATAGAAGATGAGTAACGAGAACGAGAAACGCGAAACAACGGAGACAGAAGAAACCTGAACCGTGTATGTGATCCTGTAGCTAATGAACGATAGCGGACCACAACATCACCACTCCCGGTGTTGTAGTGTATACGATGTTGAGAATGAATACTTCGACAAAAAATGAAACAAGTTTGCAGTTCTTTGTTCGTAGCCCGGCGACCTCGGTGAGCCGTTGCCGAGGGTTTTAGAAAAAAGCGTTTTGCGTAGTACCCCAGCATACTTAGTCCGGGACGGCTCTTCGTGTAGTAAAACCCCACGAGCGATAAAAACAGATTGACGCCCCTTGTTCACGAATTTGAAGTAGAGCCCTGTCATGTACGAAGAGATTTGCCGCCTCCCTGCACACTGTGGCCGCCGGTCCCTGCATGCTTTTTCACGACAGACTGGAACATCAAATAGCGACATTTCATCGACGTTTCGGGAAGACGGAGAAAGACCGGCGTCATGCTGGTCTTTTCTTCTCGGACCTATTCTCTTAAAAACACGACAAACTTGCAGCGACCTCATTTCAGCGTCGCGTAGTTTTGCGTCTTCACAACGCGAATCAAAAACCAAAAAACTGACATGTGAAAGAAGAGACATTGTTGCTTTTTAGCATACAGCTGGGTACAGCGATGGGAAAGTGAACTCATGGCTGCGATTGCGTGTCAAGTACACGTCGCGTTGCGCGCTGACAGTGCATCTGTTTCTTCCTGGTTCATTGGCCTCGGTTTCCAGGTACTGCATTCCTCGTGTGGTCTGACGAATCCTGTGAGTCGTGGCGAATCTATTTCCATTTGACATCTAGTCGTGATGCGGCTGCACCAAACGGTTGTTGAATAATGAGGATCCTGTTTGGTGCAGGAAGTTCGGTCTGATGAATCCAAGGGAATAAAAAAGTTTTGCTACTATATGATCGGAAGCTCTCTCCCTTAGTCGGACAGTTTCCAGCATGCACACGCATTCTTACATACTCTCTTCTACAGTCAAATTTCTTTCCTAAGCTGCTGTATACGCTGTAAGGACAAGCACACCCATTTGTTTTGCGGTTTACTCTATCTTTTCCGAATACATTTCCGCTCAATGTAAGTACCTTGTTTGTACGCTCTAACAAGCATTGCGAAGGATTATAGTACACGAACCATGACGGTAGACGTAGACGCAGAGGCGGAGCACGGCTGCTGGGACGCGGCGCGCGTGACGGAGGCGGCGCGCGAGGCGGAAGAGACCGGCGCGACCAGAACCGTTTTCGGCTACGGCTCGTTGGTGTGGAAGGTCGATTTCCTATCAGATGCAAAAATGTCTGGGTCTGGAGCAAAGCAACTTGTCATGCTAAATCTGAATGATGTAAAAATCTGTGTTGCATGCTTACCAAAAGCTGTCCACTTTTGACCTAATCGAGAGGCAGTTTCTCATGCAGGATAGGGATGATGGAACTCTCACAGAATCTGTCATGCTATGTCCTACATGCCAGACCTCGTGGGTCATGGAAAACCTGCATTCTAAGTGCATTGGTTGAGGACTGCCCCCTTCATCCTAAGTGCCATCAGCCATGGTATCTGGAAAACCTGCATGACAAGGCTGGCACTCTTCCAGACCCAGACATTTTTGCATTTAATATTTCCCCTTCGTGCGCAAGTTCCCGTGCTTCGTCACCGGGTTTCAGCGCCGTTTCTGGATGAAAAGTGTGGACCACCGGGGGACGCCGGCCTTCCCGGGTCGCGTGTGTACGCTGGTGAAAACGGGGTCGGCGGAGGATCGGGTCGCGGGCATGGCCTACGAAATTTCGGCGACCGATTTCCCGAGCGTGGTCAAAAACCTCGACTTTCGGGAGCGGCACGGCTACACACGGGACATCACGACGACCGAAGGGGGGACGGTAGAGCGACGAAGTACTATTGTCGGGGAGGAACAAAATGGTACGTCGCAGGAAAATAGATGTGAGGGAATGAACCTCCCGGAAGAAGCTGCTCCTGGTGCAACATCTGTATTTGTGTACTACTTTAGCCAAGAGATGAATAGCGGGGTGACACAATCTCGTGAGAGCTCGGACGCCCTTTCCTCACCCGATCTCCCTGCCTCATCCGCGCTCGTGCGCGACGAGGCGGTCGAGAACACCGCGTCGATCATCGCTCTTGCAGTTGGGCTATCCTGTGCAAAAGTATCGTACTCGTATAACTGCATTACAAAATCCCTCAGCATGAGAAATAGAATTTGTCGTGCGGATTTCCCTTAGGACAAAAATTTGCAATGCATGACTGCAATTACTACGAGTGCGGTACTTTTGCACAGGATAGGGGCCATCGGGCCCGAACATCGACTACCTCAGACAACTGCGGACCGCCGTGAGGGTCCAACTGGAAACGGAAGACCCTTACCTAGAAGAGCTGCTCGCAAAAGCCGAGCAGTTTACGAGGGATAATTTTGAAGGGATCCATTCAGCCGGTGTTCCGGTAGCAAGTTGTTCGCCGAACGAAAGACACGAAATTGTAGGGACTGCAAACAATGCTGCTGAAGACGTCCCGGTGGCATCAAGTAACGAGAAACCTGTGGAGCAGGACTCCCGTCGTGGTACGGCTGCAACCGAGCAGGGGCAGCGAGCCTTGCAGGCCACGGTGGACAAGCTTTTTCAAAAGTGCCCATGGAGTCAGAGTATCCAGCCGCGCCAAATGCTAAAATTCTTGGAAAGCGAATGCGCCGAGGTGCGGACGGAGTTGGATCGGGTAGAAAAGTGCGACGAGCAGGTGGTGATGGAGAAGATCGAAACAGGAGCCGTCCTTGACAGCAGGGTGGAAACGAAAAGTCAGAAGAAGGAGATACTTTGCTGCACCGAACTGGAGCAGGGTTCGATGCTCTCTGCGCTAGAGGAGGAACTTGGCGACGTGTTTTTCGATGCCATGATGCTCGCAAAGGCCATTGAGCGCAAGTTTCCCGGTGTCAGTGCCGATCGCGCGAAGGCGCGGGCGGCCGAAAAGATTAGAGGGCGTTGCACTTATCTCTGGGGCACCGACGTAGCGAAGACGCCGGCGGAGTGCGAAGCAATCTACAAAAGAAGAAAACAGGAGCAGAAGGAAAAGGCTACTAAGCAAGAAGCTTTTCTTCTCGCGGAGGTATAGGTTTTCATCTGCACGCAAAGTTTGTTTTGATGGCTCCGTCGCTATTTCACGCAATGCACAAGAAGAAGAAAATGAAAAGAACCAGGCGCAAGTCATGTATCAAGTGTTCGACAGCATGCGAGCACGATAGTAGTCTCCGCATCTTAGCTTTTCCGTTCGGAATTAGTGACACGTTTTTTGTCTTCGTTCTCGTGACGGGATTTATTTCGGTCTTTCGTTCGACGTTTTCTCTTCGCTCACATCGTCTTTTATCGTTTTTGTCGCTGACTGCGCGACGTCTAATGTCGGTCTCACTGTCTCTTCTTGCTTTGTCATCGCGTGTGACCAAGCTTCGGTTTTTCGTTCACTCTTCGTCACCACGTTTCGTTCTTCGTCGTTGGTCTCGTTCTGTACAGAATATAATGCCTTGATGGAGCAAAGCAGTATCTTGGAATTTGTTTTGATGTTTTCCGACAGTTGCCCGCAAGGCTCATCAATACAATTCTAAATTTCATGCAACTAAGCACCATACCCCTTCGATTGTTGCATCCCCGCAACAAGTAAAATTAGATATTTGACGTGTTATAATCATTCTTACGGTAAGAGCTCACGTACTCTGATAAAGATTTCACAAGTGCACAACGAAAGTCGACACACGTAGCTTGATTTTGGTATAGTTCCTTGGTGCGACCAGGGAACGAAACGGGCAAAATTTTGCGGCAACGCAAGCAACGGAGTACCAACATCAGGGCACGGAGACCGCACGCGCTCACCAGCCCTCTCCCTTCGCAGCTTTCGGTGATCCAGGTCCGGCTGAACGCACCAGGAAGCAGAAGAAGAAACATGGACGGCACAGCACCGAGGTCACCGCCGCGGTCCGCAAGGCCGGTGGTCGTGGCAAATAAGCCCCCGCGCGAGTTTCGAAAAGTCTTTTCCGACGCGGTGTTCCGGTGGGGTAGTTTGTTCTTTTCGCTGAACTCGATTTTGGAGGGCATGGCCCTGCTTTTCGTGCTGTACTCGCAGAAGCAGCGGGATCGGCCGAATTCGGTGCTGTTCAGCACGCGCCAGAACAGGATAAGCCCGCTGCTCGCGTGGGCGCTGGCGATCATCTGCTCCGTCCGGGCGGCCTGCCTGGCCTACGTGTTCTACCAGGGTTTGTGGCGGCGACACCAGCGGCCCCTGTTCGTGGTCAGCTTGAGCGGTTTCATCTTCTTGCTGGCCTTTCACCTGTTCGAGGTCCCGAAGAAAATCGACCGCGCCACGGGCAGACGCTTCACGGACTGGGAAAGTTACAGGCACGACCTCTTTCTCTACGTCGACGTAGTCGGCTTCGTCTTCACCCTGGCCGCCAGCATCGTCGTCACGGCGCGCATTCGACAGGTCGATAACGCCAAGGAGGTACTTACTTATGATGGATTTGTGCAGCTGGTGTGGCTTTTGCGATCATACAGTAGCACCAGAGAGAAATGATAAGTCAAGGCTGTTTATGTTCTGCTAGGAAGGTGTGTTGGATGTTGTCTTCAATTTATTGGTTACGATCACGCAGCACAACATGGAATATCACGATGTTGCCCAAAAAAATACAGCTTCGCGCCCTGAGAAAAGCTAAGACCGCGGCGGGCCCGGCACAGACGGGTGCATACGCTACTATGGACAGAAGTTCCCCCGTCGAGCGCATTGAGCGGCTCTCGCCTGACGCTCCTCGCCTGACGGCTCTCGCCTGGCGCATGCAGCCGCAACTCGCCGCGCAACCGTTCTTAACGGGCGACAGTAGGGACACGCTAGCGATAGCCCTTTCCAGTGAGGGGGCGGAGAGCGACACCGCCGGTGGTGCAAACGCAAACTTGCAGGCGTCTGAGGCAGTCCCTAGAAGTTCCCAAGGCACTCTTCGAGTTGGAACTCTGCAGGGCTTTCAGAGAACCGTCACGTTGAAAAAAATGCGGAGCCGAGGACCGCCTCAAGAAGTCAGATCACCTGAAGAAGTCAGACCTCCACCTCAAGAAGTGTAGAACTAGCTCCATACATACGTTATCGTTACTTTTTTGTGCATTTCTAGAATTAGGTACAAGTAGGCTCATGCAATATCCAAAACCATAGAGGTATATCGGTTGTTATTCCACTTGAATAATTAGTCCCGAAGTTTTAGGCAACATACCCTGTTGCGATACCATAGATAGAAGAAAACACCCCTCTTCAACACCGGGATGGAAAAAGTTGCACACTTTGCAGCATTCTCTATCGCCGGTGCTAGATAAAATACGCGGTTGTAGAGATCTTGTCTCACCGCGACACTAAACTACTTGCTAGCACAAATTTCATACCATCGTTTTCTGCTTCTAGAAATTTCAGCTCCTCCCTCGACGCACATATTCAGAGAAAAGCAGTTAACCTATACCAGGACGATGCGAAGACCTGCCTATTTACCCATAGGCTCAGGTTGAAGCAAAAAAGAGAAGGTAGTCTAGTCCCACAAATTACAAAGAAATATTTTACATATTTTATCAATTTTACGCTCTTTTTCTTTCGCGAAATCATTTGACTTTTTACGACGAATAAAGTCCGAAGGCGAGGTGAACAATCACAATCCAAAAACAAACCGCAAATCACACAGCTGGAGAAGTAAAAAGGCACTCGCATTCAACGGCACACCCCTGCATCACCATCAGACGTCTGTTCGTGGGTTGTCGTCCCTTGACATTATTCTGACAGATCATCCGTGGTCGAGAGTTGCGCGTAACAACTTAATACAACAAGAGAGATCTTCACGATGAAATGAACAAGGCGATGAGTGAAGAGAAGTATCTTTTACAAGCAGCAGGTAAAAAACTTGACTAGGCAGCAAAAAAATGGTGCGCGAAGGTCGGGACTTGGCTGAGCCATAGACCCTGCTCTGGGGGAGAGAAGCCTGTGCTCCCGCGTCTGCCAGCACAACAAGCTCGGTCGGATTTGAAGGTGCCATGCGCGATGGGGATGGGCAGGAGCGCGGCTGTTGCCCAGGATGCATCAAGAAGTACGCCTTCCGTCCCGGACTGGACTGGCGGGACTTATCGAAGTCCTGCATGGAGTTCCGTCCGGTGGCGGCCTCCGCAGCAGGCAGCTCGGGCAAGGGCAGCAGCAGCAGTGGCACCTCTACGCGCGGCCCTCGTCCCGCAAGCAGTTCTTGCGGTTCGGCCGGCGGATCTTCTTCGGATACAAATGGTACAACCACAAAAGAGAAAGAAGATGACACTGTAGTTCTTTGCACTACTACAACAGCGGCTGAAGAAGTTGATAACAGCAACCTGTGTTCCCACTGCGGGTGCGACGCCTCCGAGCACGAGTTTGTCGTTTTGTCCGAGCGGGAAAGCGTGCTCTTCTCGCAGCTCCGGCCTGTGTTCCGGCAGCGCGAGTTTTCGGTGACCTCGGGCGTGCATATGACAGTGCACAACTCCCCCTCCCCCTCATGTGTCATGCAAAATACCAAATCCATCCTTTGCCCTGTGGCACTGCTTGCATGACAGATTCCCGAAGCCGAAACAGCACTACAATCAGTCGTAAATTTCTCATGCAAAAGCTGCATCTGTGCCAGGACTCGTGTTGCTACGGATGCCATCCAAAGCAGGGGGAGGGGGAGTTGTGCAGTTTCATAGTGCAGCTCGCCGTGTCCGCGAGCCACAAACTTGCACGGGAGTTGGGCGAACCGGATATGCACTGCAAAAGTATCGTACTAGTAGGAATTGCATGACAAATTTGTTCAAGAAGAAAGCTGGATTTTGTAATGCTGATTCAGGTAAGAAACAAGATTTGTCATGCGCTGTACCTGCAATCTATACGAGTGCGATACTTTTGCACTGCATACCGGAGCGGCACCAGCAATTTACCTACGGGGAAATTTTGGAAAACACCTTCCTCCCGCTGATCAACCGGCTCTGGACGGAGTTTCGGCCCGTGAACAACCGGCGGTCCTTCGGCGGCACCTTTTACGACCTGGGCTGCGGGCTCGGGAAGGCCGCTTTATTGGCCGCCTGCAGCGACTGGGGCTTCGAAAGCGCGGTCGGGGTGGAGCTGCTGCCCGACCTGCTCGACAAGGCCGAAAACCTGAAGACTGCCGTGCTGCGAGACCAGGCGTGTGCGGCCGTGAGACCGCGGCTGGAGACGGTGAGTTTCGAGAAGGCGGACCTGAACGAGTACGTGGTGCCCGCGGACGCGCGGGTCGTGTTTGTCGCGGCGACCATGTTCAAGTCCGATCTTCTGCTGAATATTAGGAAAAATCTTCGGCAGGTGGACCCGGTAAACACGTTGATCATCACGCTGCAGCACGTTCTGAAGGACGTCGTCGTGCGCGAGGAGGTGAAAATTGCGTGCACGTGGGGCATGACCAAGGCCGTCGTGTGCCAGCTGGCGGACAACGAGGACAAGTAGTCCAGGTCTAGTGTCCTGCGAGGGTGTCGGCGTGCGCAAATTTTCGAGGAGCTCTAGTAGCTACATTGTCGTGGTCATGATTTGCAGAGACGAGGGTCGATTTTTTCAATCGCCGATTGCAGTTTTTTCCCGGCGCCGACCAAGCAAGAACAGGCGGATTCCGGTCGCGGGAAGAAGGGCGGCACGAGCACTCTTGGCTTTGCTCCACTTTTGAGGCATTTTCGAGCGTGCGTGAATTTCCGGTGGTCGGACACACTTTTCCAAGAATCTGATTTTTCGCCCGGAGTTTTTTGCACCACGGTGGCTGGAGACTAGCCGCTTTGTTTGTGCGACGAAGGAGGAGGATGGGGCCGAGTCTAACGTTTCCAAAATCTGGAGCCGCGTTTCAACAGTTTCTTATTGTAAAATGAGTTTTGACCAATTATCTAAGATTGTCGTAGGGCCAGACGCTTTCTGCGACGTCGACGAAAAAACCTCTGCTGAGGTGCTGTCGCAACTTGGGGGTGTTTCATGGACGCTTTGGCGCTTCTTTTTGGTCGAGTGGCAGGGTTGTAGTGAAGCCCTGACTGGAGTTTCGAGGCGAGCCATTTTTAGTACGGCTCAAACAAACTTGCTGAGGACCTGGAGTGCTTACAAACTACTACTGGAGGACAAGGAACAAGCATGTACAGCAGAGAGTTCGTGGTAAGCAGTTAGAGTGGATTCAAGTAACTGCTTGCGATGCTTTGTTAGGTGGGTTTGTTCTTTTCTGGGTACGTACTCACGTGCTCGTACACACAATTAGTTCCACGAGGAAACCACAAAAACTGTGGATCGTCGAACAGCTATTGTATGAAAGTAATGTCCCGCGCCCTGCAGCGATGTTGCTGTCCGAAGCGGCAGCGCGAGGTGCCCAGTAACGGTCTCGAACGAGTGGATATCTCGGACAGTGCGGTAGAACTGGACCAGCTGTCATTTTATTCTGTCGCGTCGGAGTGGGACCCTACCACCTGGAATCCCGATCGCTCGAATCCGGTTGTCCTTGCCGACCAACCAGACGCGGGTGACGAGGAAGTGAGTGAAGTGTCAGAAGGACGCGAAAATTATACGGACGACCGTGGCCCTGCGCGGAAGAAACCGGTGACGCCCCGCGCAAAGGTTTTGCAGAAGAAGGCTTCGGGTTCGCCGCGCAAGAAAAAATCACCCGAGCAGCAAGTGGGACAGCAATTAGGCAAGAGAAAAAAAGAGGAAAATAATGAAGCGGTAAAAATACCCCCTCCCCCAGTAATCCCGGCCCCCGCGCGTCCCGTCCCGGTCGATCCTTTCGAGCGGTGGCTGCCCATGCGCGTGGAGAGCGTGGTCAGTGCCAGGTACGCAAACCCCGAACAGAAATCGCCGCTGCTTGCCCCGCTGCAGGAGGCCGTGTTCATGCGAGAGCCACCGGCCGAAGTAGCGCGGACGCTGAAGCAGACGTCGGAGACGTCCCCGGTGGTGTTTCTGATCTCGCGGTCGAAGAATCTGAACACCGTGGTGTACCGGGTCAAGGAGAACGTCCAGTGGGGAATCGACCCGCAGCCTTTGGAAGCGCATTGGGAGGACTTTGCCTTCAAATTGAAAAAGGACGGCAAGTATTCTGCGGACTTGAACTTGCTGGACCGCACCGCCTACGGGATTAAAAAGCAGAAGTACCGAAAAGAGACCGACTCTTACGTGATCAACTTGACCGCCCTCCCGCAGGCGGACGTGGAGCTGGTCCGCCCGGGGGCCCGGTTCTCGCGGCCCGTGTGCTACGTGTCGATCAATGGGAAGCGGTCCGTCGTGTTTCACATTTACGCCCAGGCGGTCGAGGGCGCCTGGCTGCCAGTTCCGGTGTACGTGAACGCGCACGGCTGGGACCCGCACACTATGAACTGCAAAAGTATCGTATTTGTATAAATGCATCACAAATTTCCTCAGCATGAGAAATAAAATTTGTCATGCGGATTTGCCTTGAGACAAAGATTTGCAATGCAAGCCTTGCATTTATACGAATGCGATACTTTTGCACATGATACACACCGGCGAAGAACAGATCGAAGAAGTGTTGAAGAAGAAGTAGAGGAGCTTATTCAAGCAGAATGTGATTGATACTGGTGCGGTCTGCAGATGACACAGAAACCTATCGTTTTCGTTTCCGTTTCGCACGTTTATTCTTGGCACAGAGTTCTTTGGTGGCTCGACGTGCTGCTCATCCGATCCGGACGTCCTGCTGTGGCACAGTGAACAAACGACGAAACCTGGAAGATGAGGACCTTAGGAGGACGTTGTTCTGCTCTTTGTCCGCTCGGTGGTCGGTCGTATAATCGTGATTCTCTGCTTTTCATCCAGCTGAGTTTCGAGCGACGGCGAGCAGGGACCACAGAGGTGCGACTCCGTTCTCGGTATCGACGGAGATGATGACAACACGTAGTTAAGCAAGATTCTCTCCTGTAAACTGGCTGTCAGGTGGCTGTCGGTCCCGATTCCACCAAGTATAGAACACAGAAGTCCTCGCTGGCTTCAAGCAACGGCATCTGTCATTCGTTCATTGAGGTCGCAGACAGAAGACATCCAACACGAAAAAATGTACGACGAAGAAGTGCGGTTTGCCCTGCGCCTCTTCGTGGACGGTCTCGCGCCGGAGCGAAAGAAAAATGGCATTTCGCTGAAGGTTCTGACTCTGTTCCTCAAGTCGATTGGTGTCCACGGAGCTTCGAAGGCTCCGGCGGCGCTCGGCAAATCTTCGGAACGGCAGCTGTTTTACGCGCTGGGTGGGCGGCAGGGCCCTTTCACAGAGGACGAGGTGTGCGAGCTGGTAGCGAAGTTGAGCAACTCGGAGCTGGAGCGCGTGCGCGTAGAGAAGGCGTTGCGACAGCTGCGGTCGAAAGAAGATTTTCTGCGCGCCGCTGGGAGCTTCGGCCTCGTGGACTGTTTGCGCTTATCGTCCGCGGAGTTGAAGTTCCTCGACTTTCTGGTGGCGGACGAGGAGGGCGCGCCAAATGTTTTCGCGTACGACTTCAAAAGTTCGTTTGGGAAGAAAAAGGAAAAAGCGGTAGATTTTGAGCCTATGAAGAAGTACCTCGGGTACGCTGGGTAAAGTAGAAAGTGGCTTTGCTGCGAACGTAACACCACGACGAGCTGCGATGCTACGAAGAATGTGAAGGTGGCACTTTAGTTGCGTCACGATGTTTGCAAGTGTTGTGTTTCAGTGAGAAGTAGATTGCATGGTCGAAGAGAGAGAAAAGAGGACGTACAAGCAAGCACGAGAGTCTGCTCTGCATCCGGCCTTGTGAGTGCGAAAAGTGAATGTCAGGATGAGTGCGGTCCTGTGACATGGAATGCCACGGCACTCGTTCGGAACCCAGGGTATGCCTCCTTGTCGCAGAATGCATGTGCCGCGAGACATTTTTGGTTGTTTGATCTCGGATATTCGGACCACGAGCAGGACCGCTTTTGAAGAAATCCTTCGCTCCCACACCCTGTGATACGTTCTTGCGAGGGATAAGTTGATACTCACTAGAAATAGATCGGTCCGGTAGGGTATTGTAGATTCCCGGCGTTTTACTTTAGTGTGGAATAATATGTCCTCTGCGTCCGAAAAGGCGCTCGCTACCGGTTCTGAGAGTGAACCGAAGGACGGGGCGCTTACGCCGGAGAAAGCAGACAACGTCGCAGGCCTTCGGTCGGAGCAACTTCTCGCGAAACCTGGCAAGGACGGATTGTCGACGTCGAAAGGGACGAGTAATGCGAGTTCCAAAGGTGGGCGACTTGGACTCCCAGTTCCAGAGAAGATAAAGAAGGTGGATTCCTGCCCGCTGAACCAGCACGGGTGGACCCACACGTGCGAGCCGGACCTCCGGGGGAAGTACCAGGACAATGTTGTTTGCCAGTCGCCCTTTTCCCAGGCCATTGGCACCTTTACCGGCGCGGACGTCCGGGCAGGGATTTCCGCGCTGCGCGCACAGGACGGCAGTGTGGGAGAGTTCGAGGGCAAGTTGCTCGGAAGGTTGGGCTTCCTGCTAGAAGAGGACGAGGACGCGGAGGAAACAACTTCTGATGCCTTGAACCAAGTAGAGACTACTTCAGGCGAGAATAAGAACACCGCAGAAGTTGCGAAAAGAATCCGGACGACCGTGAACGTAAGTCAAATCGGCGACGAGAAGCTTTACCAGTGGCCCAGCGCGGAGGGGCACTGTGCGCCGGGGAAGTGGGGCTGTCCGGTATCCTTTTCGGACAAAAGCGTCGTCCAGGAAAAGCTCGAGAACGTGGACGAGGACGCCGTGGTGGTCCTGCAAGCAAATCTTCACCGGGTGGTTTCCTACGACGCGCACGACGCCATGCTCTTTCTCAGTTGCCGGTCCGTCCGGCATCTGGCGCTCGTGCGCCCGTTACTGGAGGTCAAGGCGAACGCGGCCTACCAAGACAGATTCGGGCACACCTGTTTACACCAAGCGGTGACACGTTGCAGTGCGGAAGGGGATGCGGAGACGATTTGCTTTTTACCCTCGTTCCAAGCGATGCAGGCGAGGCACCTGCAGGACATTGGCTGCCGAAACGTGGGAAACGTCGATCCGGTGCTAAACGACGATGCTGCAACTACGTCGGAAAAAAACGAAAAAACAGAGAGCCGAGCGTCGCTGACGGACTTTGACACAGACGTCCATGCGGAGCAGCCGGGAGAGGAAATTGAAAAAGCAGTGGCGGAGGCTGCCGGGGACACGGGAGAAGCTAATGTCCTCAAACCTGCGGGAGATAATAACATGGCTGAACAGCAGCGTGCGGTTTTGAGCGAAGATGCAGGGGGAGAACCGAAAGAAGGCAGTCACACGCAGGCGGAGGGCGGCGACGCCAGTGACGAGACTGCCGGGAGCGCAGGAGAGGTTGTTCTCGCTGCAGACGGGACAGACACTCCACCGCCCGCTGCTACAGGTAACGCAGGGCAGGACCAGGTTACGATCAGTAAAGCCTCCTCATCCGCTCCTGCGAGTGAGGCGGCGTCCAAGAAGAATGCCGATCAGGCAACTGCTACTAGACAGGGAGACGCGTCGCAGCCCACCACATTTCTTGATGTGGTACAGCTTTTGTTACAGAACAAAGCCAGCGCAAACCATCCAGTTTTCCCTCCGCTTCTGGATTGCAAGAGCGTCCGGTGTTTGAGGCTACTGCTGGATGCCAAAGCCTCACTACTGGTCCAGCGCAGCAGCGAAGAAATTATGCAGGAGGACAGTGCCCTCCACTGCTACGCTATGCGGAACGACCGGGCCATGGTGTGGGTCCTTTTGAAAGAAGCAGAAAAACGGGGGCAGCTGAAGCAGCTCGCAGCACTCAAGGATCTGTTTGGCCAGTCGGCCGCGAGTGCCGTGCAAGACGAGTACGTCGGGCAAATGGTGGTCCAGGCAGGCTGTGAAATCATCGAAGACTGGGTTTCCCCACTGAATAAGGATGGCGACCACGGCCATCCGTGTGAGAGGATTCGCATAGCCGCGCGAATCAAGTTTCGCTATGTCACCCGCCGTGAGGCCGACTACCAGATGCGACTTTGGCGGAAGGAAAACCCAGACTGGCGCAGGTGGAGCATCAGGCAGGCAAAAGGAAGTTAATCCGGAGCTTGCTCCAGTCTCGATGCTTCGATATCGCCGGACAAAATTGGAATCCACGACTCTGGGTGCGTTTCCGGAACAAAATGTACTTTTCAGTCATAGAATTGTAGCGACGGCATGTTGGTTGTTGCATTGTAAGATGATGTTGTACAACACGCGCATTGTTTCACTACATCGAATCTCTTGTCTTCGGAATGTAAAATTTTTCGGTCTACAGAAGAGCTCGATGAAGAAACGGAAATACAGAAGCGTGGTCGCCCTCACCGACATGTAGTTCAACAAACCTAGTGTTCGTCTCTCGATCCCACACCATTCTTTGTGGGTGGCTCCTCGGTTATTCTGTTCTCCGGAAGTTGTTCAGGTGATCACCAAAACAAAACATGATCCATTTTTGGAAGATGGCCTTCAACACGAGTTGCTTTTCGAAGAAAAGATCACGACCGTACTTGGAAACGAGACTCATACCTACCTAAAGAAGGAATTCGTAGGCCTTCCGAACTCTAACTATCTGCTTCCAAAGCACAGCAGTTTCGACATCACTCGCACATCGCAGCGTACTGCGCAACGGCGATGTGGAAAACAAACCGTCGCAAAGCAAGTCGGCCAGTTCGTAATGTGTTTTCCGTATTGCTGTGTCACTGCGCCTGCACGTTCACGAAGGTTTCGTGTTTCGGCCCCGATCTTGACTTCTCCGCGTACGACTGGTTACGGGACAGCTTTAAGAGTGTAGACACGACCTGGATCAGCAATCTGCTTTCCAATCACTCCATTGGGTATGACTTCCCGCCAACGCCCGAGCGGCTGTGCCTCACCCGAAAGCCTCCCTGCACGCTGTGGCAGCTGAGCGCGCGCGACACCACGTGCGACCGGCGCATCGTGCCCTGCGGCACACACGAGAATGATGTGAACAAGAACGCGTTCGAGGTGTACTTGCAGCGCCTTGGGCAGCCATCCGTGGTCACGCTCGGCGGCACCGATGGCAGTCGCGACAGCGACTGCGCGGAGGGCGGGCGCATCGACCCCTACGCCGACGCATCCAAACAGCTCTTTCTTGTCAGGTTCCAGCCGCCCATGCACCCCGTCTGCTGGGAGGTGCTGATGCGGGCGGGGGAATGCTGGATTCCGGAGAACAGCCAGGCAAAAGAGGCCCACGAGTTCGGGTGTCTGGGACGGTGCGGCGGCAAGTGCGGGGGCGTGTTCTGCAGCAACTGGGGCGGCGACTGTTTGCGGAACGATGTGTGTCGGTACTTCCTTGGCGACGAGTGCGACATCAAGGGCGCGGCGCGAGACTGGAAATCCACCTGTCTTTTCGGGTTTCACCACGGGGCCTGCGAGTCCGTGCGGGGAAACCCCCTGTACCACCAGGAAGACCGCATCTGCGGCGGCGCGTGGTGCCCGGCGTGGCGCTACACCGATTATTTCGTGCCGCGCAGGACCGTGGGACAGGAGCTCTGTTCGGAGCTCGACCAGAAAGATTTTGACAACGTCATGTGCCGCTCGGACTGCGTCACCTGCACCGACTTGGCTTGCGTGCAGCGGTGTCACCAGTGGCAGCAACGATTTCCTTTTTGTCGCTGCACAAGGCAGTGGCCGGCAACGCAATTTGTGTACGACGGTCCGTTCTCGCCTACCGCGATTACGAGTGGTGACGAGGGACCAGCGACCACGTTGACAAGTAGCAGCACTGTTTCTCCCACAAGTTCTTCTTGTCAAAGCGGAAATTTGACTGCCATGTGCAGCGATTTTTGCAACCACGCGAACAACCATTCAGCGCACGCCAGTGGCGAGGACTTGTAGCTGCTGGAGGAACAGTTGCTTTTTCCCTACATTTTGTGCACGGTCAGCTATAATTCACTTTCACTCCGCGATCCCCTTGATGCTTGAGCTTCGATTTTGTTGTTTTTGATTTTGCTTGCCGACCATGAACATGAGGTATAATTACGACCGGCCCATCAAATTTTGGATAGGAAAGAAAAAAATGTTTTTGGGAGTCATTCCCTTGATATCCTCAGGGAGCTGCCGCGACCCGGTCGGTGTCGATTGTCGCGTTCTGTTGTTTTCCGACACGTGAGCTAAAGCGCTAAAGCTAGCTCGCTGCTTCCGCTTGCATAGGTACCTCAAGAATCGAAAATCACATTTTTGCCAGAACATGAAAACATGGTGTCGTTTCGATCAGTTTCGTTTCACGTCTGGCAGCTCTTTGTCAGCATCCGGTGTCTTCAAGGCACCAGTTCATCTTTTTCGACATCTAATGAAAATTCAAAATCTAAAGACAATCATGAAGTTCCCGCTCTGTCGTTTTCTTCCAACGGCCGCGCTGGTCAGCAGGTCCCAGATCAACCTGCCGGCGCAGCTTCAACCCTCCCCGCGTCGCTTCTTCGGGAACAAGAGGATAGTGATAGTAGGGCTCAGACCACAGTTGGACCTCAGGCGCTTCCGGATGTTGTGGAAGCGGGTGCCACGACCCAATTATCCGGGGGCAACCCCGGCACAGCATCGCAAGATGATGCTTCACCTGCAGTTTCCAAATCTGCTGCGGGAACTTATACCGTTTGGGGCACACCGACGAAGGCGGAGAAGCACGCTATCGAATTGGATTTGGAGTGCAGCAGCTACCAGGACTACGATTGGTTGCACGTGAAACGGCAGCTGTGGTGGTTCTTCGACGACATCGAGGTGCAATCCCACAACATGACCCTGATCCACGAGATTCTTTACCTCGCGAAGTCGAAACCCCAGACGGACTGCTACATCGGCCTGTTTTGCCTGGGCCTGTTCACCTTTCTCTTCATGGAGCCCGAGAACCGCGCTAAGTCAGTGGTGCTCTCAACTTTCTTGTCTGGTGACTACGCGCGTGCCATCCCGCTCACCTTCTGGGACACCATCGCCGCCGGCTGGCCGGTTTTTACCATGCTAGACGTGCTCGCGCAGACCTTCTCACAGGACTATCGTGTGGACCAAGTGAGGCTTGACCCCTTCTGGGACTTCGAACAGGAAAGCCGCGGCCCCGCCTTCGAGTACGAAAAGATGCGCCAGGTGCATGCGACATTCTCCGCGGAGGTGAAAAACAAGCCAGCAGATGGAATGGGTTCAGCCGGACAAAAACACAAGAACGTTGCGTCTTCTACAACTGCTTCGCAAAGACAGACACTTGCCGCCCGTTTAGCGCAAGTGTATCCGAGGGTGTCCGATGTCAATTTGTCTTTACCCGACAACAGCAGTCGTGAGAAAGACAAGGACGCTGGTGGGAACTACTCTGCCGCAACTACAACACAATCTTCGTGGGTCCCAACCATCGAGTGGGTGCGGCGGTACTGTGTGCAAGTGGCGGACGAATCGCGGATAGCACCAGCCGAAAGTTCAGACAGTAGCGGTGTGGTGCGAGCGCTGGACGCGCTTTTGTCCTTCGACCGGTATGGGGCGGCTGCGAGTTATTTTATCTTGGCGGAAAAGGTTCTGCGAAGGATGCGGGCCATACTTTCCGATAGCGTGGACGCGAGAAGACGAACCGCATCAACCGAGGCGGGCGGTGGCGAGAAGAATCACGACGATTCTAGCCTTGGTGATCCTGCAGCTGCACCAACAGCAGACGAACAGCGCCTTTCATCTGTGGTTGCGTTCAAGAACCGGAAATTTGTCCGGCGGTTGACGAGGTCGAAGCAGGAAGACTCTTCTTACGACCTCGCGGAGAGACAACTTTTCGAAACCGACCTGAAGTACAGGCAGCTGGTCACGGAGGCCCGCGGTCTGCTGCTGTTGGGGGAGATGGCTTTAGAGTGGCCACTATGGATTGTAAAAGTGTCTGGGTCTGGAAGGTTGGGACTTGTAATGCTAGCTTTCCATACCTAGAAAATCTGTATTGCATAACCAACAAAAGTCGCAGCCTCTTTTGTCCTGAAAAAACGCAGTTTCTCATGCGGATTGCCTATGAGAAAGCGTTTTGGGAAGTTGTCATACCGGACCGCATTCGGAAGTGTTTTCATCATGCACATTTGAGCATCAGAAGTTTCCAGACCCAGACATTTTTACAGTTGGTAGCCACAGCAGGGCATGTCCAGGGTTCTGTACGACCGCACGTTGATCAGTGCGGACTTCTTATTCCAATGAAAGATCCCCCCTCCCCATATCGAAACAAAGTTTCTGATGCTGGATTTGCGTACACAAATCCGATTTGTCTTGCTGACGAGGACTGCAGACTCATATCAAGCCTGAGTAGACAGGTTTTGGCCTAGGCACTCAGCATGAGAGACGTCTACGCTGTAGGGACGCAGCATGACAAACCGCCTGTAGAATGCGGCAGATGCTGTAGAGTTGCCCTCATGCAACACAGAGACGATTTGTGGCCACAAATCAGCAACGCAAATGTTCGGCAACATACCTTTTCAATATGGGGAGGGGGGATTTTTCCTCTCAATACTTCTGGCCGCTGTGGAAGTTGGTCGCCAATGTCGAGCGTACCGGAGCGGTGACCCGCAACTACAACAAAATGTTGCCGCTGCAACGAATCCAAAATTTGCGAACGATGCAAGAACGCAGCGGCGAAGTAGGTGTAAGCACAAAAGCAGAGAAAACAAGCAGTCCGGACCACGGCTCAGAAGTAGAGATGAAACCAGCCCCAGAGGACGCCACAGCAATTTCCGCGCCCCTGCAGCACGTCGCGTTCTCTGGCAACAAAGAGCAAGTGCCCGGCATGGTGGCGAGTTTCGAGAGTTTGGTGAGGAATGCCAAAAACCCAGAAAAACTGGTCATACATTTCTTTCTAGCGCGGGAAGAGGTGCCGATTTTCCTGAATGTGCTCGCCTGTAGTTTCAAGGAGGTGTTCCACGTGCTACTACCGTCCAAGCAATCAGGTGCACTTACCGGCGTTTCCAGCAGCGATAGATCACCAGAAGGAAATCGAAGTTCATCCACCGTGACCGGCGTGGTAGATGAAAGACAGCACTACACCTCCACTTCTCTGCCCTCAGCAGAGCAGAAGTACCAACCCGTAGGTGCGAGCGAGAATGACGCGGTCTCTCTACGGTCGCTTTTGTTGGAGCACGGCGCTTTGGGCAGTGTTTCTACAACTCCTTCAAACAGCACTGATTCAACATCGGGTGCTAGTACTGCGCCAGCAGCCCCGAGGACAAATGACTTCCTCGACGTTGTGGATATGAAGGTGCTGACCACCTTTCTGAAGGACTACGCACGTGTAACTGAGGTTCTGACCGCCTTCGCCACGTTTGTGCTGCACGGCACGGCGCGACTGAAGTTGCACCTGTTTAACGCGACGGACTTGAGCGAATACGTCTCGGACGACGCCCATTCCAGCAACCACGGCAATTTGACCGCGCCCCACAACTACATCCGGTTTTCCCTCGCGCGCAGGTTGGAGAAGGTGCATTTAATGGGCATAGTACAACAGCAACAGCAACAGCAACAAGCGGTTCCCGCCTTCAAAATCACGACCTGGTCAGTAGCCGTGGTCCACCAGGTCGATGTTGTTCTGTACCTGGACCTGGATCTCATCGTCGCTGGGGACGTAGGGTCACTCTTCGCCGAGCTGCAGCGCGCGAATTTTCTCAAGAGTTTTCCGATCGCGGCGGTGCCGCGGCCGAACCCGTTGTCCACCTTTTTGTACAACTGGGACCAGCAGAAGGCCGGGCAGTGGCAGCCCATCTTCTCGACGCCCAGTTTCAACGCGGGTGTGATGGTGTTCAACCTGCAAATGTGGCGGTCCGAAAAGCTGGAGGAAAAGCTCCGGGACCATGTTTTCCGTCCGGCGTTGCGTCTCGGCCGCTTCTGGAAGTTGGGCAGCCAGCCTCCGCTGCTGGCCTGGTTTCTGGACTCCTTTTCCAATCCGACCAGTCGGAATTACTATGAAGCGGGGGTGTCCAAGTCCACCACCTCTCGCAGTCGGAACGTGCTTTTCCTTTCCCCCGAGTGGAACGTCGAAGGGCTGGGCCACCACTGCCAGTCCAGCTTTTACGACAAGGCGCAGTGTCTGACGGAGATGCAAAAAAAGGTAAAGTCCGGCAAAATCCTGCACTGGACTGGGCCGAACAAACCGTGGATTTACGTGGACGAAAAGGACGACTTCAACAGCAAATTCCTCATTTCGGACGTTTTAGAGCCGAACAAAGACGGCGACGCAAACGCAGACCACGACACCTACAAAAAGATCTGGCAAAAGTACGCAAGACATTGCTGGTATTAATTCCGTTCTGCACAAATGCGAATGTCGACAAAAAGTATAGATATGGAACGTAAACCTAAACGCGCAAAAGAAGAGCGACTTCTGGTTAAGACAAGAGGGAGACGCGCCTTGGTGGCCGGATTTTTTCTGAACGCGGACTAAGCCGAAGCCACCGTCGTCCTTGTTCGACGGGATATGTTCAGTCGGGTATTTTGTGCCAAAGATCTATAAATATATCTTGTCCTCCAGTACAAAGCGAGATCACAACTTGGAAGAGGCGTGAAGTGATTTTCATAAGGATTGTATTGAATCCCGGCCGAGTTGTCAGTTTCTATAGGACAGTCAGTTCGCGACACTTACATCAACTTCGCACACAAAAAAACGCCTACTTACCCTCTCTGTTCGAAATTGTGACTATATTGGAAAGGAGTCCTTCCTTTACTCTTGGCGCGCCACCTTGTGCAGTCTAGGTGAAGATAACGATGATGATTATAATCGCGTGTATCAAAAATGTCCGTTACAAGCAACATAGCCTCTCCTGTACTCTCTTTCAAGATTGAGATACAGCATCAAGCACCAAAAGCAAGTTAAAGTTTGACAAGTCTTTATGAGTCAGACTTACTTCAAGTTTGCCAATAGCTTAGTCGTAAATTCTTCGTCTATCATCACGTTTCACGAGGTCAAGAGTGAAAAAGCAAGAAGACCCCACATCGGGAGCTGATCTTGAACGCAATCAAAGACAACTGCGGACAACTCTGCGGGAGGGGTACAGGCATCACTGTAAGCCGCCTCTACTAGAACAGTATGCGTGGCCAAGTTCATGAAAAAATTGCGGATACGCCAAGCCCCATGCTCCTAGTACAGTGCGCGCTGTCAAGTTTAGCTCATGAAAAAACTCGCCGGAGCTCCTACAGCCCCGAGTACGCCCCACTGCATGCGTCCATGCTATCTTTATCCAATCCAATCCGTCGTCCTGTTCTTTCACTCGTCGTGTAGGTGATGCTTGAAGTTCAGGGTCGAGGTGTGTGAAGCTAGAGTCAAAATGTCGGGGAAACGTGCGCCGGCCGCTTCCGTCCTCACCCAGGTAGATTCGCTAGCATTGCAGTCAGCATGTTATTGGTCAACATGGAAATCGATGGTCATTGCAGTCAGCATGTTATTTGTGAATAGTTGGCGGTCGCGGTCGGTCGGGCTGGAAAGCTCACGGCTGCACCAGCCGCCTGTGGCGAGTGCGTTATTTTTTGTAGGAGCAATCTGCAGTATAAACCCATCCAAATAATAAACTTAAACGATCAGGTACCGGCAGGGCTGATGGTGAAATCGTTCGACGAGTGCCGCTCTGAGCTGCTGCACAGCGGGGGTTCTGGCCATCGGAGTACCGATCGCCCAGTTGTTGTTCGTGCCCGTGCCACCGCTGCGGCGAGAACTGCGTCTGGACTCTGCAGCGTAGCGCTATTGGCTGCCGAGTGCGCCGATGTAGGTATTGTCGTCGTCGGTATCATCTTCAACCGATCAGATTTGCCTTCTTCATTGTCAACCCATTTTGCGCAGGACGTCTTTATTGGTTGCTTGAAAAACTTGACAGCTCGCTTTGCGACAGTGCAAAGCCTCCACTTCCCAGTGGGATGTCACAAAGCAAGATTTATAGGTATTGTCGTCGCGGCATTGGAGCATACCCAGCGCCGTGAGGTGCAACTGACGTCAGATGCTGTGTCAAAAGTCGAATACGGTGGCCACCGCGCAGAAACGGACAGTGCGGATGAGGCGGAAAACATACACACACACACACACACACACACACACACACACACACGCACACGAACAGGGGGCGCAGGTGTCTTTCTTCTTTTTTGCATCCAGGGAGGTGCGTTATTTGTGAAAGAAGGCTTTGTACTTTCTAGAATGTTTCGTCAGTTCTGTACGAGAGAAATAATGATGTGCTCGCTTTACATCAGCGCGTTGGGTCGCCTACTTCGCGAATGACCTGCCTGACTACAACATCCCTATAATTGGCAGGCACCTTCGTTCGTGCAGAAGAGGCAGAAGGAATTGGAAATGATCGAAAAGGACGACGGTGGCACCATCGCTATGGGCGGCCGTCTTGCCACGGATTACGTGCTCTACTTCCAGAACAAGCAAGCGGCGAAAGCTCTAGGCGAACGCATCAAGACCAGCCTGAAATTGACGGCGGTGCAGTGGAATAACATCGAGGAGAACGCGCTGGCTTTTCCATTAGATGTTCTGCCCCCACTGTACGCTGTTCAATTGCTGCACAATTTCGCAGCGCTCGACAAAGACGAATCGAACTCGTTAGGACGGGACGAGGTGGTGAGAAGCGGACCGGTTTTGTTCTGCCCCGCGAACGTGTTAATTTCGGGCACCACTTTGGCCTCGAACACAGCAACCACGTCCGTCGATGGGACGGAACGCGCAGGGGCTCAACTTGTTCACGCCGCGAACTCGAGCCTGTTGCTTGTGTCGTTTACGGATTACGCTTGCTATTGTAGTAACGTTCACTCCTGCATCGGGCGTTCCCACACGTTCGCCGCGCTTGCGTCCGCACTGCACGAATCGGAATCCCCATCGTCGACTTCGTTCACCCAGCGGATGGCCGCAGGCGGGGCGATTGTTATTTCGGTCGCCATCGGAAAACTCATAATGGCTATCTATCAGGTTATCCACGCGGTGATCACGTCGCCGTACTACGTCCAGGCAGCCAAGGCGGGGGTCCATGTGCTGGCCAACCACGCGGGGGGCCATCACTTGCACAAGCTGGTCAATGCGGTGAAGCCCCATTCCTTGCAGCACCTCTTCTCAACAAATGACTTACATATGAAGGATTTCCCAAGACTGGTCCGTGCCTGCAAAGCAGCTGTGCACCGTATGCTGCAGGCAGCCCATCATGCTTACAACGAAATCACATTCGAGCACCTGAAGAAACTTTATGGTTGAGCATCGCGAAGCCAAGGCAGTGCGTTTGCACCAGGTTTGATGTTGCCATGGAACCGAAGAGCCACCACCTTGTCTTCGTCCGTTTGGTCTGTGATTCGTTGTAACAGTAAGATCAACATGCGGGTTCTGCAATCGACGCGACAGCCGCAGAAAAATCGCTGTTACCTTGTCCTCAAAGGTAGTCTTGAGGGATGTTGTTGTTCTTTTCTGTAACTGTTTCGTGATGTCGCTTGTTCGCACGGATCGGTCGCTGCTCCGAGTTTCGTGTTTTTCTACGCCAGGCAATGATTATTAGCACCGCTGCTGCTGATGTTGAATTTCATTTACATTTCTTTTACCAACGAGTGCGAGCATACCGAACGGTAAGATTTAGCTCATGAATAGCTCCAGCTGCACTCTTAAAGTTCTGGAACGCCACCTCCGACTCCGACTCCCGCAGCCGAGCCGAGCCGTAATGAGGCCCGGGAAGAACTTGTCATGTATGGTGGGACTTGTCATGTATGAGGCCCGGGAAGAACTTGTCATGAGGCCCAGAAATGTCATGTATTGCGGGAGGGATACAAGCATTACTGTTAGCCGCCTCTACTAGTACAGTAAGCGTGGTCGAGCTCTAGTTCATGAAAAAACCGGCTGCACTCTTAAAGTTCCGGTACGCCAATCCCCTTGCGTGCGTGCGTGCGTAATATTCTGATCTGATCTGATACAAAAGTCCTAAAAAGTTTAAAATTGTTTTCCGCTTTCGAGCTTTTGGGGCCGCAAGGTGCCTCGGGGTGCGGCAGGCCGGTTTCGCTACTAGGGTCGCCCTTGTCAAAGCGTCTAGGCTAGCACGTGGGGCTGCTTATTGCCTTCGCCCAGGCTTAGCGAACGCGCTTGACTGCGACCCTTTGCGCGTTATCAGCGCCCACGGCTGCCTGCCCTTCGCTGCGTGCCACTTCCGGGCCCGAGCAGCACCACTCACACCATGGGCGGGATGCGTCATAGCCTAAACACTTCGGAAGAATTGCAGCACAGCTGAAATGATTTAAGAAGTGCCTGCATCAGATTGCGGCGAGCCGCGCGGAGAGACCAGGGAGCTCTGTGGCTGCGTCTCAGGGAAGATTCACAGGCCGACGACTGCTTTCCCGGTCGGTCGCAGAGGATGCGCCGCGCAAGGCGTCGGTGCTGAAAGGAATGGAAAGAATGCTGACACCTTTTTGGCCAGAAATTGCCAAAGCATCTGCATTTGTCGCGTATTCCGTGACCCATGGACATGGAGTCGATTTTCATTTTTCCTGGGGGGGGGGAATGTAAAATGGCCAAAAGGGGAAATGTGAGGTAGCGCCAAACGCGACTACCAGGGGAAATGTAGGGCAGCCCCAAAAGGGAAATGCAGCACTGTTAGAAACCTAGACGCGCGAGCACCAACGCAAGTAAACTACGACAGTGGAACAAGTGTGAGTAGTACTGTGCGCCTCGTAATCACGGCGCAGCTCGCTTACTTATGATAGCCGTGCTAGTATGTATACTAGGCGCAATCTGTGGGGGGCATGGGATAGCAAGTCGCTTGACAATATGCGTGGCAGATGGTAAGGCTACGGCTACGGAGGAGGATGATGGACCTCAGATCGAGGGCCTAGCACGCCCGAAAGATTTGCTACCAGACTGGCCAGATTTGCGTCGCGATTTGCGTCGTGTTTCGCTTCTGGCCGTCACTAGGTCACGCTGGTGCTCCGATCTATCCAACACAAATAGAAATGTAAATGCACAAAAGTGGGAACTTTTGCAGAGTCGGGTGGCCGACATTCCGGAGAAGTTTAAACGAAATGCAAACGATAATGACTCCCAGGAGGTTCCGAAAATGTCGCCCGGGGTGTATCTTGGAGACCCCTCCCCGAAAGCCACCAGATTTATTTCAGGCGAAAGCCCCAGACCATGCTCGAAGGCCCGCGCCTGCCATCTGGCCCGGCCGGGGCGAATCGTCGCGCCCTTGGCCTCAAGAAGGCGCCCACTGCGACCCGTTTGCGAAAATGACACGGGTCGCGCCCGTGTCAGCTGCCTTGGGTGCCTTTGCACTTGAGGACGTGTTGTATGTCTCGGGCGCACGTACATACTAGTATGCAGGGACGGCGGAGCCGGAAAAAAAATCGCGCAGCTGAGTTTCCGCCGAAGGAAGTCGCTCTGTGCCCGGCTGTTGCGCAGAAGCCGAGAAGGCCTGCGGCATAGGAGCAGAGAACAGCCACCAGGTTTCCGTGGGAGCTTTGGCCCAGGTTCGTGCGGCCTATCAAATCGGCCCGCTTTGATGGACTTGCTGCTAGCGCGCACACAAGCGCTCCGCGCTGGCGCGGGGCACTGCATGCAACAACACGCCCCAAAACGACGTCGCCGCCGGTACTTGTTAGGGGGCACCGGATAGGGGAGCTTTGCCCGGGCTCGCACGCGCTTGAATTGTCAATTTTTTGAAAAATGTAATAAAGAAAATGTAAGATGATCATGATCAGTCGGCGACGGTGCTAACGATTATAGTACTTTGGCAAATGCAACAGCGCTGTCGGCTTCGCGTTCTCAGCAGCGATCCACTTGCGGACATCTATTTTGATGCTGAATCAGCGGACGATCTCGCCACGCAAATTCTGGAGACTACGGCTTTGTGGAATGAGCATCAGATCCCCAAGTTGGATGAGACGCTGAAGAAACGCTGGAATGAAAACAACCACGATGAAATCCAAGCCGATAAAGCGGACAACGTGTACTCATCCTATGTTACGCCTTACATGAAAGCGCCGGAGATGCCGTACCAACATCCCACGTCGGGGAATCACGCGTCGCGCCCCAACCATCACGGGGGCGCTTCGTGATCGATTTTCGTGATCTTTGGTATTTTTTCCAAGCGCTTTTCATTCGTTCTAAAGTTGACTCGTTCTACGCACGACGAATGAATCGTCTTTCAGCTGAGAGCCATCACCTTGCTACTCGCACTGTTCGCTTTTGATGACTGCAGCGCAAGTTTCGCATTTTCGCATGCTTGCAAAGCCGTATATATACTACTCGGACGTCGAAAAAAAATACAAGGTATGCCCACGCGGAACTTTTGCCGGGACCTGCCGTGATTATCCTAAGGAGTGTCAGATCGAAGGAAGATAGAGGTCGAGTATAGCAATGGACCAATCTCGATTTTTGTCATTACGGCACATCATATGTGTGAACTTACCTTATCATCTTCAAGTTAAGATTGGCGTTCTAGCTTATTCAACAAAAACTGTTTTTAATGTGGGTGCGCAGAATGCCGCGCAAAGGCAAAACAAGAGGAGAAAGGAGGAAAACGTGACTACAAGAGGAGAAATGACACTGAGCGTCCTTTTCTGAGCCTTTTACTGGGTAAGCTCATCGGCATTATTGCTACACCGTTTAACCTAATAAGCACCGCTTGACGGCGGACATACTGGCTGTGAACAGGCTGGGCGTTCGCCGTTAGCCGATTGGCAACTTACCGGCAGCGCGCGTTTGACAACTATTTATTAGCACACGGGAAACTCTTGTATTTTGGATTTTTGCGATCTTCGTTGCTTCCACTGGGGATCGCTCGGCTCGCGCCAGCTCCCGGTTGAAGTTTTCTCTTTTGGAAAATTGTCCTAACTCCCCTGGGATCATTTTCTAGCGGTTTTGTTCTCGGGCATTCATCCATGTAATTGATGCTTTTATTTGCCATGAGCCCATACTTCTATAGTTACACTGTGGAGTAGCTGCAGTGTGTCCGCTTCCGTTGTAACTTTATGTCCATTCGGCACGTTGCGCGAGGCTCCTGGAGCCCGTTTTTCTTTTCCAGTTGGAAAATGGTTCACTTTTTTGCGCATGCAGCGGTCCTGCTTTGGAGAAGTTTGGTTCTGCTGGGCGGATATCCCGCCGCGGCCGAAGAGGAAGCAGTAACCGCGGAACAGAACGACCTGAAAAACCCCACGGTCGTGTACGACTTGTTGCGTGCAACCTCCAAGAGCGGCGCACCGGATTTATCGGAAATTTGCGCGTTCGGGCTTGGTCGGTACCACCTGGAGCTGCTCCAGTACTGGCTCAGGGAAGACGGCGCGCGCTTGGCGCATCTGTTCGACGTGAAGGACATCGAGCCTCTTCTAGCCTTGAAAGAGGAATTTGCCGACCGCGCGCTGTTCGGCGCGGACTACGAGAAATGGGAAACGACCGGCCGGAAGGTCTCCTGCTCGACCGTGTTGTTCTCGGTCGAGGGGCCGAAATTCACGCTGGAGCGCGTGATGGAAAACATCCGGCGGGACAAGGCGTCCTTCGTGTTTCTCAGCTACGACTGCATGACGCAAACGCCGGACGACGAGAAATCTGACGGTGCGGTCACGATGAGCGGGCAGTGCGCGTTCTTGAACACGTTCTGGGTGAAGACGAAGCTGATGTGGCACGGGCGGTGTTCGCACGACATGTGTGTTGCGGCAAACATACCGGTGGAGGATATTGAGGAGCCGAATGTGGTGGAGCAGGAGTGCAGTCTGTTTGAAAAGCCGCCCAGCCTCGGAACGGCGGAGGAGTTTTCGACGAAAATGCTGTCCGAATACGCCCAGGATTGGTTTCTCCAATACAACTTCTTTCGCGAGAAAGCCTCCCATTACCCCACTCTGCAAAAAGCGTCGTCCTCCAAGCGGCGCCAGCTTGCAGTGAAGCTAGCGGAGGAGGGCGGGTCCTCGTCTTCGGCGCAGGGGGAAATCGGTGACTGGTCGTCGATGCACGAACTGTTGCAAGACGAGCAAGGTGGTGCGACGGCTGGTGCTGAGGTTATGACTAGTAGCAGCATGGAAGTTGTACTAGATGAAGCGACTGCTAATGTCAAGAACCATCAAAAAACATACGTCGACCTGGGTGGGTGTCTTCCCTTCGACTACAGCAACACGGTGTTTTTCGATCGCTGCCAGGCGGAACGCTGGAGTCGGGGGCTGTGCGTGGAGCCCAACCCGACGCTGACGCCGTTCCTCGAAGCCTACCGGCGGTGCAAGGTGGTACCCTACTGCGTCGCCGACCGCGACAAGCCCCGGAACGTGTTTCGGTACCGCGACGGGGCCAGTGCCTTCGCCGCCCGCTGCACCACGCTCGCGAATTTGCTTCTTTCCGCGGACCTGCACGACGTGGACTTTCTCTCGGTGGACATCGAGGGGCAGGAAAAAAAAGTGTTCCAGGACTTCCCGTTCCACGCCTTCAACGTGAAGTTTGTCGTGGTTGAAGTCGGGACGGGCGTCAACTGGCTCGAACTAGACACCGCGTTTCTGCGCGGCGGCTACATCAAGATCGGCATTCTCGGTCGCGACTGCGTGTACGCGAAGCGGTCGGCGCTGAAGGAGCTGAAGGGTCACCTTCCCGGCTTCGAGATGCTGAACCGCCTGCCCGCGGACGCGCGCTACGGACTGCCGGAAAATTGGGAGGAGTTTCACGGGCAGGTGATCCGCGATGAAACGCGGGCGGAGGAGTACGCGCAAGCGCGCATCCGACGGGAGGTGGTGCTGAAGCGCCAGGGCTTTTCCGAACAGGAAGCCTTTGTCGAAGCGAAAAGAATGGTGGATCTGGTTTGGGCGGAGAAGCGACAGCTGCCTGGCGGATACCTGCCCGACGAAAAGCCAAACCTCCCCGTGCACGAGTTGGACTGATAGAGTTGAATGTAGCAGGAACTAAAATCGCTGGCAGCGGTGTTAGAATCGCGAGAAACGCACAGACCGCGTTTCCTGATCATCTGGGTGTTCGATCGTGTTGTACCGATCCGCACTGCAGCTCGGGCTGTGTCCGGCTGCAGATGAAAAAGTGTTTCTTGACGCTGGCTGGATCGCTGCGTGTCAAAGAAAGAAGGAGAAGGTCTGTGGGAAGATCATAAGGAAAGGAACAAATTGCAGATAGAAGATCTTCGAGTATCATCTATCCGAAATCGTTATTATCGCAGTCGTGATTCTTGTACGGATCAGAAGGACCAAATACAAGGATGGACATGCAGTGCGGATTTTTCAGCTTGTATCAAGTCTCAATTACACGAAGTCTTCATTCGTTTTCGTCCTTGAAGCAGGCAACATAGATACATTCCTCCATTCTGAACCTTGCTTTCGACACTGTACCTCTACGCACCTCACTATCTACTTCTACCACGTAACTTGACGTATGAACCGTTGAAAATTTTCTCCTTACGACGTTTCCTCTCTTGCAAAAGCATGTCTGCGTACCCGCAGGTGCAGTACGTGACGGCGAGCGAGCTGCGGCTGATGCTGAATCAGAAGCAGAACAAGTTTCCGGGATTTGAGGACATTGAGATTATTGACGTGCGCGATGACGACCGGGCGGAGGGCGGTCACATTCCGGGCTCCCGGTGGGTGCCTAGCCGACAATTTCGGCAACGGCTGCCAGAGCTCGTCGAACAATACAAGACCGTGAACAAGACGCTGGTTTTCCACTGCATGTTCTCGCAATCCCGGGGGCCCAGCTGTGCGCGGCTCTTTGCGGAGGCGGCGGGCAAGCAAGAAGACGTCGCAACGGTTTGTAAGGTCCGCATACTCCGGGGCGGGTTTATCGGCTGGGAGACCGAGTGTCCAGACTACATAGAACAAAAGAACGAAACGGAAGGACCAAGGAAATTCTTCGTTTTTGAGGACGACGAAAGAAATATTGAAAAGGCCGACACGGCCGAGGGAAACGGATGAAGAAAAAGCCGCTTTGTGAATATGTGACACTGTATTTCGGACGTGAGAAGCAAGACTGGTTTGACTATACGACGACGCATGAGTGCCCAAGGGCGCGGTTACGAACGGAAAGCAATGTTGTATGTGGACGGTACTTGTCCTGCTCGATAATCGTCTTTGTGTTCTATCGGAAATATCAATGTTGCTCTTCTTTCTGTTGCCGTTGGGTATGAATTAGTACGCCAATTTCGCAAAGCTAAAGTCATTTCGTCGTCTGCGAGAAGTTCGTGAGCTGGTTGTTCGCGACTCTAGTTGGAATTCGAGTGAAGGAGTATCCTTGTTTGTGGAAAGAAGTCAGTCCCGGTTAATCTTTCGTCATCAAGCTCTACTACTGGTGGCTTGGAGTCGTGCTGCTCGTACTATCGTCGCATGCTCTAATTAAACCCGGTTAAAAGTCGTGATTTCACCTGCGCAAATTGATTAGTTCACGGAGAGGCGACGACGTACAAAGTTACTTAGTTGTAGTTGGTTTGACGTCTACTTCTGTTCGCTTGCATCACCGCTTCTTATGCATCGAGAAAGTACAATGGCGTTGGCACAGGACGGCACGTGAGGAAGATCTTCATCTGAAATAACGAAGGAAACCTTCTACCGCGAAGGAAAAGGCGAATGATGCGTGCAGTTGTGAAAATTCGCCGCAGGGGTATCTGCCTTGTGGCGCTGTTGCTGGATTCAGCAGCGCAGGCGCTTTTCGGGCAGGAACAGCAGGAAGAGATCGAAATCCCCTTTGACGCCTATACCGAAGAAAGTGATGCGGCACAGGCGGAAAAAGCCGCTGCCGCTGCGCCGCGGTCGTTTCGGCGGCGACGCGAGGAGAGGGATAAAGACAAGAACAAACCTGCTCCCGCACGTGTGGTACCACGTTCCCCGGTCATCTCTGCACCTCCGGCCAGCGCGGATGATAGCAGCAGTGCCGTTCTTGACGATGAAAATATTCAGCCGAGTGCATTCCTGGAAAATAAATCCGCGGGGAGTAAACTAGACTCGCGGGTGGGCCACCTTCCTCCTTCCGGCGCAGAGCCCCAGTTTCACTTCGCGGGAAAGGACTTTTCGGCACACGCTGACCCACGGTACCTGGACGATCCCCGCACACTGCAGGGGGACAACCTGGAAGAGTACGTGTCCGTGCTTCGCGCCCGGCCGCTCGGGGAGGCGCTCGCGCAGGCGTTGGCCGCGGCGGCCGCGGCGCCCGATACCCACGTGCTGCCGGCCGTCTGCGAGGCGGCGGTCCTCCTGAATGGGAACGCGCTGGAGGAGGTGTCCAAGTACTTCGGAAAACTGGAGGCCACCGCGCACTACGGGGCGCCCTCGACGAACGCGCTGATCACGTTGACGAAACATGCTGTGGAAAAGGGTACGGCTGCGGTGTACAGCGAGTACGGATTTCGCATCACGCCGGAAACGCTGACCTTCACCGCGGTGCGGACCAGCCCGCTGATGCTTAAGTTCGCGCCGAACAGCATGCAAAACGATCCGGACTTTGTGGATTGGGTAGTGCGCCTGAACGGCCACGCATTGGAGTTTGCCTCGGAAGAAGTGAAGAAGAACCGCGACGTGATCACGTCCGCCATTCTCACTAACGCCACCAGGTACTTGCTTGTTCTATAGCAACTACGATAACATTATCGTACTCGTGAATGATGGTGCAAAAATGACTATCGCAAGCTTTTGGAGACGAAAGGGCGATGAATCAGTTGCGATTTGTTCCCAGAAAAGTTAATGTGCGAGGAAAGCAACTTCGTTTGTTGTTGTTCTGTATAAGTGAGTCCTCAAGATGAAAACATGTTTTCTAATCCCATTTTACAGTTTGCAGTTTGCGGACACCTTGATGCGAGAGGACCGGCACCTGTGTGACCTCGCGATCCGGACCAACGGTACCGCGATCCAGCACTGCGCCCCGCACTTTCGAGGCGACGTCGAGTTCGCGTTGCAAGCCATCGGCCACGACATGCGCGCGCCCGCAGTAGTGTATGAGGACACGGGCAAACAAGACTGGGAACCGTTTCTGAAGCACGACACCGACGCGACCGAGCACGGGCGGCTCACGCAGCAAATGAAGGCGCTGCGCGACCTCGCCAGCAGCGAGGAGGCCACCGCGGAGACGTGCGCGCTGTACCACCTGGACGCGGAGCTCCGCTGCGATCACGACCTAGTCTACATGGCGGTTGCCAACCGGGGGCGGTGCCTGGTCGCCGCGTGCGACGAGGCCAAGATGGATCCGTTCATCGTGGAGACGGCGCTCTTTAACACCTGGCGCGCTGCTGCCTACGTGAAGCCGGAGTTCTGGGCCTCGCCGGAGGGACTCAGCACCTTGCGGTTCTTCTTCGTCGTGTCGCAGGGGGGTATTTACCCGTATCTTCCGGATGCTTTGAAGCAGCACCCGACCTTCCAGCGCGTGGCGGTAGGCGCGGAGCCGATCGTGGCCTACCCGATCCTTCCCAGTGCGAGTAGCCGGGTACAGTACGCTGAGCTGGCGATCGTTCGGAGCAACGGGTACGCTCTGAAATTCATGGACACGCCGGAATTTTCGGAGAAGTACGCGGAACTCGTGCGGTTGGCGCTCGGCGTGAACGGCTTGGCGCTGCAGTTTGTGGATCGGCAGCGGCTGCCGGCCGACGAACAGAAGTATGTCTGCTACGACGCCGTGCTGCAGACGCCGCTGGCGTGGCAGTACTGCAGCGACGCGGAGCGGCGCCCCGTGGCAACGCCGTCGTTCCTTCGGCAGCTGCTGCTACGCGACGGACGCATGCTGGAGCACCTGCCCGACACCGTGCGCCAGGACCCGGAGATGGTTAGCCTCGCGGTGCGGGACCCAAAGAGGGCGCACATGATGCAGTTCGCGAGCGCCGCGCTGCGCAACGACGTCTTGTTCCTGCGCCAGCTCGCGCTGCGGCATCGCCACATCAAGTGGATGCCCTACGTTTTCGAGAAGCCTCGCGCGGACATCGTGTTGGCGGAGATGGGAGTCACTTTCATGGACGGCGCCACAGTCTTCAAGTGGATGGCGGTTTCACTCTGCGCGGACAAGGAGCTGGCGTACCAGGCCGTTGTCGTGAACGAGGACGTTCCCAAGGCCGGCTTCACGAACTCGACCGACGTGAGTACCGGCATGAAGCTGACGAAGCGCGCGCAGGACCTTGCGTACAGGTACTTTCCCTTGCAGTTGCAACACGACCTGTGGCGGGAGGCGCTCTACGTCGCTAATCCGCTCGGCGTCACGGGCTTACTGTCCGCGGCGGCACTGCCACCCCTGAGTCGGCGGCTGACACCGGAGGCGGCGGACTTCCTTGCGCTCGGCGGGCAGTACCACTACGTGCCGCGCCCCGTGCAAACGCGGCGCCGGACGGAGGACGCCTTGCTGGCGATGGGGAACCGCGGGGAGACCATCATCTGGCAAACGCTAGAGCCGACCCTGGTCGACAAGAGTCTGGTCGTGTTTGCGGTCGCGCAGATGAGCAACAACCACGGCACCGTGCTCAATGCCCTCGAGCCACACTTGCGGAACGACAAGGAGATTCGCGAAATGGCCGTGACCGCGGAGCGCGACGACGCCTGCCTGTGGCAGGGTTGGCAGATGGCTCTGACCCATCTGGATCCGGTTTATCGCGACGACAAGGGCCTGGTGTACGAGGCCCTGGGCGGTCACTCGTGCGCCAAGATCCGGGAGGAGGTGCACAAGGACCAGGTCCGCAATACGGCCAGTGCCGCGGCCGCACAGCTGGCGATCGAGGAGGGTTACACCACGGGCGCCGCCGCCTACAAAAACAGCGGCGGGGACGCGGTGGCCACCAGCCGCGCCTACCAGCCGGTGCTCCATGACCGGATGTTCGACAAGGCGGATCTGATGCTGCAGGTGGCGGTCGGGCCGGTGCTGAAAAACGACTGGCACGTGGTGCAGCGCGTCGTGCGAAAGCGCGGCCTGCGGGAGCTGCGCGCGGCGTCGCCGGCGATTCGAAAGCAGGTCTATCAAAACCTGATCGACAGCGTGTGGATGGGGCAGATGGACGTCAACGTGATTCGGTTGTTCCACCTGATCGAGGAAGCCGACGCGAGGCCTTTGGCGGAGCGGAAACAGGCGTTTTTCACGGACCTGCAGGAGCACAAGTGCTGGGACACCCTGTCCTACGCAGCGGTGATGCTGGAGGAGTCTTCAGAGGGGAACGACGAGGACTCCTCGTTCAAGCTGACCACGACGCACGTGAACGACGCGATGAAGGACCACAAAAACGTGATGGAGTACAAGTACCTTAGCGAGGAACTGCGCAAGGACGCCGTCCTGCTTTCCAAAATGACGACCGCCTCGAAGACGGACGGCGACGTGGCGGCCTGGCTGCCCTACGCGCCTGAGTCGGTGCGCTCGCATGCGGGCACAATGCGCGTCATTCTTCGACGAAACGGGCGGGCGCTCCGGTTCGCGGCGGCGAATGTAAAACGGGACCCGGCGTTGGTCGCTATCGCCGTGGAGAACGACCCTTCCGCCGTCGTGTTCGCGTCGCGCGACCTGGCCTTGAAGAAGGCGGCGGAAGCCGTGGCCGCGAAAACAGCGAAGCCGGCGGTTGGAAAGATGTTCTATTTGCACTCTCCGTTGTACGGCCAGGCGCCAGCGCCCTTGGACGCGGTGGTGAAGGCGTGCGGTGTGGATCCCGCGGACGTGTTTCAGTACATGGACCCGACGGGGACCGAGAAGTCGCTTTTGCAGGCCGAAGTGGTGGAGGCCGCGCTGGGGAGTGACGTGTCCATCTTTGGTATTCTCCCGGTCGAGGACCGTTCCAAGCTGAATTTGCTGCAGCTCGTCCTCGAGAAGCATGTCCAGGGCGACATGACCAAGGCGGTGGAGCTTGTGCGGCACGCTGCACTGCCGGACGAAGAGCTCGAGACTCTGGTGCGACTGGTGCTGTCGACACAAGAAAAGGCGCTGCAGGAGAAGGCGGATGTCGATCAGCTCGCGCCGGTCCCGGCCGAGCAGTCGGTGCTTGGGGCCCTCCCGTTTCTAATCGCGCGCAACAACGAGGAAGTGGTCCGTCTTGCGTTTTCCGAGTACCCGCGGTCCACCGTCCTACACGTGCACCAGCTGCCTTTACGGCTGCGCCGCAGCAAGGAACTCGCGCGGTACGTGCTCGTCTCCGCGGCCCAGATCGACTGGGGCGCGACGTCGCTGCTAAGCCGGTTTGCGACCGCGGTCCGCGAAGATCGCGGGATCGTGGAGGTTGCGTTGAAAGAATCGTCGCTCGGACAGCGCCTGCAAACCATGCAGTTTGCCGGAGCGGCGCTTCGTAATGAGATCGACCTGCACGAGATGGCGATGGCAGAGGAGATGGGTTTGTTCCCCAGCGTGATGGACCCTCCGTCCATTCGCGCAAACCGCAACTTGGTGATGAAGGCGCTGCAGCCGGACAAGGCGGGAGCCATTTCCGTGTTCCGGTTTCCTTATCTGCCGGAGGAACTGCGCAGCGATCCGGCGGTCGTGACGAAGGTGCTGCGCCACCAGAACGTTGTGGGATGGGAGGCCTCGCCGTCGGTCATCTACGGCTTCATTTCGGAGCACCTTCGGAATTCCGACGAGAGCCTTTTGCGGGAGGCCACCACGGCCTGGGAGCACGCCCGGACCTTCCTGAACAGCTTGCGGACAAATGCCGCGATGAAGCACATCCCGGACTTTTCGTGGAAAGCCAACCGGCTGCTCCGGGCGCAGTCCCCGCTGCTGTTCGCGTCGGACGTCTTGCTGGTGATGAAGTACGACGAGATTGTGATGCCCGTGTTGCACACGCTTGATGAGTCCCCCATGTACGACGCTCGGCGCGAGGCTCACATTCTGCGCCGGGTCCTGCAGGACGCCGCGTTTCACGAGGGGGAGAGCCTGGTGTGGGAGCGGGCGCGCTTGGCGAAGGATTACAACCAGGTCCCGGTGGAGTACCAGAGCGACCCGCGCGTGATCGCGCACTTCCTGATGAACGGCGAGCGGTGCATGCCAGACGTGGCGGCGGTGGGGAACGACTACAAGCTGCTGTCGCAAGACAACCCCTATCTGTTGGAGCTCGCGCGGACCCACATGTTCAGTCCGTACCACAAACTCGACCCAACCACGGGCGACTACCCGAAGGCCGACCCGCAGACCCTGTCGCGGCACCTGAAGGCCCTCGGCCCGCTGACTGATCCGGGCGGCGCGGAGTTCGCCGCCATGTACACCCCGATGGCGCTGCAGCACCTGGACGCGAAGAGCATGTCCAGCGACGACATTCGGTCCGTGTTCGCGGCCGTGCTGTTGCAGCACCGCGTGCCGGCGGTGATGCAGTTTGCGCCCCCAGAGCTGCGGTCGGACCCGGTTTTCTTTCTGCAGATGGTGCACGCCGGCGTGCCCGGCCGCACCAGCCTCCCCTTCGCCACCATTCCCGCCGACCACCCGGAGCCGGAAAGGCTGTACGAGTTGGCGCGAGAAGTGATGAAGCACGACGCGAAAAGTCTCGACGCCATCCTGCCGTGGCTGCTGAAACTGGGCGCCGCCGACAAGAAGGCCGGGATGGCGCTGCTGCGCGAGGTGTTCGAGCTGGCCATCCGCGAGAACTGCCGCGCCTACATGCTAGCGCCCATGCACTTGAAGAGCGACGTGGACTTTCTGCGCAGCGCGTTGACCAGCTGCGACCCGGACCAGAGCATCGCGGAGAAGATCCCGCATGACGTGATTCTGAAGAACCCGGAGATTCTCTCCCTCGCAATGGACACCACGCCGGCGCTGACGCAGTACAACCAGCTCAGCGAGCAGCTGAAGAACGGGGCGGTTATCATGGAGCGGGCGATCGCGCGGTTCGATCCCGCGGCGCAGCCACCCTTGGCGCCCGCAGCGCAGATCATTTGGGAAAGACGGCTCGTGACCGACTACGTGCTGGGCACCTACGACAAGCAGGCCGCGCACACCCCGGAAAGCAATCAGAAGGTTCGCAGTCTCCTGCTCGCGGCGGTGCAAAAGCAGCTGATCTCCTACTGCAGCGTGCCCACGACGTTGCCCTCGGACGGGTTCGTTTTGAAGGACGCCGCGTTTCTGGAGGAGGCAATCAAGGGCGGCGCGTCGTTCAAAAACTGCTTCCTGTCCAAGGAGGAGATCGGGTCCAACCCTGGTCCCCTGCTCATCCGCATGCTGCGTCGCAGCTCGTACTACGGGGCCGACGTGGACGACATTGTGAAGTCCTTCACGAAACACGACCTGCTGCTCCCGCTAATCTTCTTCGAGGAGGAGGAAGCTAGCAGCCTCAACCACGAACACGACGACCACGAGGAGGAGGGGGAGCACCGCGCGGCGTACTTTAAAAACATGGACTCATCGGCTTCGTCTTTCCTTTCCAGTGCTAGTGCAGCAAGAACCGCGGCCACTGATGTCGACGAGAAGCAGCAGTTGGAGGCCCCTGTTGTCGAAGCGGAGAAGCAAGAGGTAAGGAAAATTAAAATCAGATAGTTTATTGCAAAATTTGTGTTCGCGGCCCTAAGTAGCTCCAGCTTTTTCGTCTCCATCAAGGGTTACAGACGGTGTCTCGCATGTAAGTATGTTTGTATCGTTTTCATGAGGTCGTACCTCCATGAAGATCTTCTCTTTGTTGATCGTAACGACCATAGCAAGACCCAGTATTGACAAAACAATCATAGAAACAACAGCCTGTCATGGCGGCGCCGGTTCGTAGCTCGCCTTCTTTGCGCGGAACGCTGCACGCGCAACAGAAGCTGCAGCAGCAGCAGCAACAGCAGTCGTTTGTGCAGGTGCAGCAGGCGTCGACACCGCCCACAGAAAAGGGGACTGGGGACGAGAAGCAGAACGCTTCTCAAGGAGTAGAAGCTCTGCCCCTTGTAACAAATGGTCAGAATGATGTCCACTTTCCCGTTTTCAAGCCGGGCCAACCCAACTGGGAGTTCCTGAGCGAGCTGGTGGACGCCTCGCCCCGCACGATAGTTGTACTCTCCAACGAGAATGTACTGCCCAAGTCGCTCCGCTGCAGCACTCGCTTCATGATGATGATGTTCGTCGACGCGCTACCGGACATCGCAGAATTGCCGGAGGACATGCATCAAATGGTAAGTGCTCAGAACTCGTTCCAAGGTTCAGCGTTTTTTTTTGTGATGAACTAGGATAAGTAGAAAGAGAGTATCTATAGTGGACTAGAAACCGACGAAGAAGTAACAGTGGAGAGCAAGCAACGGAAATCAAAACCGCGATGAAGAGCAAAATATCACCGAGATGAAATAAGTAAATTCTAAGTATACCAAATCAAATCTATCAGATGAAGAAGTGGCTGGTCGGCACACGGGAGCTCTGTCCGGAAATGGCGGCGGATGATCAGTTTATTGTTGAGGTGATCCAGAGCACCAGTCTTCGCAGCCTGAACCAGGGCGTGATTTTGAACCTGTTCTTCGACCACTCCAAAACGATGACGGAGCGTGTGAAGCGCGCACTGATATTGGTGAACAAAGGCTTCCTGATGCTGGACCGGTATGTAAAGGACTCGAACGCGGAGAACCGGGACAAGCCGGACGAGGAGGCGGACTCCAGTCAGGATGTGGCTTATGGAGTGTCAGAATCGAAATCGACAAAATCGAAAAATTTGCGATGCATAAAATGCAGGGCACGTAAGGCCTGTATTGGGGAGCAGGCAAATGAGACCGATCACAAGCCTGGTTAGGGGTATGCAATGCGCTGCCTGATTAGCATGACAGAAGCAGTCTTCTTTGCCCGAACAGCATGACAGACTGGATTTGGGTGCTCCCGAAATTTGTCATGCGCCACTCGGAAACTGGGGCTCCAACTGGTGCCGATTTTGTGCATCACAAGTTTTTCGATTTTGTCAATTTCGACTCTGACACCTCCATATGGCCGACATGCTGACCGCCTCGCCGCACAAAAGCACGGCGCTGGGCCGGCTGTTTACCACCACCATCAGCGCGGCCATGGAGCGCGTCAAGTTCCGCAAGGAGCGCTACTGGCTGAAATCGCTGTTTAAGCGAAACATACCCATTTCCGCGAGCACGATTGCGAAGTGGGAGGCCAGTATGCCTGCGCCCGAGGACGCGCAGGAAGCCTTGCTCCAGTACGACATCGCGCGTTGTGCCGTTGCGGACGCCGCGCAGAACTACCACCAGCTGGGGTCCACTCTGAAGCGCGACAAGCGCATCTTGACCCGGGCCGTCCGCTTCGACTACGACTTCTACGAACAGAGCGACCCGAATTTCAAGAGCACCCTGGCGTCCGCCCCCTGGAACCTGCGGGACGACTTGGAGATCTTGGAGCACGCGCTGGCGACCAACGGGCTCGCGCTCCGGTACGCTTTTCCCGAGGAGGCCCTCATCGTGGGCAGCGGACCCCTGCACGACGACGGCGCGGTGGAAGAGTCGGACAGCGAGGAGGGTCCTCTTCCGAGCGATCACCCACTTCGTGCTCATCAATATCACCCGCACGAAATCCTTCCTGCCGAGCTTCTCCATCAACACGACACGGAGGTTGAAAATAAACCCATGGATCGACCCCCACGGTACCCGGGAGCAAAGCCGCCCGCAGCTTCGCTGCTGCAGCTGCGGCAAGCCGCGTCAAATGTGGGGTATTTGAACCAGGGCTACCTTCCGGACGAGCTGTATTTAACCGCCTGCGCGGAGAACGGACTCGCGCTGGCGTACGTCCCCCTGGCGGTGCGGCTGCGCAACCCCGGGGAAGCACCCGGACTGCTGATGATCGCGGTCGAAGAGGACGGTATGGCGCTGCGGTACGTTCCGTCGGCGCTGCGCACCTGGGAACTGTTGGACGCAGCGGTGAGGGAAAACGGGCTGGCCGTCCAGTTCGCCACCGCGGAGCACGTGTTCGACGTCTCGCGGTACAAGACGCTGATGATGCAGGCCTGCGGCCAGCGCGGAACGGCGCTGGAGTTCGCGGGCGCCGATAACCTCCGGGATATGGAACTGATTCTGGAGTGCGTGCGGAACGACGGCATGGCGTTGCAGTTCGTGCCGGTGGACTTGCGCACGGAGGAGGTGAACAAGGCCGCGCTGCAGTCGGAGGGGCGCGCGATCCGCTTCGTGCAGCCCAAGCAGGACCGGCAGCGCACCGACTACATCCGGCTGGCGGCGGTCACGTTCCGCGGAGCGCTGTGCTACGGGTCCTGGCACGACCGCCAGGACGTGGAGCTGATCGGGCAAATCGCGGCGGCGGTGGACAAGGTGCGCGCCCGGGGCGGCGGCGTCTACAACGAGCGGCTCGCCAAGGACAACGACATGGGCGGCGGGTTCCGCGCCGAGCACGACTCGCTGCTCAAATGCGTCCCGCCGCCGCTGCGGTACGACGACGCGCTGCTGGACAAGCTGCTGGTGTCCGATAGCAAGAACACGCTGCTGGAGTTCTTCTACAACGGCGACGGCAAGTTCATGAGCACCATGCCCCGGGCGCCAATGCCAGGCTCCAGCACAACCTTCAGCATTCTGCCGCGCGGCATGCTTACGGCCGAGCGCGTGCTCATGGCCCTGCAGCAGGACGGCTTTGCGCTCAGCGTGCTGCGCATCACCAAGCACGTGTGGAAGTGGGATTTTGCGCGCACCGCAGTGATGCGCGACGGCATTTCGCTGGGCATGGTTTCGCACCCGCTGCGCGACGAGCTGGACATCGTGCTCGCGGCGTGTGAGAACGACGGCACGGCCATCAAGTACGCGTCGGAACGGCTGCAGACGAACCCGATCGTGCGCTACGAATGCCTGCACAAGGACTTGAAAGCGCGGGAAAAATTTATCGAGGGCAGCCGGCACCCCTCGCATCTGTCGGGAAACATGGACCTGGCGGGCTTCGAACTGATGGCCGCGCCGGCCACCATTCAGGACGACGACAAGATCAACAAGTTGCAGAAATTGGCCATTGGCGCGGCGCCCATGCTTTCTCGCTTCATGAACCGCGAGGTGAGGGGTGCGCTCTGGGATCGCCGAAGGGATCCGGAGTACGCCTTGTCGCCGGAGATTGGTATGTTCTTGAGCGAGGCGGAGGACAACGCCCACGCGATCGATTTCTCCCTCGCGGTCGATCGGCCGCTGTTCTCGCCCAGTCAGTGGCACTGGACCGACGGCCACGAAAACGACAATAAATTTGAGCAAATCGACGACCTGCTGCACCGATGAGCGTCACGCGGTGCGGGCGAGGACTCCGCATACTCAAATTAAGAACCGCAGGCAGCGTTTGCGTTTGCGAATGTAAATGTGGACATGCAGGGAATGATATCCCTCAATCTAAGGCAAAGTTGAAAATTAGCAACGTACTAACTTTGTCTAAAAAAAGTATAATTCAGTAAAAACAGAGTTCGTTGTATACGCGTTTTTGTTTCACCTTGCTCAACTTTCGCATCTGTATGATTTTATGAAGTAGAAGCTGTAGTGCTGTCGGTCACCCGCTGACCTGGCCGGATTGATAGAGAGATGGAGCTTGTACAACAAGCCAACAGCCACCTCAATAACAATAACGGGCTGCTCTACAACAGCTACCAGTGTTTCCTAGAAAATTTGAGTCTTATTTATTCTTTGCACCTTTTCGAAATGCTTTCACTGTGCACAATCAAGTTGAAAAAATGTACCCCTGTACAAACCGTACCTAAGTGAAGATGAAACTGACTAAATTTGTGCGGTGGTCGATAGTCTTTGCACTTCCTCTACCTCGAAATAGATTGACTCAAGAAAGACGTATGAATCGAATGGTGTGGAGAGCGATGAAAACGAGGATAGGAAATGTTGCATTTTCCCGTGGAGGTTCGGCATGGAGTTCGTTCCATTCACGATCTGCATAACGAAGTTGCATGTGTTTCGCGACAAGCTTCTTGCACTCGCACGCCTTCGTTTTTTTGAATTACATCGCTATTCGTCGGAGCTGGCCCTCCTCGGAAGTAGGGAACTCGCAACATACTGGCATCGTTGATCGCAGTCGGATAGGTGCCCATCAATTTCGTTCGGCTCCAGGCGGTAAGGGCGTACTTGAATTAGAATCATCTTTCAAGAGCGCCTACTACAACTATCCTGGGTGCGAAAATCACATGTAGGAATAACGAGCGCGGGTAAATGTAGGTTTTTTTGCAAACGAGCGGAAGGTAACAAGTTCACACGACGGCATCCTGTAAAGTGAGTGAGGCCCGGACCTGCGTTGTTTGGTCGTCACTCTTGTTTGCAAGCAGTTTCGGTTTGTAACCGACGGAAACTGCGCAACGAGCTTCCGCCATGCCCGCGTCCAAAGCGTCCACATCCCTCGGGAGTTCTTCCACTGCTCTCAATGCAGGTAAAAACGAGTTGCCGGCGCGGTACAACGACAGTAAGAATGTGCTTTCAACAGCGGGAGACCACGCCGAGCAGGTATCCAATGAAGAGGAGTTTAGCCAAAGTGCGGAGAAGCTGGCCAAGGCGCTGCCAGACAACTTTGGGGATGTGGTCCACCGAAAGCCCAAGAAACAACCAGCGGGGACGAGTAGTGCAGTAGCTCATTCATCGTCCAAACCCAAAGCAAAAACTACATCTGTACAAGAAAGCACTTACTACAACGGGTCGCGTTACAACAGCAACAAGTGGCCTTTCCCGCGACCCGTCTCCGACCGCTTGAGTTTCGTGAAGGAGGTGCTGCAAGTTCACGTGAAGGACCCCGTGCTGCGGAAATGGCTGGTAGACGAGGTCGTGGAGTATTCCCTGAAAATTAACCATCCCCATCCAATTTGTCATGCAAAACATGTAGTAAAATCTGTGTCTGTCATGCAAAAAGTGGATGGGGATGGTTAATTTTCAGGGGATATGGAGGTGTTCCGGACGAAGGTAAAGTCTGATCAGCAACGGGAAATGTGGAAGATGCTGAAAGACCAGCTCGACGAGCTGAACCTCGAGTTGCAGAAGCAGCTGAAAACGGCGTTCCCGGAGTGGTACCTCACCCGCGCAAAAATTCAAGTAATGATGGAGGAGGAAACGAAGTGCCGTATCCTGAGTAAAAACGTACCCACACCAGAGTTGTAATGCAGATTTGCAAAGACAGGAAGACTTGTAATGCGCATCCCCATGAGAGCCATTTCCAATCGTGTTTTGGAATTTGTGATGCTGTGAACAGGATGACCAGCTGGATTTGTGATGCGGCTGCACTTGCTAACCTGCACTACTCTGCAGAGTGTAACTTGTCATGCGTGACTCGCATCGGTCCATTTTGGCTCAAGCCATTTTGGCTCAAGACTTTGTCTTGTTGCCTGAGATCCAACAACGTAGAACAGGGGGAGCTATGCCGTAGAGTAGGATCTTCATTAATCTCTTCAGCTGCTGTTAAACCACCACTGATGCCACGTCGGTATCTCCCCCGACTCCCTGAAGCGGAGTTTCGAAAAGCCTGTAGATAAACACCCGAACGTGGCGGGTCCTCTGTGCCCCCTTTTACAGTAGTTTTAGCCAGAGCATCGGCACCCCGAGTGACCATGCGCACAAAGAACAACTAACATGTCCACTCCACCGACAAACCGCACTGACACGGAGCCGCCGTGTACCGTCCTACATACTCTCCGAGGCACAGTAAATAGCATAGGAAAGCAAACCTCCACTCCCGGAGAGTCCGCCCCGCCGCTCCGCTGCGAGGCGAAGGAACGGCAGTCGATGTGACCGAAGGTAATCGGCGGGCCTCCTGATCCGCGCATGCTATGGTCCCGAATAGACCAAAAACTGGACCTAAGCATCATGAAGCACGACCCAGCCAGGTAGGAGCCAGGCTTCCAGTGGTGGCGCAATCAATAAGCTGGTCGAGACGCAAGCGAATCCGCTCGTGTAGTGCAACGTCAGCAAGCCGCGGAGGCCCCTGCGCTGCGAGCTCAATGGACAGCGGCATCAAAGTGGAAGACGCCCGGTCGTCTACCGGGCCTCCAGTTCCGCGCATGGTATGGCGCCGATCGGGCCGCGACGTCGGAGTATCGGTGCGCGTCGTGCAACGTCAGGGAGGACCCGGTGCTACGACTAGGCACCGGACGGAGACGTGGCGAAAGACAAGCGATTCTCGTCCTTGCGGCAAAACGTCACAAACACATCGGTGGGCAGCGACTAACGCCGAAACAAACTTGTCGTTTGCCCGCCCTGTCTGTAAAACCCATGGGCTGGGCCTTGGGACGGGTCTGGTTCGTCAGTGCCATCGGGTGAGCTCGTTGCGACGTTGGTCAGGCGGAGCTCGTTGCGCTTCGCCCGGGTGCTCCAGACCACGTGGACACGGAAGTAGCGGTATATCTCTAGCTATTTGCGATCTCTGGCTCACCTCCCCCTGCACTTTGTGCGGGCCGCAAACCCATGTTACATGTTTCACTTTGCATGCACTACTTGTGATCTCGTCCAGTTAGTAGATGAAGGACGTCTTAGAGTGTCGCTGCGTGTGCCGGGGACGGAGCACGTCCGTCCCCGCCGTCTCCCCCAAAAATGAGCCTCAGGGTGGCAGCTACAATTCGATAGCGCCTCAGCTTTTCCCGAGAATCCGCTCGTGCTGTGCATCGTCACCATTCCCACGACGGGGCCGAGCCCTAATGCGAGCTCCCGGACCAAGCTGCGGCAGACGGGCCGCCCTCTCCTTCTCTTCCGGCTACAGACATTCTGCTCATACCAGGCGGTCTAGATACGAACATGGGCCCTACGGCTAAACCGGTACCTCGGGGGCCCTCGGGGGTGCCGGTTAAGAACCCGCGCAGCCGCAGCCCACAAGGGGACCGATGCGGCTCGGAGAGAATCCGCCTCCTCGCCTCGCGCTAGGCAAACGGGCCGTCCAGTGGGGAGAAAAACGGAAAAGAGCACTACCTGCCGCGGTCGACAGCCTCTTCTCCGACTTGTTCGTCTTCAGACGCGAGGGTACGGCGGTCAGAGCGTAGGAGGAGGCCCCTCGGGGAGCCGAAAAATCCGGCCTAGGGCCGTGCCTGAGGACGAACAAAGGGTCGCGGGGCCGGTGCGCCCGACGACCAGATCGGGGAGTCCGCTCGGGTTGGGCATCGGCGGCAAGCCACGACTTCAACGCGAAGGTATTGCAGGATCGAGGGGGTTAAGACACTAGCAGACCCTGAACGGCTAGAGCGGCAGCGACGGGTCGCCCTAGCTGACACGTAGCGGCCGGCCGCATCACCACGAACCCCAAAAAGCGCCACTGTTTAACGGTATTTGCTACCTCGGAGTGCTGCAGAATTTGCTGTTTTTCGATGCTCTTGCATGTTTAGTAGCGCTGCGGTAAATTAAAAATTGAAAATTGACGGTGTTTGCAGCCTTAAAAGATGTATAGAAGCCTGAAAACGATGCCGGCGTGCACTCGGGGGCGGAGCATGTCCGTCCCCGTCGTTGCTTCAAAATAAAATCCCAGGTTGGCGTGGCTGACAGCCTCCTCCCCGGCATGCTCGCCTTCAAAAACGAGGACACGGCCACGGCGCAAACGTCCTCTTCAGTGGGGCGCAAGCAATGCACATGCACTGACTCCGCCCCTCCATGTCGCGCAGCAGGACGAGAGCCCGGACATCTCGCCGTTACTGGTGAAGGGGAAAACAATCCACGGAGTAGTCCTGTCCGTGTTAAATCTGGTGCGGTCGGCAGCCCTGCCTCCCGCCTGTTCGTCTTCAGCCACGAGGGTACGGTGGTCATAGCTCGGAAAAATGCGGCTCGTTAGACGGAAAAATCCGGCGTCAGGTCGAGTCTGGGGACGAACAAGAGCTGGGAAGCGATAACGTGCCCCCCAAGGGGGAGTTAATAATTAAGCGTCCCCCACCCACGGAATCCGCTCGTATAATGCATCGCCTGGAGAACCCGCCCCCTCGCGTTGGGTGCCGCCGATACGGTAGTCGTTTCAGCTAATGCAGCGGCTGCGGGGCACGGCAATGGGCCAGTTTGACGGTAATTGCTACCTCGGAACGCTGCAGAACTTGCTGTGTTTCGATACTTTTGCATGGTCAGGGACGCGGCTCTAATTTAAAAATTAAAAATTCACCACGTTTTCAGCAATAATGGATGTTTACAATGCTTGAAATCTATGCCGGTGTCTCGGCGTGTACTCGGGGGCGGAGCATGTCTGTCCCCGCCGTTGCTGTAAAATATAACCCCAGGTTGAGACGCAGAGCAGGGGTGAGGACCTGCGGCGAAAGTACAATCTTCAGACACGATGGGACTCGGGCCGGAGCGCAGACAGTGATAGAGGACCCGGCAGCGGCGGCAGCAGCAGCAGCGCGGGACGATGACGACACCACAATGCCGCAACTAGTAGAACCGGCCCCGCCCCGAGCTGGACCCAAGCCGCACCGCGATCGCCGACCAGAGCCGGGCGTTCGTGCTGGCGCCGGCCCTTATCCCGGCGGGCTCGAGAACAATCCTGAGAAAGGTACATGAGGCGGCGCCGAAGCACATCGCGGCGGCAATTCGCGCGGCGAACGAGCACGAGCTGCTCCTGGAGCTCGGCCCGCACTGCCTCCGCATCATCCAGCGGCCGGCACACGAAGGTGAGCTAGAAGCAGACCGCACCCGCGCAGCAGGAAAGGCATTGGCGGCCGGTGTGGCGGTGCCCGGTGGGGCAAAGCGGTACAAGGAAGCAGTCCCGCTAGCCATCTGGAGGGCAACAGGAAGCAAAGTAGGTCCTCTGGCCGGGACCTATACAAACCACCCGGACTACCGGGACATCCCCTGCAATGCTGCCGTGGTCGACGCCCTGGCGCTTCGGCAGACAGACCACGCAATTGGACTGGACCCGCGCAACCATAGCAGGCTCGCAGCGGGTACCCTGAAAAACGCGGGCGGATTTGCGGCGAACGAGTGGCCGGCGGGGGACCCGGGAGTGAGCAGTGAGGACCCCGACATCCGCAAGTCCGATAACCCCGGCGACCGGGCAGCCGTCAAAGGAAAAGCGTTGCAGAAGCGGCTGGAGAGGGCGCCGCCCGACACACCGTTCTGGACCGGCGCCGACAAGCCGGCGCTCGGGGAGGGCGGAGAGGAGGCCATGATCTGTGCCCCGGTGCGAAAAGTCTCCCGCACCAGCATAGCGGCAAACAGACCAACGCCGCACGGCCGGAGCTGCCCAGACTGCGTCGCAGAAGCACAAGAGATGGCGAAGAACACGATGGAGGGCAACACGCTCGTCCACCCGTACCTGGCCAGTTTTCTAGCCCCAGAACGAGTGCCGCCGGCGGTCGGACCGTACGCGAACTGGTTCGGCAGTGAAGCGCCGAACCAGGAGAACATGCGCTACCCCGTATACATCCGGACGCCCGAGGTAACAGCGGGAGCATCAGCAGCAACGATATACAAATGCACCAAGTGCGACGCGGTAGGACAGATGCCCAGCATGTTGGCGCACGTGGTTGTGTGCCGAGTGGGGCGGCATGGGCGGGTAGGCAGCATGCTGCTCGGCAAACTGAGCGCCCTGGCGGCGGGGGAGCGGGATGCGGCCACGCACCAAATAACGACGTCAAAGAAACATCACCTGGCGGAACTGCGGCTCCAGTTGGACGAGCGCCCGCCCCCGCCCGACATCGAGTGGTCCAAAGGACGGCGAATGAAGATCACACTGCTCAACTTGGATGGCGGACTTCTGACCAACTGGCCGCGCCTCGTGCATGAGATCACAGAAGCCGCCCCGCTGGTGGTCGTCGTCAGCGAAGCAGATCTCCCACAGGACCTCTCCAAAACTGTCAGCGACCTCATATACTTGACCCTCCGGGCGCGATATTTTATCTGGAGGGGAACAAGGTCCATGGCCCTGGTGGCGCACTCCCTCCGCCCGGCAGAGCAGGCAAGGTGCACACAGATCCCGCTGGCCCCGAGTATGGCAGCAATCCTTGTGGCACACGGAGACCTAGCGGGCGAACTAGTGGCGGGATATATCCCTCCAATCACGGGGGCGACGGGCAGAGACGAAGTGATGGCGCAGCAGCAGGCGGTGCTGAGGTACCTTTCGGACGCCCCCAAGGACGCAGTCGTGGGGATCGCAGGCGACCTGAACATCAGCACGGGGTCAATAATGCTGGAACGCCCAAGGCCCAACCCGTTCCGTGCGGCCATAGCAGCTGCGGCCGAGGCGCGGGGGATGCAATCTGCCCTCCTGCCCAGCGACGTTACCTACCCCGCAGCGGACTCCCAGCCAGATGCGTTGTTTCTCCGGCCGCACAGCCGGGAAACAGAACTGTGGACACAACTGAAGCTTCCAGAATTCCTGCCGGAGAACTGCGCCACGCACATGCGCATTGACTGCGAACGGGTGGCAGCCGAGGAAGACAGAGAGCGCAAAGGGGCCGAGCAACTGCCAGAGGGCCTCACGCGGCGGCGGGTCTTCCAGTGGACGAGCATGACGCAGGAGACGCTGAATAGAGTCCTCGCGCGGGCGTGCGAGGCGGCAAAATCGGCGAAGAGCTTCTCCGCCAAAACCTTGGCGCACATACTGAAAACGGAGCGGGCGCCAGTCCGTAAAGCCAAAATCCCGCCCACCCATCTGTCGTTGCTTAAAGGCGACGGCACGCTCACAATGTCGACGCAGGAGAGCATGGAGGCCTTTCGCGTCCGCCTGTGCGAAGGGAAGCCCGCCGGCATCCAGCGCACACCGGAGGAAGAGAAAGCCGTGGCAGAACAGGCGCGAGAACTAATAGAAGGCGCGCCCTCGGTCCCCCTGGAACCCTCTCTCGATATGGCAGTGCGAGCAATGCGGCGGCTAAACGGAAACGCGGCGGCGGGAGTCGATGGTGTACCAGTCGCCCTGCTGAAGGCGAGCACGACCCTCGCCTACTTGCTCGTCACCCTGATCTGCAACGCAATCAACGCCTTCGAGGAGCTGCCATGGAGTAAGGAGTGCTTGTTTGTCTTCCTATTCAAACACGCGAAAGCAGGGGCAACGAGATTCGTGCCGCGCTTTTGGCGTCCAATAGCCATGATCAGTGGCATCACGAAGCTAGTCGAGTCGGTGGTGCTCGGCGCGATAGAATCCCTGGTGAACGAGTTCCGGGACAACTCGGCATTCATCAAGGGCCTCTCGCCAACGGTAGGACTCATCCGCGCCTTGATGAAGGCAATGCAGTCGCGTCGGAAGTACGTGGGAGTCGTGGTGGGCGACATAGCAGGCGGCTACGAGAGCGCCTTTGTGATCCACGTGCTGACAGTATTGAAGGAGCGGGGGGCGTCGCGCCAGATTCTCCGCGTGGTCTATCGGTGGATGTGCGGGCGAACGGGACGAATAGTACTATGCGGGCTCGTCTCGCATGCCTTCCCCCTCGGGGAAGGCCTGGGTCAGGGCACGCTCCTGTCCCCTGCCCTGTTTAGGATCGTGGTCGAATATTGGTTGAACATAGTGGGTCTCGTCAGCGACTTGCACGACTGCATCACTGGCTTCTGCGACGAAATCGGGATCGTCGTAACGGCCGACACAGAAGCGGAGCTGAAGCAAAAGCTCACGGACAAAGCAGACCGCTTGCGGCGGATCCCGTACCCGATCGCTGATTGGCGCATAGCGGTTCTCAAAGCCCCGGTGCTGTCGAGTGGAACCAAGGAAGAGCAGGACGCCTTCTTCAGAAGGTTCACGGTGCGGCTCGCGAGTGGCCAGGTCCTCCGGCTCCCGGAAGTGGAGACGCAGTTGGACAGCGGGGCGGGGAAACCTCTACGGGTGGAGAGCGGCAATGGGCGTAGAATAAACAGAGCGGCCTATATCTCCGTACTGGGGGTGCCGCTATCACCACACCCAGAGGCATGGCTTGCACACCTGGGGAACCTACAGCGCAGGGTCGCAGCAGAGGCAGCGGAAGCCGCTGCAGACGAGGACAAAACAGTAGTAGAACTAATCGACCAGTACCACGCCAAGATGTTCAACTGCCTGCAATATGCCAGCTCGGTGAAGAGCATTCTCTGCCCGGGTGAGGCCCTGGCACGGCTCGACGCAGTAGCAGAAACCTGCCTCCGCAGAATGTTGCGCGTTAGCTTCACCGCCCCGGTGTACTCGACCTTCTTTAGTACGGGCGCCGTGATACCGAGTACGGCGGCACTAGCGGAGCGCAACGTGCTGAACATCCAGGCAATCGCCCTGGATAGCGATACCTTCGCACAAGAGGCAAAAGTGGAGGAAGTCTGCCCCCTGCGCCGGGAGGGGTGGACCAAGCTGCGCATCTCCCACACCCTAAAGCCCGCCGATCCGCTTCCCGACAACGTCGTCCTGCTGCCGGCTCCTGCAGTGTTCCAACGATATGGACTGAAATTCAGCAAAGAAGAAACGCCCAAGGTGGCGACGCTGGTGAAGGAGGAATTCGAAAAACTGGAAAAGCAGCTCGGCCCGGCCATGATGCTCATCGCAACGGATTCGGGCGACGTGCCGCGGTCTGCACCAGGCGCAGCGGGCCCCGGCCCCCGCAAGCGTATGGCGACAATAGTGATGAGACGGGGGGACGATCGAAAAGGGGAGTTTGCGCTTGCTGCCCGCCTTCGACATTGCCTCACAACATTCTGGGGCGAAGCGGGTGCGTTCGTCGTCTCGGTCCTCCTCCTCAGTGACAGTGTCCGGGAACCCCACGCCCCGATACACGATGACCGCCTCCGGCTAGTGCTATTCCAAGTGGACGCGTCGCCGGTGTTGGATAACGTGCTATCGAGTAGAACGGAGCAGACCTGGCAGGAGTGCCGCCGGGCACTGATAAATCTAGCGCGAACGCGTCCGGACTGCCTCTTCCTCTGCTTCTGGACGCCCGGCCACGCGGGGATCAGTCCACACACGGAAGCCGACCTGCTACAAAAGCAGACACACCTACCAAGCGAACCGCTGGAAAGGTTCACGGACCTGCGCATACCGCTCCGACAACTCCGCGCGTACGCAAGGGCATGCCTCCGAGAGGAGATCCTGGAAGTGGTGAAGAAGCGGGCGCGGACATCAACGACGGGCGCATACCGGGGCTACATAGCCGCGGAAGTCGGCGACGCGAGGAAAACGCTGCGGGGCCTCCCGGCGGCCAGCCAGCGAATAGCCTGGAGCCTACTGTGCGGAGATGGGAGAGACGCTGCCCGGGCAAGCGACTCGCGGGTAGGCAGCTCGTGCATCAAGTGCGGGCTTTGTGGCGAAAAGGTGTCAGCCGTGATCGCGTTGTCGGTCAGCCAAGACCCCTCCCCGCCCGCGATGGACGACGAAAGCTCTTCCGGGTCGAATGGCAACGATAGCGAGCTACTTATCGACGAGGAGGAGATGGGGGCGATAGACACAGCGGCCGAAGAACTCGCAGGGGACGCAGACGCCCCAAAGAACACGGAGTTCGCAAACCTCGACCGCCATGTTCTTTTGTCTCACTTCGCGCGGCACGTCCTCCTGTGTGAGTGCAAGAAGATCCAAGAGGAGGTGCTGACGGTGTGCCCGGCGATACCGATACCGACCTCGCAAAACCTCCTCCGTAGACCGGACATCACAGTCCGCGCCTTCCTGACGAAGCTGGGCATGGCCCCCCCGCCCGAAGGAGAATGGCCGGTGAAACCGCGGCAGAGGCCCGACAGAGACGACGTCCCGCCGCCCGCAGAGGTGCAAGCAAACGTGAACAGAGGGGCGCAGACGTTTCGCAACATGATCGAAATGGCGGAAACGGCGCAGCCCCCGGCAAGCGCCACGCAGGAACCCAACCCACCGGTCGTTCCGCGGAACTTCGTTCCCGGGGCGGCGCACAGACTCTGCACCAGTGCGCCCGACCGAACCCAGCCCCAGGAGGGCGATGCGCAGAGCCTTCTGGACACGCTGTTTTGGATACCCCCGGACCGGCGAGCCCCAGGAACCACGACACGAGAGCGGCAGGGGCCGTACACGCGCCCCCAGCAGCTGGGGCACGCATCTTCCCCCCCTGGGCAACCATCGAGCAGTCCCGGCGCAATCCCCAATACCACATCAGGACGAAGCGCAACCCCGGACCAGGGTGATGAAGACCGGGCGGCCGACGCGGCAGATGACCTGGAAACGGGGCGGGCAGAAGTTTTAGCTGGCGGAGTAGTGCTGCGACTGGACCCGGTGACGGGCCTTCCCCTACCGCGAAGCGGGGGAAGCGGGGCGAACGAGGAGGGCTTGCAGGACTCGCCAGACGCCATCGCAGCTCAGGTTGCGGACCAAGACGACCTGACGATGATGGAGGAAGACGAAGACGCGCTCTATACCTAACCTGCGTGCCTACCTAAAATCGGCATGCCTACCTAAAAACTTCCTATACAGCTGGACCCAAAGGGGAGAGTCATACCATTTCTAGACCACGACCCGCCCACGGCCAAGGTTCGGGCCCGGGTCTGCGGCGGCGCCGACTGGGAGTTCCTGACGAGCACGACGGAGAGCTCGCGAGGGAAGGAAGCGGAGTGTGGTGTAGAGAGGTTCAAGAAGATGCGCCGTAGTCGTCTGGTTCTCCTCGTAGTTCTGGTTCGCGTCTGTTTTTGGTTTTTCGCTCCGGCCCCTTGTATGACAAGATGGACTGATGAAAGAAAGGCGTGGTTGCCGCATAGTTGCAGTCGGGGAAGACTGCGAGCCTGTGTAGTTGAAGGAGCCTAGTTTCTAGCAAGAAGAGAGATGAAAGCGTATTAATCCCAAACAAAAAGAAGCGAAGATCTGCCCAGCGTCCCGCTCGTCGTGTTGCTATTTCTCGCTGCTGGGGATCTGCTCCGCGGTCTCTGCGCGCGCTCCGGAAAATGCTGTCCTTATCCCGCCGAGCGGAATCGGTAACTTCGGCGTTTTTCGCAAGGACATTTGGGCACAATCGGGTAAACAGGTCGGCGGGTCTAGGACACTAACTCAAAAAGCTGCAGCACGACCGTCAAAATGTCGCAGGAGGATCCAGTGGAAACCACGACCGTCTGTAACGCACAACACGCGGCGAGACTGTACCACCCTCCACCCGCGCGCGCCCAGCTTAGACCTAGCGCCGGAAGCGGGTTCGCCAATGTCTGCTGCTCACCCAGCCCACAGCACCCGGGGAAAAGTACGTTGCCCCGCAACAAATATGCTGTTCCACACGAATGGAGAAATGCACGCGAAAGTAGAGCCCTGCAACTTCTGTCATGCCTGCTGAGTATTTTAGATATACCGCTAGCAGAGGGGCGGCGCTAGCCCCGTCCTCAAGCTGTAGCTGGTGTTATGTTCTGCCATCGACATCTACCTACACCTTCCGCCCTCTCGCCTGCCCACTCGCCTGCCCACTCGCCTGCCCACTCGCCTGCCCCCTCGGACCGTTCATCAACTGCTTTGCACTTAGCACGGTATGCGCTTTTCGTCCTCGCCCTGTCACTTCTGTCATGCATGTTGCTTTGTACTAGGTTTCCGCCAGACTCGACGGCGCGGCCTCAGGGTTTCGAATATTCGGGCAGCGATATCTACCTACATTCACCGCCCGGAGGCTGCAAGTTGCTGTCTCGTCTCGCCTGCCCCCTCGGGCCGCTCAGCAACTGCTTTGCACTTAGCACGGTATGCGCGCTTCGCCCTCGAGCCCTCCCTGCCGGGAGTCCAAGGACGTCCTCGGTACTCTCTCTGCCAAGAGCGAACTCTAACTCTCGAAATATCTGCACACCGTGCTAAGGTCAAAGCTGTTTCTGACTTATGTTCCCCTAGTGATGCTGCATTTCTCCACAATTTTTCATCTGGATACTTTTCCCTCCTGCGCCCTGAGGACCCCGACATCCGAACCCGAGCCAGGAACCAGCCTGGCGCCACCAGTAACCCCAGCGACCTGAGTTCGCCCTACCAACCAGCATGCTGTCGCGGCTGGCGGCCGACGCCCGGTTTCACCTACGCCTCGAAGCTCCCGATCCGCAGCCGGTCTGGATGGGTTCACGCACTTCCGATTGCCCCGATACTGCGGCAGAACCGACAGCTACCGATAGCTCCCACGCGTCGAATTCACGTGGCCACCGGGGAAAGTTTCCCGCTCGTCCTCAATGCGCAGCTGCGGCGCCCTGTCCCCGTCTTTCTACACTCTCCTCGGCGCTCCATCTAGAACTTGCTGTTGCCGAGTTTCTGAAAGATTATTCCAGATAAGCCATTCCCGGAATGAAGGGGCCGCGTTCTGCTCCCACGAGCTTTCACTTGTGCGCGTTGGGGGTAGATGTGCGTACAGCTCCTGCCTGGTCGGCTTTATCTCCGGCTGGCACTCGAAAAACTATCCTCCTAAAAGATCCACTAAATAATAGAAAACTTCGTCCATAATGAGTATGGAGATGGTCTAGCCCGCAGTTCCTCCTATCTGTTGCTGGTGACCTGGTCTGTTTTCTGACAATAAGTGCTGCGTCGTCTAATCTATGGGTGCGAGTAGATGTATTAGTTCCCGGCGGGTGGCTCGCAGCAATAAGGAAACTGGCAAGGATAAACATCTGTCTGTGCTTGCAATGCGCTGATGGACTGTGCTCTGCCAAATAGTGAAGTAATTTGGACTACTCCAGTTCTGGTCCCGTTGCTGTATATTGTGCGCGGGTGCTGGGTGGAAAGGTCCAGCAATTATGTTGGTGTGTGTGTGTGCGAGGAGGAAAGTTTGGAGTGCCAGGTCCGTTGGGCCCGGGGTGGCGGCGTCTTTGGGTTGATCAAATCACCCGAAACACAATGCCACCTCGTGTTGCACAGTCTGTTTATGTCATGCGTGACTCGCAAAACTCCTAGGTTTGTGTTGCAAAATCCCCATCCTGACTCTGGTGTGGGTACGTTTTTACTCAGGATATGCCGGCTGGCGCTTCGCGCGGACGCTGTAAAACAGAAGGAGAAACGCGCGACGGTATTATAGGAGTCTGGGTGAGGACTCATTTTCATCTCTTGTGGTATAAGTTCAATGTCCGTGGTGATTCATTTTATGATGTCGTGCAGGTCGTTGCTGAAATGAAGAACTAAAAAACCCACAGGAGCATGCCGCGATGAAGGCTGTGGAGCAAGTGAAGATTGACCAGAGGCGGCAAAAGGCGGACCACCAACAGTCCGTACTCAACCAAATCAACAAGCACATGGAATTCCAAGGCATGATCCAGGACGCGCGGCAGAAGCTGAGCGATCTGCGGCACAACGATATCGAGAAGAAAATACGCGCGCAGTGCACCAAGTATCTCCTGAACAACCTCCTGACGACGGTGAAGGTGAAGGACCCGAACCGGTTTGCCCGCGCGCTGCTGAAGGACAAATCGCAGCGCTCCACTGGCTTGCCGAAGAATTTTGGAAAGACGAATAGTACAAAAAGTGCAGCGGTGGATTCATTCTCGGACGAGTTTATGCTGGACTTGCTAGAAGAGGAGTTGAAGAACGTCGAAGAGAAGGACAAGGAGGCACTGCAAAAGGAGAACGAGCGCATTGTGAAGCTTTTGGAAGAAACAGGGGAGTACGAAACCCGACTCGGCGCCGCCGAGGCGAAGGTAGAGGACGCTAGTGCGGCGGTGAAGGAACAGGACAAGATTTTGGCTGCCCACGCAGCGACGATTGAGCAGCATCAGGCGACGCTGCGGGGCCTGCAGGAGGATCTGAAGACGCACCAGGAAGATGCGGCCTTTCAAGAAGCGGAAAGAAAAAAGCGAAGTGTCGCTGACGCGCGAAGATACGTGCAGGAGATGTGGGACAGGGATGCCACGTCCCAATACGAACAATGGTCGCCGGTTAGCAAGAGCATCAAGATAACAAAGAAAAAGACCTTCTTCGCGGACCTATTTGATAGCAAGCCTGCGCCAAAACGCAAGCAGGCTGGGTCGCGTCCCCCGGGCCGGCCCCCGGGCTCGAAGAAGAAGAAGAAGGACGGTGGCGGGAAAAAAGCGTTATTAACTAGCATGGAGGAGCTAGACGCGTTTATGGAGGAAGGGTTCGATGACGCGGACAACGAGAATTCACTTTTCGCAGGCAGCAACAATTTTATCGACACGCAAACGCCCGCACTGGTCGGCGGCCAAACCGTTTTCGACCGGGATCATGTGCAGCTGAGCAAGAGCACGGACAACTCTCTGAAGAGAGGGGACCAGCAATCTTCGAGTGGTTTTCCTTTTCCGCCGGCGAAAAAGGCAAAGATTGCCGCGAAGGAGGTGGACGAAGAAGAGATAGTCGACGAGGAGGACGACCTACTACGGGATGACGTCAAGAAGACCACATCAAAAGCGAAGAAACCAAAATCCGGCACAACTGCTGCGGCGTCTGTGCACGGTCTAAAAGTAAAGCCGTACCGAACCAAGGAGGAGAAGGCACAGCACAAAGCGGAGAAGGCAGCGCGAAAGGAGGAGCGGCGTGCCAGGCGGGAGAAACGAGCCACCAAGCGGGAGCGAAAAGCGCAGCAGCAAGGTGGTGGTAATGGTGAAGATAGTAGTACTGCGCTGGAGCAGCAGCTGCAGCCGGCGAAAGAAAAAGATGTGGGTCAAGAAGATGCAATAGATAAAGAACCAGAGGAAGAACCGAAAGACGCTTTTTTCGAAGGAGAGTGCTTTCCTCCCGAAATTGTGAGTCCGTAGCAGATTATGTTGAAGGTGGGCGAAGTTTACCAAAAAGAAAAAACGTATCATTACACTTTCACTTCGCAACCACTTCATGCAAACGCAGCCTTGCTCGTGGATGTCTTGCAACTTCTTGCTTTCCTGGTTGTTCGGAGGCTTCGCTCGATTTTTCGTGCAGGAAATACTGATTCTTCCTTTTCGTATAACAGTAACAGGCTATCGCTTATTTCGCTATTGGCTAAAGTTGCAGAGTGTCTGTGTCTCTGGTCGTCGGCACACTTCGAAACAGTCCTCGTCGAAATCGCTTCATCGTGATCGGTGGTTTGTCGCTTAGTTTAGAACCTGAAACGTTTTGACACAGTATCGCTGTCCTCGTCAAAAAATCGCACTTCGCCGGCGCTTCTTGTCAAGAGACACATACTTACTCCAGAAAATGAGAAATTGAAATCGACTGTAGAGTAGCGACACAGCTGGAAGTTCATCGTCGCTGGCGTCCTCTACAGAAGACAGAGGTGCCCGCAATTATGCAGCGTGAACAGCGCTTGTGCCGCTCACTTAAACAGTAGAGTAAATCATCCATTGGGCCCGATGACGGAGGCCACCACCAGTGCGCGAGTCGACCCCCGGGCACGGGAAGTGGAGGAGGCTTCGGATGAAGAATGTTGGCGGTTCTACCGTTTTCTCGAGCAGCACCCCGAATTGCCGGACCTGCTTTTCTGCAGCAAGAAGCGGGTGGTCCAGGCCTCGGACTTGGAGCTGCTTCTACGTCGCCTGCACTACCGCTTGCCCAACGTGCGCACGTTGTTCAACTCGCTTCGCAAGCCCGGGTGCGACTACTTCACGATGAAGGAACTGATCGAATTCAAGCAGCGGCTGCGCGTGTCGAAGTACGCCGGGGCGTTTACGGTGACCGAGTTTTTCTCCCATTTGTTGCAACGGTACGGGTCCATCACCCGGGCCTGGCGCCGAGCGATCGACATTCTATCAAATGCAAAAATGTCTGGGTCTGGAATAATGTCAGATTTGTCATGCATATTTCTCATGACCCATGATGCCTGTAATGCATGACCTAGCATCGCAGACTTTTAGAGGGCTTCCTGATGCACCTTCCGCATGAGAAATGCCCTGTCCGGGTAGCACAAAAGGCACCTCTCTTGCTGGTCACGCAATACAAATTTTTTTAGAGTCCAAAAACAGCATGACAAGTTGCAATCTTCCAGACCCAGACATTTTTGCATTTGATACATTCCGCCCAAGAACAACATCGCGGGCGACCTGTTTTCCCACGAAGTGAAGAGCCTGAACTCTTCCGCGGGTGGCCGTCCGACGCGGGGGGTCATCATGTACCGGGAGTGGGCGGCGTTTTGCCAACGAGAGGGGTTCCAGGGGAACGTCAAGGCCGCCTGGGACGCGTTTCAGCCGAAAAACGGCTTGATGTCTCTACGGGAGCTGTCGTACTCGGAGTACCGCCTGCTCACGAAATTTTACCTCGAGGTAGTTGCCGGGTTCATGATAGTACGAATCTTTTGTTTGAGAATGCAGATGCACCCACTTAGACTTACATTTTCGTCATTTTTCCTCCGGCTCGAAGTGAATGTTGGCCCTTTCGTCCAAAAAGAAAAAATCCACCTGTCATCTTCAGTTGAAGGCCCGATACGACGCGGTGGACGAGATTTGGTCGCACGTGCTGCAGTGCCGTAGCGAATTCATGCTTTTGAAGCGCGAGCGGTTTCTGGCAATCTGCACCAAAACCTTACTTTTCGCGGAGGACGAGGCGGAGACGCTGTTTTCGTTGTTGGATCTCGACCAGGTCAGCGAGCTCGAGTTCCAGACCTTCACGGAGCTTTTCTCTTTCTGGGACACGGGTGGCTGCTACGACGTCACGGGCGCGGCGCAGGCGTTGCGAGTGCGGAGAAAAAGACGACAGTTGATGGATGCGGAGCTGCGGGAGAGCAACAACGCAGCAGGAGGAGGAGAGAAAAATACAGCGGACCGGGAACGACAGCCCGGAGCGACAGCAGAGGAAAGACAAAAAGAAAGGCAAAAAGCGATTCTGAGAAAAAACACCATTGAAAGGGAACTTGCGAAGCCGCTTCCCCGGTCGCTGGAGGACAAAGTGCTCTCCCTCGGCAGCCAAGAGTTCATTTTGAACCTGGAGTCGCAGCGCAGATTGGAAGAGTTCCAAGTGTTTTTCAACTACTTGAAGAAGCCCGGGCGTTACGAGCGGATGCTGGATTTGTTTTCCCTCAGTCCCCGTCTGCCGAAGCGCGTTTTCTGCCAGACCCTGCGACAGATGCTGTACCCCGGGGATCCGCTGGCGCTGTTTTACTCGCTGTTCAACTTGCGGATTTTGCACCAGCGCCACGTGCAACTGGTGAACGCGGAGGACTTTCGGGAGGTGCAGGACCGGATTGCGCCGTGGCTGAAGCTGCACGGCTGGACCTACGTGAAACGGAATAAAGTTACCAGCAGCTCCGACGTTGCGCAGCAAGACGGCGGCCATGACCTCGAAGGTGACGCGGAACAAGAGGTACTGGAGGAGGAAGAGGCGTCAGAGAGCGAGTCCGACGACCTAGACGAAGAGAAGGTCGCGGAAAAGAAAGAGAAGAGCGTGCTGAGCGTCTTGCGGAAATCGCTCGTCGAGGGGAAGCACGAGGCTGCAGGGGACGAGGAGGAAACTGGAAGACGAACTGCTTCGTCGAGAGCGGCCTCGTCGAGGATACTGCACGACGGAGTTGCGAATAGAGAGGAAGTGCAAGATTCAGAAGAAGATAACGACTTCTACGACGAGGACGGTCTGTTACTGCCAGACAGGATAAATAACAGTACCAATAGCAATGCTTTTGCCGGTCCCGAGGATCCCATGCCGCAGTTGAAAAAACTGCAGTACGAGAAGAAAATGAAGCGAAAAAATAAGCCGGTAAGCGACGAGCCACCTGCGCCTCTTGCCCCCCCGAGCTGGCACGAGACGGGGCCTCCTAGCTGGCTGGAGAAATTGGGACTGGAGAAGGTTCCCGATGCGGTCATCCTGGACCAGGAGGGGGAAACGCATTTGGGCATCCAGAAATTTTGGCAGCACAGTGTGTTGGGCGACATGCAGGATTTGCACCGCCCGAAAAAGCTTGGCGCTGGTCTGCGGAGAACCAAAGAGTCAACCTCTTCGTCGGCCAGTTCCGGGGGCGGGGAGCCGAAGTTCAATCCGAGGGCACGCACAACTTCCTCTCTCTCGGGAGGTGGATCTTCACCTGAGCGCAGAGGTACTAGTCGTAGCAAAAAAACCAGGCGAAAGCTGCGGAAAGACATTGTTTCGGAGAAGCAACGGAAGATGGACCCGGAAGACATGCCGTTTGTCCCCGTAGACACGAGAAAAATCGTGAACAAAGCGACGTGGCGGCGGATGCTGGACTTTCAAACCGGTGCCGTGGCCGATGGAAGCGGCCTTCCGCCACATTTGATTCGGGACTGTGGCGAGGATCCAAATTTGCTGCACTTACGGGATTTTCTTGCATTCCCCAACGCCTCCAGAGACGTGCGGCCGCAGACTAGATTGGATGTATGATTCGTTTGCTTTTTTCTCGAATTTCATGCTGGAAGGTATATTTTGTAGCATCCTGACATACTTTATAGCATCCTGAAGAAAGACCAAGAATCACCAGAACCGGAGACAAGAAAACTGCAGGTTGAGCTGGAGATGCTTCGCCGTACTGGGTCCCTGGTGCGCGGATGGTTCGAGATCCTGGATCCGCACAAGAGCGGCGCCATCGGGCTGCGCAGGTTCTTGGCTGCGTTGGGATCTTTGAACGTGCAAAGCGGGAACATGAGGCGCGTCTGTATCAACTGTAAAAATGTCTGGGTCTGGAAACTTGTGATGCTGGGTGGCGTCTCATGATGAGGCTACAAATGCTGGCTCAGCATGACAAGTTTCTGAGCTCCTAGGTGTTGCCTATTCTGCATGACAAACTGCGCTTCTGCATCACAGAAAAACGGAGCTCTTGGGTAACGTGCATGACAGATTTAAGAGCCATGCCAGACAAGCATGACAAACATGAACTCTTCCAGACCCAGACATTTTTACATGTGATAGTCTGGGCGCAGATGCAACCGCTCCCCGACGGGTTGGGCATCGATCTGCGGATGTTAGACTACGAAGTGTGGCTGCTGATCGGTTTTTTCGCAACGTGCTTGTTCGCCGTTTTCCCGAACGTGGACTATCTCGTCTACTACGCGTGTCCGGGCAACGGGTGCACCGACACCTTCGGGTTCGATGAGGAGTGGACGAGCATTTGCACGCGTGCGTTCACCGACACGGTGTTACTCAGCGGGAAAATCGCGGGCGTCGAAACTGGTTCGGACGATAGTACGACCGTCCGCGACGCAAACGCGCGGCAGATCGCGGCCCAGCGCCGGCAGGTGTTGACGCAGAAGCTGTGGCGCTGCTTCGTTCCCCGCGGCGAGAACCGCATGCACTTGAGCGAGTTCAAAATTCTCCGGCTGTGGGAGCCGGGCGCGGTCTTCTGCATGGAAAAATACCCCGTGCGCATGGTTCCCTCGACCGGAAAGCTGGAGCTGTCCCCGGTCGACTGGATGCCGCCGAGAGTGTCGAAAAAAGCTGCGACATCGAGGACTGATACAACACAGACGACAGGAACTACGACCGAGGGCGAAGATACAACAAGCAGTGCGGATAAAAGAGATTCAGAAGAACACCCGAACATCCGGCTCGTCATGGACCCGAGCGTGCGGGCGGAATACGAGCAGGCGCTGTTCGAATTGGAAATGCTCGACGCGCAGCACAGCACGCTTTCGAACAATTTGCGTGGTCCAGCGATGTACTCAACATCGAGTGGCAGTGTAAAGACATCAAACGATGGCGCGGCCGGAGTAGATGAAGAAACTGCGGAAAGGGAAGCAAAGAAGGCACACGATCTGGAAGAACAGTCGTATTCGCTCGCCGAGTTCCTGGAGTTTCCAGTCAACCCGGTCGACGGTATGGCGCGGAAACCGAAGTACATCAAAGCGGCTGGGCGGCGGTTTGGGGCGGACAGTCCCGGTGGGTCTGCGGGGTCGGACCCGGCATCGCCAACTGCGCGGAGCAAGAAGTCCGTGCACTGGGTCGACCTGGACGAGGAGCGGCGGCGCGAACGCACGCGGCAAAAACTGCAAGCGGCCAAGAACCAAATGTTCTACGCGGCCAACAGTGTGCGGGCACACTTGATGGGCCACGCGGGAAAGCGGAAGGGGAAAACGCACCTGCTCAGCGGGTCGGGAAAGGAAGGGGAAGAGGAAGTCGACGCCCTGTGGCAGCACTTCGACCGCGGCGCGAAGCGCCAGATCATGGGCAGCAACTTCGCCCAGGTGGGCCGAAACAAAATCGTCGACGTCGCAAAGGTGGACGATTTGGGCGACTTGCTGGATCTGGACCCGGAAATTGACGATGTCCATGCTAACAAGTAGGATGCTCTTGTCGTCTTTGTGCTGGAAACCAGTACTAGTGGCATCACGCTTTCGTGATAGGCTTCTAAGTACGTTAAAATGATGAATTTTGCACTTTGTTATTTACTTTCAATTCAAAACTTGTGGTTGTGACTGAGCCAACGATGATATCAGGATTGTGCTAACAAAAACACGGGGTAACTGCAGAAAAATCTTCACCGTATTCGTTTCATTTCAAAACCAAGTTTCACTTTTAACGATTCAAAAAACCGATGGAATTGCTGACCTTATTGTACAAAGTTGAAACCACCTGTGTCTGTGACACTGACTGGTTTGTTTTGCGTACTGTTTTGCTCGATGTGAACTTGTTGTCCCCAAGGTTTGATAGCAACACTTGTACAAAGAACGAGAATTGATGCCACGACGAGTTAAGAAACGCTTCTGCAAAACTGCAATTTTTGTTGCAGAACGCTTGCGTTGGTGTTGAGGTTGTCCAGGATCTTCACATGAAAAAAGTTTGTAGCGCAGTTTGATCAAGTCGCAACGTCCCAACGATGAACTCAATGGATCCTTTCGTCTTGTTGCTCACTTATTCTTCTAGGTGCCGGAATCTTCGCTTAGTCGTCTTCATAGCTCACCACTAGCCTAAGTTCCGCTGTACTCCGAACACAAAGTGTGCATGTACATTTGCAGTTGCTGACAGCAGACTACGACCACGAGAGAAGTAATCACGCAAAAAGATGGAGGAAACTTCTGATGTAAAAATGTCGGATGCTGCGGCGTCCGGTCTCCGCGTTGGGCGCGGTGGCAGTGCGAGCAGCAGGCAAAGCAAAGCGAAAGCGGCGGCCAGGAGGAAATCCAACATGACGTCGGCGGACCATGCTGCAGACGAGGAAACTGAAAATATCCGCCCCTTCATTGAGAAGTACCGACCGAAATCTCTTCACGACGTCATCTCCCACCGCGAAGTGATCCGGAGTGTGGACAAAATGCTGCAGAAGAAAACGTTCCCTCACATGCTGTTTTACGGACCTCCCGGAACGGGGAAGACGTCGACGGCATTGGTGCTGGCCCAGAATCTGTACGGGAAAGGAAGTAACATGTACAAAATGCTCAACGCGTCCGATGACCGAGGGATTGAGGTGGTGCGGAAAATCGTGAAAGGTATGTAGTTTCTTTTTTGCGGAGAGAAACAGTAACAGAATATCTCAGCTCTGCAGGCGTGGAGTTGAAAAATCTTCACTCGCATAAAATTCTTTCGTGAAAAAACCTCATTACAAGAATTCACCAGATTTCTGTGGGCAAGACGCGATCCTGGGGCGTGTGAATGACTCTGCCGAGGAGCAGTCCTCGGATGTCTTCGGCGGACAGCCGTCCACGCACCGTTTGCCGAAAATGATCATTCTAGACGAGGCCGACATGCTGACCAAGGGCGCGCAGCTCGCCCTGCGGCGCATCATGGAGGACTTCAGCAGTCAGGCCCGGTTTGTGATCATCTGCAACTACTTAAACAAAATCATCGACCCGATCCAGAGTCGTTGTGCCAGTTTCCGGCTGAACATGCTTACCGAGGACGAAGTCGCCGAGTGCATTCGGCGGGTGTGCCACGCCGAGAAGTTGCGCATTACCAGTGACGCCATCATCGCAATTTCGGAGTTGGGCAAGGGGGATTTGCGGCGGGTGTTGAACGTCTTGCAATCGGCCTCGCGGCTGGTGGACGGCGACCGTGCGATCGAGGAGGAGGACGTATACGCGTTCGCCGCCGAGCCGATTAAGGCGCACGTCCGCGAGATTCTGGACGCGCTTTTGACGTTGCCGTACCTGGAAGCGTACGACCGCGTCTCGCGGATCATGGAAAAACACCACTACACGATGCGGTCGCTGATCGATGTCTTGTACTGCTGATTTGTTTAATTCCATTTTCTTCTCCATTCTTGCTTGTGTAGCACTGGAAGCACTTGCTTGATAATTTGCAATACTTAGCGCCACACATCTGGAGCAGTTACAGTTTGTTGACCTACTTGCGTTTAATATTCCGTTTCAAAACTCCACGTGATGTCCGATCCCTACAGGTACAAGGAAGTTCTCATGATGCAAGTGCCATTTCTCGTACGGGCTCGCATTATCCCTCTCCTAGCCGACATCGAGTTGCGCGTTGGACACGGGGCCAACGACAGCCTGCAGCTCGCGGGATTGGTGTCGGCGTTCGCCTTAGCGCGGGGCCAGGCGGAAAGGATCTTCGAGTACAAAGAGAGACGCGGCGAGGAAGGTATAATTGTTGATACTACGAACAAACTTCTGGCCCGCAGAAGTAGTAAATTTTGATCTGAGGAGGTTTTGTAAAGTATGCAAAACCATCAAATCTGCAATTGTGCTATCACAGCCGAACGTTTCCAGAACATGTCTTCGCAAGAGCGGGAAAAGATCCTCGAAGAGGAGCTGCAGTGGCACATGCAGGATGCCGAGATGCCCGCCTTTTCCCAGTCGCAGCCCGGTGCGAGTCCGCCGCCGCCGGCCCGCAGTCCCCCAGCAGCACCGTCGTCCGCTGGTCCCAAGCGCGACGACGCGCGACGCGAAGACTACGTGCGCCACAACATCCGCATGTCACTCGCCGAGGAGTTCGGCGTGCAGAGTAGAAGTGCGAGGAAGAATAGCAAGGAAGAGGACAGACCGGTGCCGCAGAGCGATCTCGCTCGGCGTATTCTCGCAGCGAATTCTTCGGCCGCCAGCCCGCCGCCGGCGGTGGCGAGTAGTGGGAAAAAAGAAACTGCAGCGAACAGCGTGTTCCCAGAAGATGAGGACCATGAGGAGGAGGAAGCGTTACTGAACGACTGGCACAGGGAAAACAGCGATGTTCTTCCGAATAGGAAAATCAAGTCGGAGCAAGACTTGGATCCGGTGACCGGTCTACCAAAACACACTCAGGATCTGCCTGCCGCGGGCGGTATGTCGCAATTCTCGATGGAGCAGCAGATGAGCCAAACCCCGGGCGCGTTGGACGGTTTGAGTTCCGTGACGCCCGGGGCTGGAGCGGCAAGTGTGATGCCGAACACCTCCCAGCAGGCCGGTGACGGGGGAACCACACCTGGCCAAGGCGGTAATGTGACTCCCGCCGCTCCTGCCGGGCAAGGAGAGGAACAGACCTGCGGAGCGGACGATTGCATGTAGAATGTTATGAATTTCATTTCCATTACGTTCACGTTGAGATCAGAGCAGGTCTGACGGACCTAAGTGCGTTCAATTTTATGTGAATCATCAATGCCGTGAGCACAAGCACTAGGTGGTGCAGGTCAAAGTCAATCTTAAGACAGCAGAGCATTGCTTTCAGGCTGTGCACATTGTTGCTGCGTTCCATGCCTAGTTTTCGATGACGTGAACAGTCGAAGTTGTGATCCTGGTTGTCTTGATGTGGTGGAGGAAGTAAATCTGTAAGCTGTCTTCGCACCCTCGAAGGTAATGGCACCGCTTTTTCTTCTTGCGGTGCATGCCAACAACCTTTCAGATGCTGTGCAGACGTTACGAAAAAATGAAGACAGCGAGGTGACTGGTGTGAGTGGAGGAGAATCGGGATGTTTGGAGTACTACCTAGAGGCGATAGCATGTTGTATAGAGTAAGAGTTCAATATAACCAAAACTCTTTTACTTTTGTCTTCTGTTGTTGGCTTATTCTTCCAGTGCGAGATCAACGATGGCAACGGCGACTGACAAAGCGACCGCTGTTAAGACGTCTTGTCTGGCACCCGTGGCCGCGGCGCCTCGCATTGCAGAACCGCGGCCTGGTGATTTAGACTACAATTTGACCGAGGTGCTCCTAAGATTCGCGGATCGTGGGTCCAACCCCTACAAGGACACGCACTGCTATACCATGGAGTCCATTTTCGGGCATCTGCAGCAGCACGATGAAAATCAGCACGAAAAGAACTTACACAACAAAGAGTGTCGGGTGAACTCCAGCCCGATCACGCGTTTTAACGGTCGCAACAAAGAGAACGGACAGCGGTTCTCGAAGGGTCTGCGTAAGGCTTTTGAGGTGAAAAGTATCTTTCGCTATCCTTCGCCAGATTACCCGGGTTGTTTTCAGTGCAAAGGAACTCTTTCACCGCTGGATGATCCGCAGACGAGCGTGGAATTCGACTCCTGGAGCGATACCTTTTTTCGGGACTGTTACGTCATGCGCAGCACGGACGGCAACGGCAAGGAAAAGTGGAACAGGCTCTGGCTTGATTACGCTCTTCTGGAAGATGAAGAGCCCAAGAAGTGGGCCACAGCCTCACCGGTCGGAACGGAGATTCGTCCGTGCCGGATGCCGTCGGACGATCGGCAGCATCACGAGGTCTCAACCCTGACTGCGTCTGCCCTTACAGAATTACCAAGTTCGGAGGGTCGCGATGTGTTGTTTGAGCGGGCTCTAGCTGGCACTTCCGCACTGAAAACTAAGGCAGATGCGGCACAGTCAGGGTTGTCTGCGGACCTGAAGCAGACGAGAGGCAGCACAAAAAACTGCGAGCCCTGGAATCTCCGTGTCGGTGACGTAGTTTTTGCAGACTTGCGAGCGCGCAAGTCTGGCGGGGTGAAGAACATCACGTGTGGCACAGACGCCTGGGATATGGTGGTATCCCTTCTGATGGATCACGTCTTTTCCGGGACCGACAAAAAGTTCCGTCTTGCAGACTACAAGGAAGGCGCCAGCAAGGAAAACTCAAAGCACTTCAGGAAACTACGGGAGCGCTGCGATCGATTTGCGCTGGCGTTAAATGCCACGGACGACAAGCTCATCCGAGAAATCGCTACCGGGTACGTCTTTAAGACAGGCACGGCCGAAGAAAGCCACAGGGATTCCTGCATCACATTCTTCAGAACGCCGACAAGCGAAGGCGTCGGGAAAGGCGACGCGGGTGCACAGGATGCTGCCGGTGGTGGTTTGGATTCTTCAGGGCACAACTGCGCAGACGACGACGTTGTGTCGAGTGCTTGCGGAACGAATGGACATTCTTCGTTGGAGCAAGGCGTTTTGTTCGACGAAAAGTATCGGCGCAATGCTTCTGGACTTTTCAAACTTGACAACGAACGCAATGGACCCGAGGAACGCTTTGTAGAAATGAAAAAGCACTGCGAACGCCACGGAACGATGGCTCACCAAGATTGGCAGTACGGTAGTGCGCTCAAGCGATACTACGAAGAGACTAGCGACCTGTGGGGCTCGAAATGCGTCGAGCTGTACGAGAAGTTACGACGTTCCGGACGCTTTCCGCATCTGTTGCAAGTGCTGCGATGGGTGAACTACGAAGAACCTAGTGCCGAGGAAAAAGAGGTTTCGCGGGGGGCCGCAGAAGACGAAGCGGCTCCGGCGGACAGCCCCGCAGCAAAGCGGCGCAAGACGACTTCGGAGCCTGTTACAACTGGATGGAACCATAACATCCAGGCCGACGCTTCCCTGGGCGTCGAAGTGGACAACCCCGCACGTGCGGGGTACCAGTTTGCCCGACTCCTGCGCAACGCCCCCTATCATATCGGCGACTACGAGAAGGGAAAACCCGCGGCTGCCAAGGAGCTCCGGGACTGGATGGGCTCGATAGAACAAGAAGAGGCGCCAGAAATCTACATGCACGGGGGTTATTGGCTAAACTTGGACGATGTCGAGCCGTGCAGAACTTATCCGGGTATCTACTTTTCTACTTGGGCGTCTTGGAAGGACAAGAGAGAGGATCTGGTCTTGGGTAGGCCGATGAAGGACGAGAAGGAAGAAGGGAAGACGTGGCCAACGTACGTCCACATAAACGTGCAGATTGCGGATTTGATGCATTTCTTTTTGCAACATTTTTTTCCGGAGCAGTGCGCTTCTGTGAAAGAAATAAATTCTGTGTGGGAGGATGTTTGCAGATGGCCATATCCCTACACGAGAGGAGGCAGGATTTTGGAGAAACTGGAAAAGGAGTATGACGCTGTGCAGGAAGAGCTGTGCTGCAATGGGCTGACGAGCCACCTAGAATGGGTCGGGAGTCACAGCGACGACGAAGGAAGACGACAGTTGCTTTGCGGGCTCGCGGCAGAGAAGCTGTTGGGGCAGCTTGCGCACAAAGAAAAGTGGCATATGTCGCCTACGACGAAATACGATAAGGTGCGCACGCTTTTGCACACGTATCTTGCTGCAGTTGACTGGAAAAAGCCGCCCGGCACCTCTGACACTGAGGCAGCTGGGGACCCTGGCGACGATGCCGTCATCAAAGGTGATAGAAAGTAAACGCTCAAGAAGAAGTAGGCACTCACGAGGAAGTAGAAGCAAATTGCAAAGGAAGCTTGATGGAGTCGGACGAAGGCAAATACGGAAAGGTGACCAAGCTGCTTCAGTATGCTTTGAGTACTTACGAATGAACCATCCAAAGGAAGATGGCTGAAAATGCGAGATGTAAAAGAAAGGAAAACGTCGGTAGCGCCACGAGCGCGTCGACGCCACAATTCATGTGAGCCTATTCACGCGCTTTACTTCACACAAAAAAGTCTGTTCGAACCTACGTCTCCCGGGTCTTCTTGCTGACGGAACATCTCATGTACGTTGATGTTGCAAGCACTAGTGCAGAACCGGATCATCCTGATTGCGCTTTGAAAAAGCACTACAAAGATCAGATGTTTCTTTTTCCCGCTCACCTTAAGAAGTGCACACGCAATTCTTTTTCACACCCACGTGTGTCCAGTACTGAACAGCATCAGCACCGCTTCGATATAGATAGCAAGTGAACAGCAGCGAAAATGGGTTTCCTCCCCGCCCTCGTCGGGGTTGACGCAGTACTGATCTTCTGCGGCGGTCTCTACGGGTTTGTCAAGCAAGGCAGCAAGGCTTCCATCATCGCGTCGTCGATTTGCGCCCTGGTCCTGCTTGCCAGCATCGGCCTGCTTATGCAGTCCGTGATAACGGCGCGGGTCTTCAACGTGCTTTCTGGTGTCTTCGGACTTGTCTTCACCGTCATGTTCGTGAAGAAGGCACAAAAAGTTTCCGATTCCAGCGCTGGGGAGACGACGTTGAGCGAGATGGCGGCGCCGTTGCTGGATAACGACGTGAAAGAGACGTCGAAGGTGATTTTCTACGCGCTCACGGCCTACAACGCCCTAACAGTATTGGCTGCCTGTGTCGTGCTGGCTGAGACTGCATAAGAAAGTAGCAACACATACTACAGCACAAGTGAGACAGTCTACAACTAACGAAAAACGCCTGCTGCAATCGGTAGCTGCGCGCACATCAGGTTTTGCGGGAAAACGATCTCCGATGTGAACAATAGAAGTCGGTGAACTTCTGCAACCGACACGAAAACTTGCAGACTACAATCGTCATCAAGAATTGCGCTGTCAATTTCATGTTTTCTGCGCCCGAGTGCAGCTTTGTTCAGGGGTTTCAGGCGCCGCCCTTGTTGCACTGGTGTATGGGCTCCTTTCGTGCGAATGGCTATAAGCTCGGTGGTACTAGTAGACAATCTATTTTCATCTCTATGCTGTTATCTGAGCGACAAGGAGAGCTGAGTGAAAGGTGGAACACCATGCCGTCCTTACAAGGGAAAACCGAAAGTCACATTGTGATGTGATCATCGTGGGAATATGAAAATCGTTTTACGAACGGGGATGTGGCAGGGATCGTGGATCTATCAGAAGTTCAGTCTTGTTTTGATGGGGGCATGGGTCGACAAGGGGATTTTTTTGTCGGTTCATCGGTCGTGGCAGCTGGGATTTTTGCTTTGCAAAAATGCGTGGTCGTGCTCAATCTTGTCGCACAGGGTCCCGTTTACTTTTGAAAATTACGCTGATACGTTGCGGATCTACGCCCCGTTTAGTTTTTTACTCGGTTTGCTACGCAAACGCATGCGCACCCCGGTACCTTCTTACTCACGTACTTTCGCCTTTGCTGTGCCTAGCCTAGGTATCCTTTAAGTACATTTTTTTTGGCTTTTTACTATATCAGGAAACATCAAACGGCGCATGAAAAAACGTCTGCCTGGCTACTGGTCAATTCCACTGAGTGGAAAAACAACAATGGCGTTACTAATCTGCAAGTCGTTGTGCCTGGCGAGCACCCGCACAGCGAGGGCACGCCGGTGGACGGAATTTGCAGGACCGATGAAAAATACGGTTTTTTGATGATTCACATCCAGTAGAGAAGAGCTTTTTTTCAAGACACCACCACCCACGCCGTTCGCCATGGCGTCCCCTTCGAAGAAGGTGTACGACCCAAAGGAGCTAGAGGACGATCCCGACCTGCTCGAGTACGGAAAATGGCTGGATTTGCAGAAGAAATCGCGGCAACCGGCGGTCCAGTTCGAAACGAAGGAGTACGGGCAAATTGCGAGGTACTTCTCTAATGGATCAAGTTTGCAATTTTGAGTCTTCTTTTACATTTTTGACACAAAGTGGATGTGCATCTTGCATGTTCTTGCTGAAGTATAGATGGGCCTCGACGTTCTTGAGAATCAAAATGAAAATGAAATCGTTCCGCCCTGAAATAAATTATCCAACAGGCTGTGCATGATCCCCGTGATGCACGGTGGCCCGGACCCGCCGATTCGGGGCTACGACTACGATCCGGAGATCCACGCGGCACCCCCGCAGGACGAAAATCCGTGGGAACTGGCGAGTCAGCTGCACTGCACGCAGGCGATGGAAAACATCCTGAACGCGCGTGGGGAGAACGATTTCCTCAAGGAGCGGAAAAACGTGATTTCGTTTCTGGGCGCGCCCGGCTGCGGGAAGTCCGTTTTGCTGAAACTTCTGCTCGCTACCAACCCAAATCGGCGGGACGGCGAGGACGCCTGCCGCGTGGCCACGCAGTACTACCCGGTCCGGGAAGTGGAGATGAAGAAGTTCAAAGTGAGGAGGTACTTGGAAGCGAAGAAAGGCCGACGCGGCCGCGGGTCCACGAGTAGTGCGTCGCCCTCGCCAAGCCCGACCGGAAGAGGGGGGCGGAGAGGGAGCGCTTCGCCGAGCGGAGGTGCGGCTGGGACGAACGAGAATAATTCCCTGATGAACACGACTTCAAACACAGTTGCAGGAGGAGAACTATTAAATGGTTCAACAGCACCTTCCGCAGTAGATCCGCAGTCGCCTACCAACGGCGCGGAGTCCACCTCCGGCCAGCAGGCCGCCGCGAGCCCGGAGATGATCTACGACATTGAGGACAAATTTTTCTTCTACCGACGGCAGTTTAACCGGTTCCGCGAGGCCAACGGCGACCACATGCCGCCGCTGAAGATGCCGCCGACGGAAGGGATCCACTTTCACCACTGGAAGGAGCACGAGGTGCTGCTGCTGGACACCACGGGCATGAACTTCTTCGGGGAAACGCCGGAGGAGCTAGCGGCCATGGTGGAGACGACGACGAAGGATTTCAATGCGGATCCCGGGAAGGAGAAGGCGACGAGGAAGCGGAGAAAAAAGAAATCCACCTACTACGCCGAGGAGAAGGAGACCGAAACGGACATTTGGGACGACAGCTACAAGAACTTCCTGCCGCCCCTGCTCTATGGGTTGAGCGGCATCTTGGTTCTCTGCGTCCCCTACGAGTGCGACTACGTGGACTTCGTGGAGAACACGTTGCGCGCCATCATCGCCAAGGTGCGCAACGCGCCCCGGCCGGCGTTGGTGCTCGTGCGGATCCGGAAGAAAAGGAAGGAAGACGACATGCGGGACGAGGCAGCGGAGCAGGAGAATTTCGACAAGAAGAGGCTCGCCGAACAACGGCGGCGGGACCGGAAGTTGCAGCGCGAGACGAAGCGCATGAATCTCGACAGTTTGATGGGCGGCACGACCACGAGCATGGTGACGACGTTGGATGGCGGGCTGACGCTGAATTTACCGCTCGACCAAGGCGACGACGACGAGGACCTGGAGGAGAATCCGCAGATGCCCGACGGCATGCCCAACGCGGTCGGGGCTGCGGTGAAGGAACCAGCAGACGCTCAGGGGGAGCGGCCCGGCACGAAAGAGTCCTCGGCCGGCGGCGACAGTTTACTACTGCCGCCTTTAAGTCACAGCACCGGCACCGGGACCAGGCCGGGCACGACGGACAACGCACTTGTACCGGATAAAGGCGATACTGCAGCCGCGGGGGAAGGGGAGGTAGGTGTAGCGGTCGCAGAGAAAGCCGATGGTGTAAATGAAGCAGATGCTGAACAAAATCAACCAGGAACAAACGAACCCAGCAGAGACAACCTCCAGTCGGGTATAATTTCCAAGCGTGAGCAACTCGAAGAGGAGGAAGAAGAGGAGGAGGAGGAGGGCGGCAGGAGACATAAGTACAAAGCGAGCACCTCCTTCATGGATGAGTTCGACGACGAGGACGAGCAGCAGCAGAATAAAAGCTCGTCGTCCGAGGCGTTTTTCACGGACATGGACGAGCCGGTGGATACAAGCAAGTCCACCTCGATTCTGGAAGAAGATTTCCTGGACCCGACGAAACTCGACGAGATGCTCGGCGAGAAGGCGGAGCTTCCCTACATAAAGGGCGAGCAGTTCGACTTTTACACCACCGACACGCCGGACGAGCTGAAGAGGTTTCAGCTGTACTTCCACAGCATCCGCATTTTCACCATGGATTCCTATCCCGGGCTCACGTTCGAGAAAAGCAGGCGGTTCATCAAGCAGCTGCAAATCCTGCGAAATTACTTGTTCGACCTCCAAGACTCTATGAACGAGCTGAAACAAGGACCCGCGGGCCGGTCGACGGTGCAGCAGGACGCGGAGTACAAAATCTGCCTTCCGGTGTGGCACGGTCTGTCGAACTACCACGTTTTGTACCTGCTCAAGGTGCTCGTCGCCTGGAGTAATCTGAAGTTCCCGCTCTACATGGCCCTCGGGGCGGCGTACATAACCGCCCACGTACCCAACGTGTCCGATTTGCGCTTGGTAAACTTCCAAGTTATGCGCGCGTTTGTGGCGGACTTGCTTTCGCCAAGGGGCGGCCGGGTGCAGGAAAGTCTAGATTTGCGGTGGACAGCGGCAATCTCGGCGATTGCCAGGTATGGTTAGTTGGATTTTCATTTCTTTCCCTTGTTTTCGCTATACGTATACAGGCGGGCGGTTCTTCATTTTTGCACCTCCGCATCTTCGAGATCTTTTGAGTAACTAACTGAAATTTCCAGGTACGTCGTGAAAATGGGTTCCACGCTGCGCGATCAAGACTACTGGCTACTGCAAAACGAGTTGATGCAGTGGCTGCCATGCTCCGCCACCTCAAAGCACCCAGAAACCGGCGAGATCTCGACCTGCTCGCAGCCGCGTGCGTTGCACGGCCTGATTCACCGCTGTGACCGGACCGGGTGCGTGTGGCCCGGCGAGTACCAGACGCCCAAGTGGACATTCAACCCCATCGAACAAGCCGTGGAACTTCTTGCAGCCTACGAGGCCGTCGTCCGGGCACCGGAGAAACTTTCGATGACGGAAGCCAACATGCCGGAACACGAGCGCCCGGACAAGAAGGACGAGGCCTTTTTCGAGCGCACGGCGAACACCGGCGGGTTTGACCTGTTCTCCGACCGGGTGAGCGACCAGTTCGGCCCGCCCTTTTGCGCGCTGTGCTTCAAGGTGATGATGCGCGACGAGGAAGTGCTCCGGGAGCTGAACCGCGACCGGAATCGAGAAGCGCTGCTAGAAACCGCGTTGGACCGGAAAGACAAGATTTTGGAGGAAAAGGAAAGGAAACGCATCGAGCGGGAAGAGAAGAAGCGGATCGCGAAGGAAGCGACGAGCAAAGTGAAGAAAAAGGGGTTGATGGCCGGGAAGTTGCGGAAGGTCTTAAACCCGAGCGGCTTCCGATCTGGGTCTCCTTCCTCACGCTCCCCTTCCCCCGGGAAGAGAGACTCCAAGGATAGTGCCAACGACGCCGCTACGCCCGAGCCGAAGCGCAGGCCGGACCTGTCGCCGGACAGTCCGGATTACAGTCCCGTGTGCCTGGAGGTCGACGACGAGGACAGTCTCTCACCCTACCAGCGAGGCCTGCGAGAAAGGGGTTTAAGGCGGACGAATGAACGGAAGAAGGTGCTGATGGCCCAGGGCTTCGGCGAGGCGGCCTACCCCGACTTGAAACGCATCCTCGCCGAGCAGGAGGAAAAAGAGCGACAGCGGCAGGAGATCGAGCGCCAGCGGCGCATGGCGGCGGAGCGGGAAGATCTGAAAGTGTCCGCCGGCCACAGACTCTTGAAGCAGCGAGCGATTTCCCGCGAGCACATGCGGCAGAAGTCGAAAGACGACGGCGCCTCGACCTCGGGTGTGTCCCGCGAGCGATCCGCGTTCGGCTCCCCGAGCAAACATCTGCAGGAGGAAGACGATGCGAAAGTCGTTCCTCTGCCCGACATCGCAGAAACCCTGAAAAACCACAAGTGGTACGTGGCAAAAGCGGGCATGGCACGCGTGGAGCAGCGCGAGGGTGTGTGTGTAGAAATGGACGCGCACCTGGGGACGATATTTGAGAAGGAGGGGTACGAAAATGACTGCTTGGAGAATAACGCAGCGAATGAGAAGCCGTCCCCGAAGAAATACCTCTCCGGTCTGACGCAAGTCGAAACCGCGCACAGCCCGTTAAGGAAACGAGACTACGAAGCCCGATTGACTACATACGACAAGGCCACGTATTTGCGCGATCACCACCGCACGGTGAGTGAGCGCTTCGCGGACATAATGAGCCGTCCGCCCGTGGTGCGGGACAACCGTGGCGCGCTGGTGGTTCCGAAAAAACTGGACGAAAATTCCCTGGAAAGCGCTATAATAGCCGGTGTGGACACAGAAGCGATCACGAGGGAGCAATACATGCGCGAGGCGCAGGTAAGACTAAAAGAGGGTGGTTATTTTCACGGGTGATTTGTGCAGCAGCCCATAGATACAGGAGCTTTTTGTTGATGAATTGAAACCGAAACGACGTTTTGAGCTTCTAGTGTCAGCGAAAAAATTACTCTATCTATCAGAACGGCTTCGATTCCGAGCAGCGGGAGTGGATCGAGCAGACGTTTCGCAACACGAGTTCCCGGTACATTCGCTTCTGCCCGGATTGCTTCGGCGGGTACAAGCGGCACTACCGCCAGCGCGGCGTCCCGGATCGAAACAAATACGAAGAGAACTGGCAGCCGCCCGAGCGCGTGCCCGAGATTTTCGAGCCGGTGCCCTTCCGCAATGCCCGGGGCCACTTTTTCCGGCACCCGTACACCGGCGAGTTCGAGGCGTACTGCGAGCCCAACCCGATCAAGAACATCCCGAAAATCCGCATAAACTACCCCGAAACCCGGCCCTACCTGTACGAAAGGAAAGACAACATCCACGATTTAGTGATTCCCGGGGGCAACAAGGAGCCCTTTCGGGTCACCATGTACCAGGACCTGGCTATTCCGCCAATCTTGGTCGAGCAAGACCGCAAGTGCTGCGCGCTCTGCGGCAAGCGCGACGCAAATTTCGCACTTGTGCAGCCCTGCTTCCACCGGTTTTGTCTCGAGTGTATTCTCGACTGGACGGACTTCAACCACGACATGTCGGAGTGCATCGCGGAGTACGAACTACCTTTACCGTCCGGGACCTTTATGGGCCGGCTCGCGGACGTGGACAAGCTCAAGCCGAAAAAGTGGTGCCCCGTGTGTCGGGAACACGTGCGGAAAGTGGTGTTGCTGGACGCCTTGCAGTACAGCATCGGCGATGGAATCGTCGACATCGAAGATTGGGCGAAGGGACAAGGGTACCACTTTCTTATGTCTGCCGGCAGATCATCATCATCTTGTAAATTGCTTTTTCGGTCGGTTTTTCTATTCGTATGTTTTTTGGTATTCGTTTTGAGCACGAATCAAACACAAACTGTATCAAAAAGACAAGAAGTACGCCAATAACACAGGTACGTGCCCTACCCGGCGCGACCGCAACAGGAGCCGGAGCTCCGGCAGCACCTGGAGTATCCCACCTTCCGCAACTCCGCGAGAAAAACGCAGTGGTTCTTCGAGCAGCACAAACGGGGCTACATGTTCATGCGAAAACTCAAGATCAAGCGCAAGCACCACAAGCAGGTCACGGCAGCGGCCACAACGACCGGTGGGGACGACGCAGGCTCAGAAGAGGACGCGTAAAAACTAGAGTGTGCTGAAGCTGCACCAGCCGAACTCAACAATCATGGAAGTCATGCTCAGGCTTTCGCGCACAAAGTTTTCACTTTTCATCTAAAACTCACAAAAATTGAGTGGTTTTTCCTTTCACTAAAGTACGTTTTTTCGCAATGTTTTTCACTGCCTGCTCAAGACAAGGAGGCGCGAGCAGTAACTGAGGGCGAGTGATTCACTTACACTATTTGGCTAACTAGAATTCAAAGGAGGTACGAAAGTTTTTTTCGTGTAACTACTACCCTTGAAAACGTTTTTGTCCACACGTATTGCGCTCCCCCCATCATCTGTACTTTCCCTTTGACGATGATTCGCACTGTATGTCAAGATCTGGACCAATTTAAGAAATGCTTCCCGCATCATGCACATACGACGTACTGCAGTAATTCTAATTTAAAGGCCTTGTCGGTGTTCCCATGTGGTTGTCTTTTTTTTTTCCACTGTCATCATCGATACCTGGCTGGTATCCACATCAAGCAGTCGAAGTCGGTAAAGTCCAAGCTTGCTCCGCTCCATGACGTGCGTACGAGATCCCTGAGTAATGAAAGATCGCAGTGATCACAGGAACGCGAACTCCATGCAGGCGTTCCACTGGCTACCAATTCCACGTGCATTGGTTCCCTCCTCATCTGAGATATTTCCAGCAGATTTCATTCTCGGATCGACATGCAAGGTAGATGAGCAGAAGATGATGTGAAACGACAGACGAAAAAATCGAAACAGGAGCTGAATAGATGTATTAGTACTACACTTGATGGCCTTTGAGTTCCCCGTCCTCTCAAGAGTACAGCAATCAAGTTTTGCTTTTTTTTCCCCAACAAAAAGACCTTCTACAACGGCAAAATTCTTTTCTTTGTCCTCACACCCCTGCCGCGCAAAGCCGCGGGCACCTTCAATATCATCTTCCCACTTCGTTTTTTTAAACGACTTTGACAAAATTTATCCCAAACCTTCCCTCCTCTGTACTTTTCGGACTTCAAAAAGAAGAAGTTTTTCCGCCACAACCACCATGCCCGAGTTCCCGTACGTCATTGTGGGTGGCGGCAACGCCTCCGGTTACGTTGTACGAACGCTGGTGGAAAATGGCGTTGCGGGGTCGGACATTTGCCTGGTCGGGAGCGAGGAGAAGCACCCGTACGAACGGCCGGCCCTCACCAAAGCCTATTTGCACGCTCCCGGATCGAAGGTACGAGCGAGGCTGCCCGGGTTTCACACCTGTGTTGGAGGGGGTGGCGAGAGGCAAACGCCGGAATGGTATCAAAAGAGGTTGTTGTGGTTTTGGTGTTGAAATCCGGTTTTGTAGTTCAACTCTCGTAGCGTGTTTTTTCCCTTGCAGACCGACGGCTGCGCGCTGCAAGGAAACTCTTTAAAAATATCTAAGGGCCCGATAAATCAACTGTTTGCAGCTTCAGGACCCTCACCGTCCAAGGTTGGATGAAAACATACTATCAGGTACGGAGAAAAGGGAGTTACCGTGAAGCTGGGCACGAAAGTAACAGCGCTGGATAGTGGCAAAAAGTGCGTCTCAACGTCTAGCAACGAAGAAATCACTGCACAGAAGGCGTTGTTTGTGGCCACGGGCTGCAACCCAAGAATTTTCGATATGTACAAAGGGTCCAACGTTTCACTCGTGCGAAACGAAGCAGACTGCGCTGCACTGGTGTCCTCCATGGAGGGAGGGAAGGATTTGAAGCTGGTATGATGAATAGTTTTTTATTGCTCGCTGACCTGATGTTTGCTACGCCTACGATGATGCTGATCACAAGTTGTATGCCGCAAGATGTTCATCTTACACAAGAAACCGGAAGAAGAACTTTTCCACAGCGAGCAAAACTACCCTCAGGTCGTTGTTGGCGGTGGGTACATTGGGCTCGAGGTGACCGCGGCAGCCGTGGGTTGGGGCGAGAATCTTGCGTCCGTCACAATTTTGAACATGGACCCCATGTGCCTGCAGCGCATCTTCTGGGACGCGCCGGAGTTTTCGAAGATGCTCCAGGCCAGCGTGGAGAGCGAAAGCCACCCGGTAAAGTGCACTGTGAAAAACGGTATCAAAATTTCCAACGTGGTCAAAAGCGCGGACGGGAAGATCACGGCGATCGAAACCGAAGACGGTGCGAGCTACCCCTGCGACCTGGTGGTGCTCGGGCTGGGAGCCACCCCCGCAACAGAATTCATGCCCAAGGAGAGCTTGTCCAGCAGGGGATACATCAACGTACTTGATTTAGAACTTGTGTTGGTGCGAGCAGCGAGCGAGGACATCATCTGAAGTTGTTCATTACTGCAATGTCTTCCACGGACAAATCAGGAGCTGCTGCGCACAGGATGCAAATGAAGATGTTTGTGGTGCTCTTTGTCATCTGTGGACCACATGAAACTAAAACAGGTGGACAGCTCGTTGAAATTTGCGGACGGCTGCTTCGCCCTGGGCGACTGCTGCTCCTTTCCGCTCCAAGGAGAGGAAACGGTCTTCGAGCACGTGTTTCACGCGCGCGCCTCGGCGAAGCACGCCGCCCTGACCGCGCTGGGCCAGACGGCAGACGCGTACAGCCCCATGTCGTTCTTCTACTCCAGGATGTTCGAGTATTCAGACAAGCCGTTGATATGGAACATGTGGGGCACGCGGACCTCCAACGCAGCGCCGCACTTGGAGAAGAAAGACAACGGGTTCACCTGCGTTTGGGTACTATGATTTGGTGGACATTTTTGTAGTGTCATTAATTCACAACTCCAGTCAACTTGTTCTTTCCTTGCTTCGCAAAACTACGGTGAAGAAAAGAGTTTGGTACCTGCATGCTTTTACCGTTAATTCAAGAATCTGAAAAATCTCCTTTTCAGGTCGAAGGCGGAAAGTGTGTTTCGGCTTGCATTATGATGCAGAACCCAGCGCCAACGCAAGAACAGCTGGACGCGTGCAAGGCGTTGATCGGACAGCCCTATCCTGCCGCTTAAGCAAGAGAGATTCTCTGGGTCAAAAAAGTATCAAGCTCTCGGCGCGGCGAGTCGCTTGTTCGGCCGACGCAAGGTCGTCCTGCGCGACAGTCTTGTGTGCGTAGAAACGATAGGAGGGGCGTGATCGAAAGTGGTTAAGAGTGACAGAAGTGACATTGGTATTAAACTGAAAGTGGCTTCATACAACTACATCAGAGTAAATTATCCTCCTCCGCGTGCGGATAGCAGCCCTGATGCAAGAGCTTGCCGTTGGACGACTTGCGTGCCGCGAGGACTGCTGCAGCCGTTTTGTTTGATCTTTCTGCGCGGACAAAGCTGTGACTCCACGGTCCACACGCGTACGTGAACAAGAATGGGGACAACTCCAGCACGAAGATCATCCGATGCTGAAGGATCTGTGTCTAGGTGTGAAGATAGAAGTTCAAGTTCCCGGAAGTAAGAGTAGACTAAACAAGATCGACATGAAAAGAACTGCCGTGGCAGTTTAAGCATTGCAGCGCAGCTCGCTGACCCTTTGCAAAAGTTTTGTTTTCACGGGGAGTTCAATTTTTGCTTTTTGTTTTTGTTGCTGACTTCATTTTCAAGCGCGATACGATCATGTTTACGATCGCGGAAATGAATCCAAAATGCCTCGAGAGAAAAAGATCCTTTCTGGATGAGAAAAAGATCCTTGTTGTGATGATCCGTTTTCCGTTTCCCCTGCCTTTACGTACTTTTTGTTCTAACAAGCTTTTTCAATGTAGTCTTTACTTTTGCGTTTGTGTTTGGTTCAAGAAGTGATAAGCGAGCAACACGAGCTACTAGTCCAATCTTTCGCCTGCCGAAAGAATTCCCTCTTTTACTGGACACGGGTTACCGGATACCGGTTCACATGACGCAGCGGACGGAGACAGGTTTGCCGCAGCGCCCCATCCGGTGTTTCATGAATGGTTGCTTCGACCTGCTGCACTTTGGCCACATAAACGCGCTGCGACAGGTGCGCCAGTATCGGCTTGAGGACTTGTACGAAGTAGAGACAACTCGACGAAGGTCTTCTTCCCCAGAACACAAAACGGCGGCGCGGAACAATTCGACACAAGGAAGACAAAATAGTGCGTTTCCATATCAAGAAAATGACTTGTACACTACAACACCACCAGGAGGAGCGCTACCTCCAGCGACTTTCGGAACAGCGGCCGTTGTCAATGATACGTCCTCGGAGGATCTGGTACCCTTCGTGGCGCCAGATTCCAGTTCGTCCGAAGAAATTTTATCGAAATCCACGATCGAGACGGAGCGAGAGCGGCACAACGAGCTTCAGAGGTGCGGCGGAACTACATCAAAGAGCGGAATGTTGGAACGAGGGAGAAATGAAGTAAACCTGCGGCCACATTATCCCTCAAATAACTCAATGAACCTGCCGGCCGTTTCGGCAGCAGGTATCAAGAGGAACAAGATCCACGTAATCGCCGGCATCCACAGCAATGAGGAAATTCGGCGCGTCAAGGGCGGGGCCTTTCTGAGCAGTGAGGAGGAAAAGGAACGACTCCTCCGGGCCTGTCGCTTCGTAGACGAAGTGGTGCTGGACGTTCCGTACGGGGTCATTCTGCCGGAAAAGTACGATGCGGACTTCGTGATGCACGGCGACGACGAGATCAAGCTTCCGGACGGCCGGGATATGTACTGTGAGGTGAAAGCCGCGGACAAATTCCGCTACATTCGCCGCACCGAGGGCATTTCGACGACGTTGATGGTGGAACGGTTTCTTCAGGATGCTGGTGGGCATCTACAACTTCATGGCGACACGATGAACGGGCATAGTGCTGCTGTGGATGTTGTTGGTCACAGCGGTAAAAACGCATCTCCTTCACTTGTGGAGACCGGCGCCGCAGCTGCACAAGCAACTGAGCAAGGAGAAGCAGATGGGTGGTCCCCCCCCTGCCAAGATACGACTAGAGTTGCAAGGAGTCCGGCTTCGCCGAAGGGTGGAGCAGGTGGGTCTAGCAGTCGCGTGCTCGACGCCTTTCGAGTGGCGCAGCATCGCGCGTCGTCGCAATCGCAATCTCCAGTGGGGGGAAAGGAGCGTTCCGTCGTGGCGATGAACAGTGCGCCTGTAGTAGTGCAGGACATCATGCTAGCCAGTGCGACGCGCATCGCGCGTTTCGTGGCCGCAGTGCAGGAAGAGGTGGAGGAACAGCAAAGTACTGAGAAGCTGGTGCGGCAACCGGCGGGAATTTTCCAGCGGGTAGTGGTCTACGTCCAGGGGTACTGGGATCTGTTGCACGTGGGCTACCTCGACATTTTGGAAGAAATTTACCGAAGGGAAGCGGGAAGGACGGTCTACCTGATTTGCGGAGTCAACAGCGAGGATGTTGGTCTTCAAACGGAAGGAGATCTTGCAGACACGGCATGTCGACGACGCGCCCCCTGTTTCCAAACGGTACACGAGCGAGGGCTAGCGCTTCTTGCGCTTCGCCACGTCAGCGACGTTGTGTTTGGCACGCTTTCGCGGGGCAACTACTGCTCTGAGGGGTTTCGCCGCAGTCTCGGGATCGACGTTGTTTACCAGGTGTCGAATCACTGGGATTTCGTTTGCGACGAAGGTACCGTAGCAGACGAGAACTACGCCAACTCTGCTGCAACTGAAAGTGATGCTGACGGTGGTGAGGCAGTAAGCGACACATCGGGAAATGATGGCCAGTCGCGACATAAGCAGACCAGTACTGGTCACATCAAAACCATCAACGGCAAGGGAATTTTGAGTAGCAAAGACATCGTAGAGCGCTTCGCACGGAACAGGACAGATTTTCTAAAGCGCAATACTGTGAAGCGCGAGCCAGAAATGGCGAAGCATGGCGAAAAAACTGTTTCTGCTGCGTAAGTACGCAATATCGGAAACGCATTCATTTTTGGATTGAATCATGGAAGCTTCGCAAAATATCAAATTATGGATGCATCCTGATTTTCTCCCCGGAAACATGTTCATTCTGCAGCGTTCCAGACATGGAATGTTCATCCATTGATCGAGCTCGGGTCGGAAAAAGTGTGTGTCGTTTTCGTTAATCGTCTCGTGGAATCGCGCGTTTACGCTTTTGCAAGTTCTAGATCTTCATCGTGAGTGTGTGCTTCGTGTATCGTAATCGTCACGGTCGTCGGGTGATCTTTCGTGTTCTGCGCACCGCCGTACAGCTGCACGTATCGGTTGATTGACATATAGTTGTATTAAAACCTAGTACGTTTTTCAGGTTATTCTGCATTTCTCATCAAAAACATAGACGACGCAGAAGGTTTTTTTCATGTTGGCAGCTAAAATCAACTGTATACGCGGATTGATGGTTATTAGATTGCTGTGAATTTCTTTCGGCGTTTTTCCAGTACCTACCTATACAATAACGATACAAGACTGACATTGACAATAAAGACATCGAAAGAGAGTCGAAGCCTGAATTTCGACAAAATGGCCTCCTCATCAAGTAGTACTTCGACCGTCCGTATTCGCAATTTTTCGGGGCAGGAAATAGCTATGGCCGCCAGTCCGGAAGTTTGTACAACCATCGGCGACCTGGTGGATGAGTTTTACAACCAAAAACTAGTTGCGAAGTTTTTGGAACCTGGCCAGCTCGTTCCTCCCAAGCACCGCCTGAAATGGCTGAAGTTGCAGGACGAGGAGTCTGAAGACGACGAAGATGTAGCGGACGAATTCTTGCCTACCAATGCCGAGTTGGACTTCATCAGTGCCGGCATTGTCTACCAGTTCGTCATCGTAGTGTCTCGCGATTGGAAAGAGCAAATGGAGCCGCTGAAGGTCCCAGCGGTCGAACTCCCAGTCGGGACCGCTGCCGATCCCGAGACCCTCTTGCAAGGGAGGGAATTACCTGGGCTGGACTTTACTCACCAAGAGCGCGTTCATGGTTTCTTCACGCGCATGTCGCTGCGCGATGCCGAAGATTTTTTGTACGACAGGGCGTACCTCATCCCAGTGAAGAAGAATCACGACCCGTTTGGTTCCCTGTATCAGACAGAACCCTGGGACATGGTATTGGAAAAGCTGTGTGATAACCTACCGCATCGCCGCGACATCACCACGTGTCTCGCGGAACCGTATCTGAAATCGATTCCGGGCCGCGAAGTTTGGGTGCTCGTGGAAGCGGCACTGAAGCTACCAGTTTCGGAGTGGGAGAAGCACGGAAAGGACAGCCAGTTTTTTCCTTTGGCCGAACGCGAAGAGTACGCGGGGGCGGTTGTCTCGCAGCTGTTTTTGCAACCTGCACCGATCAAAGACAAGGCAACCGAGCGGGACGTTTTCGAGATCGCTCTGCACGCATCGGAGATAAGTCCCGGCACTGCCGCGAAACTGGTGGCACAGAGTTGTGCTCCGCCGGATGCGGAGAAGAACAAGTACAAGGGCTGGTTCGGAGACGAGATTCACAGCAAGGAAAGGCTTTTTTCACCGCAGCTGCGCACTGTGTCATCCTACCGCGGCTTCGTGTCGATGCTGCTGAGTGAGATGCAGGGGAGGGGAAAGCTGCCTGCGTTCCTGACCGCGCTGTGCAGAACGCTTGAAGTTGCTGCACTGAAACAAGGATGGCAAACGCTCCCGCTCGACTTCAAGCTTCTGCTCCGCCTCCAAATGCTCGACACGAACTCGAAAAACACGGCCGTACGCTCTCGACTGGACTCGCTTGCCATTGGCATCGGTGGTCAACTCGCAGCAGCCCACGAGCTTCTGCAATTTGTCGGCTCGCACTCGCAGGTCGTGCAGGTCCTTCATGCGGAGGCTGGGGCCGACGTCACAAGCGTCATTAAGGAGATGGAGGAAGAAATAGCGGCGATGAAAATTGACGTTGTTAGCGTCTGGGAGGGCATCGGCTTCCACACAAGGATCGAGGAGGAGCTGCCAAAGTGCGGATCGACTTTGTCGTGGGCCGACTGTGTGGCGCACCTCCGGAAGAAATTCCACCCGGAACCACAAAACGTGCCGACGAGTAATGCCGGCGGTGGTCAAAACAACTTCGATACCTTGCAGCTCCTACCGATTTCGGACGAGAGCAATGGCGAACTAGAAAGCTTCTCAGGTGAAAGCGAGGAGGACTAGACAGCGGAGTTTTTGATCACCACCAATTCTGGTTTGTAAGATGTTGAGACGTCGCCTATGCATGAATAATGTTAGCTGCACGAATGGTGATGTATAAAATCTGGTCCACAAGTTGGCACTTGTTGACTCAAGATTTTTAACTGTTCAAAAATTCTGCAAAAATGTATGCTCACTTCGTTAATTTGTCGACTTGTTGCAAGTTTCACAGTTTCCTGGAAATCAATGTTTGACAACTAAGTATCTACAGTATCTTTCGCTTCCGACGGATTCTATCAAAGACAAGTTAGTACAGAAAACAATTTCTATGCTTAGTGTGGAGAAGCGTGTTTTCCGTTTGAATAAAGCGCCGTCTTTCGCGGGTAGTGTCGCTGTGCGCTATTTTGTACTTCTGGTCTGGATCATGTTCACTTAATGCCCGTGAAGATCAGAATGAAGATTTCCTTAAGATTGTCCGTTTTCTCTGTGTCTAACCGATCGGCTTATAGTACTCAAACAGACATTTCATCAGATTCGGTGCAAGGACAGGATCCAAACCAAATAACAGATCAAGGTGAGCAGATTGAAGAGACGAAATCAGGATCACAATGATGAAATTACGCCATCTGATGATCACACACCACAGTCGTTAATGATCGCAATCGGTACCGTAACCCGAACCCTAAAATCGGAATCGTACTCGCAATGTTGTCAAGGGTGTTGGGCTTTCGTGTGGTGATCTTCAATGTTTTGACTTTCAAAAAAATTGACGTTTTCTGGAGTCCGACAGTATCCCCGCTAAAGAGGTCGTGAGTTAGTTATACAGAAACTGGCATTGTCTTCATTCATAATTGTTGAAACTGGAAGATCAACTGCAACTTTCTAAAGAGTAACAAGTACACATCCAACATAACTAAACTTTGATCTGTCTCTGCGTCATTTGATTCATTTCAACTTTGTTATTGGTTCGGTGGTGTTGCGTATTCTACTGTGCTTGTCGCGACTTTGTCGGTGCAATTGGAAAAGATGTCTCTGGTGGAAAGTGGAAGTGGAAACTCGGCAGAGGCGGAGACGCAAACCCAGATGAATTTTGTCCGCGTTCAGAACATCACGGGGAAAGACAGCGAAATATCTGTGCCGGTTGATCCCGCGAGGATTAAAACCGTGGGCGACTTGTGCAGTTGGGACATTGTCCGCGGGTTTTTTCGCGAGGACCAGCTCCTGCCGCCGACGAGTCGACTACAGTGGCTGAAGGTCGTGGAGCAAAGCAGCGATGTTGAGGAGGAGGAAGCAACACTCGATGACACTGAGCCTGAGGAGCAAGAAGAGTTCGTGCGTGGGCGCACCGCCGTCTTCGATGAGGACGCGCCGCTTCTTTCGGACCAGCAAAGTCCCGGTTCCGAAGACGATGATCCTGCTTCCGCAACTAAGCCACCGCGGGCGGCTGACAGCACCGATGTCGCGACCGAGTTCCTTGCGCGCGATGTCGAAATTGAATATGACTCGCCGGGCACCGTTGTTGCGTATCAGTTCGTCGTAACCGGGTGCGCGGACTGGGCTGACATAATTCTACGGAAGCACGATACTGCAGCAGGAGCAGTTAGGATGGGGATGGCGCCTGAAATGGCTGCGGATGTGGCAGTTCGGAAATTTTTTAGCCACCGGATGGCCGTAGCCGAAGCTCATGACTTTCTGTATGACCTGGCGTATTTGCACCTCGACTCGACTCTGTCAGATCGGGCGGGGAGCCGATGTCTTCAAGTCGTCTCGCAGTCTCTGCCATGGCTGGCGAACGTCCCGAAGCTGCGTGGCGACCCGTTGTCTGGACCCAAGGAGACAGGGTTCGAAGGAGATTTCCTTTGCCCCAGGCTGGCCGAGGCTGCGATGGAATTACCTCCCGAGGAGTGGGCAAAGCATGCCAAAATCACAACTCAACGCTTCGACGTTGCGGTTATTCCGGAGGATCGCAAAAGCTTCGGGAAGCGGGCGTTAGTAAATATGTGGAGAGGTGGGCTACCTCTTGCATTAACCCCGGAACACAGGACGAGACTCGAGCAGGAAGAGCATTGCGCCAAGATTGAGGGATTTTGTCGTACGACGCTGGACGCGTGCCAGTTGACGGGAGAATCTTTAGCGAATGCAATTTTTGCTGAGGCCAGAGGCCATATGGATCTTGCTTACAATAGCCCGACGAGGGCAGACATTCGCCGAATCGCGCGAACAACTCTCGAATGGTTGCTGACAAACATGGGGGAAAATGCCGTCGGGGCTTTTCTCGACCAGGTAGAGGCCCTGCTTTCGGGCGAACGGCTGGCCGAGTATTGGCGCGAAAAGGTCGCGAACGACATGCCCGATGAAATTACTGACGCGGACGAGCTTCGCGACTATTTGGAGGAGTTTGTTGACTTGGCGAAATCCGATGCGCAGGGTGCTTTTTCAACAGTCGCGCTATTTTATGGGCAGGCAGGTGCGTTAGGTTTTCCACGTGATTACGGTGCCTTCCAAGAAGATGTGGCTGAGGTCTGGGACTACCTCGAAGAAGATAGTGCAGGTGCATTGGAGTCCTTTGGAGTCGCTCGGGTGCTTCGAGAAAAGCTCCTCAACGAAGCCGCAGGGGAGCAAGGCCTGACGTGGGAATTCTGCGCAGAATATCTGCGAGAGATGGATGAGGTGCGTGAGGACGAGGACTCTGAGGAAGAAGTTGAAGCCAACGAGCTTGGTATTATGGAAGCTGGGGAGCAATAGGAGCAGTGCCGCGGGTGAAGAAAGCAAAGCGACGGCGATGCCGAAGAAGGGAGCACGCGCGTGGTCCTTTACTGATCCTTTCAAAAGGAGAGGCATGATTTTAGATTATCGAGAATTTCTTCGAAAGCAGTAGGTACACCAGAGTCGACCCTATTCCGGAGCCCGTTTTTTTCTGCCAAGAGTCAAAGTGTGCGACAATTATCGTATAGCGAAAGAATCAATCCACTTCCGAAAAGATCGACTTGTTCGTCAAAACCAGCACGAAGATTTGTCATCTTTTAGGTTTTCGAGGCGGCCAATATACTAGTCCGTGAAAAATCCACATCAACATCAAGTCCAGAAAGCGAGTGTTCGCCCATCTGCCCGTGCTCTGCGTGTAGCCGATCGGTTTATAATAGTAAACAGAAATTTCATCAGATTCGGCGCAAGGTAGGACAGGGTTCAAACCAAGTAACAGATCAAGGTGAGCAGATTGAAGAGACGAAATCAGGATCACAATGTTGAAATTACGCCATCTGATGATCACACTCACACACCGCAGTCGTTAATGATCGCAATCGGTACCGCAACTCTAAAATCGTATATCGTACTCGGAATGTTGTCAAGCTCAAGGGTGTTGTGCTCTCGCGTGCTGATCTGAAACGTTTTGACTATCCAAGAAAATTTGGCGCTTTCTGGAGCCTGTCCGACAGTATCCCCCCCCATTTAGAAAAGTCCACAACCTGAATTGCTAAAAAGCATTACCTTCATTGCGGAAGCTTGAAGATCAGCTGCAACTTTTTATAAAAATAACAAGTACACTTGCAAGATAACTTTGACTGATTTGTCTCTGCCTCAGCATTTTTTTAACTTTATTGTTGGATCGGTGGCGTTGCGTCTTCTACTGTGCTTATCGTGACTTTGCTGCAATTGCAAAGAATGTCTCCAGTGGAAAGTGGGAGCAGAAACTCGGCAGAGGCGGAGACGCAAATCCAGATGAATTTTGTTCGCATTCAGAATATCACGGGGAAAGACAGCGAAATATCTGTGTCGGTTGATCCCGCGAGGATTAAAACCGTGGGCGACTTGTGCAGTTGGGACATTGTCCGCGGGTGTTTTCGTGAGGACCAGCTCCTGCCGCCTACGAGTCGATTGCAGTGGCTTAAGGTCGTGGAGGAAAGCAGCGATGTTGAGGGGGAGGATGAAGCAGCGCACGACGGCAGTGAGCCTGAGGAGCAAGAAGACGAGTTCGTACACATGGGTGAGGAGGCGCCAGTTCTTTCGCATCAGCAAGATGTCGCTGGCGAAGATGGTGACTCAGCATCCGCAAGCAAGCAACCAAGGGCGGCTGACAAGAGCACGCATGCTACGACCGAATTTCTTGCGCGCGATGTCGAAATTGAATATGACTCGCCAGCCGCCGTTGTTGCGTATCAATTCGTCGTAACGGCGGGCGCGGACTGGCCTCAAGTCATTCAACGGAAAATCGAGGGTGCTCCATCGCCGGCGCCGCCTGGCGGCGGGTCGCCTGACGCGGCTGCATTGCATGCAGTGGATGTTCTTTTTACCGGCGCTATCACAGTTTCCGACGCGCGCGACTTTCTCTATGACCTGGCGTATTTGAATCTCGAAGCAATACAGCCAGATAGTGCGAGAGATTTTTGTCTTCAGATGGTCGCGGACTCCCTGCCGTGGCTAACGAACGCCCCGCCGCGCGAGGGACCCCCCGCTGTGGGCGAGGGATCCCTGTGCTTCAATCTAGCCGAGGCTGCGATGGAATTACCTCCGGAAGAGTGGGCAAAGCATGCGAAGATCACAAGTGACCACCGCGCGGCTGCGATCGTGTCAGAGGAACGCAAAGACTTTGGGAAGAGGGCGCTAGTCTGTTACTGGAATGGTGGGCTACCTCTTGCACATACTCCCGAAGATTTGGAGAACATCGAGCGCGAATCGCGTTGCGCCGAGGCTGAAGCATTTTTTCGCACTACGCTGGATACGTGCCAATTAGCGGGAGAACCCTTGGCGAATGCAATTTTCCGAGAGGGTATGGGCCATTTGGATCTTTCCCAAGAGAGCCCGAAGAGGCGCGACCTGTGCAGAATCGCGCGCACGACTCTCGAGTGGCTGAGGGCCAACATGGGCGCAGCAGCCGTCTGGGCTTTTCTCGACCAGATGGGAACTCTGCTCTCAGTCGAACAGTTAGCAGAATCTTGGCGCGAATTTGTCGCGGACGAACTGCCACAGGAAATCACCGACTTGGCCGAGCTACGCGACTCTTTGGAGCAGTATCGTGACAGAGCGGAGTGCGATGCGAAAGGAGCCCGTACAGCAGTCGCGTTATTTTATGACCAGGCGGATGCATTGGGTTTTCCTTATCCCATTGGAGAAGATTTTGAAGAGGCCTGCGACTATCTCGAAGGAGTTTGTCATTGTGCAGCTGCGTTAGAGGCTTTTGGAATCGATCGGCTCTTTGAAAAAAAGCTAGACAATGCTGCCGCAGCGGAACAAGGCCTCACGTGGGACTTCTGCTTTGAATATCTGCGAGGGTACGTTTCCGAATGAGCAGGGGCATGAGAACGCGGATGCAAACGAGGACTCTGAGGAAGAAGTTGGAAGCAGCGAGCTTGAAGATGATATGGAAGCCGGGGAGCAAGAGGAGGAGGAGCAGCGCCGCGGTTGAAAAAGGAAAATTGATGGCGATGGAAACGAAAAAAAGGCGCGCCGTCCGTTGCTGATCTTTTCAAGAGGACGAGAGACATGACGTTACTTACTTAGAATGATATCGATAATTTATTCTTGAAAGCAGTACACCAGATGAATCGATCCTATTCCAGACCACACGTTTTTCCTCCAATGAAGCACGACAGCTACTGTGTAGCGGGTTTTTCTTCCAATGAAGCACGACAGCTACTGTGTAGGTGTAGCGGACGAATCTTTCGAAAACACAAAACCAGCATGAGAACCGGAAGCAGATGAAGGGGATCCAAAAACGAAGCGGAATGACCGAGCGTCCCTTTCCACAGTCAAGAAGTGTTCTTATCTTAGAAAAGATCCAAACCGTAACCGTCCCAGCTTGAGAAAGTTTCCCTCTGACCGAAACTTAAGGATCTTCGTGTTCGTGTTTGTGTCTGTGAAACTTTCATTAGTAAAACTTACACATTGCAGTCAGCAGATTGGAAATAGTGACCGCGAAATGATTATCACCTGTCCTGCATTCCTCGCATTTTTTTCAACGTAGCATAACCATTACCATAGAAACGTACTTACCAGCTCACTTTCGTTACAGATCCTAGCTTTGTCAAACCATATGCGGCTTTGAGTTCGATCGTTTTTTCGTACTGGTAGTTCCAAAATGCTGCAGTTAGCGACGGATAGAAGAAGTTCAACTTGTGAGTAAACCTTGGTCCACCACTGCACGAGGAGAGTGCAAATGTCCTCCGCACCAGCCCACGCGGTCCCGACCGCCACTGTCCGGATCCGGAATTTTTCTGGTACGGAGGTGAGCATGACGGTTAACCCCGAAAAGTGCAAGAACGTTGCCGACTTGGTTGAAAATTTTTACGCAGAGAGCCTCGTGCAAACATTTTTTGACCACGAGCAGCTGTTGCCGCCCAAGCACCGCCTGATGTGGTTGCTGTGCAGCGACGAAGAATCCTCTGAGAATGATGCGCCCGCGATGGACTTTCTTGCAGAGGATGCCGAACTGCAGCTGGACGATTCATCTCAGGATAGCACGAACGAAGGACCGGTATACCAGTTTGCTGTGCAAGCCGCGCGAGACTGGCAAGAAGAGCTCGAGGGTCTTGTGGGTGCAAAAGTAAAGGATCTGCCGGACGCCGGAAGCGACGACATCGATCGGCGCATCGGACGAGAGACGCATGAGCGCGTCGAAAAATTCTTTCAGAATATGACGTTGCGGGATGCCGAGGACTTTGTGTTTGACCGCGCCTATCTATGCAATGCAATGATGCCCCCGTCGCTGAATCTGTCACGTACAAAATCGTGTGTCATGTCGATTCCCGTGATGAATTCATATCTGAAAGCTACGTAGCCCCATGGCACGAATACTAATGGCATTGCTCGGGATTGGATATGCCATAGCCAAAAACACAGTCCGTTTTTCAGACACCTCTGTGGCTTATTATGCAAGACAAATTTGAGATTGTGATTGAGATGATATGGTTTCATTGCATAGTATCTGATCCCGCCACCGAAAAAAGTTTGGGAGTTGCGAATGCGGAATCCGTGGCGGACTTGCACCAATACACTGGGGATCAGTCTTCCGTATTGCGAAAAAACGGGATTCGATCGCTACAGCTACGACGTTCTACCGCGGACATATGAGTCCCCGTCTTGGGCTCTAGTTCGAGTGGCTCTCAAGCTCCCGCTGCAGGAGTGGAGCAAGCACGCCGCGGAGGGGCATTTTTTTCCGCTGCACGAAAGGGAAAGGTTCGCGGAGCGTTGCGTCTCTCAGTTCTTGTTTGCGAAAAGACGGAGCGAACAAGATACCTGGGGCGAGGTGGAAGAGGTTCTCAAAATCGCGTTGAGCGTTTCGGAAATAACCGCGGGCGCATCGGCAAAGCTGATCCTGAGCACTTTTGCCGCGGCAAATCGCTACAGCCTGCAGTATTCGGGATGGCTCATGAGTCAGAAAATCAGGAACAGAGGCCGAGGCGGTGCCGCTGCGGCAGCTCGCGCAGAAGCGACCAGCAACAGGATCGCTAAGTATCGCAGCGCCGTGTCTCTGATTCTGCGAGACCTCCACTCCAGGGGCAAACTTCGCACTTTTTGCGCGGCGGTGTCCGACCATCTACGGGTGGCGCCCTTGAGGACGGAATGGATGACACTTTCGGACCACTTGGCGCAGCGCGCACGGCTCGCGCAGGAGGCGCCGGTCGCAGGTCTGCCACAGAGGCCCGCACTTCGGAATGTGGACTTGCGTCGCGAACTGGAGGAGTACGGTGACACGATTGGGGGCCAAGCGGACGCTGCTATACGGGTGTTGCTCCTTTTGGACGTGGAAAGCAAAAACGTCTCGCCAACATTGTCGCATGACTTCACCACGGTCATCAAAGGACTGGAGGAGCACGTCGCGGCGGTAAAAACTGACGTCGTTCAGGTTTTCGAAAGTATTGGCTTGGCAGCCAGAATCCGCGACCTGCTACCACTTCTTTCCACGACAATGTCTTGGGACGACTGCGTTGCGCACCTGCAGCGCGATCCTCCCCCGGCAAGCCGACGAGGACTACACCGGCGTGGTGCACAAGACGAGGATGAGGATCAGTTGTCCGAGAGTTGGTCGGATACCAGTGACAGTTCGTCGCTAGGTATCAAACAAAAAAAGTTCGTCACGATCACTCATGCGCATTTTTGCAATGCAAAACTCTCTGTCATGCGTAAAAATGCATCACAGCCAAACTTCATAAGGGATTTCCCTAGTGTTTCTGCAATACAAAGAAAAGCTGTCGTGATGCTGAAAAAATTTGTAATGCAAAACCTGCAAGAGCAAGGTAGTGCTAGTGACTGTGACAAACTTTTTTCTCTCCATACTAGATAGCGACTCGGATCTCGAGGAGCTAGACAGCGACGATTTTTCGGTTGATTCGGAGGAAGAAGACGACCTTATGGATGAGCTGGACGAACTCCTGAATGAAGACGATATCTTGGAGCCGGGACAAGCTGGGGAAACCGGCGACGCTGCTGCTGCCGCTGCCGCCCCGGAAGACGCAAAGAAAGAAAGCAAGTGATACATGCGGATTTTGTGATGTTGTCCCATGTGAACGTGAAGAAAGTGAGGGCACTCGATCTTTGTATGTACTTCCGAATGTCGATCCAAGAACCTATTCGCATTTGAATTGACAACCTATTTTCTTGATTGACTTCGAAACTGTCTACGCAGTTTTTGTCATCATGTTGGAGGTGGCACCGGAAGGTGCAAATGCGCGAAATTGTTCAGTGCAGTCGACGCGCAGTAGCGCCGATTCGATTGAAAGGCATGGTCTGAGTACTTATATCATCAGGATCAAGATGCTGCAAGCGGAATTCCTTTGATGGGAATGTAGGCTCCTGAAATAAGATCTCGAGGGTTGAGGCCTTTTCCTCCTCTTAGAAGTCATTCTCTGTCGTGGTACTTGACATCTGCTAGGCTTTAGTACAATGATGGGTTTTGCGTTTCTTTTTTCGCAAAAGCTGTCCTTTTGATCCCAACTCTTAGAGAGCAAGATTGATAGTAAAAACCAAGATGACCCCCTTGCCCTCTTCCGGCGTGACTGCCAACGCCCTTAGGATCGGCCACACTATCGGAAAGATCCAAAGCATAAGCCTCGATTTTTAAGTCTTGACAGCGGATTAGAATTTGAATTACGTTTCTACTCATACCTGTCTGGAATTCGCACTCTACAACTTCCAGTTCGATTTTTTTCGTGAGTCTCATACCATTTGCACCTTCGATCGCTAGGTAGGGGTATTGGTAGTTTCATTTATCATGTTGAAATCAGCAACCGATACAAGGAAGAAGTTCAAGTCGTAAGTAAGCTTAAGCTCGCACCACCGCACACGGAGAATAAGCATGTCCTCCGCAGCCCCCGCAGCCCCGACCGCCACTATCCGGGTCCGGAATTTTTCCGGTAAGGAAGTGAGCATGACGGTCAACCCGGAAAAGTGCAAAAGCGTTGGCGATTTGGTCGAAAATTTTTACGCACAGAGCCTCGTGCAAAAGTTTTTTGACCATGACCAGCTGTTGCCGCCCAAGCACCGCCTGATGTGGTTGAAGTGCAGCGAAGAAGAAGCCTCTGAGAGCGAAGCGCCCGCGATGGACTTTCTAACGGCCGATGCCGAGTTGCAGCTGGAGGATTTATCTCAGGAAGGCGCTAAAGAGGGACCGGTGTTCCAGTTTGCTGTACAGGCCGCGCGAGACTGGCATGGCGAGCTCGATTTTCTTGTGGGTGCAAAAGAAGTATCGAACGCAGCTACAGAAAAAGACATCCGCCGCCTTATCAGACATAGGCTACGAAGCGTCGAAGCCTTCTTCGATCACATGACACTGCGGGATGCCCAAGACTTTATTTTCGATAGAGCGTATCTGGTTCCTCCATTGCGTTTTGCTACAGACTACAAGGACATCAGCCAGAACCCGTGGGACAGCTTTTTGCTTTTCCTGACACACAGTCTCCCGTACGACGAGTACGGCGACGGCGACCAGGACTATTTTTTACGCGGCACTGGATATGACCGCCCATCTTGGGCTCTAATGCGAACAGCTGTCGAGCTTCCAGTGCAAGAGTGGAAGAAGCATGCCGTCGACTCGTTGTTCTTTCCCCTGCACAAACTCGACAGGTTTGCATATGAGTGCGTCCACGATTTTTTGTTCGCGAAACGCTGCGAAAGACGCGGTGGCTGGAGTGGCGTTGAAGCAGTTCTGAAGACCGCACTGAGCGTCTCCGAAATAACCACGGGTGCAGCAGCGGAGATGATTGCGGCCCATTTCGCCCCGACAGATCGTGACGGAGGAACGTACTCGGGCTGGCTGCTCAGAAACGGAAACAACGCATCTGCGGCAGCTAGCCCTGATCTGTATGTCGGCAGATTCTCGAATCAACGCAGCGCAGTGTCTCTGCTTCTGCAGTACCTTCATGCTAGAAGCAAGCTCTGCGCTTTTTGCGAGGCAGTTGGTGGCCTTCTGGGATTGGCAACTTCAAAGGCGCGATGCCTGACGCTTACAGACGATGTGGCTAGGGGCGCGCGGTGTAATTCGGCAAGGCCGGCAGCTGACGACGGTGTCGCACGAGAGGCTGCAGAGCGGCAGGCGAACAAAGATCTACGCAGACAACTGAGACGGGTCGGCAACACGCTTGGTGGCCAGCCAACTTACGCGATCGGTACTCTGCTTCTGTTAGACAGCGAAATCAGGAAGGTTGCGCCATCGTCATCGCACGACTTCAGTCGTATCGTCAAAGAACTGGAAGAGCACGCTGCCAAAGTAAAAACTGACGTGGTGCAGGCTTTCGAGGACGTTGGCCTGGCCGCCAAATTTCGGAAAATCCTCCCATTACTCTCGGCAACCATGACTTGGGACGATTGTGCTGCGTACTTGCGGCGCGAACCTCCCTCGGAGCGCCTGCTTCTAGGACCACACCCGCACATCGTTGCTGCAACAGAGGACACAGAGGTCATGTGACGAGTCTTCGGGTGACTCGTGGGAAGAAGAAGACCTGTTGGATGAGGAGTGAGAGAACCTTGGCGAAGACGGTAACTTGGTGGAGAGGGCACAAGATGAAGATACATAGATGGTCAAGATAGAGATTATGCCGCCAGTGCTGCTGCCATCCCGGAAGTCTCAAAGATGGAAGAAGGCAAGTGATACATGCAACTTTTGTGATGAAGAGAGTTACAATAATCGATCGTTGCGCTTTCAAACGCGACCCAGGCACCCATTCTTTCACATTATTTTCGAGAATGAATTGACAACCGATTTCGATTTCCCTTTTTACTTCGAAATTACAGAAGGACCACGGGGCGTTACAGTTTTTATCGTGTCTGTTAGTGTTGGCGAAGCCGCAGACGCGCGACATTGTTCAGTGTACTTGCGACTAGAACGCAGCGCCAGTCTAGTGGAAGCCGTGATCAGCACAGTATCAGGATCAAAATGTTGCACGCACGATCTCTGCCAAGGGAAACGTGCAGGTTTTGGAGAGTTCTCGACGATCGATAACTTTTCTTGTTCTTTGTCGGTCTATATCCAGGTTTTTGTATTGCAAAATGGAACTGCATTTTTTTCGATTTTGAGAGAAACCTCTCATAAGCAGTCGTGCACTGATCGGCGTCCACCGTACGTCTTTTTTGCAAAAGGCTTTATGCTATCCTCCCATCCCCTTCTCACCCACCAACAACGCAGTGAGTGAAAACCCACGAAGATGACTTCCTCGTCCTCTTCGGGCGTGACAGCCAACGCCCTCCGGATCGGTCGGACGGGCGCGAGCCGGGTGATTTTTGGTCACGGGTTGGGCGACAGCCCCCGCGGGTGGGCGGACGTGTGCGGGTTTTGGAGCCGCGAGATACCGCACATCCAGTTCGTCCTCCCCGCGGCGCCGATGCGCGAGGTCACCCTGAACGACGGCATGCTGATGCCGGCATGGTACGACCTGCCGTCGCAAGAAACCCTGGCCAGCTACGACAGCCGGTTGCACATGGACGCGGTTGGCATTGAAGAAGCGGTCGCTATGTACAGCGAGCACGTGCTGGACCCGGCGCAGACCGTGTTTGCGGGGTTTTCGCAGGGCGCGGGTGTCGCCCTGTACACCGGCGTGAGCGCCGCGTTGGTCAGCAAAGCCCGGGGCCGCGCCGGGGTGCCGCTCGGTATCTTGGCGCTCAGCGGATACCTTCCCGCAACGAAATCCCTGCTGGCGCTGGCGGACTCCCTGCGGAAAGACGTCATTGCCAACAAACCGCTCGGGGGTGGTGCTACTGGTGAGAGTACAACTACTTCCAGCAAGAAGAGCGCAGATGATCAAAATAAATCCGGGAGCGGTGCTGGAGCAACAAGTACAACTGGAAAAATGGAAGAGGACCCGTCCGCTGCCCTGACTCCGTTGGATGTTTTGGATTGTTCACATGTTCCGGTGTTGCTGTGCCACGGAACCGAGGACACGATGGTCTCGTTCGACAACGCGGTGAAGACGAAAAATTTCCTTTTCGAGGAGTTTTCGATCCAGGCCGAACTCGCGGAGTTTCCGGGCATGGGCCACGAAGCCTGCCAGGAAGAGGTGGACCGGGTGACAAAGTGGCTCAGAGACCGCTTCCGCAACTTCGGAAACGTGGAAGACGTGCAACCGTCAACTCTGTGAGGACCAATTTTCAACAAAGACAGACAGAAAACAGATCTGGATCATCGCTGCAGTGTCTCGACCGGGTTCATTTGTTTCCTCGGTCAAGCTGTTGCAATTTTTTTCTGAGTCTCAATTTGTGTTTCGATAACGTGTTAAACTTTGTCTTTGAAGGACCCAGCAGAGGAGAAGAAAAGATCGAGATCTTTCGCTTAACAAGCGGCATCCGGTTCTTCTGAAAAAAAGGATGAGTTTGAAGATGTGTAACTAAGCAGTCCGCTGCAAATTTTCCCTAAATTATTCCAAACGGCCGCAGCAAGTCAGCATGGGATCATAGAATTAGAAGTTCCTGGTGATCGCGGTAACGCAAAGATCGTTGCATCTATACAAAAGCGAGATCGAATCATTACAGCAGTTTGTTTCCGATCTTCAGCAGTTGCGATGCGAATTCGATGGATCCCACGCACAGCATGTCCACCCGTGTTTCTCTGTTGTACCATCAAGTCATTTTTCTACATCTTCTCAGTGAAAAAAGTGAAATAGAACACGTTGCGACCACTTGAACCCCAATATTTATTAGAGTTACCCCCACGGATATTTCCGATCCAAGTAGCTATCCATCGATGGAAGTAGAGGAGTTTTGTGTGTCGTTCCGGGCGGAGCGCGGGTACAAGTTTGCGCACACCTCCGCGACGGGCGCGGATGAAATTCGGGCCTTGCGGGTGGTCGAAGCGCTGAGCTCAGGCAGTGCCGAGTCCGGAGAGGACCAACTCCGCTACCATGACTTGTTCTCGACCTTGCTGGGCGCTCTGCGCGGGCAGTCACCGGCCGAGAAGGAGCATGAAGTTCTTGCAGGTCGAGGAATTATGCCGCTCCAAGTGCCGTCGAATTCTTCAAACGGGATCATGCAAGATGGTCAACCATCAACCGTAGCAGGGGGGGCGGGACCTACTGTAGTAATGCAGGGACCTTCACACTCGCAGTCCGGGAGTCCAGGCGACATGATGCTGAGTCCCGGACAAGAGCAGCGGGAGGTACTATCGAGTGCAGCGGGCTCGCCGGATCAGCCCCTGCAGCGAACGCCGGACCAGCATCGGCTGCATCCGGATGGTCATAATTTCGCCGGCTCTCCGCAGCCCAGCGCCAGTTTGTCCGCTACAAACGGCCCGCAGCAGCAACAGTCCTCTAGCGCGCACTCCCCGGACCAGCTGAATCATGCGCTAGTTCTGGCCGAGGATCAGCCGTTTGCCTTGCAACAAGGATCTGGTCATCTGCCTTTCGTGCAATTGGCCGGCCGCCGTCCACGGGTGATCGCGCCGAGGTGTGGCGACTTTATCTCTAGTAATAGACAAGTGAAGATGAACACAGCTGCAAATAACGGCCTGGCCGTCGACGTGCTGGGAGGGGTGCCAAGTTCCGTCGCAAACGCGAGCAAGTTCTCCAACAACTCCAACGCGCCGAACAAGGCGTTTCTGAGTTTCCTCGACGGGCCGCGGATCCACATCATCCGCAAGAACAAGCCGGTCACGTTATCCTGAGTAAAAACGTACCCACACCAGAATTGTAATGCAGATTTGCAAAGACAGGAAGACTTGTAACGCGCATCCCCATGAGAGCCATTTCCAATCGTGTTTTGGAATTTGTGATGCTGTGAGCAGGATGAGCAGATGAGTCTGTGATGCGGCTGCACTTGCTAACCTGCACTACAGTGCAAAGCGCAACTTGTCATGCGTGACTCACAAAGCTCCTAGGGTTGTGCTGCAGAATCCCCATCCTGACTCGACGTGCTGGGAGGGGTGCCATTGCGCCATTTTTCCAGTAGCATGCCGCTCAAGTGCCAACAGGGCGAGAGCCCTGCAAGACCGGGCTGCGAATGTAAGAAATCGGGAAAAAAATGCCGTATACCTGCGCAATTCCTTATATGTGAATAACAAGGTGGGCGGGCGGGGTTCTTCACATTTTTGGAAACGCCCACCGCCCCGACACAAACAGTATTCTTGGAAGCGGAGGGGGGGCGCGGGACCCCCATCAAGTCGCCGCGGCGCGAAGCCGCAAATCCTTGGGCCACGTCTACCACCAGAAGTATTCCGCCCGGGGGCCGCTCCATGAGTCCATGAGTCCAAAAAAAAAATGGGGGCCGGGCAAAAAAAAAAAAAAATCCCCATCCTGACTCTGGTGTGGGTACGTTTTTACTCAGGATACACGTACTTGCTCGACATCCAGGATTTTTCCTGCGCGGATTGGCAACCCAACTGCCGAACAGGGACGCTGGCACTCAGCGCCGGCTCGCACGTGTTCCTCTTTCGGTTGAACCTCTTTCACGACAGTCTCGAGCAAATTGCGCAGTTTCGGCTGCCCAGCAACCGGCGGGTGCTGGACTTGAAGTGGTCGCCGGACGGGAGGAGACTGCTGGCCGTGGACTTCTTCGGCCACTACCATGTCTGGGAGCACGCATCGCGGTTGCAACGACCCATCACGCTGAAACCGCCACTGAAGGGCGTGCTGGCGGGACCTATATCCTGGTTGAGCAGCAAATTTTCGAAGAAAAATAAAAAAGGTGCAACATCATCTTCTGCAAAGAAGAACGACAGCGACAATAATGCAGCGGCGGAGAGAAATAAAAACTCTTCGGCCACTACTGGCGCTCCAGTATCGCAAATACTGTGGAACCCGGAAGGCAACATGTTCTGCGGGTTCTCGGACAGTGGGCACCTGGAAATTTGGGACGCGGTCAGGTACGAGCGCGTGTTCGAAATGAGCGACTTGGATTTGAAGCCGCGGATCGCCGGAAACGTGCCCCAGCGAGGCAGCTTCGTGTTCGGGTTAGAAGGCGAAGAAGGCGGGAACATGTATGAGGTAAGAAACAGAGGCAGCACTTATGTCTCAATATGCTTTTTTTCTTCGTCAATGAATCAGCATGTGTGATTTAGTTCACATTTATCGTGACACCCAAACAATCAACCAAACCCATCACCAGGTTCCGTGGCGACTCCGTGACATGCGGGAGATTTTGGAGGTTCATCTAGGCTTCTCCCTTGAAAACGAACGTTTGATGGACGTGGTCATAGACGCGACGACGCACAGCCGCCTCGGTCTCGTCCTCGACAAAGGTGTCGCTGTCTGCGACCTCTGGACCTGCGCTAGAGAGGACCCAATGCGGGATCTGAAGCCGCTGGTATGTACTTTAGTTGCCTTTTAAATGATAGAAGACCACTTTTCGGATGATATGCTGAAAGCAGCTTCACTTTTGAAAAAAGGAGAGATAGATGAATGATCACGCACGCAAATGTCCACCTCTACACTGAAAAACGAACCAAACCAGGCATCCTGGCCAAGCAGATACGGCGAGACAGACCGATCGGGGAATTTGCTTCTTCGCGACACCAAAACCTACACAGCGGACAATTTCCGTCCGCTGACGATGAACTTCTGCATGCACTCGAAGGACAGCGCCCTGGCGTCCGTTCTCTGGGAGAACGGAACTTTGGACACGTACGCCGTTTCTTGAAACAGCCACGCAAGGTGGACTACATAAACAAAAACAAACGCATACAGACATTTTTTTCACCTCACTTTTTTCTGCGCGACATAAGTAAGATTTCAAAAACAACGAAGCAAAAAATGCATAGGAAGAGCAACACCAACACGTCGTGATGTTTTCACTATGTTCGGAGAACTTGTTCGTCAAAAACTCGCAAAAAATCCAAATCGGTCCGCGGTTTTTCTGCAAGAGAACAGGAAAGACGAGTACGCCCGAGATCATCAAAACATCTTTTATTGCAAAAAACGAGCAAAACGCTTTTGAAGTGCTGAACTTCAATGCGATCTCGATCTGAAACCAGAAAGGCAAAGGTCCATCATGTAATGCGCAGGTTCCCTATTCTAGAAAGCAATCTCTTCCCTTCTTGTGTAATTATACGCAATGTGATTATGATTTCGAAATCGAAAGTGCCTAATACGCTTTTTGCTCTCATTACGTCGCACTGCAACCTTTTTTTGCGCAGCCTATTGTCCTCGTATGTTTGATATGATCTCTGAATTCCTGTTTAATTCCTTCTCATGTCGATGTGGCATTGATTTCGCCCCCTAGGCTAGATGTTATTTCCATTGGTATTCAATGGACGGGTTCTTCATCACCACTCCACCCCACCCCCGCAACCAACATGACGAACATGAATTAGACTTTTATCATCTTGCTACCCCCGCAAAACCCACCTCCAGTGCGATAGCCCTTCAACATGGCGCTACCGCGGACGGTTCCGGTTGACGAGCTCGGCGTGCTCCACACCGAGCGCGAAGCGGTGGACCCGCTAGGAGCCCGGAACGCCACGACAGCGGCAGGCCCCTCCGCGATGGCGGACCACTCGCTAGTGCCAATCGTCCACCACACTTCTAGCGGAGTTGGCGTGAGTGCCACTGGTAGTGCTGTGGACCACCACCACCATGCGGCCGCGATCAACCGCAGAACCTACTCCCACGACCTGGTTCTGCGCGACCACTTGCTCGAGGCGTCGAATCACACGCCGTCGACGGTGCGGAACAACTACGACCGCTACAACAATTTGGATTTTTACCGCGGCGGCCAGCATCCCTACCGCGAGCCGTGGGTGGTCCTCAAGTCCCCGGAGGAGGGACTTTTAGTTACTTTCGACCCGGTGTCGCACAAGATCGAGCTGCTGCGCAACCACGACCACCACCAGGCCGGGCTCGACTACTGCCCGCTGTGCGGCCAGGTGCTGGGCGGCCACGGCCCGGCGGCGACGGAGCGGCACCGCTCGATGAGCGAGGCGGGCTCCTCGTCCGCGGGCGATGCGGCGGTGCGGATGGAGGACGTGATGGAGATCGACGAAACGCCAAATCTATCAAATGTAAAAATGTCTGGGTCTGGAAGATTGCCAGGTTTGTCATGCACATTTTGCGTGACTCCTGATGTCTGTGATGCATGCCCTAGCGTCACAGATTTTGTGAGGGCTTCCTGATGCTTATACCGCATCACAAATGCTCTTTCCTTGTAGCAAAACTTGGACTCTCTTTGCTGCTCATGCAATACAGATTTTTTTAGAATCCAAAATCAGCATGACAAGTTGGATTCTTCCAGACCCAGACATTTTTACATTTGATAAAATCTGGACGCCGCAGACTTCGACTCCTACCTCCTCGTGGAGGGCGCGGGAGGCAGCACCGTAGGAATGGACCACGACCACACGCCCGCAGGCTCCGAAAACTCGCGCTCCCGAGGGGCCTCCGGGCGGCCACCGTTGTTCCCGACCAGCAGCGGCGGGGGGTCGACGAGCAGTCGTGGTGGCGGAAACAAGATGAACAGAAGAACTGCAACTGGGCCGGGAGGTGGTGCTACTGGTGGCTCATCCTCTTCCACGCGCGCGCGGTTCCACCCACCCAGGGCATCATCTTCGCAAGACCACAACATGATGAACACGACGACATCCACATCTTCTCGCAGCAATCACCGCACGAAATCCCCGGCGTTCAATCCGCAGAAACGGAATCCACCTTCGCAGATGCATTCGCCGGACATCCGCGGCCTGCGGTCCCACTCCGAAACTTTTGTGGATCATCATCACCACAACTCCCACCACAACACCCCGAATGCCGGCCCCTCGTCGTTTCGGCCCGCACGCGCGGCTCCATACCTGGCACACAACTACTTCACGCTTTTGAGTGCCGTACACGAAGAGGAACAGGAACTGCGCGAGCAGATGGACACAGCGGTCAATCAAGCCACATTGGACCACCACGGCGGAACCGGGGTATTTCCAGCCTTGGCGGACACCACGAGCGATTTCGATGTATCCTGAGTAAAAACGTACCCACACCAGAGTTGTAATGCAAATCTGCGTGCTGAAAATGTTTCTCATGCGGAGCCCCATGAGAAGCATTCTCCAGTCGTGTTTTGCAATTTGTCATGCTCCAATCAGCATGGTATGCTAGATCTGTGATGCTGCTGAGCTAGCTCAAACAGCACTACACTACGAATCCAAATTTGTCATGCAAAACAGCCAAAACTTGTGGATTTGTCTAGCCGATTCCCCAACTTGACTATGGTGTGGGTACGTTTTTACTCAGGATACGATGGCGGTGTAGTTCTGGATGACACGACGAGTTTTTATCCGTCCTTGCCCCCACCTCCAGTTCCCGCAGACAGCAGCAGAGAGAACGATGAGGATGACGAGATTCTTTCGCCGAAAAGCATACAAGACCGACCGGCACTAGAAGAAGGATCATTCCACCGCTCTAGATCCGCCTCCTCACGGAAGAGCCCGCTGCAAGAAGAGCCCGGTGTCGAGACACTGAACACCGCGAGCGCAAGGACTGGAAGTCTGCCCCGAGCCGAATCCATCCCTACTTTTGACACCAGTGCCCCGCCGGACACCAACCCGGGAATCTTTCAGCTCACCACGGGTCCGGCCACGCGCGTGATAAAGCCGCTGGCATCTTCTGGCGGGTCGCAGTCCTCGTCGAAAACCGGACATGGTCCGGGGGTTGCAGCCGGACATGGTCCTCCGGTTGACTACAACGGTTTATTTGGACCACCTGCAAGAACCGCCACTACCACTTCTTCCGCAGGAGCTGCGACCAACACCGCAAGCACTAACGCGAAGCAGTACGGGCAGCTGCCGTGCGGCTTGATGAACGACGGCTACTACGAGCGGTTTTTCGTCGAGGTCGAATCTTTGGGACAGGGAAGTTTCGGGCACGTCTTTCACTGCCGGCACACCATCGACGGCGAGGCGCTGGGGGAGTTCGCGGTGAAAAAGGTCGCGGTGGGCGATGATCGCCAATGGCTGCGGAAAATCATTCGCGAAGTGAAGGCTTTCGAACGGCTCAACCACCCGAACATCGTGCAGTACAAGCACAGCTGGCTGGAATCCTGGCAGGTGAACGCTTGGTGTCCCCGCGTGCCGTTTCTCTTCATTTTGATGCAGTACTGCAATCGGGGTAGTTTGCAGCAACTGATCGATCGCAACTACGAAAAGGTCTGTTTGGAACAACAGCAACAACAGGGGCGCGCAAAGACGGCCGCGAGTGGTCACCTGGTGCAACTGAACGCGCCCGCGGGCTGTAGCTCGCACAAACGCGGCTCGCAAGCCGTCGGCAGTAGTTCCTGTAGCAGTGCAGCGCACGCCAACATCCCGACTAGCACTGCGTCACAAAATAGCAGCGGATCGTGCGGCAAAAATGCGACGGAGCCGCCGGCGGTCGGGCTGCCACTGCCACTGATTTGGCCACTGCTGGAAGACATCCTGGCGGGAATTCAGTACCTGCACACGCAGGGGGTTTTGCACCGCGATCTGAAGTGTGAGAACGTCCTGCTGACCTCCGACGAGCGGTCCTACCCCTCAACCCGGGCGTTGTTGAGCGATTTTGGTACTGCGGAATGGAAGCGGGAGGAGCCGGTCCGGCTGCATCGAAGCAACTCCTCGATGGATAATCTGACCATGATGAAAGGCAGTCCACTGCCCGATAGTGTGAACGGCAACGCGGAAGAACAAGAAACCGAGCGCTACGCCGACCCAAGCACGATCGATGATGTCGACATGGTTCCGCTGAGTCAGCAAGACGCCCGGCCGGTGGAGTCTTCAGATCTTCAGAGGGAACGTGGGAATGCGATGAATACGGCAAGCGGTGGCGCACTGAACAATGCGGGGACCACACCACAACAACCACCGCATCGCGTCACCACGACGCGGGGCTCCCGGGCTACAGACAGCAGCAACCTCGGCACGACCGAGTACATGGCGCCGGAGGCGTTTGGCGATCTGTATGACGAAAAGAGCGACATGTGGAGCGTGGGCGTTTTGCTATTCAACATGCGCTATGGAAAACTTCCCTTTTTCGGGCAAAACGTGCTCGAAACCCGGGCACTGATTGAGCGGTTTTCGGAGAATTACAGTGCGAAGCGAAGCGAGAATCTCCTACCACCCGGTGACGGGGAGGCAGAAGCGCTGCTGCTGCAAGGCCTGATTCTCGCCCTGCTGCAGCCGGAGCCGTGGAAACGGCCGAGTGCGGGCGAGGTGCTGCGGAACCGCGCCTTCCGCAGCAAGGGCCGCGAGGCAGTAACACGACCACCGCGAGGGTATCACACCCGGGGATCCGACAACGTCAGCGAAATGCAAACGAAAAAGCGGTTCTTGCCGCTCATGGTCGCATCGGCTTCGCCACGACAGCTAGATGAAGAGATGAAACCCAAAGAAGAGCCCAGGTCGTCCCCTCCATGAAAAACTCGGAATGTTGCCCCTGGTTGACCTGGTACACAAAGTGTTGTTCCTCAGCAAAACACCAACACGCACGATCACATGTTACATGTTTTGAAAAGCGACCTTAACAAGCCGCGATACCGACTCTCCTATTAGACGATGTTTTTTACGCGCAGCTTTGCTGCAGCAAAGTGAAGCTGAAGGGTCTGAAGTTTTTGGTGTTCCTTCCCATTTTGTTACGAGCTCGGGTCTTTGTGTTTGTCTTTGAAGCTGACTTAGTGTGTCGCAGCGGACCACTACTAGCTTGCTGTAAATCAAAGTAGCGCTACATCGTTCGATGTTTGAGAGTGACACAACCGAGCGTCTCTTCAAATCGCGTTTGGTTTTCGTTGCCGGTCGCTTTCGTTAGAGTGAGATGAGGGTGAGGGATTACGTCATCAAATGGGGCTACAAATAGTGTCGCGACATGACTGCGCTTTTTGATCCGCAGCGGGGGCCGCTTGCATGAGTACAATAACCCAAAGAGGAGGCCAGACCATCGATCAGGGAAACACTACGACAGTATGCCGTCTTCGTCCGCACGGGAAAAGTCTTCCAGCCCGGAAAAGACACACACGCACGGCCAGGAAGAAGCAAGTGCAAGTCCCGACCCGAAAGCGCGATACTACTTGCAGAACCGTGGCTCTTGCCTGGTTCGGCCGCCCGTCGTCACCTTCGACGGCCACGCTACATGGAACGAGGTGATTGCGGAGGTGTCGCGCCGCGCGGGCACGGAGCGCGCGGTGGTCTCGGGCGACTTGCTCTGTCACAGCAGCCGGACGGAGAAATTTCTGCGGCCCAGCGAGATCTTTCAGTCCATCGAAGTGAAGGGTCACGTGTGGCTGTCGGAAGACGACCCGTTCTTCAACCCGGAGGAGGAAGAAGCGAGGCGGCTCGCGGAACAAGAGGCGGCCGAAAAGGGATTGAAGCCCTCGGCCTCCTCGTCGCAGAGCCCCAAGCGGCGCGATCCGTACTCCGCCCGGGATCGCCGAACCGATGTGGAGAAGGGTTGGCCCGCGGTCCCCCCGCTGGCCGGCGGCTTGAAGCGCGGCGTGGACTACATGAGACCGGATAAGGTGCCCTACGGATACAAACCGGACAAGACCTGGTGCCCCGCCGACAGCCCCGGCGGGTCCCCGAACTCTGCCCTTCCGAACCGGTCGGAGCCGTCGCCGGCGGACGCCGATCCGGACGAAAGCCCGAAGGCACGGCAGGTGCGGCGGAGGGCGTCGCAGCGCGGCTTAGAAAATTTCTACGAGGACCCGCCCTTCGCCAGCCGGTCGCCCGCGAGCCGCAGCTCGCCCGGCGGCGCGGGGTACGTGAAGATTCTGACGACGGCGCAAACAGGCTACTTCGGCGGCGGTGTGGCACCAGAGGACGAAGAGCAGGACGACTCGACATCGCCGGTGAAGAGGTACCAGCGCGCCGCTTCGTCCGCCAACGTCTCGGCGCGACCGATGGAAGTGGTCGGCAGCTGGAGCCAGTCGGACGGGCCCTTCGCCATCTACGACCCCGCGCTGCCGACGAAGGCGTTCGTGTGGGCGCCGCTGGACTTCTTTCCCGCGAAGTGGCACCCAATCCTGTGCCACCTGGACCCGCTGGTTACCTACGACAGCGCCAAGCATTCCACGAAGAGCTTCCGCCGCGCGCCGAGAATGTTCTCGAATCGAGACAGTCTTAACGTGGTGCTCCGTGAGGACTCTCACTACAATTTGGAAAAAGATCTCGGCGTGCTGCGGTCGCTCGTGACGTATTGATAACTTACAATTTTGTGTGTGAAGATGTCTAGTTTAAAAAGATGAGCGTCTGTTGCTTTTCACCAATTTTGTTGAGAATCCAAAAAGCAAGATATGAAAGAAAATCATGAAAAATTATCTTTCAGCTTTTTCCGTCACGTGACTCTCGTCTGCAAGAGCTTCGAGTTTATCCGCCCGCACCTGGATTTTTTTCCGAACGTCCCGGAATCGCTGACGATTCATCTCTGTGTGCCGTTCATCCCCGGGCTGGGCAGACGCGACGGGGAGATGTTCGACGCGAAGCAGCTGAAGCGCGTCACGGACATGGCTAAGCGCACCCGACTGCCAAACAGCCCGAGACCCGCGGACCGGCTGAGTTCAGAAGAAGGCACGCGGCTGGTACGGAAACAGGAGCTCGCGCTCGCCGCCGACTTGACGGCGGACTTGCGGAGGTACGACGAAGATAACGACTACGCGCCGGGGGTCAAAATCGAAAAGGAAATCGACAAAGAGTTCGTCGCCACGCACTACGAACTGGAAAAATTTGAGCACCGGCTGGAGTCCTTGGTCCGGATTCTGGCCCCCTGGGTGCAGGGCGGCCTACCCCTGCTGCGCATCGAGTGCCACTACGGCCCCTTGCCGCGCGTAGCCGAGGACATCGCACCCGATGACGACGTCCCGCGCGCGTCGGCCCTGGAGTACGAAATGTACACGGGAAAAATGCTACGACGGAACGTAGACAAGGTAATCAGAAGGTTTTCTTTTGAATAACGTCGTTCACCTCTCTTGATTTGGTGAGAAGGTTGAAGTTTATGTTCATCTCATCTCATCTTACTGCATCAAGTTGCAATCTATTGCCCCTCTACTACAGGTGCGCGAGAGTTTCGACGCGTTCGGCCGGCACTTTATCGCCTTGAACAAGCGCACCATCGTGTTCGAGTCAGTCTTTGTGCCAGTAAGCAGCCGCGCGCAGTTCAAAGAGATGGACTGGAAGTATGACGCCGGCGGGTTAGGCCGGCCCAAGTTCCGCGTGCTCAGCACGCCGGAGCGTCACGCCGACAGCAAACAGTCAGACTCTGCGGACGAGGAGACGCTGTACTTCGGCAGAAAGACCGGCGCACGGAATTTCCGGGAAAAGATGAACCAGACGTCACGTGCTGACGCCGAGGGGAGCAGGACAAACTCTTTTGCGTTTACACACACCCGGGATTCCTCCCACCCCTCGCACGCAGGCTTGTCTCGCGTCATATGATGAGAACAGCAGTCCTCCGTCGTAGCAGGTTGGGAAACTTTCGGATTTATGACGGGGCAAATACAAATGACCCATCATTTGTGTAATCGAAAGAAACAAACTGCGCATGATGCACGCGGTAGAAGCAAACCTGTAGTGCTTGTTTGCCCAGTGTCTGCTGGCGCTCCTTTGATTTCAATTTTGATACCCGTTCATGTTCTGCGTGACGATGATCCTGTGGCTGCGTCATTGATTTGATTCAAAACTAGCAATGTCTCGCAAAAAAAAAAAAATGGTTTATCTTTTCACAAAAGCGAGAGAGGACGAAACTAGGATTGCTGACGACGAGTGACGATTGCGACAAAACAGACTTGGCCCAGTGCTTTCATCGAAGACGTCTTACATCGAAAACCGCCCACCTGATTTTTTCGACTCCAGTGATAAAGTACTTTTTAATAGATTTCCGCAATAGCACAATGAAACGAACTCTCTCTCTTTTTATAGACATATTTGCGAACATCGGTGGCAAGAGTAGGAAATCGAAATCAGCTTGTGCGAGTGTGAATGTCTTTCCGCTCCTCTCCTGAGGAGAACGGCGCAAATACAATATGATGGAAATAAAGTTCATTTGCGGCTGCAAGGCATCTGTTTTTTCAGTTTTTTCAGCCAACAAGTAGACTCAGACAGACCCCAACTCTATTAAGCACCATGCCGCCTCGAAAAGGCGGGCGCAAGCGGAAGTTAGCGGACGATGACTCCGAGGAACAGTCTCGTGCGCGACAACCGAAGCAGGTCAAGGCCGAAATACAACCTGCCGAGGAGGCCGTACCTCCATTCGCGGAGGAACTACCCGCTGCCGGTGGAGAAGCAGAAAATGATCCTGCTGCCGTACAAGAAACACTTGCCGTGGAGCTCCAGCCAGACGAAGTCAATGAAGAACCAGACGCGTTTGCAGCAAACGAACAAGAAATTGCGGCGCCAGCTGCACAGCCGCAAGAGTCCGCCGAGTCGTCAAGCAGCTCGTCCTCCTCATCGTCAGCAGCTGCACAGGAGGAAGCACAACATGCGCCCGCCGCCGACGAGGAAGCTGTGCCAGCAGACGCTGAAGTAGATGTCATGGAACAGCAGGTCGACCCCCCCGCAGAACCGCCTGTTTCGTCCAATGCAAAGCAGGTTGCCAGTGCTTCGAAGAAATCTTCCAATTCCTCCTCCTCTTCGTCCTCATCCAAAGCGGCGAACAAAAAAAAGGATCCGCCTTCCGCCTCAAGTAAAAAGAACCAGCCACTCTCTGCGGGCAAAGTTGTAAACAGTGCCAGCAAGGCGGTTTCGTTTAAGAAGCCGGCGAAGAAGGACACGATTGAAACGTTGCTGCCGCCGTTGGAAGAGGACGAGGAGAAGCCGGAGCCGAAATCCGCCATGAAGGGCAACAAGGCGAAAACGCCGATGAAGGTGCAGTTCTCGCAGGCCGAAGTCGAAGAGTTCTCCGCGTCCCAACTGAATGGCACGCCGCGACTGGACCCCGTGACCGGACTTCCGCTCAACAGCTCGGCTCCAACGTCAAGCCAGCAACTGCCCGTCCCAGGCGCGTCAGCAGCAGCATCCTCGTCTTCTCAACATCATACAGCTGCGTACTACAACAGTGGCAGTGCCTCTGCCCCGCCAGCCTCGTCTATGTTCATGAACAACAGCGCAGCCTCGGAGCAAGATCAAGAAGAATACCAGCAAGGACCTCCCCCGCCCAGTGGCACCGGTTCGAACGAGGGGTCCGTCCGGCCGTCCGCGGTTCCCGGGGCGGCGCCCAGCGCGCAGAACAACACGAGTTCCAATCCCTCGTCGGCAGCGTCGCCCGACCTGCCGGACAACAATGTGGTGCAGGTGGAGAAGGAGCCCGAGAAAAAGCAGCGCCTGATGATCGAGAAGATCGAGCTGGAGAACTTCAAATCCTACGGCGAGAAGCGCACCATCGGGCCCTTTCACCAGCTCTTTTCCGCGGTCATCGGGCCCAACGGGAGCGGGAAGTCCAACACCATTGACGCCCTGCAGTTTGCGTTCGGAAAGCGAGCCAAAGAGGTGCGACAAAACAAGTTGTCCGAACTCATCCACAACTCCAAGGGGAAGGAAAATTTGAAAATGTGCCGGGTCTCCGTCTACATGATGGACATTTTGGACGAGCCCGACTTTGACGCAGACAAGCCGTACACCGTCGTGCCGAGTACTTCGTTTTTAAAAAAAATTTCAGTTTGTTATTTTTCTGTACCACTAGAATAGTCCTTGTGGTTTGCTGAAGCTTTTCCTTCGTGTCAGTACTTTGGCAGGTTATCAACAAAGTGAACTCGACAATAACCACACTCCCTTGCAGACACGGAGATCGTTCTAACGCGAGAGGCAACTTCGAAGAACGTGTCCACCTACTACCTAAACGGCAAGACGTCAAGTTTTACGGAGGTAACCGACAAACTGAAGGAACGCGGCGTGGATCTCGTGCACAACCGGTTTCTGATCCTGCAGGGCGAGGTAGAGGCCATCTCGCTGATGAAACCCAAGGCAGTGATATGAGGGTGCGCAACTGCTCTGTCTCTTTCTCATTTGTCATGCAAGAGTTCTGCCAAATTCTGTCTCTGACCCTTGCGGCCGTCTATGCTTGTATGGCAGGTTCTGGAAGTGTGGCCCAAACTGCACTACAATCCGGGCGTTGATTTGTCGAGTAATTGCAAACGCGGCGCTTTACTTTCGAGGTGATTTCTGCTGCTACTAGCGCCGTCGCACTGCAAATATAGGAGCAGATGGAGTAGTTGCTTTTGCACTCTGATAGGCGAAGGAGGGCGGCGAAGACGGGTTTCTGGAATACCTGGAGGATATCATCGGCAGCAACAAGTACGTGCCGGCCATCCAGCAGGGAAACCGGGACCTGGAGCTGATCACAGGAACGCGGACGGACAAGTTGCGGATGTACCAGATGTCGGAGAAAGCGCGGGAGCAGATCAAGCCGCAGTACAAAGAGGCACTGAAGTGGATCGAAACGAAAAAGCACCTGCTCATCAGCGAGGCCTACCGGAAGCAACTGGAGCGCAAGTCCTGCCGCGAGACCGTGACGGAGGTGCAAAAGTGCCACGACGACGCGGAAAAGCTGGTGCAGGAAAACCAGAAAAAGAAGGACGAAATCGTCGAGAAGCACAAGATATGCATTGCAAAAGTATCGTACTCGTCGTATAAATGCGAGTCTAGGATGACGGATCTGCCTTCTATCTTAGCTGAATCCGCACGACGAATTCATTTTTCTTCTAGGAAGATAAAATTTGTTACGCAAGTCGTACGAGTTGTACGATACTTTTGCATTTGATACAAGAAGTTGACGGATGAGCATCAAGATCTGCTGAAGGTTTACCGGGCGAAAATGGACGAGCTCAAGGGATGCCAGGAAAAAATGGCGCAATTCGAGATATCGCAAGAAAAAACTGTTTCACTGTGAACTTGTGATGCAGAAAATGGATCGCAGCCGTGTGTATCATGCCACACATGCAAGACAATGGATTTCTAGCTGTGTTTTCCCTTAGGAACCCCGCATGACAGATTTTCAGTATCACGCGTAACAAACGAAACTTGTGATGCAGATTTTGCAAAATCACCACAGTGAAACAGTTTTTTCGTGCGATACGAGATGGACGACAAACAGTGCCAGCAGGAGAAGCTCGAAACCGAGCATATGCATTGCAAATACGTCTGGGTCTGGAACGCTGGAGCTTGTCATGCTAAATTCCAATCACGCAAAAATCTGTGTTGCCTGAGTACCAAAAGTGGCCCACTTTTGACCAAGCTGAGAGGGATTTTCTCATGCAGGGCAGGCATGATAGAGACCTCACAGAATCTGTCATGCTCGGTCCTGCATTCCAAACCTCATGGGCCATGGAAAACGTGCATGACAAGTCCTGCATTCTTCCAGGCCCAGACATATTTGCAGTTGATAGAGCAAAAGAAAAAGCAACTAGACGAAGAGATCCGGGAGGCGCAAAAGGAGCAGGCGGACCAAGCGAAGAATGCAGAGGAACAAGAAAAAAAAGTGATCCCGCAGGCCGAGCAGGAGCTGAAATCTACCGAGCGCTTTCTCGAGGTGCAGGAGGACAAACTGAAAAAATTCGAAAATTCCTTGTCAGGTTGGCTTTTTTTTTGCCTTTGTTGAACGCAAAAGACTAACAACGTTAAAAAACAAGCCTGCGCAGTGCTAGTGCTATACTAGAAATTTCTTATGGTTATGCGGGTGCAGCTGGTCGTGTATTTCTGGTGGGCTTTTTACTTGGTTGCCGGTGTTATTTTTCATTTTTCCATATATGTGAGGTGAATCGAGCCGGCTTCGCGAAGAGAAAATGCAGTGGGAGGCAAAGCAAGCGCCGCTCGCCAACAAGAAGCAGGAGCTATCCTGTGTAAAATATTGGAAGTGTTTGGCTATCGCTATCCTCCTTGTACTGCACACCGCTTCTGCACAGAGATTTCGCTCTCTTTGAATCATCATACATATAACTTCGTTTTGTCATTGGAAAGGAAGCGGCTGCACAATCAAGGATGAGGAAGGAGGTAGCCATCGCTATCCTTTCTTGACACACTTGATAAGGGTTGAGGGGTAAGCTGGAGATGCTGGAGTTCGAACGAAGTCAGCTCACAAAGCACGTGCAAGAAGCCCATGCGCGTTATCCTGTGAAAAATTATCGCATTGGTGAGTACAAGAAACATGATTTGCATTTGCAGGTCAGCAAAGAGAGGACTTACTACTAACTAAGGATTCTTGATGTTCTCGAGCTCCTGTCTAAATGTTAGTCAGCATCGATCCCGGGAGATTACAATTCGATTTGCAGTTTTGCTGTGTCATCTTAAAAAAGACGACTTCGTCTTCACATCTCATGCGATAATTTTTTCGAACGCATAAACTGCTGGATAGGATGAATATGGAGCATGGTCAAGCCATTTATGAAACTGAAAAGTGCTGCACCCGTGCCAAGGCAATTCTGCTATTTTGCGAGGAACATTCGAACACAGGAAATGTGATGAAGAAATTTGCGGCTTGCATGGCGCGGGTGGGCTTTGGCTTTTCCTTTTGATAGTGTCGGGCAGAGAAAGAAACTCCAGGAAGAAATAGATTTCTGTTCGGAGCAAGTATTGGTTGATTTGTCGTCTTTTTCTCCTCGCTTTCATATACAGTGTTTTGGTTTTCTTACCGCCCTATACGAACTTTGCTGGAGACCCCCCTAAGAGCAGATTTTAGGATTGCGTATTAAAACTGCTCGACATTTCAGATACACGTGAAGACACCGCTGGTGCGAGAAGGGCAGAAACGGCTTGATGCTATCCGGCGTTAAACATCCGCATTGGCATCCCCACCTCAGCGTTTAGACACACACAAGCTTTTAATGCAAAATTTGCGTTTACAGAAACTGAAACAGATACAGATACAGTCCCGTCCGCTTCTTCCCGTCCGTGGCATCGAGGGCAACGCTGCGTGTGTGTATGTGTGTGTTTTGTAGGGTTTTTTTGCATGTTTGTCGTTGGATTTCCCAGAGCAACAGAATAGGAAAACGCTCCCGATGTTGTCGTGCAGGTTTATGTCCCGTCTGCTCAGAGGTGGTAGGTGATGGCCTTGTTGTGGCTGTCTTTGCACTACAGGATACAAAAGCTCGCGGAAATCATAAAGTCGAAGACGCTATGCATCAAGGAAATATGTCTGTGTTAGGATAGGAAGAATGCAACAGACTCGTGGTGCCAGGGCTAGCTCTGGCTAACACGAAGCTTTTCATTCTTGCATGAGCAGCAAAAGCAAAACCTATCTCCTTCATGCTATTAAGGATTTCTATACGCGGTATAAGACGAGAATAAGAAAGCATTTGTCAAACACGTGCTGCTGTGGCTGCGCCTTGCATTGCAAATATCGCTGGGCACGAATAAGCTGCCGATTTTCCAGACCCAGACAGATTTGCAAGGCATAGACACCAATTCTGAGCCACCTGAATCGCCAGTACGAAGAAGCGAAATACCAGGTGGAAGCTATCCTGAGTAAAAACGACCGCGCCCCAGAATTGTCGTGCAGATGCAGCAACATTTACATTCGTAATGCGCACCCCCATCATAGGTATGGGAGGCAAGGGCATTTGCGTTTTTCGCCGTGCTGGGCTGTAAACAGGACAACCGGGCAGATGGCTTTGTGATGCGGCTGTCCTTACTAACCTGTAATGATGCGTGAGCGTGACTCCCAAATAGAAATAAAGTTCAGGGCGGAAACGTTTTTACACGGGATAGAGGCCCACAGAAACACTACCACACGCATACAAATGTACTGATAATCTGTTTCACTGTGACGAATAATTTTTTCCACAGCTTGCATGCTCATAGTGTGAAGGCGAATGAAATCCCACTTGCCTCAGAAAAAAATCTGATATGCACCTACCGCAGTACCAATACCTCCTTTATCTTTACATGTTAACTTTGTTATGGTCTTTCGTTTTACCAAAGAGTTTCGTCGTGCACTCATCTCTTGCAATAGCGTCACAGGAAAACAGTTTTATCTTGGATACACACGAGCAAGCTGATGAAAGGCCTGTACGAAGTATCCGCTGGAAAAGCGCTAGCATCAAGTACAACAACGCAAAAATGATCAAACCGACATACAGTACGAGAATGCACTTTGAGCAAATGTATAACGTGCCTGCCGCCTACGTGCTCGCCGATGAAAATGTGAAAATTTTCTTTCAGTGTTTTCTCATGTCTTGCAGCTCTATCGTGATTGCAGACGATGTGCTCATATGCTAGTGACATTCTGCGCGATAAAACGCGCGGCGCAAGGGCGACGTAGACTTCATTGACCGACTGGGCAACCTTGGTACAACAACCTCTAATCCGTTATACTTTGTTCATGAATATGTGTCTTGTCTTTCTCGTCGTCAGCTCAATAAAAAGGTGCACTGCATAAATTTGCTATGCGGGGCGTATGGTTCTTAAAATCCCACTATACCTGCACCTTCTTCACCAATTTGATGTATAAAAATCAGGTAAAATTGATGACAAGTACGACGTTGCGATAACCCAGGCGGGCGGCGGGAAGCATGCTTTTGACCAAATCGTGACCGAAACCGCCTCGCAGGGAACGGCGATAATCAAGTGGCTTAGCGAGAACAACGCGGGTCGCGCGCGAGTCATCGCCTTGGACCAGGTCAGCAAGGAGGGTTGGGACCGAAACCCGGGCAATTTACCCCGACCGCGGATCTTCGACATGGTTCGAGCCACAGAGGACCGACTCAGGCCCGCATTCTACTTGCTACTGAAAAACACGCTCGTGGTAGAAACTATGGACGAGGCAACTCAGGTACAACTACTTATTTTGATACGAATTCGATTGATAAGTGTTGAAATACGAAAGTATAACGTTGCACGGTAGAATTTCGTAAAACTGAAAGAGCAAAAGAGATGAAAGCGTAATAGTTATTGTTGTAGCGACGCGGTCCCCTTCGTCATCGTCTGGCTACACCGCTAGCGTTGCAGCTGTGGCAGCGGACGTGCGCAACACTGTGCGAGAAAGATTCAGAGAACATGGATGTGACAAGCTAAAATTTTTAGGTGAGCCGGCATAACGGTCGACACCGAGTGGTTACCCTCGATGGGGGGATCGTGGATCCAAGCGGCACGGTCACGGGAGGCGGAATGCAGAAAGCGGAGGGAGGCGGGTTGTCGGGACCGGAGGCAAGTGGTACGACACGGACGAATCTAACTCGGAATCCCCTTTTCCTTGCATCTACTTGCCGAGCTGGTGTGCATTGTCAATTGCTTTTTCCTTTCATAGAGAACTAACTGAAACTGCTCTACTAGCTCTACTACTTAGAGAATGCGCTGTAGTAGTAGAAAATCACCAATTGTACCCATATGACCTTAGTATTGTGTTATCGTTTATTCATCCGTAGCAACTGCGTCTGCGTGTGGAGAAGACGGATCGCACTTCGCGACATGCTGTCCACCTTTCTTTATTCTGGCTTTTCATGGTGATGGTTGTGCGAGTTTGACAGTCAAGAAGAAAAAGCAACAAGTCGGAGGTGGGATTAAGTACGTAGGGATTGGAGTACGTCTTCCACTGCACAACCCGACCGGCATATTCGGAGGCGGAGGTGGAGAAGATGAAAAAGGAACGGGACGAAGCCAGGGAATATGTTGCAGGAGTGGAGAAGGAGCTGGTTGAGCTCACGCCCGTCGTGCAGGAGGTTTCTAATGAGCTCGAGCAGAAAACGCGGACGAAAAAACACTATGAGGCGCGGGTCCCCGACCTTGACAGAAATATCGAGCATTATGCCAACCGGATCGAGGAGGCAAAAACGATGCCCGTGCTCAACCCAGAGCAAGAAAAGGCGGTCTCGAAGCTGCAGACCGAGGTACTAGGTTCTTGTGTACAACGATTAATTGTCATCGTAGATCGATGTACATGATGTGCTACGTACAAAGCGTAATTTTGATTAAGTTCACCGCCTGTTGTAACGGGAACCAGCTTTGATGGTACAGAAGTGAAGGCATGTAGTTCAACCAGCCGATAGCGCGGAGCGCTCGCATCCGCGACTGATGCGGAAATAGACACGTTAAAAATTTGCATATCAGGTGTCCAAAGTGACGAGCGAAATCGGGAATGTGGACCTCGAATTAACGGAGGCCACCGACAAGGTGTCCGAGCTGACGAACGCGATTTTCAACGTGGGCGGGGAGGAGCTGAAGAACCTGCAGAACGAGGTGAACAACGTGAAGAAGAAGGTGGAGCAGCTCCGCAAGGGCCACATCAAGGCCAAAGGGCAGGTGGAGATCTTCCGCAAGAACGTGCAGGAAGCGGTAAAAAAGGAGGCGGAGTCGCGCAAGAAGCAAGAAAACGCGGAGCAGGCGCTGGTCGACCTGGAAAAGCTGGTGGAAAAAACCGAGAAGGAGGCCGGTGAGTGCCTGGAGCGCTTCCACTTGCTCATGACGGAAACGTATCAAATGTAAAAATGTCTGGGTCTGGAAAAGTGTAGACTTGTCATGCAGATTTCCCATGACCCTTGAGGTCTGGAATGCGGGACTTAGCATGACAGACTCTGCGAGGTCTCTGCCATGCCTATCCTGCATGAGAAACTCCCTTCCAACTTGGTCAAAAGTATAGAACAGCTTTTGGCACTCATGCAACACAGATTTTTGCATGCTTCAGATTTTTGCATGCTTCAGTTGGCCTCGCTGCCGATGCTGTCGGTAGCGGATGTCCGCGTTCCTTTAGAAGTATGGCGGGAAGCGAAGGTTCAGATTTACCATGACAAGTTGTAATCTTCCAGACCCAGACATTTTTGCAATTCATAGAACACAAGCCGACGAGCACCAGCGCAAGGATCTGGACGCTCAGCTTGCCAAAATATCACACAGAAAAAAGCTGGCAGGGCATATTGATATTTGTAATGCAAAAATAAACACACAGAAAAATCTGCATTGCATATCCGAAACGGCATGCTATGAGGCCGCCCATGCCAGATTTTTCTGTGTATTTATTTTTGCATTACAAATATGCCCTGCCAGCTTTTTTCTGTGGGATACAAAATTGACGAAGACCAGAACGCGGTCGCAATGGTCTTGCTCGACGTCCAGGACTATCTCATTGAAGGCAAAAGTAGTACTAAATCGCATTCGTATGAACGTTGAAGAATTCAAATTGCAAGAATCTTCTGACGAGACATTTAGACAAAATCTGCGAAGATGTCCTTGCTTCGATTTTTACCTGGACCTGCACGAGATAGTCGATGTTTTGAAAGCATTTGTGCCAGGAGTGCGAATTCCGTGATAAAAGTACAACTTTTGGGATGCATAGGGAGCAACTAAGCCGGACCAAGGAGAAACTCCAAGCCGCAACCGCTTCACTGGAGGACACGAATCGGAAATTGGAGCTGTTCCGCAAGGAGTACAAGGACCTTCCCGATGAGGATGAGGAGGAGGACGAGGAGGAAGAAGACCTAGACGTTATCAGGATGAATATAAGTGCCCCTAGAATGAAGTTGTTGTACCCCAGAAAGGCGACGTGTTTGTATATGCAAAAGTAGTTATTTTTATTTTTTCCAGTGGAATCAATCATTTTCATTTTCATTTCCCATCTTGCATAGCACCACAAAGAACAATTCTCCCTGCGAATCTAAGCAAAAACTTGTTTGATATAAAAAGGCCTAGCCGCAGAAATGAAAATAATCGATCCCCAGCTCTGGCATTCGACGTGAGGCACTTGTTCTTTTTACTCTGATAGACGAGGACGGCATTTACAGTGCAAAGTTCTACTCGCAGGGCTGGATTCGCAGCAACAAAGAGGAACAAGAGCGAATCGACCGGGAACGAGAGGCTGAGAAGGAAGCGAAGCGCAAGGCCAAGGAGGATGCGAAACGGAAGAAACAGTGGGAAATTAAGCACGGTCCGATTTTCGATGATTTTCAGGATGTCTGGCTTTCGGTGCACCCCGACGACGACGAAGCCCTTCCGGAGGGTGCGGACGTGCCGGAGACGGGTCATCCGAGGCTCAGTTTGGAGGAGGTCATATTGCAATGAAAAATGCCACCACCCCATAACCTGGCAGCATTTGCATTGCAAACCTCGCCAATGGAAAAAATTCCTCCTCTTGTATGTTTTAGCATGACAAATTTTTAATGCTGAATAGCTAAAATTTGTGTTGCGCAAGACCCCAGAACCAGAAGCAGCCGGGTCTGTCGTGCAAAAGACACGTTGCGCACATAGATTCTGCATCAGAAAGGCTCGTAGTCCTTTCATCATGCAGGACAAAAAGCTTTCATTTGGCAACTTTGCATGAGAAACTTTTGCAAATGCTGGGGCGGGGGCATTTTTCATTGTAATAGGTCACGCGCTCCATTCTCGGAATCCAGTCCAAGATGAAAACGTTGAACCAGCCCAATTTCCAGATTTTTATGCAAGACAAAAACTGTGTAAGTGTAACTCTGTAATGCAGAACATGCATCAGAGTTACACCTGTCATGCCAGACAACCATGAAGTCCTCCTTTCACGTGTGTTTTCCCTTAAAAGCCGCGCATGACAGGCTTTCTCTGTCATGTAGAGCAAATTTGTGATGCTGTCAACCAAAGAAAGTTACACTAACACAGTTTTTTTCTTGGATAATTTTTGCCGAGTATTCAATTCAAATCCGTTTTTCGTCCGCCCCCATGACAGACTCAAAAATATTCTGACGGGCACGGGATTTTTTTCTTCTTTTTAGTACGCATGGTTAGATGGCCTTAGTTGTCCTCAAACGCGATAGCCACAGGCGGTTACGACATTCTCAAATGAAACCACAAATTCAATCGATTTTCCAGATTTTCATACGTTTACTTTACACATGCGAAGGGATGGATCAACTTTTTCATCTCAAAACATCGACAGGTACAAGACACGGACAGAGGAGCTCCAGGCAAGAAAAGCGGAGTTTCGATTGGCGGACAAGGAACGGACAGAGATACGGAGCAAGCTCGAGCAAGAAAAACTAAAGCGGAAACAAGACTTTCTGACGGGCTTCAATGTGATCAGCCTGAAACTGAAGGAGATGTACCAGCTATGAAAAAAAGAAAACATGAGCACGTCCATAACTCTGCAGGTTTCATCGCAAGATGGTTTCAGTCCGCATGAGGATTTTTTCTTGCAGACTGAAGACATCGGGTCTTACACTTACTGCAGATGAAACACCAAGGAATGAAGCGCGTTTGCGCAGCTAGCTTAGCTTGACTCCGATGAACTTCTACGCATGAATATTGAGTTGCAAAAATGCACGAAAGTGATTGTGCTGATGTTTTTTTCCTGAATACCAGATGATCACTCTCGGGGGCGACGCGGAGCTGGAGCTAGTCGACACCTATGACCCCTTCCAGGAGGGCGTCATGTTCTCCGTGCGACCAAAGTTGAAAAGCTGGAAACAAATCACGAATCTTAGCGGTAGTGAATTGCTATTTTTATCTACCTGTGCAACAGATGAAATTGAAAACGAATATCGTCCAAACGATGATCATGACCTGGGGATCGGTGATATAATTATGCGCAACATTCACATTGAGTTGACATTCAAATTTCTAAAAATAATTTAGGTGGCGAAAAGACCCTGGCGTCGCTCGCTTTAGTTTTCGCGTTGCACCACTACCGGCCCACTCCGATTTACTTCATGGACGAGATCGATGCGGCGCTGGACTTCCGGAACGTGAGCATCATTGCCAACTACATCAAGCAAAACACGAAGAATGCGCAGTTCATCATTATTTCGCTGCGGAACCACATGTTCGAGCTCGCCGACCAGCTCGTGGGCGTGTGCAAGAAGAACGATCAGTCTATTATCAAATGTAAAAATGTCTGGGTCTGGAAGAATCCGAAATTTGTTATGCTGCTTTTGCATGACACAGAATGTCTGTCATGGAAGCCCTAGCATCACAGATTTTTAGAGGCCTTCCTGATGCCTATTCCGCATGAAAAACGCCCTCCACGCGTAGCACAAACCGGACTCCTCTTGCTAGTCATGCAATACAGAATTTTTTAGAGTCCAAAGTTAGCATCACAAGTTCCAACCTTCCAGACCCAGACATTTTTGCAATCCATATCTATGTCGGTGTCCGTAAACCCCGAGAAGTTCATTGCCGGGAAGAAAAAGAGAGGCGCGCTTGGCTACGAAGAAGACAAGAAGGTACAGCATCTGATCAAGCGGTTTCGGGACATCAAAAAAGACCTGAAAGGGCGAGGCAAGGAGCACATCTTGCCGGCAGTTTCCCGCCACGCCTCCCTATCAAGTGAAAAAATGTCTGGGTCTGGAAGGGTGTAAACTTGTCATGCAGATTTTCCATGACCCGCGAGGTCTGGAATGCGGGACTTAGCATGACAGACTCTGCGAGGTCTCTGCCATCCTTATCCTGCATGAGAAACTCCCTTCCAGCTTGGTCGAAAGTGGACAGCTTTTGGCACTCATGCAACACAGATTTTTGTATGCTTCAGATTTACCATGACAAGTTACCACCTTCCAGACCCAGACATATTTGCAATTCATACTCCCCGCGGGGCAGCAAAAAGCCGACGAAAACGAATCCCACAGCCGAGGACGTATCAAATGTAAAAATGTCTGGGTCTGGAAGATTCATGCTGTTCTTGCATGACACAGAAGGTCTGGCATGGAAGCTCTAGCATCACAGGTTTCGAGAAGCTTCCGCAATGCCGAACCCGCATGAGAAATCCCCCATTATGGCGACAGAATTGAGCAGCTTTTGCTACCGATGCATGAGAGATTTTTCTGTGTTCGAAAAAGCGCATCACAAGTTCGGATCGTTCCAGACCCAGACATTTTTACATTTGATAGGACGCGGGAGAGAGCAACGCCAACGAGGAATAGCGAGACGAACACGTTACACGTTCCGACAGAGACGCTGCAGCTCCCGATTAGTCTGGGTCTGATCCTAGAAGGAAAAGGACGCTATAGGGTTTTGTATAGGAACACAGACAGGATAGATTGATATATCAACGGTCACTAGATTTCCATATTCTTTCAAACAAGGAGATGAAGACACAGTCAATGAGTAAAACTAAAATGAGTATGGAAGCTTTTACGCGGATTTACTTTCAAAACAGGTTAAACTTAAAACAGCGAAAGAAATCAATGCTGGAAAACAAACAGCACTTCCGTTTGTCGTTTTTTTTTCGGTCTTCCGAAACAAAACAGGATTCGAGAGAGCTACAGGCTCCCGTTGATATCATTCCCGCTAATCAACGGAAAAAGTGGCGTTGCTGCTTGACTATTGTTGCAAGTTGTTGTGCCTATGACGTGCTTGACCTTTGCGAAAGCAAGCATGTTGACGTGCACTTGTTCGTTCTCTCTTTTTTGTTTTTCATACGTATTTTTCTGGCGGTGAGAAAGAATTCAGATAAAAATCGCAATTTTCGTGTTTTTCCTGCTTCGTAGCAGTCTGCACTGCCATAGCCATTGCCATACCTAATCGAATATGACGAAACCGCAACTCGTTTTTTTGAGAGATCACGTCGTTGCGTTGCATGGTCTGGTTGCTACCGCATGTCCTTCGTTCGGAGTGCAGTAATACAGTCGACCTCAACCGCCCCGACCGCGAGGCCCGGAGCGGATGTAGCGTCACACACTCTCTCGCCGACGCCTGCAGCCAGTAGTGCCACAGCCTCGCCAGAACGTCAGGGCCCCTGCTTTCCAAGCACAACGTCGACCCTTATTCCGCGCGCTTTGGGAAGATGGAGCGACAAATCAAGAACAACCTGCACTGGTCGAGAACGCACTTGGTTCGCTGCGGCACTATCCTGCGCCCCGCTGGTGGAGACGGTCCGCACAGCGGTTGGAAATTTTTGCGTCGCCGAGATGCAGCAGCGTGCGAAGGGCGTTTTTTCCTCGACGCGTCTTCATTCCTTCGCACTGCCGCTGGAAATTCCTCCGCTACCCTCCGCGGGCCGGGTGGCGGTGCCACCTTTGTCGCTTCCGATCGCATGGCGCGGACGCCGTGTGCGCCCCTGGGCCGGACCGCTCAGCGATCATCCCTCCGGATTCAAATTCCGCCTTCGCCGCCGGACAAAAAGGTGTGGCTCGCTTGTCGCCGCCTCCGTGTTTGCCTGGACAATTGTGGAGATTCGAAATCGATACAGAGATCGCTGCCTTCTCGAGAAAACCCTGGCGCACCGCCGGGAGCAGCAGAGGCGCGTGTTGGAAGAAGGCAAGAACCGGCAACTCCAGCGCAAGAACCTACTTGCAGCAACTACTATTTCGGACGCAGATTCAGATAAAATGAGGAACATCGATCATTCAGAAATAAGTCCTGTCGTCGGCGAAAGGAACAGTCATGTACTGAAAATAGCGCGGCCCATCGTCTTCGTGCCTGGATACAAAGGGTCCACGCTGCGCTCGACAAAGAGCGCACTCTCCGTGGGCTGGGGCACGGTGCCCTCGGTTTTCAAAGGGTTACTGCACCCAAAGCGCAACCTGCAGCTCGCTTGTGAGGCCGACTCCTGGGACCCAGAAACGCACACGCTCGCGACCGACGAGTTCAAACCCTCGGGGCTGGTGAAGGCCTACCGACTTTTCGGGTTCCTCACGCTGCACCCGGGCCACACCCTCATGCAGCAGTTTTTGCGCAGGGTGGCCGAGGAGGAGAACCGAGTGTACTACGAGTTTGTGTACGACTGGCGACGTCCCGCACTGGAGATCGCGGAGCAGCTCCGACGATTCGTGGACCAGGTAACGCGTGAGCACGAGGGCAACAGGCCGGAAGTGGTCGCGCACAGCTTCGGCGCATTGCTAGTGTTGCGCTTGCTGCATGACGCCCGTTGTGAGATCATCGAAGATCATTGTTGCGCGGAGGACACCAAAACTGTTGCTCATAGCGACGAAGACAAGCCACCGAATGGCGCAGCAGGATCTTCATCTCCGAATATTAGAGTGACGCCCATTACTCCACCTAACACACCGTACGCCAGTGTGAAGTGGTCTGGCTCGCTGGGGGCAAAACACGACAACAATCCCACGCTCGTCGCAATGGATTGCTTCGTGCAAAATTATGGTCGAGAGGAGGCTCCTGCTGCAGTGAGTAGCAGTACATCAACCAAAGAGCTGTCCATCACCGGGGAATCATCGACTCCGAAGCGGGCCGGTGCTGCGGTGGAACAACCAGTGTCGGCGGTACTAAGCGTGCACTCTGCCGTACTCGTGGGACCGCCGGTACGCCTCACACCGTACTTTTTGATGGACATGCTCTACGGCGACCCCGACTTTCTTCTCGACGGCGCGACCCACTTCACCTTTCCCAGCGTGTACACCTTTTTCCCCGACAACTATTACAATGCCGAGGGGCGTTGGGTTAGTCGTCTCGGAGTGGACAGAACGAATTTTAATAGTGTGTCTGAGGCGGGCGCGGGGAAGGTCGAGGAAAACGTAAACGTAAACGAGAGCGGCTTCTTATCAAGTCTTGAGAGAACAAGTAGACATGCTGCGGACACTGCTTCACGAGGTGCATGCGGCGAGGAAGCGAAAAGTGATTATCAGCATCCTGTTTCGTGTCGTGCCAGTGAATTTCAGCACAAGGTGGAAGAAAAGATACTTTCGCCGATGAAGCGCGCAAATGGTAAAAATGTTGAATCCGACGGGAAAAAAACAACAGCTCCCGAGGACGACAGTGACATCGCCCACGACACCGTGCACCAACAGCGGACCCAAACCCTTTATGATCGCTTAATCCGGGTGGGCGAAGCGTCTGGTTGCCCTGGCCTTTCGCGCTTTCTGCACGAGACACGGTCGGCTGCCTGGCTTGGCTGCTTGTCCTCGGGTATCACTGCGTTTTACGACTTCGGAAAAATATGGCGGAAGGCTGACTATAGAAAGCCTGGCGATATTTATCAGCGAGACCAAGAGCGACAAAAACAGGTTGCTGCCGTCGAAGATAATGTTCGCCCCCAGTCGTTAACAGGGAGTGCCACTGGCAGCACGTATTGCGGAACATCCCGAAGTAAAGCCCGCCAAGTCACGAATGCTAGTACCGGGAACAGTTACCACGCAAATCTGCAGTCTGGCATGCCGGGCGTTGTAGCGGAAGAGGATGACCGCATCTGCCTTGACTTCCACGAGAAGGACCTCTGGCTCAACATATCAAAGAAAACGCATAGTGCCCCACGACCAGAAGAGCGGTCTCTACTATACGCAAACTTTCTACACGAAAACTTTTTGTATCGCATGAAGGGAAACATCATGCGAGCTTCCTTTGGGAAAAACTTCTGCAATACGGAGGAAACACTTCTTCCACGCGCTCGGGGGTGGGCACTTTTCCATATGATGCAACACGCTTGCTGTTCCGAGGCGGCTGTCCGACCCGGCCGCGGAGGAGCACTTGCGGCATTGTCTAGCGCTCGCGCGGGCCTTTTGGCAAGGGTTTTGCATCGCAGGCGAAGATATCAATTGCAAATATGTCTGGGTCTGGAAAAATGCAAGTTTGTCATGCTTGTCTGGCATGACTCATAAATCTGTAATGCATGAACAGGAAAAGGGCCTCTTGCCTGTCATGCAAACACGCAGTTTGCCATGCGGATAAGGAAACACAGGAGCAGCTGAAAAATTTGTCATGCTTAGCTGCGTATTGCAGTCCGCCCACTAGTCAGATTTTAGCATCACAAGTTTCCAGACCCAGACATATTTGCATTTGATAGAAGATTCAGAAACCTCGACAAACACTTCGACTCCATTGGCCTCTGATGTCCCTGTGGCCTTTATCGTGGGGACAGGCCACGCCACCGGGGAGACCCTGGTGTTGCTCCAAAGCGATAGAAATTCTAGTTGTACAGCTTTTAGCAAAGCTGTTGACCACGACAGCTCAGGAACTACATCTTGGTCTTCTGACTTTGAAGACATTATCGACACAAGTGCCACAACATGCTGGAGTACTGTTGCTTTAGATGTTGAAAAGTCGTCGTATAATAACACGAGCGGGACCTGCTCCGACGATCGTGGCCACAACTTTTGGTTGTACGGCAGCCCTGCTCTGGTCCCAGGCGACGGTCGGTTACCAGCAAACAGGATCCTACCTCAGTTCCGGCCTGAAGAATCCAATACAGATAGAAGCTTTATTACTGCTAGTTGTGCTCGGAGAAATTTATTACGTACGCTTGAAAGCTCACCTGTGTACGAAACGCGAAACACTCACAGCACTATGCTGAATGACCTTGAAGTTCTGAATGAAGCGATGATGCACGTAGGCATGTGACCTGCCGAGATGACAACTTTCACGACTCCCGATTGTATAGCCTTACCTGAGTCCCCCGTAATTGTAGGTTTCTGTTTTTTCGACATCAAATTGAATGAATCAATCTCCCATGTGACATAAACCCAGGCCGTGGACTACCATTCATAGTGTAGCCGTGCTGCTTTGACTTTGGTTCCTTACTTTCGTGTATTAGAACAACCGATGTAGTTACGAGTTTCTAATAGTAGATCCGTATCTCTTGACGTTTACTTGAAACAGAACAACGCAGATATTCGACGTATTTTGATTTAGCGATTCAGCTACTGTCTAGAACGAGGGACTAGCAGAACTAGGTCATGAAATGAATCTCGCCCGTGTAGCATTCTCGATTTGATTCTTGATTCTAGTTGCTAGCTTTGCCTTCGTTTTGGCAAAAGCATGATGTGTTTATGGGTTCGTGTTCGAATTTTCTTTGATACGAAAGTTTTTTTCACAAATAAGATACAATTCTAAATCAAATGTTGTTTTTTCTTTGAAGGTCGTCGCTTGCTACTCTTCAATTGAAGAGACCGCGCATGATACTCAAAAAAAAGATAACAGGGACTACTTTTCTACACATATCTTTTCGTGTAATATAGGCCGACGGGTGCAGTAGATGCAGCCTGGCGACGATCGCCATTTCAGTCTAATGCGTGGCGAGTAGTTCTTTAATATCCGGACATTAGTACACCTACACCGGTGACGAGGCGGGACCTTTGAGGCGCTCTCACCACTTCGGAGGCCAGTAAATCCAACCCAGCTCGTTCTGGTATCGACGGCCCAAGAACCACGGAAATCCACCCGGGCGTGCTATCCTCCCGAAGAACACTTTGATTTTTTCTGCCGCAAGTTGTACGCATTACTACTGTCCTTCTAAGTACTAACTTGGAATAAAGAAGTTCTTCTTTGCGGAGCCTTGCGGCGGGGTTAATGTCCGAGTTGTAAATCGCGATTCACCTGAGAGCTGGTCAACATAACGGAAGTACTCCTGTCCACCGCCTTGCCAAAAAAGCAGGACAAGTGCTGTGAGTCGCGCGCCATTCTCCACCTCACGGCCCACCTGAGACGACGGGTACGGCAATATGACCACGGACGTGCAGAATCAGGTTTCCGAGCTGCTGCAGTTTTTCCAGCAGCCGCGGAATAGCACGGTGCGCGTTGTTTTTGATAAAGTTAAAGCTTGTCGTTCGACTAATGGGATGAAATCGCATGAAGGCACAGCACCTCGATTGGTTCTTGCTTTCGTTCAAAATTGTCTTTCCGCTTGTCTTGTCTCTCTACAAACTGCATGATTGGTTGAATGCAGGTTGGTAATTTCTACTGCGTAGTACTAGTCTGATGTCGATGAAGATTCAAGGCAATGGTCGCGGAATGAAAGAAGTAGAAGCGTATCAACGAAGGGAATTCGATCGTGATGAGGAACAACGTTCGGATCTAAAAAATAACTCCACGCGTGTTAAAAATTTTTGCAGGTGAAAAATGTGTTATGCCACCTGCTAGGTGGGGCGTCGCGTAGTAACGAGACAGACGGCGCCTCCTCGGCAGATGCAGAAACCGGCACGGAAATAACTGCAGTGGATCATGGAACAGATTCAGCTGCGAACAATGCATCTTCTTCGTCAGTTGCGCAGTTGGTCGAGCTTTTGCGTCAAGCCAGCAGCGAGGTCGCGACCTCTCCGCCGCGGGGAGGACATCTTCAAGGTGAACAGCAAGCCCGCTCGCTGGACATCCCAAGCCACATGACCACTGCGGCCGCAGGAACAAAAAACGGATTTATTTCACCGCCACAGACCGGCAGGAGCGGTTCTTCTCCGGGCTCTTGTGCTGGGACGAATGTTGCGGAGAGGAAAGAAAAGTCGTCTTCTCCGCCCTCGCGAAGTAAAGCTGGTGCTTCTACTCCTGGGCACCAGGCTCATAGTCAACAAGCTTTGCCGCCGATGCTTTACTATCCCGATGGATCCCCGAGCACGGACCGCAGCCAGAGCCCGCCGCGCGAGGACGGCGCGGCCGTCGCCAGCAATGGCTCCACGCCGAACGCCCCCAATCTGTTTTTCAAAAACCTCGACGGAACTGGAGATTTTTATGGCAGAAACAGGAATGCATATCATGATCATGGAGCAGGAGCAAACAAGCAGCTCGGAGGTGGTCCCATCATGCTGCAGGGGCCGCGCCCGCCGCGGGGAGGACCCGTGGCGAATGCCGGTGGCAATAGCGCGCAGTACTGCCCGCCGAACCAGCGGGGCGGCTCCTACTCCCATCCACAGGGTACTATTCCTATCGACCGGGCGGGGAACCACAACATACAGTCAAGCGTTCGGGACCACAACATGCGTCCGCATCCGCTTTCCGTCAATGAAGATGAAGGCTGGAATCGTCGTGACTTTGACCACCGAGAGTCGCATCATGATCCTCGTCGTCGCACCAGTGAGGATTATGGCGGCAGCCGAAGTTACAGCGGTAACCACTACAGTAACGGCGCTTCTTCAAGAACCCCTGGCAGCTTTGCACCAACAGGCAGAACAAGCGGCGTGCCGCCCAGGGATCATCCGGAATGCAGAGTATCGGAGTGAATACAGAAGTTGTTGTGTACATTCGCAGGCAAAGGCATACTCACAAAAAAAAAAAAGTAGTTGTCATGTTGCGGCAAATAAAGCCCGAAATTTGCAACATTTATGTGCTGACTGCTTCGATGACACATTGACTTACTTTTCCAGCCAATATCAGTATCACGACCACCGAGCAGACTCTGGCTTCTATTCTGCGCATTCGACCCCGGCGTCGGCCAACTCTTCCTCCTACGGGCACAGCACCAGTAACAACCCCACCTCGCGAGGATCCGGATCGAGCACAAATAACCATGCATCGGATCGGTCGCGCGCTCGGCTCTTCGGCCCTTTCTCGCATCAACATGACCGGAACCACGAGCAGGGCGGCGTGTGGCCCTCTTCTGAGACCCTGCAGCAGGCCGAGCAACGGTGGATGCAGCAGCGCGCGGCGCACGGTGCGGTACTTCTGCAGGAAACAAGCAGGACCGGTGCCCGGCGACGCAGTCTGGAGGATCGTTTTTTTCAGCCAGTGGCCATTACAGCACGCGATCACCCCGCCGATCATGGCGGTAGCAGAACAGGTTCGTCCGCAGCCGCACCGCAGAACTACCACCGAGCTCAGGGATTGCGGAAAAATAGTGTGGAGCTGCTGTACAGCGAATACTTGATTGTTTCTTTCGGTGGGGCATATGCATATGGATGGATGCATTCACTTCTGCATTGCGGATGCTCTTTCTTTGCTGCGACAGGCAGCATCCGATTCTTGTCTCGTCATAAATAGTGAATGATCTACATCTTCTACTTTATCAGTGAAATACAGAAATGGAGTTCTTCTAAAACTATAGCAACCCGCAAGCCATGGCGAAGCAAGCACGGCGGCAGATCGAGAATGCGGTCATGACCTGCTACGATCAAGTGCCCAGCACATCGCGGAAATGGAGTATGTTCCTGCAACTACTCACCACGCTGAGCTCGGCTGAGCTCGACGAGCTGGCCTACCAGCTCCGGATGGATCGCCGCGCGCCGCTTCCGGACGGCGTCTCGCGCACTTCGAACAACTCGCTCGACTGCGAGTACTGATTTTTACATTCTCAGAAAATATGTGTATTTCTTGTTTGGGTACTACATGATTTTTTCAATTTGCCGCCTAGCTCTGCGTGGCGTTGAAAGTAAAAAGAATAGCGCTGCAGTCGGTACCTCCAGCGTGAATGCATCAGGGAACATGTTGTTGCATCCCCATCACCTTTACATACAGCGACAATCCACTGCCCCGTCTCAAGGATTTTCCGGAGGACTCCAATTATCCGGGCACAAGTGTGATGGTGCGGAACATTATCCATGCAAAATTCATTTGACACGATTCGTCCACATCCCATCAGTCATGAATGTATGAAGACTGTCGCTGTCCTCGGTAGAAAAAACTGTCTGACGGCATGTTGACGAGTCTGTGAAAGTCGCAAGTTTACATATTCACACGACGTTGTTTTTTATGTTTTTGCAGTATGTTGGATTTCTTACTTGTCGGAACATCGTGGCTCTGTGGCTTCGAACGCGTTGAATGAGAATTTTGCTGTGATCCCCCTCCCAAACCGATTGTCGCCGAACATGCTTCTGAATCTGTTGTTTTCGAACAACATCGTGCGTGGCGAGCCGGCTTTTGCTTCGCTGTTTTCGGGACCCTCACTGGTGGGCTGCTTCGAGCTGGGGGATGGGTACTTATTTTATCAGTTCTAGCCATTTTATCTATCGCTTTCTTCTACTGGAGTGGTTGCAGCGCCGCGCGATGAAAGTTGTCTTCAAGCTTGAAACTATTTTCAGACTTGTGTACCACGGACGGATGGTAGAACCACACAGTGATACGTACAAAAAGAAAAGAGTACGATATTTCTAAAACCAGGCCGAGTCTGTTGGAGGACGAGGGCGGAGAAGTGGCCGCTCAAATTGCGGGCATGCGTAACGCGAACGACGACGCAGATGATGTACTTTTTGTTCTATTTTGCCATACTAGTTAACAGTGATGTCATTGTCAGTCCAAATCCCGCTTGAATCGAACACCATCAACATGAGCATCCGTGATTTATGTCTGGTATCATGAAGAGTTCCTTTGACCTCCGTTGATAATAAGAGCGCCTCCTTCTGCACTGATGAACTACAAATTTTCTGTTGCTATTTCACACATTATTTACACAGTAACCATACGTGCCTCTTTACCTAGGTAAACAATTTTCTGGAGACGAAGAATCCGAAAACGCGAGCGGATTACGAGGACCTCCGGATGCGTCACGAGGTGGAACGGAAGCGATTCGACTGGAGCGAGCGCATCGAGCGGTCCCGCGTCGACCCAGCCTTTCAGACGGAGCCGGCCGAAAAGATTTTGATGGGCCCGTGGAGCAAAGAGAACACCGTCGTCCATGCCGTCTCTCAGCAGCTAGATCCCGTGGTGGCGCAATTTGTCGACTTCTTTGACCTGCCACAGAACCTGCGCGGTAAGACTTGTTTGCCTGTATTTTTATCCTTCTTTCTTCGAATGACACTAGCTACCGAGGAGTTCTCACCTGCTGCGTTCCGAAAACGGACGCTGCGCTAGTGCGACGAAGGGAGATTTTCGCCGCCATCCTTGTCTAAGTTAAGTAGCACGATTCGTCTGACATCTTTATCATTTATTTCTGCCACTGCAGGAAAGTTAAAGTATCAACGAATCCCCCTTGGAGCATCTGTAGCAAAAACCAAAAAAAAAAATGAATCTACAAATCCAGGCGTGAATCTCGGCTACGCGTTTTTGCACTTTCGGAGCCGCAAGATTGCAGCGCGGTTCACGGAGCTCTTGAATGGGATGCGGTGTCCGGGGAAGAGCGTGAAGCGCCTCGAGATGATATTGCAAGGAAAAATCCCCCCTCCCCATATTGAAAACGCATCCGTTTGAAAATTTGTGATGCAGATTTGCAACCACAAATCGCACCTGTCTTGCAGGAAGCCAAGCGCAGGCTGTCCGCCACGTTGTGCAGGCGATTTGTAATGCTGTAAGGACTACCGGGCAGCCGTCTACCATGCTATGCGCCTACACCAAAAGGCCCCTACTTAGGCTTGCGACCTGCGTGCAGTCCTAGCATTGCAAGACAAGTCTGATTTGTGTATGCAAATCCAGCATCACAGATTTCCTGTTCGATATGGGGAGGGGAGATCTTCCCTTTTGATAGATGATGGTGACGACGGCGCGTCGTATCCCCTTTATGGATGGCATGCGGCTGCAAGAGGTGAATATCCAGGAAAAAAACTGTGTAAGTGTAACTTTGTAGGAAGAGCAGCATCACAAATTCGTTTTGCATTACAGAAAGAACCTGTCATGCGCGGATAGTACGTGAAAACACGTATGAAACACGTCTATGACGCACTTCCAGCATGACAAGCGTAACTGTTTTGCATTTTTTGCATCACAGATTTACATCACTTACACAGTTTTTTTCTTGCATAGTGAAGCCGACGCGTACAATGTTTTGGTTCGACGAGGAACGGTATCAAATGCAGAAACGTCTGGGTCTGGAAGAATGCATGTTTGTCATGCTTGTCTGGCATGACTCGAGAATTTGTGTTGCCTAGGCACGAAAAGGCCCTCTTGCCTGTCATGCAAAAACGCAGTTTGCCATGCGGAATACGTAAGACATGGCAGCCAGAAAATTTGTCATGCATAGGTGCGTATTGCAGTGCGTCTATCATTCACTTTTAGCATTACAAGTTTCCAGACCCAGACACATTTGCAATCCATAAACGATTTCCGGACATTCTGGCCGAGTCCATGTTCTGTTTGAAGCGACAATCGAACGTCATATCAAATGCAAAAATGTCTGGGTCTGGAAGAGTCGGGGCTTGCCATGCACATTTTGCATGACCCGTGAGGTCCGTGATGCTGGTGCTAGCATCACAGATTTTTTGAGAGCTTCTTGATGCTAATTACGCATGAGAAATGCCCTCACCGCGTGCCAACAACTGACTCCTCTAGCTGCTCATGCAACACAGATATTTTTAGAATCCGCAGACAGCATTACAAGTCCCAACCTTCCAGACCCAGACATATTTGCAATCCATACGTCAGCTCACACAACAACTCGCTCAACCGTCGCGCCCAGTATCCCGGGCCCACCGGCCGGGGCTGGTAAACAGGGCGACGCGGACCTAGAATTCAATGGTATGATCGACGAACTTGAAGATGATCTGCTCTTCCTCTTGTTTGTGGCAAAGAAAAATGATTCGTACCGCAGTACTGTACATTTTCGTCGGTACGCGAAAGATGCCGAAGCTGCGTATAGGTTCGGCCTGGTCAGCTTTGAGTTGTCCTCGGAGCTGATTATATTAGATATCAACATTCAATATAAAAAAGTTAGGATACTGTACTATTTGAATCTGCAAGAAGCGAGCCTTGCATTTTTTTTTTGTGTGTCACAAGAACCGGGCCTGGAAGTAATTATAGCCTAGATGTGCTGCCAAGTAGATTCTCTTCACTAGAAGGACTCAGCACTTTCTCCAACTTCAATTTCACGTATCTGCGCATGATAGATTTAGGTACTGGTTGCAAAAGAAAGACCGACTGCTACGCCGACTGATACGTTCGATCAAACTTCGGTTGCATCTTATTTCTTCGCAGATCCAACTGCTACACTTCTATCTTGCAGAGCCTTCTTCACTAAACACAGCACCTGAGTGCGCAGTACAGATGCTGTAGTCACAGAGGAAGGATTGATTGGTGATGCAAGTGCAGCACAAAATACGATATGCGCACGATGAATATCTAACGTTTCGAAATAGATACGAAAGCAAGCGTACTTTTTTAGAAAAGGCTCTACCTTCCTCGGTTTTTTTTTCGTTTCGATTTGTAGCTCTCGTTACACCAGCTACGAAAAACAGCCTCACACGGGGATTCATTGGAATAGCCAGCTGCTACACGATGGTTGCAGTTTTTTTTCGAATAGCAATCATGTGCACCATTTTAGCGTAGGATTACGCACAACGAGGACGACCACTGAGAATTTATTTTCCGCAATAAAGTTAGTAGTTAGTAATAGGAATACCTATACCACTTAAATCAGTACGAGTACTTTTTTTTTCGATTTTAGCCTTGGTCTTGGAGGACGACGAGGAGGAAAGCAACAAATCGCACCGACGAATCTACCGCATAGGGTGGCGAGCTAGGGTGTCTGGCTGCCGCGCACGGCGTGGGAGTTCGCAGGGTAGGCTGGCTGCTGTGCTGAGCCCGGCAAACCTGACCGCGTCACGTGGGGCGACAGCTCTTTGCTATATCTCTAGGCTATATGTCCACGGTTATTTTTTGCCTTCTTCTGCTACACACTTATAGCGAGGATCTGGATCGATTGATCGAAGCACTCCGCGCACAATTTTGCCGGCCCCGCTATCTGCTGATAGATGCACTCAGACGCAGGAGGCGTCTACTTGCCTACTATCTGAGTTAGTTATCCTGTAGCTGAGATCGTGCAGAGCTTTGCTACGAGTACTAAGATCTATCAGATTTCTCTACTGGTTGGTTTCTATCCCCTTAGTCAAGTTTTTAGCTATTTTTTCAACCCCGAATGGAAGGCAAAGGTAAAGCGAGCGACCTCTGTGTAGCTGGAATATGCAGGCTGTGGCAAATGATAAATATTTTTTTCTAGTAATATCAAACCTACTAAAACGTCGACGAGTTGAAGTCTCAACCTCAATCGATATTTCTTCAAATTTCTTCCATACTTGAGAACAACAACCGTCTGCCTATGTATGGTTTTATCTTTCAAACAGTCACAAAAAATCCTTGTTGTCACAACAGTTTTGGAAGCAATAAAAATAAATCCGAAAGACATATAACGTTTCACCTCTGTCTGCGAGAAACTCACTTATCTAACTTCTCAAGAGCCAACCGTTAAAAATTATGCTGCGAATATCATCGGTTGAGTCGAGAGAGGCAAAGTAGATGTTTTCAGAAAGCAACAATGCAAATAAACAGCAAATTTGAATATGTGTAGGTTGGTATTTTCCCATAAAAAGTCATTGAGACTTTTGGTCTACTCAATGCCCAAAAACAGCGAAATCGTCATTTTGACATCGTGTGCCGCGTGCGGACGCGTTCCTCAGAGCATCTCAAACTACTAACTTAGATCTCTTGCACGACACGCGGCGCAAGTACGTGAGATCGATGCCTTTTTTCGACGAGTCTTATTATTTTGTACCCCGGTTTACTTCTAGTTTTACATCTTAGCTTCACACACTAGTGGGAGTGCCACTGATAATCGCTACTTTTTGGGAAACTGAGATAGACCAACATGAATCTAAATTTTGGGCCTTGGGAGTCCAGTTTCCGTATTGTTTCGGAATGCATGTCTTAATGACAGAGACAATGTCTTCGCAGGCACGCGCTTTTGCTCTGAAAAACTGCCGCGCATTTTGTTCACGCTAAGAAAAAGGCGGGGGGGAGAAACAAAAGGAGTGGATGCAAAGTAAAAGCATCAAAAAAAGACGAGATGAAATATACTGCACAACCGAACTACCAAGGAAAAGGAAGAACGATCCTCCGACATGTTTGAAGGGAAAAGAGGGAAGGGTTGATAGACATAGATCAATATGTGCTGGGACAGACATTTCATCACTCGTCGGTACATCGGTGTCGTTTTCGGAAGAACAAATAAAGGGATCTGAGGGCCGTAAGGCGGCTGCTTTCGGGAGTACTTATTCTCCCTAGTGCAGCCTTGGTTCTTTGTTTTCGGGACGTGGGAAGTGTCGTGGGTGTCTTCGTCCTCGTTTCTGCAGCCGAATGAAAGATTAAGATATGATAATTTCTATATCGGTCTCGCATACTCCTTGTCGCGCGACCGTCGCATGGTTAGCACTGGTTTAGCTTTTCGTTCGCTTGATTGCGGAAAACGAGCCACATGATTTTTTACTGACACAGCAGCTATTAGGAAAAATAAATACATATTAGCAACGAAAAAGCAATAAAGATGTCAGCCACTCAGTGTCCGGTGGGCACCATGGTGTGGAGCGAATGGACGCCCGGAAACCGCAAAGTCGCTGTGGTTTACGCGTATTACCCCGATACCAACTTCTACCACTTAGATTGGATCCACCAACGGGCGTTCTGCCACGATCTTCGCTCTGGTCACGAGAATGAGGACCGGTTCAAGGTGTATTGTCAACGACGACCGTGGCAGGTGCACATATTAGATGATGAAGATGAATGCTTGTTATCATTTTTACGACCACGACGATAATTAACGACTTCGAGGATGCAATTCCATTGATACTTACACAGCCCACCACGACCTCCAATTTTACTATTTGGTTAGCGCATCGCACGATTCCTCCAGTTTATTACACCACATCAATCGAAATTCCTTTTCCCGATATGAAGATTTTCAATCGAAAAATCTAGATGTGGCACCACTCGAACCAGAACGCGTGCGGGGCGTTCGAGGGGGGCAGCTCCACCCCGGGCCTGCAACAGGGTGGGGACGACGTGACAGTGGACGACGGGAAGGGGGTATGAATTGCAAATGTGTCTCGGTCTGGAAGGTTGCAACTTGTGATGCTGCATTTGGATACTACAAAAATCTGTATTGCATGAACAGCAAAAGCGGTCTCGTTTCTGCCACGCCGAGAGGGCATTTCTCGTGCGGTATAGGCATCAGGAAGCTCTCGTCACAAAATCTGTGATGCTAGGGCATGCATCACAGACGTCAGAGGTCATGCAAACTGTGCATGACACCTTCCACACCCAGACATGTTTGCATTTAATAGGGGGTGTTCATCGGGCTGGGCGTTGCCATCGCGATTGTCTCCGCGTTGTACCTGTGCTACAAGTGGTATGGATGTGTCAGAATCGAAATTGACAAATATCGAAAACTTTGTGATGCATAAAATCGATACCAGTTGGGGCCTCAGTTTCCAAGTGGCGCATGACAAATTTCGGGAGCACCCAAATCCAGTCTGTCGTGCTGTTTGGACAAAGAAGACTGTTCCTGCCATGCTACTCTGGCAGCGCATTGCATACCCCTAAACAGGCTTACAATCGGTCTCAGTTGCCTGCTCCCCAACACAGGCCTTCAGTGCCCTGCATTTTATGCATCACAAGTTTTTCGATTTTGTCGATTTCGATCCTGACACATCCATAAGTGGGCCCAGGGGGTCGTGCGGGAGAAGCACATGAAGGAGCATGGGGAGTACCCGAAGAAGCGGACATCGTCGTTCCAGTCGCCGGGCAAGTCCGGCGGGTGGACGGCGTGGATGAAGGACGCGAGCTTCACCTGGAACAAAACCATGTCACCCTGGAAGTCGTTTTCGCCGCAAAAGGACCTGGACAACCACGACGGTATTGCGCCCGGTGGTCACGCTCACGGGGGAAGCGCGAATAAACGGGATTCATACAATCGCGGGCCGTCGCTGTGGGAGCTGGCGCAGCAGGAGTACGGCGGCCAACAGGTTGCTGGAGCAGAATTTCTACCGCAGCACCCTGGGCAGCTTCAACTCCAACACCCACAACTTCTGAACACTAGCGAGCACGAACTTCCCAACAAGAAGATGAACGGGCGCATAAGCAAAGGCACTGGAGGTGCAGCAGTTTCTGCGGCGGGACCGCCCCGCGACAGTCGTCGGCCTAGTCAGAACAAGCTTTACGGTGGGGGAAGTACTCACTCGATCGGGTCAACGGCCGCCAGTGCGACCGCATCTTCCGCGGCCCCAAGTGCGCGCGGCGTGTACAACAACAATCCGCCGTTGCCGAGTCCGAACTCGATGGAAGTCGTGTCTGTCGATTCTGCGGTCACCCCCCGACACCCGGGCTTGGCGATCCTGAATCCCCTGAAACTGTTCCCAACCGACGAGGAAACCAAGCGGGGGTACAAGTTTCCAACCGGAACATCTTCAAGGCCAACTGGTGCAACTACTACTTCCCAACCAGCGTCTCGCCGCCCAAGCGTGGACTCGCAAATGAGCCGACAATCCGCGCAGATAAATCAGCGGCCGAGTAATCGGGTGGCGCCGGTGCCGCCGGGCGCTGCATCAACCGGAACAAGCACCTCCGCCTCTCGCCGCCCGTCACAAAACACCCAGCTACGCAATGGTGCGTTATCGTACCACGTGGCAAACAAATACGCGGTGCGCTAAGAAGCTCGATTGGCGCAATTTATGATTTCTTCCGAATGTTTCAGCTCTACTTTTTTGTGTACGATAGGTATACTACAGCAGATTTCCACAGGTTTTATTTTCGTAAAGAGCAAGGCTTTTTAACCACGTTTGTTTGATGAAAGCATGATAAATCGTAGAAATTTATTTGGAAATTAACGCACCACAACACTAGGATGGGCAGCGATACTCGTGATTCTACATGCACCTTCTTGAAGCCGCATTTCAGTACTACCACCGGCTACAACGCAAGGTACTGAGAAAGCCTATTCGCGGAGACGCTGCCAAAAAGGTACACTAGAAGGAGCCATCGTCGTATACATTGAAACTGCATGTCGACATAAAAATGAATTCAAATAAAAATAATAAGCGAGCACCGGAACACGCTCTCCTCTGCCTACAAGAAGTAGCGGGCTTTGGAACAGCCCTGTCGTATTTTCCTTATCTTACTATGGCAGAAAGAGAAACACAAGAACGCCTTTTGGTTTTCCTTTCGGACCCGTACAGTAGAGAGCGTCGTCGCAAATCGGCAAACAAATTTCAAAGTTGCATAAGGAGGATGGAAACAAATATGTGAGTTTGCGAAAGCACGTGGTAGGTCGGAAAAGAAGGTGGTGCACAAAATGACAGTTTCTTGAGAGAACAAGCACTTGGCAAAAAAGCTTTCTGATGCCCCCTGACATCGCTCATTTGGGAAGGAAAAAAAAAACACGCGAATACTTATCAACTCAGCAACTGATTTTGCATCCTCCCACGCGTATCTATTCGGATTAAGCCTTTATTCCCATCGTGAAAGCGGCCATGAGAGCGACCCTCATGCCGGATCCGAATCTGACCCTGTCAATCGATATTTTGCTCGCCGGAGTAGCAGCTGCCGTGCTCTACCTGACCGCATCCGATGTTACCGGCGAGCACCAGTGTGTGATTCTCGGGCGCCTGCTACCGCTGTTTCTGTTGTTCTTTTCTCTGCGCGTTGCCGTGAGTTGGAGTAAGAGTGGGTCGTCGACGGCACCAGCGGGATGCGAAGGTGGAACGTGTGAGCAGCGTGAGCAGAGCCGGTATAATCTTGGCCGAGGAGAATCACTGCTCGAAGCGGAAATCGAAGACGTTGAGCAACTTCAGTCATTAACCGCATCGAAGGTGGCCGGAATAAAGACACCTGGCAAACAGCAGCTAGTGGCGAGCAGAACAAGTTCCTTCTTGGGTAGCTCCTTTTATGAACCAGAGTCGATCGAGGTCGAGCACGAGGTCGAGGGGAACTACGCAATAAGCAACGCAGCTCCCGTGGAAGCGCTCGGGGCGCCAGTCCAGGATGTCGTGTTCCTTCCTCCGCAAAAGTACCTAGCGGATGATATTGCTGCTGCCCACGAAGAACACGACGATGGATTTTATGGAAAAGAACGCGAAATGAAAAACGATGGGTCGTCGTCCTCGTGCCAAGAAGCGCAAGATACCCCGCCGCTCCTGCTCCATGACTTGTTTTCCAAGAAAACAAATTCGCACAAGAAGGCGGACGAGAAGGAGACTCCTGGAGGTCTGGGCCATACTGTGTTCGGTCGGAGGATGTCAGAGCCACGGACGTCGGAGGATGTCGGAAGTAGATCTGCGCCCCTGCCGTCTTGGAACGACCAGCCTACTTGCCGGAAAATCTTCCCGAGCGGCGAGTCCCCTGCGCTTGTCGCTTTGCGGTCCATTTCCGGAGAAGCGAGTCGAAAAAACAGCGGACAGCTCGGAGCTGATTTTTTTAATACTAGTTGCAACAGTCGCCGGTCGTCAAAAGCATCATTACCGTCTTCGCCAGGCCCGCCAACCCCCGTGTGCGCGGCGACCAGAAGTAATACCAAACACGTCGTGGTAAAGATTGATCCGGTTCCGTTTCTCATTTCGCCGGTCAAGGAGGGCGGAGAGGAGAAGACAGGGCGACAGTCAGGGTCGTTCTACGATGTTGAGCGAAGAAGGCCGTCGTTTCCGAGAGTCGGTGATGTGTCGTCGCTTGCAGGAATGGCAAACAGCGACGCTCCTGGAGTAGCGTCCTGCGAAAAACCGCTTTTGAAAAGATCTTCCGACTTTGTGACGACCGCGATGGTGGTTTTGTCGCGCTTCCTACCGTTCGTTCCTGGCCGGAACTCGAGCATTTTTTCCACTGGGGATGATAGGGCGAGCGTTGACCTTGCCCATAAAAATCCTCGACGAACTACAAGCCTCAGAAGATCACGCAGAGAAACAACAACGGTTCAACATCTTGCAGAACATTCAAAAATCTCAAGCACCACGCAAAGCAGAAGCAGCAGCTGGAGGGCGGTTGTACTGCGTCAGCAAGCGCGTCTTGCGCAGTACGAGATTAGCGGGATGCACAGCGCGATCGCCGGGTATTTTGTCGCCATGCTGGCGTTGCCGCCCATGTGGTTCGTCCTGGTGGTTGCGGCGCTGCCCGGGCTGCGGAGTAGCCAGCTGCTGTACTGCTGCGGCGTGTATGTGGTTTTCCGTTTCATTGTTCCACTCATCACCTCCAGCGTTTCCCATTGGCCCATCGACCCTTCCACGGCCCTATTCTTGCAGAAGATTTTTCTGCACTACGGCCCGTTCTGGGACGTCGTGTGCGACTTCTGCCGGCCCGTGAACGCTTCTGTTAAAGTTCCGTGGTTCGCACTCTTTCAAACCTTGCTGGACATCATCGCAGCTGTTGCTCTACTCGTTTGGTTCCTGATCTTGCACGAACGGGGGATGGAAACCGTGCAGGCAGAAACGCTCGCGTCACAAGCTCGCATGTACCGCCGCCGCAAAGTGTTGCACCAGATGCTGCCGCCGTTCGTCGTGGAGTCGTTTCTGCTGCGGCAGACCGTTTTTTCCGAAGCCATTGGCGACGTCACAGTTGTGTTTGCGGACATCGAGAATTTCACCGACCTATTGCAGTACTGCGATTCAGATCGGAAGAGCGTGCGGAGACTCCTGCGGCGGCTCGACCGGCTGTTTTCGCAGTACGACGCGGTCTGTCAGGACTTTTTCGTGAGCAAGATTGAGAACGTGGGGGAGACCTACCTTGCGTGCGGCGGGCTGCGCCGTCACGTGCAGGCCCGGAACGAGGCGCTGTGCGGAAAATCGGTGGTGTTGGAAAGGTACAAGCGCTGGTCGTCGACCGTCGGGGCGGAAGCGCTGCGCGCGGACCAGAAATCCGCAATGGACGCGTATTTCACCACCCTGTTTGCCTGCGAGTTGATCCGCTACGGCGAAGAAGGTGTTGTACGTGGGGCGGTCGGCACGGGAGAAGGCGAGCGTCGAGACGTGGTCGGTGATGACTCGTCGTCCATCTGTAGTTCTTCTGCGCATACAAGAATCATGATGTCGCCACCATCCACAACGAAAAATGAAGAGCACGGTCTTGTTTCGCCTGACAAACCACCATCACGTGTTGATGAAGTCGTCGATGATCATGGTACGGGTATGGTGCCGTTACAAGAAGACCAAGCGCCAGCGTGCTCATCTCGTGAAAATCATGAGGAGAACAAGCAGCAAGAGCAACAAGCACCCACAGCAGCGTCGCGTGCCATTTCTTACGTGCGATCAACGACGATCGGCGCAATCCGAAACTTTGGTTCTAGTTCGACAGACGAAAAAAAGTCTACGTACAGCAGCGCTGCAAGAAACGATAGTGACGACGTCGTTTCACTCTTTGAGAACATGTTGCAGAGCACCTCTGCTATTCCAGTTGTTCCGGCAAGTAGGAGCGTAAACAAGGGGGAAATCTACTTCGCAGAGTCTGAATCTTGTTCCCAACAAGAGAACGCTCCTTCTGGCTGTGGAGATGATCTTCTTCTGCTGAAACTAGGTGACCTTCCGACGCCGTGTCGCACCCAGGCGAATGTTCCGCTGGACACAAGAAGTAGAAAACCCGTCGACCAAAGAATAGCAAGGCGGCAAGCAATACAGCAAATGCCCTTCAATATCCGAGTTGGAGTGCACACTGGTCCTGCGTGCGCGGGAATTGTAGGCTCGCGGAAGCCGCAGTACGCAATTTTCGGCGACACAGTAAACACAGCTGCGCGCATGAAGTCCACCTCTTCCAGCAACACGGCCGTGCACGTTTCCAGCGCTACACACGCACTCTTGTTACGGTGTCGCGGCGCGACGCAGCCCCAATTCAAGACACCGTGTTCGAACGCAGCGGATGATTTTGGACTCAGGATTTCGGGGCCGGTAGACGTGTTTGCCAAGGGGAAGGGGACGGTCGAAACCTGGTACGTCGAACCGACGCAGAAAAGCAAGACGGAGCTGCAGAGAGAGGGGTTAAATCAAGGAAAGAACAAGACGGACTCAGCTGAAGACGAGCAATCCTCCTTCGGGAGGCAGGAGAGCTTTCACGAGACAGAAAGTAGTCGTGTAATCGCCGCGGCGGAAGAAAGATCAGAAACGGCACTGAGCAACCAGTTGAAGAGCTTAACCTCGGACAATACTAGCGGAGCCAACATTTTACTGGGGCGATCGTGCGCGCAGGCCCGTGATCTTCCGAAACTAGACAGAGAGGAGGACTTTCAAGTTCGCACGAGCGAGCATGGTGTAGTTTACCAAGAGAAGTTTCCAAGCGGCGAAGTAGAGAGCAGCAGGTTCTTCTGCGGAGATACAACTGACCAGAAACCGACATCTGGGCGGACCAGCATCTTACCAGTGGCGATCATGTCTGACTTTCTGAAAACAGCAGTGATGACGTACATTTTTTTGGACACCGGATCGGCCTTTTTTTCGCAGAGCTCACGTCCGCTGTCCACAGTCGCGGCACTGCTTTTGATCGGTCGGATTTTCCTTGCTGCAGCGTATTGCTTCGCGACACAGGAGTGGCAGTTGGTCGCAGGTGTAGCGCTTTTTGCTTTGTCAGTTGGCGCGAACTTGGCAGTCAGCGCAGAAGCTGCAACACTCAGCCCTCGAATGGTTTTGTTTTGGATTGCCGTAGCAGCCTTTTATTGCGACGCAGCTTCCTCGACGCAGAAAGGCATAACCGCGTGTGTGGTTGTGGTCATTCTTTCCGGATCGGCGTATCTTTTACTTTTAGTCACTTTGAGAAGGGACGAGAGCGACAGCGAGTACAGTAACTCCACAACAATCGCGGACCTGGTTCTTATCACGCTCCTGAATGTTATTGCAGTGGTAGTCTTCCTTATGAAAAACACTTCTTCTGCTGCGATGAGGAACTCTGCTGCGGATCTCTTGACAGCCGAGCGGAACCGCGAAAGTCGTGCGGAACAAATGCTGGCGGACCTCTTGCCGGCGGAGATTTTGCAGAAACTAGCAGGAACGACGAAACTCTCCGGGGACAGATTTAGTGTGGTGACAAGCCCAAAGAAAAGCAAGTCACTCGTCCACCACTGCTTTTCTGACAGTGCGCTACTTTTCGCAGATATCACGGGCTTCACCGCGTTTGCTTCAAAACGGACTGCAGCGGAAGTAGTTGCGGTGGTTACGGGGCTCTTTGCCGCTATTGATGACGCATCTCGACAGTGGCATGCTGTGTACAAGGTACAAAATGACTGGATAGGATTTTCTATCCTCTTCTTGTGCGTTGGTGCTGATTTTGTTTTTTGTTGTTGTGCGAACTGTCAGCACCCCATTCATTGGAGGAGCCAGTCGAATTCGAAAAAACTGGGTAATTTGCGTTAGGTAATGCTTGCACGAAAAATCAGGTTTGTACGATAGGCGACTGTTACGTTGCAGCGGCCTTCGGTAATCCTACACCGCGCGAAAACATCGTGCAGATGCTCGCATTCGCATTACGCATGCTCGAGCTCGTGCATGCTAATCAGCAGAACGAAGCCGAGCCGATCAACGTCCGCGTCGGCATACACTGTGGCTCTTTCGTGGGAGGAGTTTTAGGACAGCGCCAGCTGCGATTCGACATTTGGGGAGAGGATGTCCGAATTGCAAATTTAGTGGAGCAGGAGGGTCAGCCGGGTGCGATTTGCGTTAGTAAAGCAGTACAGAAGGTCGCTACAGCAGCGGAAGAGCTGATCAACGGAGAGGATGCGCAACTACTGCTTCTGGATGAATCAAAGTGGTCCTTTCAGTTTCATAGAAGCGTAGCAACGCGCACGGAAGGCAGAAAGAGCAGAGTTGCTAGTGAGGCACATATACCACCCCCGGAGGTTCTTGAAATTTACAAATTAATAAAATACGCGAGCACTTAAACTCATGCAAAGGCAAACTACGAATGAACGCTAGCGTCACATCCATTTTAAAAAATTATGACTGGAGTGCATTTTGAAAAACATGTCACATAGTTTCGTTTTCTGATTTTATAATTACGTTTCAGCACGACGCATTTCCATTTCTTTTGCAGGTTTTTGTGCTGCGCTGCAGTCACAAGCATGAGTCTCAAAACAAATTGAACCACAAAAAACATGGTGAGCAAAGCTTGTGCATGGGTATGGAAGCATCCTTAATAGTTCTCCTTTTCGCTGTACTTAAACGGAAGGAAGTCGCAGTTCTGTCATTTTCCTGTTCGGCTTTTTGTTTTTCGTTTTGTTTGTCGCTGTTCCTGTTCTTTTGATCTCCTCGTTCTTTAGGTTGTTCTTGCTGTCGTGTCGTTTCCTTCTTTCACGCCGGTTTTCAAATCCGTTGTCAGACAGGAACAGGATCAAGATCAAGTTTTTTAACCCGAAGCCTCGTTCGCAGCTTCGGGTTCGTCAAGAGATCAAAGAAACATGAAAACTGAAATACAAATACCATTAGTGAGCGAAGGTTACAAGCAGTAGGTTGTGTAGCTCTCGGAGGATGCGTTTCGGCTTGCCGTTGCTCGCCGTCGGGGCATCGGCCCTGGCGGTCGAGAATTTTGACAATGAGGAGTATTTTGCGGACCCGAGCGAGGCCCTGAACGCCTTCCACTCCCAGTATCGAAGTATGAAGGAAGAAGCCGAGCATCGGACAAAGCACATGAAGCCGGATGAAGCTCTGGAAATTTTGAAGGCAAAGCTGCCCGAGCACGACCACAGTCACTTGTCCATGCTCGCGCTGAAGGCACGAGACAACGGCACTTTGAACGTCCAAGAGATGGCAAAAGGTAGTCAGATCTGGCGTCTGTATTTTTTCGTAGTTCGAAGATCGGATTCCGATGCGTGTAGAAAACTCCCCATCACGAAGTTCCGTGAGTTTAGAAGCCACTTCGCACGTGACAAAGCACCATGTGCGAAAAGACGTTTTTTTTCTAACAAGAGACTTTTTAAATCCCAAAACCAGGTGTTGTTGCCATCAACAACATGTACAAGGAGACCGATCAGGAGCGCATTACCACCCTGACCACGTGCTCGCAAAAGCTGTACGCCATCTACCGCACGAACTTTATGATTGCAAAGGAAATCAAGGGCTTGAACGCAAAGAGCGAGGACAAAAACCAGGTGTACGACGACGCGCAGGGGCAGAAAAAGGAGTTTCTGGATGACAAGAAGACCCTGGAACAGGAGCGTGAGCAGCTGAAGGTCGACCACGCCAACGACATGAAGGAGCCGCTGGCGATATCGAAGTGAAAAAAGCCCCCACCCCATATCGGAAACGGAAGATGCGCGAATTTGTGATGCTGTATTTGAGTACACAAATCGACTTGTATTGCTAGAAGGCCAAGAGACGAAGCTGCGGCCTAAATTGCAGGCAATCTGTCATGCTGTTTCCCAATTCCAGTTGCCGCCTGTCATCCTGGAGCTGCAAGGCTTTCCCACACTGGACAGCACTACAGTCCGCATCTTTTGCCTTCTAGCATCACAGAGCTGATTTGTGACCACAAATCTGCATCACAGATTTCCGTTTTGATATGGGGAGGGGGCGTTTTTCATTGTAATAGGCGAAGGAAGCGGAGAAGGTCACGCAGGAGCGTATTTTCACGGTCATTTTGAAGGGCATCAACGAGAAGTGCGGCAGCGGCGACCTGAAGCCGAAGACCAAGAACGCCATGCGGTTCCGCCGCAACCCGCAGGTCGCGCCGGAGTCCAACGCGACCAACGCCACCGCCGGGTCGGCGCCGTCCCTGGTGCAGAACAGTGAGGAGTTCACCGTCGACGAGGCCCGCGAAATGGACACCGCGGACGCCGAGTCGCGCATGTGCGTCGGCATGCAGCAGGAGTCCAGCATGAACCGGTTGTTCCTCTCGGTGTTCTCCAGCCCGGAGGTGCAGGAGGCCACGAAGACGGGTCTGGACATGGACTCGCAGAAGGCCATGGACATGACGCTCGCGAACCTGCGCGCCGCCGAAGACGAGGAAGTCGCGCCCAAGTACCAGAGCCAGGCCTTGTTGCAGAAGTCCCCGTCTCTGCAGGGGCCCTGGTCCGTCTCGGACGGTACCGACACCAAGTCGCCGATGTGCGGCTCCGTGGAGCAGATCGACTGCGACGTGCTCATGACCATGATGGGTGAGCAGCTGGAGTGCGCCCGCGAGGAGCTACGGAAGGCTAAGGGTATTAAGCTTTGAACAATTTAAATCTAAATTTGGTGCCGTTTCTCTTCTCCTCAAATCTTGTTGTATGTGCGGATCTAACTCTGGCCATCTGTTTTTATCATGAAAAATTCTTGTACGATATCTTCCAAAAATTCACTCCAGGTGAGCGTGCCGCGCTCGAGGACAAGCAGCGTGAGGAGATGCGTCTGAAGGACGGTTCTATCGTTGCCGCGCAGAAGGCCGCGGACACCCAGCAGAAGTTGATGAACGATGCGCGATCGACCGTGGACGGTTACAAGAGCCAGATCAGCGACTTGAAGGAGGAGCGCATCCGCTACGCGAAGTCCATGCACCTGGAGAAGACTAAGTGCCACCTGCAGCTGTTCGAACTCGAGGCCAACGGCTTGTGTGCATGCAAGGCGCTCCGCAACTTCTGGCTCAAGGAGACCCTCTCCAAGGCCGGCGTCGAGGACGACGCTGTCACGGACTGCGAGGTAATTACTTATTTTGTGATATGATAGCTTCGGTTGCTCGATTTGGGTTTATTTTTTGTGTGTCATTGTTCTTGGAAGTCGTGCGATGGTGATCGGCTAAATTTAGATATCAACACACTGCCGCCACACAATAACCTCATCTCACCGGTAAAAACCACTCCAGGCTGCCGACACCATGATGCCGACCGGCGAGTGCCGCATGGGCCCGAAGGCCACGGGTGAGATTCGCAAGTGCGTTGCCGGGAATAAGATGCCGGAGGACGACGAGCGCTTGCCCAACCGCAAGTGGACCCGGCAGATGGAGGGCGAACCGGGCCAGTCCAAGGACCTCGAGTCCCTGGGCGAGAAGCTGTACCTCGAGTGCCCCCCGGAGACCATGATCCTTCCCTGCAACCGCTTTTTGTGCCCCGTCGACTGCGAGGTCGGCGAGTGGGGCGACTGGCGTGATTGCTCCGCGGAGTGCGACGGCGGCACCGAGCTGCGTGAGCGGTCCGTGGTTAAGGAGCAGGCCTTCTTCGGTCAACAGTGCCCGGACCTGATCCAAACGCAGAAGTGTAACACCCAGAAGTGTACCGAAAACTGCAAGCTCCACGCCGACTACGATGACGAGGGCGAGGGCTGCTTGATGGTGCTTATTACTTAGCCGCTTTTTTTTTGATGATGCAAGTTGTTTTATGGCAAATTTCTTTTATATGCTCTTCAATGAGAGTCGCATAGCACAAAGTAGATCTGAATTCGTTGTTCTTTTGTCACGCAGGCTTGCGTCCAGCCGCTGTCCAACACGGAGTCTTCGGGCGCCGTTGCGTACGAGACCAACTACGAGATGGTGACCAAGCGCGTGCGCGAGCCGGCCCGCGGTGGCGGTGACTGCCCGCACCACCACAGCAAGGCCCGGTACGCCAAGTCCTCCGTCCTCGCCGCGGAAGACACCATCGACAAGAACATCTGCCCGCAGAACAAGTGCGTCGGGGACGAGGTCTGCGCCGACATGATGGACCTGATCATCGTGCACGAGTGCTCCCAGGCCACCGGCCGCCTCGGGTGCTGGTTCATGGCGCAATTTGTCGTCACTCTGTTGCAGAAGATCCCGACCGCCTTGTACGGGTTCCCCACCACCAACGTCGGTCTGGTTATGTTCGGAAACGGAAAGGCCGTCAAGAAGGGCGACAAGTGGGTGGTCAACCCGGCCGTCGAGCAGTCGCCATTGACTGACCAGGTGAGATGCTGATATCATTTTTGGGGTTTTCGAAAGAGTTTCAATCAGCGTTTTAGGATTTAGGAATTGTAATTGAGGTAAATTTCTACTAGTGTTTTTGTCATCCGTGTAGCTCTTGTGTTGGATTTTTTTGATGACCAATCTCCATTTTTCCTTAGAAGGCGATCTCCGATCTGTGACATTTTGGAAATTGCAACCACTAGCAATCCCAAAAAACGCTAAAAACCACGACAGGCCACGGACCTGTTTTCCGCGTTGTACAACCACGCGAAGAACCTGATGACCAAGGAGTCCACCTACAACTACCACCTCGGTTTCTCCAACATGGCCCAGGGCCTGATTGTCGCCGAGAAGTTGCTCGGGGATGCGCGCACCACCGACGGTGGTTCCGCCATCACCGCCGAGAAGAAGATCGTGGTGGTCACCCGCGGCCGCCGCGTGGAGTGCGGGTCCGCCAAGCAGCGCGCCAAGATGCTGCACAACAAGGGCATCGTCGTCGACGTGATTATGTTCGGCCCCAACTACAGCAAGGAGAACTTCGAGTACCTGAACGCCGTCGCCACCTTCCCCACGGAGGGCCACTTGTTCTACAAGGGTGGGCTGGAACTCCTCTCCCAGGTCGACACCATGCGCGAGATCGCCACCTCCCTGATCCCGAAGGTGTGCCCGGACGCCATCTCCCCGTCCGCACACCTGAAGACCATGTGCGACGGCGCCTACTCCGACGAGGGTGGCGCGCGAAAGGTATACTTCCTAAATTTCTAGAAGGTGATGGTTTGCTCTGACGAATGAAATTTAATGGGAGATGCTGGTTAAGTTCAACTTTGTTGGAACAAACCACATGTTGGAGTTAGGGGTCGCACTAACCTATTTCTAAAAAACAAAATCAGGGCCCGCCGCTCATCGTCGTCCATCGTGGTCGTAACTGCCCGAACTGGAAGAAGAACATTATGGGCGAGAGCACCGAGCCGGTCGACCTCGTTACTTGCGCGACCGAGGCCCAGAAGCAGGAGTTCAAGTCTTTCACGTTCAAGCGTGTGCCGGACGGCAGCACCGAGGCAAACTGCTTTACCCACGAGGAACAGGGCAAGGAATCCCAGGTCCTCGGCTATGGCGACGAGAAGGAGGCCTACAAGCCGGAAGAAAAGACCTGCAACGGCGATGACTTGGTGAAGCCGGGTAGCAAGAACCCGGGTGCGTCGCAGGGGTGGGGCCCGCAGCCGCTGGCTCCCGAAACCACGCACTACGAGATCCTGGACGACGCCAAGGACTGCCCCAAGCCGTATTACAAGTACCACCGGATGCTGACACTGCCAATAGACTTCACGGACGAGTACTTCGACGGGCTGGTCGAGGGTGCCAAGGTCTCCGGTATGATGGGTACCGAGGGTGAGGAGAGCTTCTAGGCGGAGACTCTCCGATGACATGAGGATTTGGCAGCGAGGTTTTGTGAAGTAGGCGCACGCATCTCGTTGCGAAATGATTTTATTTAGCGGTGTAGATTTTCTTTTCCCGCTTCGATCGCAGCCTTTCTGCCGTCGAAGTATGTTACAACTTTTCACATTTTCAGACTTTATTCACAATTGGGAACAGTATTTCAAAATCCAAAATCAAGTACTTAACTTAGAACAGTCTTTTGCTGTTGGGTGCTGCGGTTCGTAAGTACCTCATCCATTTTTATCACGGTACGTTTCGTTTTCTTTTCCAGCGCTTTTGGTTTATAAGGGACTAAATGCGCGCTTTCTCCTCTTGACGGCCGGGAAGCTTTGCAGATGCATTCCTGCGACTCAGGCTGAAGTTTCGTTATCAGCACAGACATTTGTATATATGTATTATTGGCAAAGTAAATTTTTTTTATGTACATTAGTTTCTGATGTGGTTTTATCTATTGGCATGTTGATATCTTTGTGAAAACTATTGCAGAGTTTTGATGAATACATAGAGTCTGTCCCACAACAAAAAGATCGCGGATCAGAAGCTTTTGCTCGCAGCTGCTATGGTGCTTTTCCGGCTCTTTTTTCCCACGTACCAGGATAAATTGGTTAAACACCCAACTCACGAAACGGGCGAGTATGTTCGACGGCCGAATGTTCTTCAAAAATGCGGGTGTGTTACAGCACACAATCATAAACGACCGGGGAAGTAGGCGGTGCGTCAGTGATCTGGGGGAAGCGACATACGGACGCCGCCGTGTAGGTGTGCCTGTATGACGCCGCCGTGTAGGTGTGCCTATATGCGTCGTCATCTCTGTGACATTCGCCTCCGGCAGCGCGCTCATCACTGAATTTTTTGTAATGTGTCATACGCACTAGAAGTAGTCTCAGCAGAGTTCCAAAGGATGCGGCAGCAGATAGCGGCGCTTTTAGCGACCGCCGGGGTTTCGGGTCGAGAGACCCAGAACCCCGTGGTGACCGGCGCCATGGAGTCCACGTCGCCGGATCTTGGCGAGGTGGCCAGTATGCTCGAGGACATGCAGAAGGGTATTCAGCAGCTGCACGATGAGGATGCCTCGCTGTACGAAAAGGAAGCCTGTCACTGCGAAGAAGAGACTTCAAATCTGGCCGAACCGGGGAAGGGCGTGATTCCGTTGGTAGAAGCTCGTTACGGGCCGTTTGTGTTTTCTTTTATGTTGTCATTTTCTTTATCTGCGCAGTGTGTGACGCCTGGGTAGGTAAACAGAGCCAGGGTAGTGGGTATTTGCAAGAACGGGTTGAGTAACATCCCACATGTATGATAACTCAAACCAACTAAAATACAATTTCCAGGCCGTCCTCGCCATCAATGAGGCCAGTCAGACGATTAAAGAGAAGACTGCCTTGAAAAAGGACGAGGAAGAGGATCTTGCGACCAACACCGAGGAGCTTGCTGCCGTCCGCAAATTAGAGAAGGAGCAATCTACGGCCTGGGCCAAGCGAAAAGCTGAGCTGGAGGCTAATATTGCAGAGTCCACTATCCAAGAAAAAAACTGTGTGAGTGTAACTTTGTGTTGCAGAACATACAACAGAGTTACACCTGTCATGCCAGACAGCCACGAAGTCCTATTTTCATGTGTGTTTTCCCGTACAAGCGACGCATGACAGGTTTTCTCTGTCATGTAGAGCAAATTTGTGATGCTGTTCCCCAAAGAAACTTACACCTACACACTTTTTTTCCTGGATATCCACACAGGCAGCCAACGCGTTAGCCGGCGCCACACAGAAATTGCAGTCGGAAAAGCACGCTTCGATCCTCAAGCTGGTTGAAGACATGATGACGGAAACCAAAGGTACATGCTAGCGCTCATTTTTAGGTTTTCTAGCTCTTTCCACAAGCATCTCATTTGTACTGGAAGCTGTTTTCAGTTTCATCAATTTCCATTTTAACACCGACCGCAGACACTCTGAAGACCTACAACACGGAGAAGTCCACGGAGCAGACTGCTCGCGACGACCAGAACGTGGCCAACATTAAGACTGAGGCCGACGAGAAGGAGCAGATCCGCCTTGGCGAGGAGTCCATCGCGGACTGCAAGGAAAAGATTGGCAAGGCCAAGACCAAGTTGCTCGACAACGAGGGCGAGTTGAAGGACGCGCACCAACAGCTCGCGGACCTGACCGCGTTTTGCGAGGCCCAGGCGGGAGATTGGGACAAGATGTCCGCCGAGCGCAAGAAGGACTTCGGCGTTTTGGTATCAACTGTAAAAATGCCTGGGTCTGGAAGAATTCATGTTTGTCATGCTTGTCTGGCATGACTATTAAATCTGTCACGCACGTTACCCAAGAGCTCCGCTTTTCTGTGATGCAGAGGCGCAGCTTGTCATGCAGAATAGGCAACACCTAGGAGCTCAGAAACTTGCCATGCTGAGCCAGCATTTGTAGCCTCATCATGAGACGCTACCCAGCATCACAAGTTCCCAGACCCAGACATTTTTCCTTTTGATATTTGGAGGTCGCGATCAACGTTTTGACGTGCGGTAAGGAGAAGTGCGGCGTGGCGCCGGACGAGACGAATTTTGCCCAAGTCTCCTTCCTGCAGACGTCGAAAAAGGCCGCATTCTTGGCGAAGTTTTCCCAGAAGAACCGTTCTCACATGAAGAAGCTGCAGCAGTTATCCTGAGTAAAAACGTCCCCACCCCAGAGTCAAGATGGGGATTTTGCAACACAAGCCATGAAGTTTTGGGAGCCACGCATGACAAATTGCAGGCTGTATTGTAGTGCAGTTTAGCAAGGGAAGTCGCATTACAAATCCATCTGCTTATCCTGTTTACAGCATTACAAGTTCCAAAACACGATCGGGAATGCCTATCATGGAGATGCGCATTACAAATGCACTTGCGCTTGCAGATCTGCATGACAGCTATGGGGTGGGGACGTTTTCAAATACGATAGCAGTCCGACTCCGCCAAGAGAAACGCTGTGCGCTCTTTGGTTCGCTTCGGCGAGCAGAACGGAATGAGCGAGTTGCTGCAGTTCAAGAGCGTGTTGAAAAACCAAAAAGACCCGCTTCTGGGGGCGAAGAATCTGTTGCGCAAGCTGATCGAGAAGTTGACGACGGAGATGGCGCTAGACCAGGGCGAGATGAACAAGTGCTCTACGGCGTTGGCGGAGTGCACGACCAAGCGAGACTTCGCGCTGGAGGAAGTCAGCAAGGTGAATACTATATCAAGATGTGCATATTTTCTTCAAATCCGAGCGCCTTTTTCTTTTTCACTCGCTGAAGTCACCTTCTGGGTGACTTTGACCTTTGTTACTTCGGGGTTACGTTTAGGGCCATGAGTTAGAATTCAAAGTCGCGTTCGAAAAAAAAACACGAAACCCAACAGTTGAAAGTGGAGGCCGAGGAGCTCGGATTGTCGGTCGAAGAGGACAAGAAGGAGTTTGGCGAGCAAGCTATCCCACAGAAAAAGACAGGCAGGTCAGATTTGTAATGCAAAAATCAATACACAAAAAAATCTGCCATCGGCGAGCCCATAGCATGCTGTTCAGGACACGCAGTGCCGATTTTTTTGTCTATTTAATTTTGCATTACAAATCTGAGCTGCCTGCTTTTTTCTGTGTGATACAAGCCGTCGAATACAAGGAGAACCAGGACAATGCCAACGAGAAGACGGAGGTTGTCATCCCCGAAATGGAAGAGGCGTACGCGACCGAGAAGCAGGAGCTGACCAAGCAGAAGACCTGGCTGCACCAGGCCGTCGTGATTCTGCGGAAGCACTTTGGCATCGAGGAGAACGATTTGCGGTCGGGCAGCAAGGACTCCGCCTCCGGCCTCACTGAGGGCGTCACGGAGAAGTCTACGTCGGCCGGAAGGAAGGTAAATAACCAGGGCCAGACCCAATCGATGGGCCAAACGGTCGTTCACATGCTGAACGATTTCTTGGAGCAGCGCACGGCGGAACTGAAAGGGCTCCGCGAGGCGCACATCAAGGCGCTCGCCGGGGAGCGCAAGCTGAAGCAGGATCTGTCCGCAACCGCAGGTGCTGCGAAATCCAGAACCGAATACTTGCTGGCCACGATCGAAAAGGAAACCGCTGAATTTAACGAAAAGATTGAAGAGCTGCAAGCTCGGCTGGACGCCGCCGCGGTCAACGGGCGCTGTGTCCAGAAGCTGGAGCCGTGTGGCGTGCAGACCGACATGCGGGCGAAGCGCGAGGCAGAAATGAAGGCGCTCAAGGAGGCTTGGGACAAGCTTGCGGAGGGGACCGAAGCGGTGCGACCGGCCACCTGGGAGTAAATAGCGGCAGGGAAAGCAGGTTTTTGCTGGTGCATAAAATTTTTCGCGCCTTGTAGTATAGATGATAGTGTGTGCGCAGTGTTGTGACACTGAACATCAAGAATCCGCTTGCAATTTTCTTGAAATTGCCTATTTGCAGAGAAAATTTTGATTTAGATTTTGTACGATTCATTTAGCGGATTTTGGTGCGTTCCGGCTCAGCCACGAGTTGTTTCACTCACTTTGATACTTTTTTCATCATTTAATACTTGCAACTAAAGACAGACTTTTTACATTGATACTGAATACTTGCTAATCGAAATCGAATACTTGTAACTAGTGGTCTACCTGATTTTGAATACTTGCTGAATACGTTTAGATCTAGTTCACGAGCGCGTTGAGACAGCGTTGACTGGCTGCTCGGAAGGCAAATAGATTTTGCTTTGGCTAAATGAATGATTGATACCCAGGCGGTGGAAAGAAAAATGCAAGCGTGTTATGATGGCAAGTAATGATACCCAGCAGCGTGACACGAGGCAAATTCTGACTGCATAGGCGACATTTGTCGTGTAAGGGTCGGCGCAGCGTCTGTTCGGTCGTACCTAGCAGGTGCGAGGACGCGTGCCGCGGGCGCTGGGGCAAGCACGTGAGAAATTTTTGTCTCAGCGCCAGATACTAGTTTTGTGCTGTAGAAAGGCTCGGCTTTTGATTGTCGGTCAAGACTCGGCTCATCGCAAAAAAAAACACAGCTTCCATCGTGCTTGCGCAGGTTTGCCAAAAAGATCCAGCACGTTCGTACTTGCAACAAACAACTCGTCGTTCTGTTGTTTTCTGTCCACCGTGTAACCTTTCGTACCCGCTTTAGATCGTACAAAATCGAAGAAGCTTGGAAGTGACCCGATCACACGATAAGGACTCCGACGTTCTCTCAGAGAAAAATTCAAAACCATTGGATGCAAAACCGCATTCTCACGTGCAACTGATGCTGGACGTGACTAACAGATTGATGACTGACTAAACAAGCTACAACCCAACTTAAATTCGTCAGCCAAAATTCCATTCCGTTTCAATTCATTCACAACAGATAGAGGCACGCCAAGCGATCTTGATGACGGCGGTATGTTTTATGTAGCAGATACAGATAGAGCCCAAGTATAGAATTGCGCATTGTGAATTAGAAAAATAAGTAGCTGCACATGCTTCCGAGAAGCGCGACTAAGTAAAAGATTTTCATGCTTCGCCAGCATGGTTGTTTCAGTCTCTCAGTGTGCCCAGCCCGCGCCGCGGCGAGTACCACTGTGGCCTGAGGCGGTTTTTGGGAAGCGCCAGCAGTATCAATCTGCTGGTAAAAACAGTGCAGCCAGTAGAAGAGCATTCCGTCTGTGAGACCTGCGTCGTGCTTGTCAACTCACAAGTCGCTGTGGCATACCTAGTCAACAAGTGCAGCATCGGTCAGGAGGGGACTTCTACCGTTCCGGTGCAAAAATGACGGCGCAGAGTTTGGAGATGCAGAAAAATCCGGAGGAGGATGAAGAGCTGAACTCTGTGGAGGCGCATTTGCAGCGCTTTCGGGAAATTCTCGACCCAAATGCCTTCGAATACCTCGGAACCGTGGATCCGGCAGTAGTTGGAAAAAGCGCAAATGTCAGCGGCCTGAACATAATGGAATTTGAGGGTATAGTCTTACTTTCGCATACAAATTGAAACTCTCGTGTCCTGGCTACGTGCTGGTCTTATATTCGTTGCAGCTTCTTGCGACAAGAAGAAGAAGAACTATGTTCATATGATTAAGAAAATGATTTGTACTACTTAATAAGTGTTACAGTGCACTTTCAAATAGAATGAATGTGGAAAATGAACAGATGTCCTCCTGGACGAGGACAACCTCTTTTACCTCCCGAAAGTGGAACCGCACCGGGGCAGATCGGAGCGGCTAGGTAGATTTTACCATTTTCTGGACAAGACCACGCTCTATGTAAAGTCAAGGTGGGGCGTTTTCGTTTTTCTACTCTTTCTCCTGACCAGCAGGATATACGCGCTCCAGGGTTTCTTTCTCGTGGCCTACGCATGTAGCATTTACCTGCTGAATTTGGTGCTCGGGTTTCTAACGCCAGCCGTCGACCCAGAACTCGATAATCGAAGAGCTGGCGACACCGACACAGAAGACTTTAGGCCTTTCGGTATACAGATTTTTTTCTTGCCGAAAGCTCGTTACTCCAATTATTTTGTTGACCTGAAGACGGATCGTGGTAAGTATTAAGTATTTTTATTTCAGTTGTGGGATTCGAGCTTAAGTTTGACTCGAAGATGGATTTTGACGATGTAAAAAACATAAACAGTACGGCAAGTCCCGGAGTTTAAATTTTGGTTCGATGCAACGCGGTGTGTGGTGATCAGCTTGACGCTGACAATGTTTCCGTGCTTCGATCTACCGGTATTTTGGCCGGTTTTGCTGGTGTATTTTCTCTTGCTCACCTTCTTCACGCTCAAGGAAAGGATAAAGCACATGATCAGGTAAAATGATTTCTTTGTTTTTTGCAATGTTTTTGCTTGTTTTCACACAGGCAGCATCATCCGGGAGACACGAGCCATTTTGCGTATCGCAGGGAACAAAAGGCAGTTCACTTATTGCAGTTGTGTAGTTGGTGTGCATCCAGTGAGAATTTTCCTACCTCGACTCCAAATCAGGCACCGCTACCTGCCATTTACGTACGGAAAAAAGACCTACAATAAGCTGCCGGAGCAAGACCCGGGGGAAAATCCACCCGGAACAGGAGGGGGTAAGGAGAATATTGTCTGATGCTCCAACCACCGGGCCACGCTGCCGAGTACAATAGCGAAAGCGGTGGAGCAGAGGAAACGAAATTCGATGTAGTAGTAGAGTAGCGACTGCGACACCGACAGCGACAGCATGGGGAAAGAACACGCCAAAGCAAGCGGGTCTTCCTCTAATGAGGGCACACCAATTCACAACGAGTCAGCGGCAACCAAACATGCGCGATACACTAAGCGTATCACACGAAAGAATAATAGCGTATCAAGAGCACTGCAGTGTTTTTTTGGAAAGCGACACCTTATCAGCTCCACATCGAGCTCTGCCACTGGAAACCTTCAGTTTTCGAAGAATAAACGCGATTCTGGAGTGACAGTTTCCAGCTTGTACGTCAAAAAAGAAATAAAACAAGAAGAACAGCGACAGAATATAATGTGGACGCGGAGACTTGAATCCGGGACCGCAGAAAGCAACAGTCAGGCCGGTTTCCGTTATGCGCCTATTTTTCTGTTCGGATCCGAAGTAAAAATACGAAAGGAGAACCGTAATTCAAGCTAGAAACCGCTCTATTTTTTGAGAGAGTGCTACAAGTGGATGCGTCGAAAAGAATCGTCTGCAGTGCGTAATCCTGATGAAAGAGAAGCTCGAGAGTGTTGGGACGCGAGGGAATGCTCCGATTAAGTATTTTGCGGGAGCGGGGGTTCTTTTGGCTTGCAGTCAAGAATGATAATGAGCAATGACTGTGTGCGGCAAAAGTTGTTTGGGAGACGATCCGTTGCTCTGGTGGGTCGATTATTTGGACAGGAAAAATGTTGTACGCCAGCGGACAATCCTTCGTGGCCGTTTCGACGCAGCGACTCATTCCGGTTCGTACCAGAGCAGCAGTTTGTCTTCCGGTTGTTTCTACTAGGGTCAGCGATCATGGGCGGTGGGAATTTATTCGAATCGCCGCGAGCCGACGTAGTTTATGCACTCGTACAGCCACAACTTCTCGTGTGGCACTTACCTACTTTCAGCGTACTGTCCATCCGCACGACAACATCGCGGGCAGAACTGAAAATACATTGAACCATTTTTCTGCGTCCAGCAGCTCTTCTCGCTATGCAGCTTCTTCCCCCTCGAAGTCCTCGAAGCGATGTTTTGCATCGAGGAGCGCACATCAAAAATCGGCGAAAAGTAGTACTACGCATCAACCCGAAGTCACCATCGAGTTCACGAACGAGAACGACCAGCTCATTCCCACATTTGACGAAGCGCTGCTCCTGCACACGCGCGCGCGCGCTTGGGCGTTCAGCGGACTGTTTTTCGGCGGCCTGGGTCTGGCGGCAAGCCTGCCGCCGATACTGTTTTCTGCATCCGGGGCACTGCTGCTTGCATTTCACATCTCCGTCGACCGGCTCATGTTGCACTTGATTGCCATCCATCTGCGTGCACACATCACATCCGCAAAATTCCGAGCGGTCGAGTTTGAGGACCTGCAAGAACCGGGCAGCTTTGGTGGACAGCAGCACCTCATTCCCCCCGTGAAAAAGTGGAATGTTTTGTTGTCGAGTCCTGGGTGCGAGCGGGCCTTCGATTGCACAACCGAGGCTCCTCCTGCTGTCGAAACGAGTGAAAATAAAGAGCAAAGCAACTCTTCTGCAACTGCGGATCAAGATGAGACGACGACGCGCGAATTTAAAACATCGAGCGGGTCAGGCATCCGCTTCGAGTTCCGTTTCGGAGACCAGGCTAATGTGGAAAACCCCATGTTCGGCAGAAGCACGGCAACAGGCGGAGGTGATCCGGTTTCGCTTGGCGACATTGCAAAGTACTTGCAGCTGCTGTACCTCCCGACAGAAGCAGAGCTGGTCCTGAACAAGGACGGGAAGGACCGCGATAAGGCGGCGGTCTGGGAAGTCCGGATCCAAAACCATGCGAAAATAACGGACAACAGGTCAAGTTCCAAGGAAGATTTGCTGGCGCGCAAGAACTTGGAGCAAGATCTGCTGGATTCGGTGACTAACGCTTACGTGGTAAAGGAGACGGAAGTGCTCACGCTCCAGCCCCTGCGTTCGTCGGAGCAGCTGCCGCCGGCCTACAGTGTCAAGTTCGGCTCCGTGCAGCCCGGGCAGATCGCCTACATGAAGACGGTCTTCGATCGGCTTCGGGACAACGCGCGCCAACAGGGACTGGAGCCCGACGCGCACCCTCTGCAGCGGTACCTCACGGCGCCCCCCATCGACGCGCTGCTAATCGTGCCGGCGCTGTACCACACGGGCGGAACGTTGTTTCTGCTCCTGGGGTCGACGATTTTTTTGCTGCGGCGGGAGCCCCAGGCATGAGGAGGAAGCTGCAGTGCTGGGGATATTGTCGGAAAAAAATACGAAAAATTCGTCGGGATGGTCATGATTCTTGTGTTTCTTGTGTAGATAGTTGTCATAAAAATGTCTTCGCGTATGCTCCTCCCGGCTCCTGGGACAACTCGAAGTGAAGAGAAGAAAGAAAAAGAAGATCAAGATTTTGGTTCAATGAAAAAGCTACGAAAGATTTGAACGTACGAAGATCAAGCCAGCAAAGAACCATTTTCAGCACCGTGATGCACTTCGCTGTGGTAGTAGATGAAATTGAAAGAAGCAGAACACCAAGACAAGCCGCTCAAATGCACAAGAAAAAGTTTTGATCGCTGCGAAGTCGAGTCATTGAGCGCGGCACAGGAGTTGTGCGGTTTTTTGTTTTTCTTATCAAAAAAAAATCAAAAAAGGATCGCGATCAGTATGATATCGAATTTGGAAGAACTATGCACCTAGAGCCATGCGATCCCGAGACGATCACGACTGCGATTTGCCACATCCATGTGTGTGTCTCGTCTTTTGCAAAGGTAATATACTACGGTAGTTTGTCTTTTGCTGATACCGAAGCTCACCTGAATCAGAACGATCAAGCCAAGAGATCAAGATCGAGATCTTTCGTTATCAAGCCACAATATCCCGTGCTGGATCTGGTGGTAGTTATCAGGGTTGAATAAATAGAGGTGATGGCTTTGCTGCAATGACAATGTGCTACAAAACAAGTTTCTGCAGAAGTGATCTGAATGCAATTTACTGCATATCAAGGCGGAAGGTGGGATCATACAGTTAGTGAAAATTATCGATCCCCAGCTGCGATGAAAGGATCACAAGATCAGTGCCTTACGGCGCAAAGGTTCCATTTATGATGAACATTCCTGCTGATTCTGCTGTCGAAAATTGAAATTCGAATTCATCAACACTGAAGCAAAACCTGCAGACTTGGCCAGTAATTTGGTCCAGAAGGTACTGGTAGGAAGTCACTTTTAGTTCGTCCTCGCGCTAAAAGTTCTTGCACTGAGATAGTTGTTTAACGAAAGATTAAAGACATAAATTTCAAATCGTTGTGGTTTCGAGCATCTCTCTATTTGCATTCATCGTTGAAATTGGAAATCGAGTTTTTCTCTGCTGTTTTTTCACTCCATCGTTTCGAAAAGTAAGTTCTGATTCACACTTCGTGTTGAGTTCAAATGACCGGCTACGTGTCCACAGACAAGAAGATGACGGCAAAAAGCGCAGCAGCAGAGAGCAAGAAGAAGATGAAGGAGGTCGAGGCCCAGGAGAGCGCGTCTACCAGCGACGACGAGTCCTCCAGTAGTTCGGCGGAAGCGGCCCCGGCCGCGAAGGTGGTCGTGCAAAAGCCGAAGGCCAAGGTCGCTGCCCCGGCGGCGAAGAAGGACGAGTCCAGCAGCGAGGAAGAATCGACTTCGGACGAGAAGAAGCCCGCCGCCGCGGCTCCGAAGGCCAAGGCAGCCGCTGCTGCGGCGAAGAAGGAGGAGTCCAGCAGTGAAGAAAGCTCCAGCGAAGAGGAGGAGAAGCCGGCGGCCACTGCGAAGGCCAAGGCCGCGCCGGCGCCTGCTGCCGTCGCAGCGAAGAAGGACGAGTCCAGCAGCGAAGAAGAGTCTTCGGAAGAGGACGAGAAACCCGCTGCTCCGAAAGCCAAAGCGGCACCAGCTACAACTTCCGTGAAAAAAGAAGAATCCAGCAGCGAAGAGGAGTCTTCGGACGAAAAGCCTGCCCCGAAGGCGAAAGCAGCGCCCGCGCCTGCAGTTGCTGTTCCGGCTAAGAAGGAAGAAGAATCCAGCAGCGAGGAAGAGTCTTCCGAAGAGAAGCCGGTTGCGAAAGCAAAAGCCGCTCCTGCAGTCGTTCCGGCTAAGAAGGAAGAAGAATCTAGCAGCGATGAAGAGTCTTCCGAAGAAAAGCCGGCTGCCAAAGCAAAAGCCGCTCCTGCAGTCGTTCCGGCTAAGAAGGAAGAAGAATCCAGCAGCGAGGAAGAGTCTTCCGAAGAGAAGCCGGTTGCGAAGGCAAAAGCCGCTCCTGCTGCAGCACCGGTAAAGAAAGAGGAGTCGAGCAGTGAAGAAGAATCCTCCGAGGACGAAAAGCCGGCTGCTCCGAAGGCAAAAGCGGCCCCGGCTGCTCCGGCTAAGAAGGACGAGTCTAGCAGTGAAGAGGAATCTTCTGACGATGAGAAGCCGGCACCAAAGGCTAAGGCCGCGCCAGCTCCGGCTAAAAAGGAAGAATCTAGCAGTGAAGGAGAATCTTCTGACGATGAGAAGCCGGCTGCTCCGAAGACAAAAGCGGCCCCGGCTGCTCCGGCAAAGAAAGAAGAATCTAGCAGTGAAGAAGAATCTTCAGAGGAGAAGCCGGCACCAAAGGCGAAGGCCGCGCCAGCGCCAGTAAAGAAGGAAGAATCTAGTAGCGAGGAAGAATCTTCTGAGGATGAGAAGCCGGCTGCTCCGAAGGCAAAAGCGGCCCCGGCTGCTCCGGCAAAGAAAGAAGAGTCTAGTAGCGAGGAGGAATCTTCTGATGGTGAGAAGCCGGCTGCTCCAAAGGCAAAAGCGGCCCCGGCTGCTCCGGCTAAGAAGGAAGAATCTAGTAGTGAAGAGGAATCTTCAGAGGAGAAGCCGGCACCGAAAGCGAAGGCTGCACCAGCGCCAGTAAAGAAGGAAGAGTCTAGTAGCGAAGAGGAATCTTCGGATGATGAGAAGCCGGCTGCTCCGAAGGCAAAAGCGGCCCCGGCTGCTCCGGCAAAGAAGGAAGAATCTAGTAGCGAGGAGGAATCTTCTGATGAAAAGCCGGCACCGAAAGCGAAGGCCGCACCAGCTGCGGCGAAGAAAGAAGAATCTAGTAGCGAGGAGGAATCTTCTGACGATGAGAAGCCGGCTGCTCCGAAGGCAAAAGCGGCCCCGGCTGCTCCGGCAAAGAAAGAAGAGTCTAGTAGCGAGGAGGAATCTTCTGATGATGAGAAGCCGGCTGCTCCGAAGGCAAAAGCGGCCCCGGCTGCTCCGACTAAGAAGGAAGAATCTAGTAGTGAAGAAGAATCTTCTGACGATGAGAAGCCGGCTGCTCCGAAGGCAAAAGTGGCTCCGGCTGCTCCGGCAAAGAAAGAAGAATCTAGCAGTGAAGAAGAATCTTCCGATGAGAAGCCGGCACCAAAGGCAAAGGCAGCACCTGCTCCAGTAAAGAAGGAAGAATCTAGTAGCGAGGAAGAGTCTTCTGATGAAAAGCCGGCACCGAAAGCCAAGGCCGCACCAGCTCCGGCGAAGAAAGAAGAATCTAGTAGCGAGGAAGAGTCATCGGAGGACGAAAAGCCGGCCCCGAAGGCAAAAGCGGCACCGGCCCCGGCGAAGAAAGAAGAGAGCAGTGAAGAGGAATCGTCTGAAGACACGGAGCCGCCCGCGAAGAAGGCAAAGATCGAGCAACCGGCTGCCGCACCCGCCGCTGCACCAGCATCCAAAAAAGAGGAGTCGAGCAGCGACGAAGAGTCTTCGAGCGAAGAGGAACAAAAACCGGCCGCCGCGGCAAAGGCTAAGGCCGCCCCGGCTCCGGCAGCCAAGAAGGACGACTCGAGCAGCGACGAAGAGTCTTCTAGCGAGGAGGAAAAGAAGCCCCAGACGACCTCCGCCGTCGCCACAAAAGAGAAGGCCGCTGCGGCGCCCGTGAAAAAGGACGAGGAGTCATCCAGTGGTGAGTCCGATTCGGAGGAGGAAGTCGCGGCCGAGCCGCCGGCAAAGAAGCAGAAGATCGAGGAAAAGAAGGAGGCTGAGTCCAGTTCTGAGGAGAGCAGTTCCGAGGAGGACAAGCCCGCGGCAAAAAAGGCGGCCGAAACAACTCCGGCTGCGGAGGAAAAGGAGGCAGAAGAGGTCGCGGAGCCAGAACACCCCACGAAAAAGCGAAAAATTGACCTCAGCGTCAATTCCTCTGCCGCCGAAAATAACAACTTCAAGGTAGTTAAGTACTATAAATGCAGTTTTCAGTAACAATTCTAATTCTCGTTGTAGAGCGAAAGCGACCTGCTTTTGCTGCGTCCTTGGAGCCTGATGCTGCTATGCAAGAGGAGTTTGAAATTGGATGAGATATTGATAAAATCTGAAGCACAAATGAAATTCTGCCACTACACAGGTGTTTGTAGGTGGTTTGCCGTGGTCTGCGGACGAAGAAACCGTCCGGAAGGATTTCGAGGAATGCGGTGAGATTGTCTTCTTCAAGGCACTGAAAAAGGAGGACGGAAGCATGACGGGCATTTGCTTTATCACGTACAAGGATCAGGAGAGCGTCGACAAGGCCTTGGCGTACGACTTGATTCATCTTGTTTCAGTTGATAATGAAAGTAGATGTAGAACGAAGAGGTCCTGAATTGTAACTGAGGAGTACTTATCTTCCTGCATGAAGAAGGTCAGATAGAGAAACACAACCGTAGTCGTCCCTTCCGCTGCTCAATATCGTACTTTCTTGAACCAATCAAACAGATTCGATGGAACCGAGTACGGCGGACGGTATATCAAAGTAAACAAGGCGGAAGACAACAGCAGCAAAGGAAAGGGTAAAAAGGGCGGAGACAACGCTCCGCGAACAGCCAAACCGGAAGGAGGTATTGGGAAACTTTTTTCGGCATTTATTTTGCATGAATTGATTGTGTGATCGTAGCCATATGATAAGCCGCGAAGCCGTGCTGCATTCGTGACTAGATATGAACTTACTGCAGCGGGCGCTGCGCGTGAGCCTGTGACTTCTAGAGGACATTTTTTGCTGGAAGTTTTTTCGAAACAGCCACATGCGCCGATGAATAAACATCCCAGTTCTGACTGGCAGTCAAATTCTCGCAGTTCGCTCCGGCTACAGTGTCCTACTTAAACTTCTATTTGGATTTTACATTGCAATATACATCACTGTCGTACTATCGATCCTAGGTCTCACCGTAGTGGTAAAGCGCTTCAGCAAGGAGATCACCGAAGACGAGATCAAGGAGCATTTCAAGGAGTGCGGCGAAGTATCCGGCTGCCGTATCTGCCGCGACAAGGAAACCGGAGAGTCCAAGGGTATTGCATTTTTGGACTTCGCGGCCACCGAGGGAACCGACGCCGCGGTGAAGCATAATCGGACTCCCGGTCTCGGCTCGGCGGAACTCATCGTGGATTTCTCTGACACCATCAGTGCCTCAGCAAAGGGAAAGGGAAAGAAAGGTAAGTATCTATTTCGCGATCATATTCAAAATTAGAGATTTTTTTTTCCTATGTTGGTACTAGAGGCAGCACGAGTAAGTACCTGAAAGACGGTAGTGAATGAAGTATGACATCGAGTAGAACATCGTTCGTCAAGCACAGAAAATTATGCCATTCCTTCCATACCTTGCAGGGGGTGACGGCAAGAAGGGCAAGAAGGGTGACGGAAAAAAGGGTGACGGAAAGAAGGGCGACGGCAAGAAGGGAGGCAAGGGTAAGGGCAAGAAGGGAAAGAAGTCTGGTCCCGCCGCTGCGGCCTCCGGCGCTATCGTGGAAGCCACCGGAGCTACGAAAACTTTCGACTCGGACAGTGACTAAAGTTGTGAACGAGACCAATCTATCACTCCGATAAACAAAGAGTTGCATTAGGATAGAACAAAACGGCACGGCATCATCTATGAAAAAGTCGAGAAATATGGCTACTTACACACAACCGCAAGTAGGAAGAAGACGCCACAATAAAAAACGAACGTTCACAATACTGGAAAACCAGACTGGAACAAGATATTTTTTGTTTTGAAAAATAAAGGCACGTGCATCTATTGGAGGTAGGAAGAGGAAAAAGAAAAATTGAACAGTGTGGCGTCTTCAATAAAAACCCGAACCGAGGAGCTACACAGATCAGACGAACATCGCAGAAATCTTTTTCACCAAGAAAAGTTCTGCCCCTTTACGACTACACAGGCAGACAATTCTTATTGACGCTACTGAGCTCCTTCTGTCTTGTGACAGAAGCGAGACAACATCGGAGTAAGAACTGCCATCGCATCATCATGATATGCAAATCGCGCAACTTGCATACCTAGTTCCTCGCATCTGGACTTTACGAAAAATACGAAAACAGAAACTTCATTTACATCTGGTTTTTGGGAGATGGGAAATGGTGGCGTGCCTTTTGTTCGAGGAAGTGGTGATAGTAACACTCACGTGCTCCACGTTCTTTTTCTTTCGCGTCAAGAGTAGCTGAACTTGAGTGGAGACAAACACAGTTGATTACGAGAACTCAGTGCGCCAAAACTTATGAGACGACCACGACAACAAGCAGAGGGACGTGAACTACTTACCTAGTACACTGAGTGAAAACATTTTCACGAAGACTTCGCTGCCGTGTATAATACAACACGCGATGTAAAAATAAAAGCGAGAGAAGTTTCGTGAGCGAATTCACAAAAACCATGTCAGCAAGATCCGTGTCCCCGGGGAGCCGCCCGTACGCCCGGGTAGCTTGGAACCCAATTGGCCCGGGCCCTTTTACCCCGCGACTGCAGTATCCGGGTGTGATGACGACCACACCGCGGGGTGTTGTGACCTCCACAACCATTGGCGGTGAGTGCCTGCTGGATATTAATGCGAAGATTTTTTAAATATGAATTTTTTCGTTTGTCTACTCTGGTTTTTTTCGTGTGATCCGCACAGACCACAAGGACAGAAACCGGGTGTGCTCACAGTACTACTGAGCAGGTGAAATAATCCGATTGGCGTGTTTCTATCAGGTTCTTCCAGTATTCCGCTCGAACAGGCGGTGGCTTCGAAGATTTTGGCGCAAGCATCGGGTGCCGCGCAGACGCAGTTCGCAGCTGCGCCGGTTGTTTGGACTTCAGCGGCGACGAGCGCCACAACAACGAAGTCGACCACGGCGTCCTCTGGGCCAACCAGTTTCGTTCCAACCAAGGTATACTCCGTTCCGGCGCACTACCAGGCGGCCAGCAGCCTGGCTACGCCGCGAGTGTCGACGCACCAAGTCGTCGGCTCGATGGTGGTGCCACAGCAGCACACGGGCAATCATTCGTCGACGCTGGACAATTCTGTGGTATCCGTGGCGTCCGCCCGTGGGCGGCGCGATGCAAGCATCAGCGCCACGTTGCGGACGCGGAGCCAGTCCGTGGCCGACCGCTTTGCCATGACGGACCTGGACCGGAGCCTAATCACACCGACGTATAGGAATATCGGGGTCCCTGGCTTGTGCGGCAGCTCGCTGGTGAAGCCAGGAACGACCAGAGTGATCGTGGTAGAGAGGGAATAGTTTCGAGTTTTCTTGCTACTATGCTATGGTCACATGATCTTCCATCAATTCCGTGAAAACGGGCCTCATGTCGTTGTAAAAGAAACTCTGACTGCTCGTCATTCTTGTAAAATTTTTGTCAACCAGAACCAAAAATATTGCACAGCGGAAGAGCGAGACGCGGGCGGCTTCTCCGGCACCGACAGTCAGTGTGTCCGTGCCGACAGCGATTGCGGTGCCACATACCTCGAGCACACGCGTCGCAACTACAGCGGCCACAGTGGTCGTGCCAACAAACTCTAGTACCATACCCCACTCGCAGCGCATGGCGTCCACCATTTCTGAGCTGCCGACCCGCGCCTATCACAGCATGAAGTTGGCAAACGGCACCGAGCTCCTTGCCGCGGCAGCAACAGGTTCTTCGGGGGCTAGTGCCACGACCTCTTCCGCAGCGTGTACCACCACGACTGCTACAACCCCTTCCCGTGTCGTGGTGCCAGCGTCCTCAGGAGGACCTCCGGCTTCGGCCTACAACATTGTCGAGCCCACCGTTCTTGTGCAGCAGGGCGCGAGCAGAGTGGATGTCGAGGACAAGCAAATGCAGAAATTCATGGAAATGAATCAAGGCCACCACCCAGGTGGTGCGGTGCAGCAGTCGACGTCTCTCACCTCCGACAGCACGACAGGGTCTTCGTTGCCTGCGACTAACCACTATCCACAAGAAACTTCCCGTACACGTACAAATGCAATCTCTGCATGACAAAACTTGCCTTCAATCCTAGTCCAGCATGACAAGTTGGACTCTGCAAGGTAGCGAAATTTGTCATGCATTTTGTACATGTACAGGAAATTTACATTGCATAACCACGTCTCGAGTTTGGGCAGCGACAAGCAGGGTTTGTCCTCTCCCGCCATGGTCATGGATACGTCCGCCGTGGAGAAGCACGAGTCTCGCTTCACCTCCGTGGAGGTTTCGCAAAGCCCCGTGCAGCCCGCAGTGAAAACTACCAGCAGCTGTGCCTATTCCCCCGACGGCGCGCCGCTCCTGGCCGAAATTGATCTCTTGCGCTCCGAACTGGTCAAGGAACAGAGCGCGCGCAAGCACCTGGAAGGTGAAATGCACAAACTCGAAGCGCAGGTAGTGCCTAAGATAGATTTAGACCGACGTTCAGGGACGGCTAAGATGTTAATAGCGTTGTACCAGGAGACTGGATGGACTTTTTCACTTGTTATTTCCAGCCTTGAATGTAAGCCAAGGTTTATTTCAACTGGATCCTGCTGATGCTGAATAAGAAATTGCGCAGCTGGCTAAACTTTCTGCGGAGTTGGCGTCCAAAGACCTGGGTGGGTCCTGCTCAGGCAGTAAGAGCGAGAAAGAGCACCAGGGGACCGCGAGTACTTCCCTCTCGCCCACGTCGGCACGAGGGGCCGCGCATACTCATCAATTCACAGACGAAGCAGATTTGGAAATTCAAAAGTATTAAATAGCTGTTATTTGGTGGTTCGTTATGAGGTTGTGTATTGAAGAATAGATGATACTTGCTCGTTTATTACCCCGTTTTGTTGGGTAATACTACTACTACTACTGTACTCGCGCACTAGGTAGAAGTCGTAGAATAGATAAAAGCGTCGCCACTTCTTCACACTCTCTCTTCGCGTTGATACATGCAAAAGGACCTCCATGTTCTGAAAACACTTGAGGTACGTGAAAAAGAATCCCGATTTTCCCTACGCGATCGAGAAGATTGGGCGGGGTCAGTATGTGTTCGGGAAGGAAAAGAAGGAGGTTTTCAAGCGCGGGGCGGCGCTGCTCGTGCGGGTGGGCGGCGGTATTACAGTGAAATATGCCCCCTCCCCATATCAAAACGGAAATCTGTGATGCAGATTTGTGGTCACAAATCAGCTTTGTGATGCTGGAAGGCAAAAGATGCGGACTGTAGTGCTGCCTAGCGTGGGAAAGCCTTGCAGCTCCAGGATGACAGGAGGCAACTGGAAGTGGAAAAAAGCATGACAGATTACCTGTAATTTGGGCCGCAGCTTCGTCTCTTGGCCTTCTAGCAATACAAGTCGATTTGTGTACTCAAATACAGCATCACAAGTTTTCGCATCTTCCGTTTCCGGTATGGGGTAGGGGCTTTTTTCACTTTGATAGGCGGAACGGAGAGCTTGGTGGACTACATGGAGCACCTGCATTATGAAAGTGTTAGAATCGAAATTGACAAAATCGAAAAACTTGTGATGCATAAAATCGATACCAGTTGGAGCCTCAGTTTCCGAGTGGCTCATGACAAATTTCGGGAGCACCCAAATCCAGTCTGTCATGCTGTTTGGACAAAGAAGACTGCTCCTGTCATGCTACTCTGGCAGCACACTGCATACCCCTAAACAGGCTTACAGTCGGTCTCATTTGCCTGCGTCCCAATGCAGGCCTTCAGTGCCCTACATTTTATGCATCACAAGTTTTTCGATTTTGTCGATTTCGATCCTGACACATCCATATGCATCAAAAGGGAAGCGTTCGTCAAGCTGCGTGATCATGATCAATCACCAGGGATGACGTGTAATAACCAGAAGGAATACATCACTTTTTCTCTACTCTGTGGATTCTTTTAGTACTTACTATATGAAGGTTCGCGTTCGCCATTGCCGAGAAAGCACATCAGCCGATGCATAGTACTCACACTGTTGAAAATCGCGCCCAGTGGTCTTGGTAAGCATGGGTTTCAAATTTTTTCAGGTGGGTAACTTTCCTCAATTGTTTTCTCGAGGACATGTTCGACGAAGATCAGGATGTATCCGGTACGAGAAATCGGTAGCAGGAAAAAAATCGACACGGCATCCAGTCAGATTGATGGAAACGACGCTCACTTGGCCTCGCTTCTTTGACGATGCCGTAACGGAAAAGTAACCAGTAGAGTCAGATTTTGCAATTTTTTCAGCTGGAAGATGGTGAAACGAAATTCGACCCGTATGTAAGCGATTTACAGGAGCCAACTACGTCTGGCTTGGCTTATCTGTGCATGTAAGTAGTCATTGTTTTCTAACGAAATCAAATTTATGATATCACGATTATAGAGAAAACGACCCCTGCCAATGCCACGAAAGCGTACAACTACAACAACACTACGAGCACCCAGAATTGCCTGCATCGCTTACAAAACTTCGAGCTACCGCCCCAGTTTCAAAACTCTCGATTTCATCCCGATTCGCATCTTCACGCGAAGGGTATGGGCCTCACCGAATTTCTGACGAAACGGAGAGGGTCCTTCCTTTTCGCTCTAGGCATCAGTTTCTTACTCTTTCATTTGCGTGTTTTCTCTTCCTTCCCTCGCTGCCACAGAAAAATCTAACGACCAATACAAATTATCTTTTTCATAATTGATTACCAATTTATGCCTATGCCGTCTGAAAACGATTTTACGGTGGCTCGGCCTCACTTTCGGGCTTCGCTGCATACCTTCGCTTCCATCCGTAGTTTCATTCGATGGCGATGAAGCACCAAAACTGATCGCAATGCAATTCACAAGAAATGTAAATATTTTATCATATGTCCAGTACGTAGATTCGACGCACGGAAACGTAATATGTAGTGAGGTCACCGAACGGTTCTAACCGGGGAGTTTTTTTGACACCCAGACAGCAAAACGACAGGCAGTTTTCAAGCGGGCGAAAGTGTTTTTTGACGAAAAAAATTTGCACTTATCAAGCGGCCGGGGCTTTGTTGTCAAACAAGCCCGGTCGAAAACTATCGATTCGCACTTGATAAAACGACGCAGGGGAGCCGGCAAAAGGGGCGCCCTTCTGAGGCGCCCACCGCCTTGATTTCTGGCGATTTGGGGCGCCCAAAAAGGGGCGCGCAAAAAACGCGCCCAAAACCAGAACAGCGAAACAGCATGGCGCGGCCGCGATTTCGGAGCATTTTGGGCGGCCGCGAAAGCGGCCGCCTTTTCGCCGGTTTTAGAGCCTGGGAAGCTTTGCAAAAAGCGCTGGCGAGAAATATAAAAACGCAAAAAAGAAAAAGCGCGCCAGACGCGCAAAGCCAATCCGCATGCTATGGGCCCGATTTTTCCTCGCTTTTTGGGCGCCCCCCGTGGCGCCAGGATCGGCCTCATAGCATGTGGGCTGGCTTTCGGAAAGGAATTTCGAAAATCTGCCAAAATTTGCGACGCTTATCAGGCGGCCGCCATACCGTGGGGCCTAACGTTACTCACGGCGGTATGGCGGGCCCAGAAAAATCAAAGCCGCGGCCAAGGCGACGGCCGGCAAGAAAACGCCCACGACCTCACTACCTCCGCCTCGGCGGCTATACTTGGTATTTATTAATGCCAAGAAAAGTTAGAACTAGAAGTGAAGCCAAATGAACGTCCACACAACTCCAAGCAGAAAGAGGTAAGTCGCATACTATAACCAAGAGCGCAGAGTTTAATAGCAGAAATAGACCAGATGGGATAAAAGTACAAGAGCCTAGGACCGCACGCAAGCATTCTCTAGCTCGATTCAAGTCGTCTTTTCTACACCCGAACACTATGTCAATATTTCTGCTCTGAAACAGAGCAAGCGTTATTTTCAGGTATTTAGTCTTTGTGTTTGTGCTGCTTCGGAGAGCAGTTCCCCTTCACGAGATTTACTCGTTCGCTTTCTCGCTTTCAAATATGTTCCCCGGCCTATGGCGCGTCGCGGTCGATCAGTCGATTTTCGGACTCAAAAAGTACAGCATGCGGGACGTTCTTGGGTACCAAGACCTGTCCGCGCGGGTACCGAAGTTGCACACAATCCGCCTTAAAGCTTTTGCTATATCATGCCCGGTGCTGGCGCATCGTCGGCTGAGGGAGAGTGGTGTCCTTGCTTGCTAGAGTGAATTTTGCAATTTTCCGCACGGCCTCGGTCGCCTCGTCTTCGGAGATGCTGTAGACGCCGTGTACAGGCAAGGAGAGTCACTATCATGGGAATTTCAGATTTGCTTTCGCTTTGTTTCAAAACAAGGATCCTACGTACCTGTAGTTTCTTCGGTAAGACGAATATTGGACCTCGTGAGGTCGTAGTTGTCACCAACTTTCTTGCCTCTATGCATGATGCAAGAGCGTCGATTTGGTCGATTTGAATTGTCGAAATAGTACTTACTACGAGCATCTACAACTATACCGCCCTACTTTCACTATCTATCGTTGTACCATAAATTCGTTACCCGTTGTTCTTCTATCCTGGAAATAACTGTGCGAGCACTCGCCAGCCTTTGAGGCTGAGTTACAGCGAAGTAACGAACTCATGCGTCAAGTCGTGTCTTCGCAGTTGCATGTGTTGCATGTGTAGTGTTACAACTCCTGGGATTCGGATTCCACACCAGTTGCTACGTTTGGACGTCGGTCGTGGAGTTAGTTATGGCGAGGAGCACGATTGTTCCTTAAAGCGGATATTGTCTACTCAGGACGACCACCGCAGTTTGTGCTGTTCCCCAGCACCATGGCCTACGCCTTGCAACATCAGCACCCGTCGGTTTCGCGGCAGTCCTCCCGAGCGGCGCCACCGCCCGTGGTTCGACAGATTTCCCTCCAGACACTATTGAGAGGAAAAATCTCCCCTCCCCATATTGAAAAGGTATGTTTCCAAAAATTTGTGTTGCGCATTTGAGGTCACAAATCACATCTGTCTTGCAAGAAGACAAGGGCAGAAGCTTCCGCCCCATTACGAAAGCGATTTGTCATGCTGTTGGGCCCAAAGGGGGGACGTTTGCCATGCTGAAATACTAGACCCATACGCCCCTACCTAGCCCGGGGATCTGACCGCAATGCTTTCCTGCAATACAAATCCGATTTGTGTACTCAGATCCAGCATCAGAAATTTCGTTTTGATATGGGGAGGGGGGATTTTTCCTTTTGATAGACACCGGGGCAGCTGGTGCAGCCGCGGATCGGTCTCGGGTTTGACCTAAACTCCCTGCGTCGCATATCCTGTGTAAAAATGTACCCACACCAGAGTTGTCATGCGACTTTGCCATGACAGGAACATTTGTGATGCGCAACCCCATGACAGGCATTTTCAATCGTGTTTGGGAACTTGTAATGCTGTAAACAGGATTAGCAGATCGATTTGTGATGCGGCTTTCCTTGCTACCTTGCACTACCTTACGGACTGAAACTTGTCATGCGTGACTCACAAAGCTCCTAGGTTTGTGTTGCAAAATCCCCATCCTGACTCCGGTGTGGGTACGTTTTTACTCAGGATATCGCACCGGCTACAGTCAAGATGGCGCAACAAGTTCTGCGCACATGGGACAGTCGCCCGGCGCTACGGGATCTTTCAATGCAGGCACCTCGTCAACAACAGCAACCGCGTTGCCGGGAGGCAGCAAGCAGAGCTACTCCTCTGCGACCGCGGTATACTCTCGAAATGAAATATTTGTTTCTGCAACGTGGAGGAGAAGTATTCTGAACTTCAGTAGTATACTTACAGAAAAGGCCGTGCACCTCGTCGTTAGTTTCCCTTTCCACAGGCACTAAGCATCTGACGTCTCATTCGCTTCTTCTTGGAGGGGCGAAGATAAATGTCTTGATCTAAAGCGGCCCGATAAAATTAGACCACCAACTCATCTTGCACCTACAGATGTCAGTCCCTGTGCAGGCGAGCGTCCCACGGAGCGCCATCAGTCCCGGGTGGGTCCGAGGCACCACTCCATTATTGAGAGGAAAAATCCCCCCTCCCCATATCAAAACGAAGTTTCTGATGCTCGATTTCCGTACACAAATCAGGGCTGTCTTGCAGTACAGGATTGGAGGCATATGCCGTGCCTGAGTGCAGAGCTTCTGACGTGGACGCTTAGCATCACAAATGCCTATGCTGTAGCCCAGGTAGCATCACAAACCGCCCGCATAGTGCGGCGGAGACTGTAGAGCTGCCTTCTTGCAAGACAAATGTGATTTGTGACCTCAAATCAGCAACACTCACAAATTTGCGGAGACGTAGCTTTTCAATATGGGGAGGGGGGATTTTTCCTTTCAATATCCATTTGAACAGACACACAACACGATCGAGAGCACCGGAAAGAGTTCCATGCCCGAGCACCCCTTCGTTCAACGAATGCAAAGCGCGCACCAAATGTCCCAGTTGGCGTACCCGCAGGTCACGCTGTCCCTGGATCGCAGTGTTCGTCCCCAGGCTGGCATAAATCCGGCCACTCCTGCTTCGCAGCAGGTGCAGGTGCAGACAACCACTTCGGCCAGCAGTAGCAGTCGCGGCGGGTCTTTTGTGGACCAGGCAGCATTTCATCTGCAGCAGCAGTCGCGGTTTCACAGCACCGGAACGACGTCGACGCAGAATAGACCCGCAACGGTGCTGACCACGGCGGCCGGCGCCGGAGGTCCTATGAAGGCCTACACGCCAACCGCGGCGATGGAGCAGGCGTATTTCGATAATCGCACGATTAGTGACGTGGAGCGCATTGATGTGCGGCTGTTGCAAAAGGACCGAACCAAAGAGGCTGGCACGCCCAATAGCGTCTTTCGCCGAATCAGTGCTTCGAGCGGCATCGGCAGTGCAGCTGGAGTTGGTGCTGGTGTCAACGTTTCGCAATCTGGTGCGCCGAGCTCCTTGCTAAAGCCGGTGCTGATACACCAGCAGCAGGAAAATTTATCGCAAAGCGCGTCGAAAAAAACGTCCGCACAAGAAACGCTGCTCCGACAACATGCCGCTTCCCAGCCAAGCCAGCTAGGACGTGGAGGCACGTCCTCTACTTCCTCCTCCGCCGGGCCAGCCACACGAAGTCAGAATATACCTGTAGCGGCTGTGGTGTCAGCAACCGAACCTCTAAACACCTCAGACGTGGTGGTTTTGGAGGTACTTGCTTAATATTCAGCAAACAAACATTAGAATGTCAATGTATCGACACGTAGAGCAAACGCCATAGGGTGCAACCTGTAAGCATCGTACAACAGGAGGTTTGATATGTGAAAGAACTCATCGGGTAGATAAAATCTGGAGCCACAAACTGAATCTGAAACCAGGCCCAGCAATCCTCTATTGCAGCGGACCAATCGTCTACCGTGAACCTGCTAGATCAATTTGGGGTCTCCCAAAGTGCGAGCAATTTGCACGCTGATCTCCGGGACACATCTGGGTTACTACTACACGATGCTCCTCCGCCGCCAACGTTGCAGGTGAATCTCACAACCGCACCAGCGGCGTCGCGCGGCTCTCTGCCGCCCCACCGAGCCGCCGCGGAGCCGCGGATGTCCATGGAGTCCTCTCCGGAGCTATGCGATGTAAATTTCCTAGACATGTACAAAATGCATCACAAATGTCGCTACCTTGCAGAGTCCAACTTGTCATGCTGGACTAGGATTGAAGGCCAGTTTTGTCATGCCGAAACTGCATTTGTACGTGTACGGGAAATTTACTGTGGATAGGAGCCTATGGACATGAGTTCCATCCGAGCGAAGCTGAACCGCATCTACGAACTGGTCGGAAAGCAGGAGAACCGGATGTCTTGTTTGTCGGACAACGTGGGGTCCCCGCAGGATTCCATTTTCGGCCTAGGAACAGCGCCCGGTGGAGCGATTGTTCCGTCCTCGGTGAAAAAGGGCGCAAAGCAAACCTCGGGGCCCAACTCTCTTGCCGAGGAGGGGGTTGTACAACCAGATCGGCGATCGCCGCTCGGGCAGTCTGCGAGCAGCGTCCAGCTCTCCGCGCAGCGCAGTCCCATGCCAGCAAGGAGCGCGCAGCAGCAGCAGCAGCAGGTAGCGCAACGAGCCGCAGCACACACGACGCCGGGGGCCGGTAGCAGCGGGGGCCAGCACGACAGTCACTTCCAGCAAAACAATAAATCGCAACGTGCCGACCGGAGACCGCACCAGACCATCTCTGACGACCTGCAATCACGCCCACACGAGAGCCCTCTGCCAGTGGCGACGCCGCAAACTCACAACTCCCAAGCCGCGAACCGCAGGGGAGGTAAAAAAATAAAAATGACTTGTGAATATTCCTGTATCTTCGATACAACTGACAGTTGTATCACATCATACACCCCGCTATCGCATGCGCACCAGCATATCGATACTTCGACATCGAAAAGCGCAAATGATGAAAACTACGTGCTGTAGGTTCGACCGTCACATCTCAAGCAACGGAGCTGGGCACCGTGGTACGCGCGGCTCCAGGGAGCAGTCGCAGCCGAATCATCGAGGCCGCTGAAGAATATTCGCCCTCACGAAAGCAACTGGAATTCAACGCGAATGACATCTCACCGATTCCCAATGAGTACTCAAAATTGGCGGAATCGAGCCGCAAGGACTTCGCTGAAGTTTTCGCAGGTTTGCTCAAATGCTTGGTGCAAAGATAAAGAATTACACTGGATTATCATTTTTCAGATTCGTTGTAGTCTCAGCAGTGTATGTTGGTTCGTTTAACCGAAGCGACATCATAAGCGAAAAACGCAGTGTGGGCGAGGGGGAAGGAGCCCTTTTGCAGCGCAGTGGCTTCTCGCACTGGCTTTTCAATCCAAAATTCAAATTACAGATCACGTCGGCGAGGACGTAGCAGAAGGCCCGACCCCGAGCCACGAGCAGTCCACGCTACGATCCTTTCCGATAGTCGGAGGTATGAAGCTGGCGAAGATGGGCGGGGCTTCCTCGTCTGCCTCTCCGAAGGGGCCACCAGAACGGACGCAGTACTTTCTATCTTGCTGTTGTTGGAGCGGGAGCGAGCTCAGCCGCTACGGCTTGTACGAAGCTCAAAACGCTTGTGCTTCCAAGATGAAACAAACGAAATAATTTTTTCTTGATTCGCAAACGCGGATATGCTAGAAGTTTAAGTTTTGGTAGCGAATTTTCATTCTAATACTACATACCAGGCAACGTTCCCCGCATGGGTCCGCTCACTCGCCCGGTTCTTCAGTGGATGAGGAATTCCTGCTGAAAAAGTATTTTTTCAGATTCTTGTTTAACTACGATCTATGGTTTGCCGTTTGCAGAACGAGCGTCAGAATTCATAAGAACTGCGACTGGCTCTGCTGCTTCTCTTGTAAAATTCTTTGTCCACCGATCATGCGGAGAACAGGCATTTTTTCCTGTAACAAACGACTTACAGGATCGCGTTCCTGCAGAAACACGCGTCGATGTCAGATTCCGCCCTTGTCCTGGAGTGTCGGAAGCTTGGGGTGTTAAAGACACTGAATTCCCGCTCGGAAATGATGGAGATTTTGGAGGAGAAGTTACTGCGCGGCGGCGAGCAGCGACCAGCCCCGGACGGGGGCAACAGGATTAACAAAACAGCATCGGTAATACCGGGGAAGAACAGTAGTGGTGCAGTTGTGTCAGCAACTGCTTTAGGCGGCGCCAAGACAACATTCGGGGCCTCAAAAGATGCAGCAACCACTGCAGGTCCTCTCAACATCAACTCCGACGCGGCGGCAGGAGCTCCTGCTGCGCCGACCACGCCAGTGGACTTGCTGCAAAGGTCGTACGAAGTTCCGTCTACGGCGCCGCCGAAGAAGCGTCCGGGGGAGACACCAACTGCCTTGCAAGGGTCGCTCGGAGGTGGTGGAACAGGTGACAATTTATCATTTCATCCGGGGATCATGTTGCAGCACTCCACTTCTTCCTCATCATCCTCCGGCGCGGCAAGAAATAAAGGAGGTGTGCGAGGAGTCGGAGCCACTCCAGATCCAGAAAGCAGCAAGCATCAGCCATCCGGGGTCAAGGAGAAATTATACCGCAAAGATGTTGAGAACAAGCACAAGGAAGCGGCTTCTGCTGGAGTGGCAGAACGAACTGGTGAGGATAGTACAACCAATAGGAAAGTAGATCCTGGAAATAAAGACTACGAGGTTCTTCATCCTGGAACGGCCGGTACTTCTACTTCTTCCAGAGGGGACCAACAAATAAGACCAACAGCACCGCAAATAAACGAGACGAAAAAGATAACTACGGGGACCACACCAGCTGCGGCTTCATCGGTTGTGCCGCCCCGATTCGACGCGTCCACGGCTGCGGTGCTGGAGGAGGTGTTCCAGGAATTCACCGGGGTGCCGGGCAACGCGGGACTCTTGCGCCGCGAACACGCCGCAGAGTGCTGCCTGCAGGTGTACAACACCGTGGCCGAGTATTCCGCCCGGCCGGACTTCGTGGCTGATTCGGTGGAGCAGCGCTTTCCCCGGTTTGACTACGACGGGGACGACAAACTGACTTTCGAGGAGTTCCAGGAAATGTGTGCCTGGTTGGTCGTCGAGGCGGAGCCCGAAGCGGAGCTTGAGAAGCATTTTGACCCGTGGGACGATCACGCGGCTGGTGCCACCGAAGAGGACGACGCACATATTAATTCCGAGGAGATAAAGAGTCGTGGTGCGTCGCAGCTGTACGAGACGCTGCCGCCCCCAGATCCCAACCGCGAGGTGCTGTACCCGGTGTCTTTCCGCCGGTGGCGCTGCCGCGGGCGGGGTTCCTCATCTGCGGGCTCATCACAGCAGAGTACAGTGTATTCAGCCACGAAAATCTGCAAAACGCAGATGTGCCTCCCGCAGGACCTGGTCCGAAAGGAGCTACGCCGGGCCGACCACGCGGCACGCCGCAACAAGAGTTTACTGCCTTTCTCGCACAGGTATAGTACTACAAGAGCGATTTGCGTTATTTGCAGTTTGCCGTTTTTTTTCAATTTGTACAGGAGTCGCTGTTGATCTTGATGTTGTTGTCATCTTCAAAGAAGCATATGAACTTGATTCGAATCAATTGGATTGCACCAGAGCCGAATTACATTTGTCAAAGTAAGTCGGTCCTTCCTCCCAACCACCACGATCGCTTCGGCGCGGCAAGAGAAATATGATGACCACTTTCCATTGAATGTTTGAATTTGATACACGTCAGATACGAGTCGACGTACTCTTACTTCTTGCTCCGGAAGCACGCCGGCGTGGAGTTGCCGGTTTTTTGGACCCGGGTCGAACACACGAACGGCGTCGAGTTCGAGAATATGCATCGCAAAAGTATCGTACCAATAGAAATCGCGTGACAGAATTTCCTGAGCGTGAGAAATGGAATGCGTAGTAAAAAACTGAGCTAGTGACGAACAAGATGCGGATGCATGACTGCGATTAGTACGAGTGCGATACTTTTGCAGTGTCGATAGAGAAGTGGCTTAGCGAGATCGTGCGCCAGCTCCTGAAAGCAGTTGCCTTTCTGCACCAGGAGCGCCTGGTGCATGGCAACATTTGTCCCAGCACCGTCATCGTCGACGACCACCAGGGCCGGGCGGTTCCCGCGGTTGCGCTCGCAGAAACTGGGCTCACCGCTCTCTTTCGGCATCAGGTATTTGATAGAGAAACATTTTTTCTTTGTATAGGGTTAAGTAGTCTTAATAGTTTTTGAAAGTCATCAGAGTTCATCTGGTTCGAAATGAACGCCGCAGTTCGGCGGCACTGGAGCTGCAGCGCAAGTTTCCATGAGCAGGGGCGCAAAATCCGATACTGGTAAAGATTGTATCTTGTTCGTGGTACAACTCAAGAACAACTACAGGAGCAACATGGAAGTTTCTCGTGTAAAGTAAGATATCCACCCTCCACAAAATTTAGGAAACTTGGGCACTGTCCTCGGGTTTGGACGCGGTTTGCGAAGCTGGCGAAGTAGTACCCCGTGGGGATCATGCACCATCAGGGGACCTCCACGGAGGCACGCCAAGCCGTTTTGACGCAAGTGCCAAGGGAGACATCTGGTCCCTCGGGGTGGTCTTCTACCAGTTTCTCACCGGCAAGACGCCGCCATTTTCCCCGTCGTCTCCCTCTGCAGAGCATGGCAAATCCGCCGATCTGATCGCCGATCTGAGTCAGTGGTCCAGCTTGAAGCACATTTCGCCCCTGGCCAGCTCGCTTTGCAGTTTCATGCTTTCCAAGGACAGTAAAACGCGGCCGAGCGCGCGGCTCTGCCTGCAGCACGATTGGTTTCGCTACGCGGAGCGGCTGACGACAAATGGGCCACCGACCGGCTCGCCGACGGCGGACCAGGCGTTTTCACTCATGAAGCCGAACTACGTCCGCATAGGAGACCTGGAAATCCGGCTGCGCGGGGCCATTCGGGCGATCGCGTGGGAGTTCCCTTTTCCCATCCCGATTGGGGCGGTGGACGCCTGCACCCGGTTTGAGGAGCTGGTGGACTTTGGGCTCTCGCCGGACACCACGGACGCCGTGGCCCAAATGATCCCTGGCACCCTTCTCGAAGACCCCATTTTCGTCCGCCATTTGATTGGCGCCGCACTCACCATCAAGCTGAACGAGCTAGACGAGGTATGATAGCACTCCGGAAATCGTTGTATACAGAAAAAATTTTATTGCTGTACTAGTCGGCTTCAGTGCTACTTCTATCAAGAATCGTGAGTACCTACTGTGTCTGGTTCGACAAATTGTGATTGACGCTGGATATGCTAGTGGAATGTCACGATGATGAATCTGAGTGTGTGCTGTGTGTGAGCATGTTGACGCGGTCCCTCTCTCTTTACTAGGTTTTGTCGACGATATTCGGTGCCGTGCCACCGTACGAAGAGATAGCGGTGGGGGAGCTGCTGCAGGAGCTCGAGGCCGTCGAGGTTGAGGATCTCGACGCCGCGCGCGCGAATCTGATGCAGTTGTTGCAGCAACAAGAGAGCCTCGAGGTCCGAACCACCTATCAGTGGCTGCGGTCGCACATGTGCTCCGAGCCCACGGGGGATTCCGAAGAGTTTCATCTGGGTACTTCCACCGAGCTGTAGCCCGTCAGGGGGGAAGTCAGGGGAGAAGTACCTGCGAGTACTACGAGACGACTGAGAAGCCCGGTAGAAGGAAAAATGGAGATAGCTTTTCTCTACGGTCCTTCTCCTGCTCCTGGCGGACGCGGCTGCAGATCGATGTTTGCGGCACTTCTTTTTACCTTCTCATAACATCGTCGTCCAAGTGTAAGATGAGTATGTATCAATCTTCTAGTGCAAAAACCAGGAACAGGGAGTGCGATCGCGGGACAAATGTGGCAGTTTGCGTTTTCGTACTTCCGTGTACTTCGTGTTGAACATAATAAATTCAACGCGAACATAGCAACAATTGGTTCGCTTCAAGTGCGACATGCTGAAGAGAAGATTTTTTTCGGATTCGTTCAATACCAACGAAAATTTCGTGTACACTGGCTTTTTACTTTCAAAGGATGGATAAAATCAAAAGGTTTATTTCAAAGTAACGCTGCGCTTGCAGGCTCGGGCTCGGCTGGGAAGAATATATTTATATAGGCAAAACAAAAGCAAGGTAAGAGCTAATTTATCACTTCAAGGCAGATCGAGATCCAGATTGAATTGATAGAGAGAGCAGGAACCAGGTATGTGACGCTGAACAGATACAGAAAAAAACTTAAACTTCAACGTAGTAAAACGTATCGCCATTCCACAGAGCCTCGTGAAAGAAGGCAGTTGTATCAAATTCGAGTGCATCCTCTCAACACGGCATACGTGCTGATAGGGGGCGATATTAACGCACGTTTCCGATTATGTCGCGTTTACTGTGTGCGAAAAGTTGTTGTGCGGTTGCGCCGCCCCGTCTCGTAGCGACGGACCAAAATCAATACAAACAGAAGCAGTGCCAGAGTGGTGCGTTTTATCGGTCGCTGTGAAAGACAAAGAATTCGAATTAGTCGGTTCCGATTTTTCTTTAATTCGTGCAACGGACTGTGTCGACCTCGACATGGTCCGATGCAACGACACAGTCAGCGGAGGTGCATGTCGGTAAAATCGTGCATGAATTCGTCCAAGTCGTCAGTCTGTCGTCCACATTCGAGCGGTCACGAAGAAGGCACCGCTTCTCGTTTCGGTTGTGTCCTAGCGTCCTAGCGTCGGTTTGAATTAAGTACTATCGTGCGCCAGCTGCTATAAATGTACTATCGTCCGTTACAATAACTCTCGTACAAAAGAACACTTGACGTACAAGAAGTGGATTTCGGTCTCCGTCGGCGATCGTACGTTCGCGCGCATAAAAATATAAACGGGGTTTCGCTCCCCTACACATCAATGTTTTTTCGTGCAGAAGGGTTTCAAGTAGAACTACATATGCAGAATTTCTTCCTCAAACTATGACAGTGTTGGTTGTGGTAGCCCCTGTAGCGGCCAATTTCAGAAGGTGGAATCCAACAAAAACATCTGATCTGCAACTGCGCAAGTACTTACAACTTCCTATCAAGAAATCCAAATCTCGCTAGTATACAAATACGAAACGACACGGAACGTCGTGAACGGTGGAAACAAACTCATTCCCAACTAGTACTAGTATCCCTACTAGTACCTGTGTGTAAGACCTCCAAACGAGGACTGCAGCAACGAAAGAACAGTAAACAACGACGACTTGATCGTTTGCTGGACACAGAGCTCTCGAAGATGCGGAAGGCGATCCAGTTCTTCGTGGCCGCTGCGGCGCTGCACGTCGAGGCCGTGAAAGTTGAAGTGGATATATCCTCCGTGAAATCCCCATCGCCCTCAATTTGTCATGCACGTGCGACACAGTTGAAGTTTTTATGATTCTACCACCAGTGCATGATCATGACCATGAGATGAAGCATGGATTTCGGTATGAGTCGCAATATCCACCAAAATTATGATGGTGAGGGCGATGGTTTTGCACAGCATAGCACACGCGGAAGAAAATCGATGTCGACACGACAACCGCGAACAAGAAGACCCTGGTGTATCACATCAAGAATTGTTGTACTTCCCCTCAGCGTCAGATGAAAAACTGAAAAGTTTGTTATGGAGAGTCCAAAAGAAACAGAAACAGGAACAGCTGTATGGTGGATTGGCACGACTTGGCTGCACTAAGAACCTTTAGAATTTCTAGATACGAGCACCCGATCCAAAATGCAATCCTTCACGTGTAATTACAGTATACTCGTCTGGGTCGACCAGTAGAAGTTAGTAACTCTAACTCCAACTCACACAGAAAATCAAACCAAAACATTTCGTTTCGGTGCAATTGCAGCTCTTTCGCACAAGAACATGGCAGGAAATTCTGAAAGAGCCGCTGCACGACACTGCGGATATACGGTTAGAATCAGACGCAGATGTGAAATTGCGCTGCTCCTCGGTAAGTGGGAAGCGACATTTTCATTTGCTTTGGCTTTCAGCTTTCTGAAACCAGAAGACTCAGTTTGCATTCTGTACTTTTGCATGCGTACTACTGGCGTTATCTCTCCTAGCAAGCTGACGTCTGTCCAGGCGAGCTCGTGCGAAAGTGTGGCGCATATTCAGGAACTGCTCTGCTTTGAGGTGGGAAGTAATTTCAATGTGATAAAGGGGCGGACAATATGAAAGCGAAAAGTCTCCGGCCTTCCGAACGCACGGAATTGGAAGTTTGGGATGCATGATGAAAAATGTAAATGGTTCTGTAGTTTTAGCTGTACACCTACACGTATACAACGCAGTATGAATGATCTGGTGTTTGAAGATGGGAAGGGCGACGTGTGCTCTAGTGAAAGAAAACTTTGAATGGAGATCAGACGAACACAAATGTATCTGTATGGCATTCACATTGTTTCCAAGTACAACAAATAGTTTCACTATCCTTCCTTGGCAGCTGTGTGTGGTGCGGGCTTCAGGCCCGAACCACTTCATCCCTCGTCCTAGGAGAGGAGGACTTGTGTAAGTGCTTCCTCTTCAAATCCAGTAGTAGAACGGCGTACGATCGTCAGGGACTTTTCACCTTGATAGAGAAAACGAATACCAAGGGAAAGGATGGCGGTTGCTGCGGTGAGGAAGAGGTCATGTGCAAGGACATTGCGAAAGGCGATCGGGCAAAATGCGATGAAGGCCAGGAATGGTACAACGGCGGAAAAATGCCGAAACACGTATGATAGTGGACAATTTTCCTTCCCCCTAGTAGTAATTTGTGACGCAAATAAGTACCAAATTTACATACCGCCCAATTCAGGATGATTGTCTCGGACCCTGGGCCTGCCCCGCAAATGAGGGGGAGGGGGAACTGTCCAACATCATAGGACGACGAAGGCGACACGGATAAGCACAAAAAGTATTGCTGTAGGAAGAGCACGTCCTTCATGTGCTGCTAATGTGAAGGCAAAACCAAGAGTAGACGCAGCGGCGCAGCGGGAGGTGATGAAAACGAAAACCAGGAAGCGGCCGAAAAACCCTCTACGACTGAAAATCAAACGGAACAATGGAAGGCTGCAAGGAGGCGGAAACTAAGTTTTTCATGATCACTATTACGTTTTTTCACTTTCATCCCAGTTTGTTTCCTCAAGAAGAATAAAGAACTACTTTATTGTTATTTGCGCTTTACATCTACTCGATACACTGCGATTGCGAGGTCTATGCAGTAGCCACCACTCTTACTCTTTACTTTTTCCTTGATATTTTTTTCCCGGATTCTAACTGTATATCTATTGTGCACACCCACACGAGGGTAAGGGTTTCCGTTTCCGTACCCAACGGCATTTTTGCGCGACGCACCAGCAACTCTGAGTTGGTTTCCAGACCACTTGAAGATCGCGAGTTTTTGTTTTTAAAACTTTGTTTTGCTAGCGCTTGTAGAAGTTTTACTAGTGCAGCGGCTTTTCCAAATGAGGGCGATGAATTCCAACGTGCAGCTCGAACTTCGAACCTTTTATTTAAACTCTTGCGCAGCAGCTGCAGCCGAGCACCGAAAAGAACGTTTGTACACAGGAGCCGACCAACTACAGCAAGAACATTCAAACTTCATTGATGACACATTTCATACGGATTGTGTCCGTGCGGGTGTGCGCGGGAACTTCTTAAGTATTTTTTTTTTCAGTTTTTGTTGTGTATTTCTTCAATTTCTATTTCGATCTTTTGCATACGAGTAACGATAAGATAACGAAAACCAAAGTAACGAATTTTTGTTCTCCCCCCAATTACTTCTACTTATGAGCTCTACAAATTAAGTATATGTAAAAGCATGTAAAAAATGACGCCGAACTCGGATCGATGCTTCTGAACGGATGGGAAAATAGTACGCCCTGCATTGCCCCTACCACTTCTGAGATGGCCTGCGCGATTTCTCCAGCAATTCTTGTTGGAGTTGTTGTGCAGCATCCAGCGAAAGTTTGTAAAAAGAAAAGCCAACACCAACGTAGGTAGCGGGTTCAATTATACGGTAATTAGTACAAGGAAAACAGGAACCAAAGAAACATGAGTACTTGTGACGAAAAAGTACATGAACACTACCCTCGCTGCGACTATTGTGAACAAGAAGATCGACGGAGTTTTTATTTCCACTACGGCGAATTTTGTCAACCAGATACAGAATTTTGTTTGCGCGCACGGATAAAGTAAATTAACTGTCATCGTGAAAAACACATGCGAGCCGTTTTCTTGGTTTGTGTTCTGGCCTTCCTGTTTGAAGATCCGATGTGGTGCAGACTCTGGCTCTCGATGCACGCAAACCGGATCGGGATCCGCCTCCAAGGTATTGGATCCGAAGATTGTGGTCGAGCTCCGTGAAAACTCGAACTCGTGGCACTCCATTTCCGCAAGGTCAAGCAACGGCACAGCATTTGGTCTTCGAGGCGATGATCTTCTTTGCATCTATCAATCTGAACGAAATATCGAAAAGCACGAAAGTTGTGGTCAACTCGATCGGTTCTCATTATAAAGGCAGGAGGACGATCACGATGAATGATTCGGTCCTAATTTATATCTAACGTCGGTTACTAGAGGTAGAGGTGCAGAGTGATCTTTTTTGTTGTGGTCCGATCGATGGCAAAGCATAAGTAAACTACGAGAGCAAGATGTTTTTTCTGTAGCCATAGCTGGAAGGAGGCAGGTGCTCGGTGTCCAAAGCATCAAGTTCGAAAGGACGACGAGGTATGTTGTTAATTGTACGAGGAATCACATGAAATGTAAGCTTCAAGGGATCCGCCGCCGCCCCAGCAGCACACGTCACGTCCGGTTACAGAAGCCAAGCGCTTTCTAGTCTGATTCCCCTCCAAAACCAGGACCCCTTCAAAGAAAATGCTCGTTGTTTAAGTAAGTACTAGTTTACGTTTATGAAGTAGATTTTCCCCATCTTTATCTTTTAAACAAGTGAAGCGTCCGCTCGCCACCCAGTATCTTTATGCGTTGACGCTCTTTGCTGGTTGATTTGAATTTCGACTTTTGGACACGTTTTTCTTGCAGGTGGCTATTTCGACTTCATTACCAGATAAAAAACGAAATGGCGACAGCAGAACCTCGTACGTTGAACAGCGAACGTCCAGCAGGAAAACCACGTCGGAGAAGAAGATTATCTCCTCCGTAGTGTACAACCCAGGGCCAGGACGGTGGAGTGGTTGTAGCAACAGTGGAATATAATTATCCGCGCCTACTTTATTTTACTGGATTTTCGTTTTTGAAACCGAAAGTCACGAGCAGTGCGGTTACCTTCAAAAGACTGTAAAAACCGCAAAGAACAGAACCGTAAACGCTGGCAGAAAACCGCAAACAGGAAGGTAAACGCTCAACACGCGGGACTTGATCTCCGATTTGATGCAGCTACAACCAGTGGAGATCATCAACACGACGAAGGACAACATGAAGCCGAAAGTGCGGTCGTTCCTGAGCCCTCTGGTGGTCGTCGTCCTGGGCTCGAGCCTTTTATTCCTCGCGACCGACGCAACCCTGAACTTGGACCCCCACGCAGTGTCAAAGCAGATCCAGGATCAAAGGGACCGTGTGTTTGTGGACGTAAAGTTTGTCGAAGCGTTGCCATACTACCGCGGCATGGTACAATTTATAGAAATAGTGCTGGTCAACTTATATTTGTGCTGCTGCGTAGGTGCTTTTATTTCTTCTAAAGTCATTCTGTGGTTTTGCTGGTCTACAGACTAACTGGAGTATAATTGTCTCCATTTGGAATGCTATAGATACTAGTCCTTGTGCTGGAAAATAAGTCGAAAAATAGCTCCACTAACCAATTAAAAACAGAAACTCCTGCCCAGTGGCGAGTTGCGGCGCGAGGTACAGCGGACGGATCAGAAGATTTGCTCGAGCGTGGACGGACCGCAGTGTTTCCAGGACCAAATGCTCGGCGTGATTCCCCCCTCCTTGGTGCGCAACGTGGAGCGGCCGGGCGGCCGCACGGCGGGCGACGAACAGCAACAGCACGTGAGCGACGTGGACCTGAACACCCTGCACCAGATTACCAGTCTGACGGGTGCGGAAAAGCTGCCGATCGGCACGCGGGAGGCCTACCCGCCCTCGCTGCCCCCTGCAACAACTTCTTCTAGAAGTAGCGCAGGAGCGGTGGACAACAACATGAACGCTCTTGATCAACATGTGGGAGCTGCAGACCAAGACCAAGTCGATCAAGATTATGCGTCAACATCTTCCTCGACATCGTCATCAGTTTCCAGCAGCAAATACGGGCTAGTTTCCGCATATGGAAGTGTCAGAATCGAAATTGACAAAATCGAAAAATTTGTGATGCACAAAATCGATACCAGTTGCAGCCTCAGTTTTCAAGTTGCGCATGACAAATTTCGGGAGCACCAACATCCAGTTTGTCATGCTGTTTGGGCAAAGAAGACTGTTCCTGTCGTGCTACTCTGGCAGCACATTGCATACCCCAAAACAGGCTTCCAATCGGTCTCATTTGCCTGCTCCCCAATACAGGCCTTCAGTGCCTTACATTTCATGCATTTTTGGCTCAAGACTTCTGTCTTGTGGCCCTTCTCCCACATTAGAGACGGGGCCGCACCCCCGTGAGATCAACTCGTCCGGACTCATCGTGGAGATCAACCCCCGTGAGATCCAAGATCCGTAGAGGCACTCTTTAACAGGCATCAGGTGCGGCTGATGAACCTTTCGACCCATTCGTAGAAACTTCCTAGTAAATCAAATCGAATCAAAATTAATAATGAGGACACATTTGCCCTCCACCTGAAGCGCGTACGTGCGCAAAATGCTTCGGTGGCCCCAGCGGGCGTCTCGCCCGGTTCTTCTTCTTGCCACCAGCGGAGGCGAGCAGGTTGACTTGCGTGAGCTTTCCCCCTCTCGGAGTGACGTGCGCGAACTTTTCCTCTCGGAGTAAATGCGGGCTTACCTAGCACGAGCTTTTCCTCTCGGAGTAACTTGCGCGACTTCTTCATCTCGGAGTACGGGTCGGCTCTGCGCGAGCTCCTTCTCCGGTTCACGAGGATGCCGCGCACACTAGCGGAGCGCCCTGCTGCTTGGGAGATCAGGGACTCTTACCATTCTTTGCTTCCTGTTTTTCATGCATCAAAGTTAAATTTTCAAAATTCATATTTTCATTTGCGTGTTGTCTCTGAACCTGCTTGCTTCGTTTGGTAAAGATTTTCTTTCCTCGCTGTTCTGGTTGTGGATAGCGGTGTCCGCAGCATATTCTGCGATCTCCTCTCATTCTAAGTGCCCGATACTCAAATACTGATCTCAGGCTCATCATCATACTCGGACCGTCGGCGCTGCCTCCGGCCTCGTTTTACGTTTGTGACGCCTTTGCCTGCAGCGGGTGCTTCGTGTTGCAGCGGCTTGTCGGTGTGACCAAATTGGGCCTGGACTCAGCTTCTCCTGCTTACGGTGTGGTGGTTCCTCGAGATCTGTGCGACAACTGCCGGCCGCAGGATGACCAAGGGGCTTCGCCGGTCGTGGCCACCAACTCCATCTCGCAGACGGCTGGAATCTTTCGCTATGTTATTCCTTTATATCAAGGCTGAGTCAGGGCCCCAGGAGCCCTGGTCCGATCGCCCCCAAATGTGCGCGGCGCGGCCTCCCACAAGCGAGAGGTCAGCCTTGACATAAAGACGCCCGCCATGTGGTGCGTTCTTCTATACCTGTGCTCCAAGCCTTCGCGGGTGTTCGTCGGTCGTCGTGCGGTGTCGATCTGTTGCAGGGAGGCGGTTTCCGGACTAGCGGGCGCGAGTGTTCGGTGGTCTGGTCATGGATCGCCAGTTTCCCCTCCAGCAAGACCGTTCTCGCCTCCTTCTCAGTGAGGTCGTGGATAGGGTTTGGTGGGTGACTCCCGTTGCGTGATGATCCTGCCATTTCTGATTCCACGTCCCCGGCACACTCGGGTAGTAGGTCGGGTTGGTGGTTTTCCATCGTCGTTCGCTTGGACCCTGGGGCTTCCTTTAAGGCGTTCGGCAGGTCTTGCGGCCTCGCGCTTCAAGGTGTGTTGCCCTGAGATCGGGTGGTCTTCGGACTGCTGCGGATCTTCACCTTGCTGCCCGTTGTGCTTCTTGACTGGTGGTTTTC